GATTTGATTTTGTGAGGCGAGAGTAGTCCGATCCAGTGGTCAGTGTGCTGGACTCTGGGTCCGACGGCCCGGGTTCAAGTCCTGGCTGGGGCATGACGTTGTGTCCTTAAGCAAGACGCTTCACTCACATTGCTTCGTCTTCTCGGATAGGACGTAAAACCGTAGGCCCCGTCTCCTGCAGGGTTGAGGTAGGAGACCTTAATTTCCCACGCACGAGATTACTGTGTGGTGGATGTCCTCCCCTGGGGTGGGATAGGTGGAAGAGACACTAATTGTAAAGCGCCTTTGATCATATAAATGTTAAAGGGCGCTATAGAAATAAATAAATTAAATTAAATTAAATTAAAATTAAATTTAATTAAATTTGTGAGACCGGAAGTAAACAACGGTGCTCTTAGAAATCCTATTGGTCCATTTCGCTTTTGGTGTCTATCAGGGAAAAAAAAAAACAGCCAGAATTTCAACGAGGTATGCCTCGCAGGCATCCCACAAGAAAAGGGATCTTGAGTCAGTTTACCTTCTCGTTCGATAATGGATTATTACAGTGCATTGCAGTGGTATCAAGTTTTATTACACCCAGTTTGAAATCACTTGTGGTTCCTGTAATCTGATTGGCTCTAATTGGTGCGATTTATTCACGAATCGCACCATTTTTTGCTTTAAATCGCATCTTTTTCCTAGCCAATGAAGAGGTTACACTAAAAACAAAACAACCAATCAGATTTTAAGGCTTGTTTAAAGTTACCAATCACATTGCAAGAAAATGAAAGACAAGGAGTATCATGTGCCAAATTTTGCAACTTTTGCTTCCAAAACTCTTACTTTTTCCCCCCAAAAATGGATTAATTTAACTTCAGCCCGGCTCAGAACTGCATCCATAAAATATCTGAACTGACCAAGTCCTGTATTTGGGCGATTTCAAAATGAATGAAATAAAGTAGTAATTGAACCTTGCGTCGTGCAATTTTGGGCTGAAATCATACTTGTGATTTCAAATTGAACTCCTGCTGCGCACTCGTTCGATTTTGAAATCACGCGAATGATTTCAGCCCAAATCCCACTCCACTCAGTTCAATTACTATTATTAATCGTGTCATCGTTCGGTTCATCTATCCAGCTCGCGTACCGGAGATAATTGGCATAGCAACCGATACGAAAATGGATATTCCGAACGAGTTTTATTACCATTTGCCAGAGAGGATCTTCTACTCTTCTCGACCATAACATCATTTTCTGAGAGCCAGACAAAACACTGTTATCGTTAGCCTTTTCAAAATGAGCCTGGATTGAAAAAGATGAATGATCGTCTAGATTTTCAAAAGATATATCTACATGCGTGTCATAGGTTGAATTCCTGCCAGATAGATGATTCTCCTCGTTCATTATGGCGCTAATGTCTTTTTCGATCTCGTTTACAGTTAATACCGTCTGCTCCTCGCCTGAAATCTCTTCAAAAAGTCCTTTGCAATCTCCTGAAGACAAGGTAGAGTGACTTTGGTCATGTTCATGGGATTTTCTCCGGTAGGGAGAGGCAGAATGCGTTATTCCATCCCCACATTCTTTTAAACATGTATCTTTACTTGATATCTCCATCAAAGCTTCCCCATCCAATGCTGAGTACGCGCGAGCAAGTTTGGTTTCTTCGACTGAGTTTAGAGAAGAATCCATTGGAACAGAATTTTCAGTTGTCTTTTCGCTTTGTACTGTTTTCTCTTCCACAGCAGGTGACGTTTGCTGACGAGGTTCTTGTCCTGCATCAGTTGTGGCAACTGGAAAGGAAAGTTTCTCGGAAGCACTGGGTCTCGTGTTTGAAAACTACATCTAAAGTGGAGAACAAAACAAAATGAAATTACCAAAAAAATGCTGCGCTGAAATTCAGGTCGATTGTAATAACGTCAAGCTTTTGAACACTGCCAGTTAATATGGCCACTTTGGATAAATTTTTCCACTCTAAGTTTCTAACACTTGAATATCGGTGATCAAATAATTTGTCCTGAGGTTTGAGTTGTGGTTAATTGTTAACTTTTCCCGCCCGACTTACTGGTCTCCGAGTCGAATGGTTTCGTCCAAAATGTTAAGTGTCTCCATGATTTACTGTACATATACTTTAGTCAGCTCTCTATTTCTTCTTTTCTCATAGGGAGTAAAATGGATGCAAAGAGACTAGAAATTCAGTGAAAAAAATCTGTGATCATGAAAAGAGGAACAAGGAAAGAAATAGAGAACTGTTTTAAAACAGATTTTGAAAGGGTGGAACAACATGGTGATACTTAAATTTTGTGTTGTTATGGTATAATTCTTTTAAAATTTCAGATCTAGGGAATTTGGAGTAACTAACCTGAAGTCAGGCGTTTTCTTTTCCGGTTGGTGGGGGGGGAATAGGAGAGGGAGGGGGGGGGGGCGAGGCCAAGTACGCGAGAGACCGCCGACTTTTGCAGAGCTACACTGTTCGCGGTTCCCAGTTAACACCTGGTCGCAGTTATTGAGAATTACTCCTGCGCGCGTTGACCGGAAAAGGGACGGGGGCCGTACGCCGGACAGGAAAACGCTCGAGTGACTGAGGTTGCAGCAGGCGAAGATAAGTAACACAATCAACTATGCATGATTGGAGACTAACCGTTCCGAGAAATTTCCCTTTAGGTGAACTTTACTTTTAGTTCATCTTACTTAACTGATTTCCTTTCGTTTGCGCAAGACTGTAGTTCACTATTTATGGCATTGAAGTCCCAGAGGACTTATCTCGACTTCGTGGTAGGAATGGGTCCGCTCCGGAATAGCAAAGGTTTTCGACTGACTAATAATCATGATCGAAAATCAAGTGCTACGCAAATTCTCTCTCCTTTTTCTTGTTCTGGAAACGACATACAGCTGCCCGAATCATCAACATGACTTCCGCGAAGAGGGATTCGGTGTCGCGACGATTTCTGTGCACAGTTCCGTCAAATGGATCACAGTAAACAAAAGCAGACTTATTGGAATAACTGTTTTTCAAGCAAAGACCATGGGGCAGTGGAGATATCTAAACGGCTGTCAATCAAAAGTGCCGTAACAGTTTGTTCGAAATGTAGAATGGCGACAGGAATGGTTTTTATGACGCTCGATCAACTCAAACAAGTTACTGCACTAAGTCCTGTATTAGAACCGCTCCTTACACAGGCCATCGCTTCTCAATACCAACAGCTGACCTGAGTCAGGCTGAGCGTAGAACTATAACGAAATATTCCAGACCATTGATCAGTAGTGTACATGAATTCTCATTTGAGGACATTGCATTGGGGCTTTTTTTTTTAAAAAAACTGGAAATTTGCGATAGGAGACAAAAACGTGATAGTTAGGTTGATTATTCTAACTGTGTGCCTCACTTGGCTTGTACAGAGACAATGGGGGACAATTTGCAGGCTACTGTGAAGTTATAAACTTAGGAGTTACACAATCTTCATTAATAGTACATCGACCGATACACGAGCGATGTTCTTAGAGTTTTTCCAGGAAAAAAGAAAGAATTGTGGACGCAAAGGCTCCTATATTAAGTATGATAAAAAAGTCCATGACATCTTAACGATCCAAAAAAGTTAACGAACTAGAATTTAATCGCAAGTACGAGTTGCCAGAAAAAAAAAGGAATTGGAATTAATGTATTTTTAACGAACAGAGGTTGCTATTTATTTTTTAATGACACTCAGTGAACAATTTCTAGCTCTTCGGAGATAACGAAATAATTAACAACATTTCATTCTTGATTTAATTAATGACGAATGTCCCGCTGGTTTAAAGTTCAGTCTTGCGTTTTAAAGCTCATCCTTATGTTTTGTGTGGAAGAAATGCTGTCCGCATTTTCGGCAATAACTGTCCTGTATAATGACCACGTTGTCTTCAAAGTGAGTCTCAACTGGCTGCTCTGTTTTCAGTAGATCATGTTGTCCGTTAGGGCACGGGTTGATTTTCTCAACTTGGTAGGAATCTTAAGTGAAAGTCACTCGAGAATGGACCACCTCTTTTTTGGAATTCTATGTACGTCTTACGAACCTTCTTGAGTCCTACAGCTCTTAACACAGACTTAACTGGTTTTTCTACCACCTCCTTGAAGACTTTTTTCACTGGTTTGGAGACGACTTTTCTTACAGTTTTTTCTACCTTCTTTAGAGCTCTGCGAACGAAACCGGAACTCTCGTCTGGTGCACAAACGATCAAAATAAAACAGACCATCGTGAATAGAACCCAAGTAGGTTTCCTCATCTTGCGGTAAATGTGACTCAGTAGATCAGGAAAGAGTTTTTTATTCGAAGAAAATTTTTCATAATTTATCATTCAACTTTTATTCTCTTACTTCATGGAAATTTCCCATCGGGTGGAAATGACTCAGCTTCCGGTTTTTTTATCAAAGGTCACGCAACAGATATTACGTAAACTCCACGAATTACTTTCCCTCGCTGATTATTTCTAGTTTCAAATCATTCTCTTTCTGTAAAATTATTTACAAGGACGAATCTCACTGGCATCATGCAAATTTTTTTCAACTAAGTTTTATTCGAAAGAAAAGATAAGCAACAGCTGGTTTGTGGGGTTAAACACTTCTTTATGTTATTTCTGGGAAAAATCCCTTACCGATCGAGCCTATTACTAAGCTCCTCGTTTATTAAAGGTCACGCAGCAAGTATTACGTAGATCCCATGAATTGCTTTGATTCTGTAATCACGCTGTTAAAGCACTTTCCTGACAATTTCCCCTTTCCGGTTGAAAACCGTCCGTATTCTGTGTCTATAAATCAAGGAAGGGTTTCCCTGGCATCTCCGGGACTCATTCTTGCCTTGACCTGCAAAGGGTTTGAACGCAAAGAAAAGGGTTTTTACTCTATGCATAGCATACATGAAAGCGGTGTTCTCTTGTTTTTCCTAGGAAACTTCCCTGAGGAGCCGTTTCCGGTTATCAAAGTCACGCAACAGATCTTATGTAAATTACTTTCTCTTTTCAGATCTCACTGCCACAACAAGTTCACAGCAATGGCTTCTGTTTCGCTTTCTGAGTTTTGCTGGTTCAAAATTGTTCTTCTTCTATGCATATTTAGCCAAGGAAGGGTTCCAATGGCGTCTTGTGAGCTTGTGCCTGCAATGTTTGATCCTGAAACGAAGCAAGTTATCTACAATCCAGGACAAACTCGTACACAGAAAAAAGATTTGGTCGTGACAATAGCGCAAGACGTGAAGACGGAAAAAAGCAGTCGAACAAGCAAATCAGAAAGCTTTGGATTAAATCTAGGGTTTCAAAACAGCGGCATCCCTTCGTTTGGAGTGAATTATCAAAAGGTTAAAATTAACGAGCAGCGAAAGGAAAGCCATCATCAGGTGAACATTGCCATTAACATACCAAGTGATTGTGACGAAGGCTGCAAGAAACACGCTGATAAAGTATTTCAGTTGGCAAATAACGCTCTTTACAGTGATGCAAAGCGAAATCGTCTCAACTAACGGAACTTGCAACTTTTGGTCAAGAAGGAGACTAAGGCAATACAGTCGCGTCGGTAGATAAAAATGCATGAAATTTTTAAAGGGTTTTGTTCACCGAAATTTCGCTTTTACAATAATGAAAACCCCTGCGGTATAACAGAGACAAACTTTTGAAATATCACGTAAACGATTCAAACAACACGGTTTGGATGAATGGAAAATGTAAATATACAGAGGAGACGCGGTCGGATTTGAGTGGATGCATCAGAACTTTGTGTCAGGTCAGACTTTTGTCCCACAATTTTACAGATTCAAGGATGTAATGATACAGTACTAATTCCGGTTGGTCCTGTGTTGCTGATCACGTGAAGTCGGATTGCATGTGCCTTCGCATAAACATGTTAAAAAACGACTTTAATTTGTTGAGGTTTATCCCATTTGGTATCAAGTGTCGTTTACAATGTCAAAAGTCATTCTCACTTATAACATAGGTTTCATTTGAACAATAAAATACTGCAGCCCTGTTTTTTCTTCTTAGCATTTGAGTTGGTAAAGACCCGACGAAATACACGGCTTCGTTAAAATTATCTCGACTAAACCCCTACAGAGCGAAATTAATGACAAAAACTAAAACTTTATGTCCGGGTAACACGTGCTTTTATTTATGATATAAGAAATTAAAATGTAACCGATGACAATTAAAACGAATGGTCCAGTGACCCATTCAACAAAATTTGTATTTGATAACAGAATACTATGATTGAATTTCTGGCCCCTTGTTCGATGTATAGCTGGGCTCAGCTTCCTTATTGTAACTAGTCCTACAATGCGGTAAAAAAATTAACTAGCTTTTATTCAAGGTACTGGAAACTCCCATCTGACTCATTACAATAAAAACAGAATGGTCGAGTGACCTGTTGAACAAAAGTAGTATTTGATAATTGAATTGTCCAGTTGTATCGCTGGCCCCATGATTCATATATAGATGGGGTTAACTTCTGAAGTATTCTAAAAGTCTACAATGATTAGCTAAACTAACGAACCATGCATTTTTTCGACGAATCGATTCCAAAGTTCGTTCCAGCCTGGCAAACATGTGACAAAAATATGTCATCCTAAATATCAACATATCTGTTATTTTTCTTTGTGAGAAGGCGAAAGAACCATTCTGGCGTATAAATTATAATGATAACCTTTTCGTTAGATTATTCAAAAGTTGCTGACGCGTTTTTGTTAAAACTTATTGTTCAGGCTGTGTAGACAATGGAGGGCCCCTCACGAAAACTACTCCTAACATCTAAGTGACAAACATGCCTGACTGCTAAGAGAAATCCTAAATAATATTAATTGCTTCACATAAAAAAATGTTTCTGTTGTATCACACGAAATGTTTCGTACAGCAGAGGCAAAGATGATGGTCTTCAAAGAAGTCAGCTTCACTCAGGGTACAGGATTTGCTGATCAGTTTTGAACCTTGCAGATTATGTCTTCTTTCCTGTAAGATAAGATTAACAACATGAGCCGAGAAGTTATAAAATATTGAATTGATTCCTCGGTAAAGTAATTGTTGGTTCAATTAAGTTCTTTCAAGAATTTCTGCTGTTTTGACAGGTTTAGTCGCTGTGAACTTCAGATACGGCGAGGCCTTTGGCAAGGAAATTTGAGGCGGAATTTGATAGAATTTACTCGCAGCAGCTCGCTATGGAATTAAGACCCTCTACGTCCATCAATAACTTATTTCCTGCCGTCATTTAAGATACTCTTCCATTTGTCTCGTTCGTCTTTCCAACAATAGCAAAAATACATCTTGGAACTATATGAGATACAACACGAATCCTTCCTTCACTATAACCAGCTTATAAACTTTCTTTACTCCATAACATGAAATAAATGAGGGGGAGGGGGGGGGGGCGCGTGTGAGTCTTTAAAGTCACTTTTCTAAATCGTCCGAATTTAAGAGAATGCGCTACAATGTCTTCCTTTACACACTAAGATAATATCAATAAACAGGCTCAACCAAAACCCGAGAGTGTCCCTGACTTGCTACAAAGTTGTTGATTTTAAACTTAAATCCTGGTTCCTTCTGACATGTCATAAAAAGTAGATTTAGGCCTCAGTAGATTCCCATCCCGAGTGTCATTTTTATAGCGGTTTTTTTAAATACAAACCTTTCCCCTTTTCCTTAACACCTACCTCAATGTCACATTATCTCCAATCAGCATGAACGTAGCCCATTTCTTCACTTGAGAATACTTGGGGTTACCTCTCATCCACTTTCTGACCTCGTGAAGAGATTCACTGGCACTCTCACCACGGAACAAGTGTTCGTAGAAACATTTCATGAACTGCTCCGTTGATTCGTCTTCCAAGGCCCACCGCGCCACTAACACCGACCGAGCACCGGATCCTAAGAACGCTCGAGCGATTCCAATTACTCCTTCGACTTTAATCTCTCCGCACCCACTGTGACAACAGCTTAGAACTACCAGTTTAGCTCGAAGTTTAACTTTTGATACGTCAGCCATCGTCAAAAGGTATTCTTCTTCTTGTGGAGTATTGTTAGTAGTACTGACGGGGGAAAGTGCTATTTCTCCTCGATCGGGATTTCCGTGAGCCGCAAAATGTATCAACGCAACTGACTTCATCTGTTCAAGAACCGCCTCCTTTGTTGCATCTTTCCCTAACAATGGGATGACGCCAAGCATTTTTCCAATCATTTCAGCTTCTTTTCTTGCACCTGGTAATGGATCAAGGATCATTTGATTTCCCTTGTAAATCACTTCTCTCACTTCAGGTTCACCCACTATCAGTGCCCCAGTGTTACTGTGATAGTTTGAAGGACTATCCTGAATGACCTTTAGGACCGTCAAGGAAGGAACGATGCGGATCCTGAATTTTTCAGACAAATATCTTTCTCCCTCGTCAAGCAAGGCTGCAAATGGCACTTGATACATGCAGCTGTCAGGGACAATGATAATTTCAGGCTCTTTCAAAATATCGGCCACGGGAGCGATAATTATTTTGTGGAACAAACGCAGACATGTTTTCATATATTCAGTTTCATCGTGAGATGGAGGCGATCGCTTAACATCGCCAGATAACTTTAGAACAGGTTCGTCATTTAAAGAGCGATCTTCGTAATTCTCTGTGGGTGGGATGGCAAAGTGGCGGAAACTCTCCGCAAAAAGCTCTTTCGGATTTGGGAGTGAGTCGGCATTTCCAAAACTGTCTGAATCATTTCCCTTTTTGCGCCGGAAAAGAATCTGTCCGCTTGTTTTGAGAACCCAAATCCGTACATCTTCATCATCAACCGAAAGGTAAACAAAAGTACAATTTGCTTCTCTTTTAATGATATCATGGATGCAAAACAATGCCGATTGCGGATCACCTGAAAACTGGGGCTGTTTAGCAGAATATTGAGCTGTCATCAAGTCCGCTAGAGCTCTTGCCCGTCTGAGTTCTTCGACGTAAAGGGAATCTTCAGGATTCCCAGAAACAAAAAGAAATTCACTGAGTATCTCATAGGGAAAAGCACCATGCTTCTCCAACAAAGATATTTTGAAGTAATCATTATCTTTTACAAAGTGTCGCAGTTTTTCGAATTTTTCAATAGTTCCTAAAAGATACGAAAACGCTTCTTGGAAATTAGACTGAGCCAACTTCAAAACCGTTAGACCACAAAGAGTTTTAAACTCATTCATATTATGTCCAATGGCTTTGCAAATTGAGAGAGCCTTGCTAAGATGTACTTCAGCTTTGTCAAGTTCACCCAGTGAATGAAACAATGATCCTAAGTTTCCGTAGTCAGCTGCTTCTCCCTGTCTGTCGCCAATTTCCTTTCTGATTCCAAGTGCTTTCTCGGTGTATTCTTTAGCCTTTTCGCATTCACCCAGCGAATGAAACAATGCTCCTAGGTTTCCGTAGTCAGCTGCTTCTCCCTCTCTGTCGCCAATTTCCTTTCTGATTGCAAGTGCTTTCTCGGTGTATTCTTTAGCCTTTTCGTATTCAGCCAGTGAATGAAACAATGTTCCTAAGTTTCCGTAGTCAGCTGCTTCTCCCTTTCTGTCGCCAATTTCCTTTCTGATTGCAAGTGCTCTCTCGGTGTATTCTTTAGCCTTTTCGTATTCACCCAGTGAATGAAACAATGTTCCTAAGTTTCCGTAGTCAGCTGCTTCTCCCTCTCTGTCGCCAATTTCCTTTCTGATTACAAGTGCTTTCTCGGTGTATTCTTTAGCCTTTTCGTATTCAGCCAGTGAATGAAACAATGTTCCTAAGTTTCCGTAGTCAGCTGCTTCTCCCTCTCTGTCGCCAATTTCCTTTCTGATTGCAAGTGCTCTCTCGGTGTTTTCTTTAGCCTTTTCGTATTCACCCAGTGACTGAAACAATGTTCCTAAGTTTCCGTAGCCAGCTGCTTCTCCCTCTCTGTTGCCAATTTCCTTTTTGATTGCAAGTGCTTTCTCGGTGTATTCTTTAGCCTTTTCGTATTCAGCCAGTGAATGAAACAATGTTCCTAAGTTTCCGTAGTCAGCTGCTTCTCCCTTTCTGTCGCCAATTTCCTTTCTGATTGCAAGTGCTTTCTCGGTGTATTCTTTAGCCTTTTGGTATTCACCCAGTGAATGAAACAATGTTCCTAAGTTTCCGTAGCCAGCTGCTTCTCCCTTTCTGTCGCCAATTTCCATTTTGATTGCAAGTGCTTTCTCGGTGTATTCTTTAGCCTTTTCGTATTCACCCAGTGAGTGAAACAATGTTCCTAAGTTTCCGTAGTCAGCTGCTTCTCCCTCTCTGTCGCCAATTTCCTTTCTGATTGCAAGTGCTTTCTCGGTGTATTCTTTAGCCTTTTGGTATTCAGCCAGTGAATGAAACAATGTTCCTAAGTTTCCGTAGCCAGCTGCTTCTCCCTTTCTGTCGCCAATTTCCTTTCTGATTGCAAGTGCTTTCTCGGTGTATTCTTTAGCCTTTTGGTATTCACCCAGTGAATGAAACAATGTTCCTAAGTTTCCGTAGTCAGCTGCTTCTCCCTCTCTGTTGCCAATTTCCTTTCTGATTGGAAGTGCTTTCTCGGTGTATTCTTTAGCCTTTTCGTATTCACCCAGTGACTGAAACATTGTTCCTAAGTTCCCGTAGCCAGCTGCTTCTCCCTTTCTGTCGCCAATTTCCTTTCTGATTGCAAGTGCTTTCTCGGTGTATTCTTTAGCCTTTTCGTATTCACCCAGTGAATGAAACAATGTTCCTAAGTTTCCGTAGTCAGCTGCTTCTCCCTTTCTGTCGCCAATTTCCTTTCTGATTGCAAGTGCTTTCTCAGTGTATTCTTTAGCCTTTTCGCATTCAGCCAGTGAATGAAACAATGTTCCTAAGTTTCCGTAGTCAGCTGCTTCTCCCTTTCTGTCGCCAGTTTTTTTCCTGATTTCGAGTGCTTTCTTGTAATATTTCTCAGCTTTGTCGTATTCCCCAAGTGACTGAACGACTGTACCTAGGTTTCCGTAAATGGTAGCTTCCCTGATTCTGTCACCATAGGACACCGTGATTGCCAGTGCGTTCTCGAAATACTTCTTAGCTTTGTGATATTCACTACGCGAATAAGATAAATGTCCCATCGCAAAGTAACATTTTGCTTTCGTTTGTTTGTCAGCCGTACATTCTGTCACATCAATTGCCTTCTGATAATATTGTTTTGCCTTTTCAAACTCATTTTGGCTCTGATATATCTTTCCCAGTATTAAAGTTATTTTCCCTCTTTCAATTGTGTCACCAGAGGCATGGTACATATCAAGAAGTTCCTTTGCATATCTTTCTGCAGATGTGTAACTGGAAGCCATGCAAGCCGCCTTGAACATTAACTTATTGATTACCATGGTAAATTGGAAACAGGTCTTCTTTTTCAGCTCGTTAGATTTTAGAAAATTTAAACATTCTTCGCCTAACATTACGGCTTGTAAGCCACGACCAGTGTTCAGGAGGAAGGTGGCAACCACTAATCCTATAAACATCGGGAAGGTTGCTATAAGTTCTTCTACGTTGTCCATTTTCGACCTTTTGCCGATTGTTCGAATGAAATGAATGAGACAGCGTAAGGATTTAATTTAACTTTGTTAGATCCGTTTGCAGCCGCTTGATTCAATACTCAATACTTTTCATAGGAAAGTGCCAACTGTTAAAAGTATAGCCAGAGTCAAGGCCACAGAGAAGTTTGCCAAAAGTTATCCTGAGTTTTCCATTACGAACTTTTCCCAATTGCTCGAGCGAAATGAATGAGACAGCTTTAATCTGAGGATTTAATTCAACTGTGTTAGATCTGTTTGCAGCCTCCCAATTTAATAGTTTCTTACTAAAGAATGCGGTTGATTCTGAAGGCAGGCAGCTCACCAAAATAGCTGTCTGTCATAACAGGTTGATTAGCCTGATGTATTTGGTTTCGCTTGACTTACTCTTATATATCATATCAATTCTTGTTTTAGTTAGTTTTTGTAATTAGCGAGGAATTGGGGATCAAAATCAGCCGATGAATTTTAACATTTGGTTTAAAATTAAAAGAAACTGTTAACATGATAAACTTACAGTTTCACCACAATAATGTTACTTGCAAGAACTGTCTCAAATTTCTTGGCCTTGTGATTGAAATCCAGATAAAAGTGATGCTGAGGCACAATTTTCCCTTCGAAAAAAATGCAGGTTGTTTCATTTACAAGTTACAACACAAAACACCTATCGAGAATTCCAAGAGAGAGAAATTATTCAGCCTAATCAAGGTCTTAAACACATAAACATGAAACTCGAGGCCCAACTCCGACGTAATATAAATCTATTTCTAGCCTCTATCAGCCAGCCGCTGGTCGGGAAACAAACTCGCGTATCGAAAGCTAGACTGGATAACAAGGCGAAAATCAATCTTCTTTTGTCTTTATCTATGGATTTTTACGCATAGAGCACTTCAAGGTACAACTGGAGCAACGTACAGACCGCATGTCTATGCTTCTCAAGCAAAATTTTACCTGCAAACGCGAGCAAGATACTTCCGGCTTGAAGTTTGCTCGATAGCAGCCCAGTTGGAGACATCAGATTTATTCAGAGAAATAAAGTTCACGTGGGTGATTATTTTAGTGCGAGATTTTAAGGCAGTTTAGAAGCATTACGTAGATATCACTAAGATATATCAGATTCTCTGACATTTGTCTTTTGATTCGCTTGATGCCACTGTTTTCCTTCCACCGTAATTATTTAGGCGACCACAACGTCGATGTTGGAGATTCATCAAGGAAATAGCTCACTGTTCTAACAGATTACGCTTACGTCATTTTAAATGAATTAGAACTAACGCACAAGCTGTAAAACTACTATAATATCGAACAAAGTGAACAGAAATTACTTACCGTGTTCGTCGCCTTCGAAAGGGAAAGTTAAGAAGTTTGCCGAAGGAGAATGCGTCAGGTGACTATGATGCTTTTCAACCACCCCTTAATGCTCATAGTCACGTCATCATAGAACATTTATCGACTGGAAAGAGAATTCATCCCAATTTTTTTTCTGATTGTTTTCCGAAGTTTTCAAAGTTAGCTTTTGCCTCACTTTGAGAGAAGCGAACGACCTTAGCCACTGATATCAGAAACATAGATTTACCTTACCATCCCCTCCCCCCATTTCTTCTTGACTCGCCTTAGTTCTCCACGTCTTGTGATCCTCTCTTTAGAAAGCTGAGGCACTTCAAGATTTTTGGACATTTTTGTGATAAGTTCCAGAGATTCTAACCCCATGTGATGGAAAATAGGGAGTAATTATTAGTGCCAAAGGCGCGAGCTTCTAGGGGGGTCAGGGGGCATGCCCCCGGGAAATTTTGCAAATTTAGGTTCTCTCAAGTGCCATTTCCTGAATTTTGACATCATTCCGGCCTGAGTTATAACATACCATAATGCTCTTCGCGAAGAAAGTAAGTATAATATGAGTGTTTCACAGTGACAGATCGCCAAAAATTCTAAAGATTAGCAATTTTCCCCTAGTTTTCAGAATTTTATGATAAATCGGGAGAATTTGGTAAAAATCGGGAGAGCGGGAGGCAAGACATCAAATCGGGAGACTCCCGATCAAATCGGGAGGGTTGGAATCTCTGAAGTTCAAGGTACTCGATTCATTACCTAGATATTAAAATGCCTTTCAGAGTGATATTCGGTTTAATTCAAGTGATTTAGGTTAATAACGAGGTATTGCAATAGTTCAGTTCGGTCAAACACTCTGGCCTGCTAGCAGAACATAGTTTGCATGGAAACAAGGAGGCAGTAGGGTTCGACAGACAGTGAGTAAATCACAACTGTTTGGTAAGTGAGTAAGATGAAACGCTAACAAGTTTAACTTAACTTGTTAAACCTTGTATTCTACCGTTTATTTACTACAAAAAGGATTGTTCTCGTGCTTGCAGTGATCTTAAAATTAGCAGGGATATTAAGAAACGTCCAATTGTCAGTATGTTATTATTGCCTTTCTGGTCCTATGACTTCGTGCCTTTAGTATGGCTGTAATACATTAACAGATTTCGATCCTTAAATTTCCCCATCTATGTGCTCTGCAGTAGTATTCCCACATCAAGATCACTAGAAAATCGTTAAAACGAAATGTCACTGTGGTTTCCAAAGACACAAAGAAAAAAACTCTTACAGGCCTTTCCTTTTTATTGTGTATTTTACTGAAGCTGTCTATCTAAAAAAAATTATATATATATATATATATTGTTAAATAATATGATCTCTAGCCAGCTCACAGCTCATACTCACCAGCTCTTATTTGGAACAAAAACCTTCCACAATTACAGTCTTGCATCAACTGACACCTTTCTAAAAATACATTGATAAGAAAATCCTGCACCAGTCAAGAAGAGAGAAGTCTATGATCATGCTCTCTCTTGAGATGAGATTGTGTCAGAACTCTTTGGGATGTCTTTGGTAATTTTCTGAATGTCTTTAGAACTAGTGAAGAGTTGTAAGATTTTCCTTGAGAACTCTCCAAAAAACCTTTTGATCTGCAGGCTAGTGTGCTTCTCACTGAATGTTTCAAACATGGATGAGGAAAAGAATGAGTGGCTGGCACAGCATTATTCTCCAAGCATGTGGAATAAGCGAATGGACCCAGGAGAAGTAGTAGATTCCCACATGAACATCTGTACTAGCTATAGTGAAATTACTTGCAAAAATTCTCACTGCGAACTGAGTGTCTGTTATGGTGAAAAGAAAGCTAAGATGGATATATTTTATCCTATGCAAGAGACTGATGAGACAGCTGTATCTGTAAAAAAAATTGGTGGTAGTTCTGCACCAGTAGTACTGTTTGTTCATGGCGGGTACTGGCAAGTAGGGAGCAGGAAGATTTACAGCTTTGTTAGTAAATCATGGACTAAAGCTGGTTGTGTTGCAGCAGTGGTGGGTTATAACCTTGCACCAGAAGCGAGCTTGAATCAGTTGATGAGTGAAATAAAGTCAGCAGTGAAATATATCAATACCAGGTTTCCAAAGTCCAAACTGTTCTTGTGTGGCCATTCAGCTGGGGCACATTTGTGTGCTATGATGATGGTGTCAGACTGGAGCAAAGATCCTTCAATTCCACAAGTCATTCATGGTATGTTCTTGATATCAGGAGTTTTTGATTTGGTACCTATTGTAAATACCTATGTTAATGATGCATTAAAACTGACAGAAGAATCTGCTGCACAAATCAGTCCTCAACAAATTCTGATAAAGATGTCACCAACATTTATGTGCCCTATTTTGGTTGTGAAGGAAGAGCATAGTTCCCCAGAGATTAATCGACAGGCTAAAGAATTTGTTGAAATCTTAAAAGTTCATAATGTTCAGTGTTCTTTGCTTGAGCTACCAGGAGTAGATCACTTCAGCATGAATGAAAACATGGTAAATAGTGATGATCTCCTCTGCCAGGAGATTTTAAAAGTTGTCGGAAATATCAACTCAGCAAGGAGTGAAATAGGAGTCAAAGGTTCAAACTCAAGTCTTTAATTTCACTTTGTGAATGGCTTGTGTATTTACCCTGAGTTTATAAAAATTGTAGTGCATAGTTATGCTGCTATTTAGAGGTTTTGCTCAGTATTTAAACTTGAATATTACCTTGATGGATTGAATTAATGAATGATTCTGATAGCATGACCTCTCAGGGAAAATATACATTTTTGGTGCTATTTTTTTTACACAAGCTTCTTGATATCATAATTTAGAAAATATTTTAATCAGCAACTAGCGTCAAAAATCGAAATTACCTTGAAAACTGGCTTTGTCCAGAACATTTTTAAGATGTTCCTTCAAGTAATTATTACTAAATGCAGATACATATTTTTTTATTACCTTCAAAATAAAGATGCTGTGTGTGTAATTATCATTTAAATTTTAAATAATTAAACATTAGCAATTTATTTTCTCATTAACTGGTTTACAAGAATGATCAATTATTTATAAACACTTTACACCCAAACATCAGTATGCATATTCTCTGTACTGTTCTCTATGCATCCCTAAGGTGCTGACAAGGAGAATTTGTTTAACAATCAAGAGCATCTTAAGTTGGTGATCATATCCTTTATTCTTGTGACCTTGCTGTGTGATTCAAGGGAGATATTGTAGGGAGAAATTAGATGCTAATCACTCTTAGGGGTCAGAAGGCTAAGGCTGCTATATTTGGTCACCAGAACAAATAGATGACAGCCATGATGATACTCAAGTTAGTCTTGAATGATTTAAGTTCTTTTGTAGTGTAAAAAGTTTCTTTTACTTCATGAATCTACATAGCTGCTTGCCACCTGATTGAAAACAACCTGTTCCAAAAGATTTTGGATGGACATGCACTGATCAGAAATTGTCATCCCTTGAAAATTATAGACCCTCTGATGCAATAATTCACTTCTGATCATGCCCCTCTTGCATACACCAACACTATGGAAATAACTTTTTTTACAATACTGTCATGTCATCAAATTATTTTGTAGGGTTGTGGTCTGTTAAATTAAACTTGCTTCATGTTGAAGTTTATCAAAATTTAGAAAGAGATACTTTGATTTTGTTACATGAACGTGTAAATTATTCCACACAGCTTTAATTAAGAGTTTGCTTAAACTAATTTCCTTGCATGTGTTTCTGTTGGATCCTTTTTGTTGTAGTGTTGTTAGAGTTGCTGGTGATGCCTTATCTGTTGTCTGATCTCTGTGCTGCGCGTGTAGGGCCATAAGGTAGGTGAGGGTCAGTGATTGTAATATTGCACACTAGTGACATGCTTTTGATTTACTGAAAATGAGTTTATTTATCATACAATACAAGTCCAAAGTTGTAACACAAGTACAAATTTCAAATAAAGTGCATACTCAACATTTTGTCTGTCCTGACTTTCTGTGATGCTTTTTTGGTGTTAATTATTACAGAGTAACAACATGATTTCTCATGTAGTTTGGTGTAAATAAGCTCTTGTAAATTTTTCAGACTTCAAATTTTGGTTGTCTTTAAAAAATTTACTCATCCTGATTTATAATCATGGTAATAGGACCGAGTAAAATACAATTCAGTCTGTAATCATACAAGCAATTAACAAAATCGGACGAATGCCAAGCTAGAGTGCGATTTGTTAAATACGAGTATGATTACAGACAGAATTGGATGGCATGAAGTCCTGTTACCAATTAATCAAAACTATAACATGATTTGATAAAGAAATTAGACATTGATTATACATGTTAGAAAATTTAAGAAAAAGAATTAAGAAAAAACTATTTAACTTGGCGAAATGGGAGACAACAGTGCCTGCATGCACATGAGGTGTTCTGTCCACTTACACAGGCATGATGTGTTGACTGTCCCTTCAACTGTCCTATTATGCCGTCTAATAACAAGCATGACATGTACACAGTCCTATTAGTGCTCAAATTGGGCAGGTGATAAACAATCACGTTTGAGAAATTTGTCATAGTTTTGATTAACAGTGAATTGTGCTTGACATGTCATTACCTATGCTAAAAGAATTCAAGTATTTTTTTTTTCTTTGGTCCTACAGAGACAAATTTTAGAGATACTTTTGTATCTGTTTCAGCCTCTATTTGTTTCAGGCTTTCGTCACCTGTCATCCAGTGATTGATTGTGTGTAACCCCTTACAATGTTTTATTGCTTGACTGTATAATATTAGTAATAAAGCTAATACTTATAACATGTATGTATTCAGTTATATATGCTCACTTAAGATATTGCTGTTGATAGCTCTGCTCTGGAGAATTAGCCAAGGGTTGAAAACAAGCCAGCAACTGCCAGAGTTCTGCTGGCCACTTGGTAACATGTTGCCTGCTGCTCTGCTCAAAATAATTATCTTTAATGCCATTAACCCTTGAACTCCCAGAAGTGTTTAACATGTAACTTCTCCCTACAATATCCATACCTTATCTAGAAAAGAGATAATGAGAATACTCAAACTTATCACTGAGGTGGAGGTTGTTGTCTCAATCTAACACCAAATTCTCATAGCTAAGTTGTAGGGAAATTTGTAGCAGCTACAGGGGAGAATTAACAATCAGATCTTGGGAGTTAAAGGGTTAATGAACTTTTCTCAGTCACCTACTTTTTCAAAGATCTGATGTCTACTTCAAAACATTAGGAAACCCCTGATTAGGAGGGTTGTTAAATTACTACAGATAATCATAACCATTACAATTTCCTCAAATGTGATTGGTGCATTAGCTCTTCATTTTTCACTTATTCTTCTTCAGAGTTGTAATTGGACAGTAAGCTGTCACTGGACATCTGTAATCAGACAGCTAAAGCAGCCAATCATACCAAGTCCACTCAGCTTAATCCTTGAATCACAGAATTGATTACAATAACCATAGCAACAACCACTTAATTGCCCTACAAACAATTTTTCTCTTTAGAAAATGTCTCTACCAGAGATATCTTCTCAAATAAATGTTACTCTTTTTTTTGTTTAAATTGTGATGGTTATGATTAATTGGTAACAGGATCTTGTGTAATCGAGGTTGGTCTGTAATCATACTTGTGATTGACATATTAAACTCCATTGAAACTCCACTTGCTGCCTTTACTATTATTTATTGCAGTCCATTTGTTGGCAGAACAGCCAGATACTGTAGTGTCTCAGTCTATTGTTGTATCATACAAGGTAAATTCCCCCACAGCCCCAGCTGAAATGTTTAGCAAGCAATTTTACCACTGCCAGGAATATTTTCTGTACATCTTAATTTCTTCATGGTTATTTCATTTTTGTGCTTTTAGCAAGGAAGGCATTGCCTTGCATTACTCTTTTCTTACAATGCATGTGGCCTTATTGGCTGGTGGTACTCAAGTGCAATCATGCATGCAGTATCATCGAGCATTTATGTAAAATTTTTAAATACGGCAGTAGTAACATACCTCTCCACTCAGGGAGAGGAGGCTGGGAGCATAGGTACAGACTTCGGATCATCTGAGATTAAGTCTCTTAACCCTTCTAACTCCCATAAGTGATTAACATGTAACTTCTCCCTGTAACATCCACACATTATCCAGCCCACATGTAATGAGAATACTCAAACTTATCAGGTAGAAAGTAGTAGTCTTGATCTAACACCAAATTCTCGCAATTTGTTTACAAAGAATTGTGAAGCAGCTAAAGGGGAGAATTAAATATCAGATCTTGAGACTTTAAGGGTAAAGTTACCTGAAATTTTCTGAGTGTCAAGTGTCATTGACATTGATATTCAACAAATAGATACTTATATGTTCCCATGCATGGGCCATCTACGAGAAACACATTAGTTGCTTCCAGCTCAAAGGTAAAATTTCTTTTGCAAATTTGCTGCACTTGAGCAAGAGGACTCCCTGAGAAGCAGTCATCCAGTGAGGAAATGTGCAAAAATCTAGCCTGCCATAGTTTGCAGACAGAATATTTATCTTTCCCTCTTTTTTGCATCTCAGTTGGCCAGATTCACCCTCGAAGATTAAAAAGTGACCTGTTGAAAAAGTTGTTGGCATCTATATCCATTCAAAAATTTTGATGGCTCAGCATGGCTCAATTCATCATGAAGGAGTTTAGTTTTATTTTTCATATTCCATCTTTTTAATTTGAGTTATTTTCTTCTTTAGTTTTTTCTTATTTAGTTTATTGAGTTTGTTTTTGTGTGCCTCTGACTACACTCGGTAATGGTTTTATCTAGAGAATATCAGTTCGTATTCTCTTGGTTTTATTTGAAGTTGAACAATACGTGCTGTTGATGAGAAGGCTCGAATTGAATTCGAGCCTTCTCATCAATGAAACTAAAAAATTGATCATCATATTGATACAAGACGCATGTCCTTGGTACAAAACATATGTACTTGTTAGAGGCGAAACAAATAAATGATTTGCAGATATCTCTATTGTTTCACTGTGTCAGAATTAATTTTAAAAATCCAAGAGAGTGTCGAGTCGACAGCTTCAACGAAGCCAAGATTGGAGATGCCAGTTTAGAGAAAGGATTTTTAACAAAGTTTGCGAAACTAAATGTAGAATCCTGACGAATAAAATTTTCCCCTTCGCATTGAAAACTTATCGTTAGAATTAAGATGACGAACTTCGAACTTAGCTCATTTATTTGCGAGCTGGATGTAATGCGTTGATCATTATCGACAAAAAAAAGTTGTCAATTGGGTTTCTGTCGGCCGTGTAGCAAAATTATTACCAAAGGTTTTCAGTAAAATAGTACTTGGAAATTAAGCGTGGATCATGCCGAGCTAAAATGATTCGAACAAAGTTAAGCATAACATTATCGTCATTTGCCAGGACTTTCCGAAAAAAAGGACGTCGTCTAAATCGTGATTGGTTTTAACATTTTTTAAATAAAAATGGTGGTCACATTCGACTATTAATAATGAATAACAAGAGCAGCTGCCAAAGGAGAAGGGTTAGGAAACAGTTCCACATTTCTCTAGCCATCAATGTTATTCCGTACGCGTCCATCAAGAACTTCTAATTTGGCCAAAGATCACTCTTACAAAGAGTAATAAAACTACACCATCGTGACTGATCCTGTTGCCTAGCGTACAATTCCGAAACTCTGAGACTATTCTGGACGCTGTTTCTGCAAGTCACGGCCTTGGAAAATGCTAAACAGGCAGAAACAGAAGATAAAAAGGAAAGAAAGTGTGCTTGGAAACTTAATAATACCAACACCGGAACAAATCTTCTAACATCTAAGTTTCACAAAGCAAGTCTCTAACCATGCGATTTGCCCAATTTTATTTTTCTGTGAAAGACGTGGAGATTTGCCTTTCAGCGGCCACAGAACAAAGTGCCATTTATCGTCAATTAGAGAGAAATGAAAATAACATAAAGAAAAAGAAGGTGTTGGAAATATGCTGATAGAAAACGGAAACAAGAAGAACTTGGACAGTTTGGTAAACGTTAAACGAATAATGGTGAAGGGTAAAATTAAACAAAGTATTTCTTTATTTGGTGTTAAACGATGTCAAAAGAAAGAGAGTATCCATCTTTGTTGCAGTATTCAGTAATATTGTTTTCCAAGTAATTCTTCAAGTAATTCTTACTTAAGGCAACACTGGAGTAAAGGAAAAAAATTAGACTTATTCATTATGTCTGTTCGGTTGAATTACTGTCTGGTAAACCTGAAAATGAAAATTGAACGTGATTAATTTTTACCAGTTATGCAACCGGCGTACAAAACTACACACAGTAGAAATACCGGTGCTCAGAAAAGAAGCCCTCAGTACACACTAATGAGGGCAGTGTTGTCAAATTTACATGCATCCTTACCTTGAGCCTTAGAAAATTTTCGCCTGCTCTTCACAATAACAATTTTTTCCCTCATGTTGTTTCTGTGACATAAACAGCGAAACCACTCATCTTTCGAAATTTTTTCATTGTGATATTCTTTTATGCGAGGGGATACGGTTAATTTTTTTGTTACTCAAAAGTGTCAGGTGGTCAGTCAGTCAGTCAAATACAAAACCAGAAAGTTTTCAGCAAGATTTTTACGGGTGATATTTAGTCAGTGAGTTTGTTAGCCAACGTGTTTCAGTTGGTCGGTCCATCAAATACTGTAGTCGGTGGGTCAGACGTTCTTCAACCTGTTTACCAGTGGTCAGCCCGTCTGACGGACGTTCTTTGCTAGGTCGGTCAGTCAGTGGGCTGAAATACAAATGGTCACTAGAAGGTATAAGTTTGTATATTAAATTTGGATTCAGGAAGCCGTGAATGAAACACATCGAGCGTATCAAGTTGTGAATACTCTTTTCTGTAAGTACCTCTGTGAGAGAGAATACTTACGAGAAAAATGGCTTTGAAAGTATTACCAAAGCCCTCAGTTTAAAAGATGGTTTGAAGAAAACACATCGAGCGAGTCTGTTTTGATATCTGCAAAACATAACACAGGGAGCAAGGCTGAACATAAAGATAACACTGACTACGAAGCTCGACATGTAGACTTTTTGACATGTTTGAAGAGACAGTCAAGACTTTCTCAATCCGCAGACAATCAAAGTTAAAGAAATATTTACGGAATCGCTGTGATTAATTCAACATGACCAAAAAACGATATGTTCTGTCTTAACTCACGGTCTTATTAGCTCATTAAATTTATTAAATCATGTTATAACCCGTGATCTTAGACAACCTTGAACCGATCTCGTCCCTAGAGTCCTCGTTCATTCGACCAGTGGTCGGAAAGTGCGCGATTCACTAGATTCGGCAAGAGGGAAACCTGGAAACGAGATTGTATTGACGCAAAGTAAGACCTCTGCCACTTCTCCCACCGGACTCAACTTGAATTTTTTGCGTGAGACAAAGAGAAGAAACGATGGTATAACGTGCCCAAGGGTGGAAAGCACAACGATTATTTGAATGTGGCTGTTTGTATGATTATTTTTGTCTTAGTTAAACGATACACAAATGATTTTCTCTACTCATACATCTCACCGATTCATCAATAGCTTGTAAAATTCCGTCGCCCATTTTCGGGAACGCAGTTTGCTTCTTCTCTGTGTAACAGCATGAACTGACCACTTTTCGCGACCAACCTGAAACTTTTAGCACGAGGGAGCTTTTCACCCCATTCCTCTTCATGTTTTGTTAAATTCCTTTCATTGAACGAACCTGAAAACAGGAAAACTTGGCCATTGGAAAGGATTTAGCACGAGGGGAGCTGGTAAAAAAATATTCTTAGCAGAAAAAAAAAATTAAACTGATTTAAAAAAACAACTTTTAAACATGAGATTGATATCTCGTTATAATTTAATAGTAGCCTTTTTATTAAGTTTTTAATACCAAAACTGAAGAAACCACAATGGCCAGTCGTAATAAATGAAAACAGTAAAAGCCACAAGTAAGAACTCAAGGGGAAAACAAGCGAACTGCCTGAATCACTGTCAAATAGAGTGACCGAGTCGCGGGATTGGTCTTAATTTGGCATCTGATTGTTTTAGAAAGTAGCGCGAGTTTTCTGAACCAAATATTGAGCGAAAAGAGGTTAAACCGATCGGGCCCGGATAACTCTAGGCAGTCAGTTGAAAATCGCTTCAAAATTCGTGAGCTTGCAGCTCCACACCAAAGTAAATGTTATCGCTTTCTTTATGTGATAATCAGTATATCGTACCTTTACCCTAAACCTCAAAGAAAGACGATACAAGAGAAGATATGCAGCTAATAGAGCGATGACGTAGCTGAATTAAGCCGGGGTTGGGGGGGTAAGGGTGGAAAAATCGAAAGAAATTGTGGTGCACCGTCGGTTAGGGGTATTATAAGAGCGACAGACTCTAAACGAAGCTCAGCTTACAAACTCTCTACGGTGGCCAATTCACATTATCAGCTCAGTTGATAGACTGAACCAAATCATCTGATGATGTAGTTGTACAGAACTCTGTGTTCTCTTATTGGCTGTCATTCGCACGCAAAAATAGATCTGCCTACCCTTGAGTCATCAGCTGGGAATGCTTCTGAAATCCATTCTGTAAGTCGCCATTGAATTAATGAGGAAATTGAAAAATTAAAACACTTACAATAACAGACGGGCCATTATTTCATTGTATTCCTTCCTCCCTGTGAAATCTCTTTTACTGGGAATCTTCGAGGGATTCACAACGATTATATCTTCTCCATCTTTAGTTCTTGCGTCTGATAAAAGAAATTTTGAAAGTATAAGACTTGATATATAGAGGTAAACACCGCGTAGATTTCGGATTTCGATCCTCTCTAAACCTGAAACAAAAAGTTTGGGAGGGGGATGGTGAGGGATGGAGCTGTCCAAAGCCTGGTAGGAAACAAGCTCTTTAAGCTTGCACATCAAAAATTTCATTACCCGGATGTAGAGACCTCTGAAAGAAAGGACCTCAGTAAAGCGTAAGTTTGCACAATTGATTGTTACCTTTGAGGGAAATAAATCCTTTTAGAGATGACAGCCTGTCTTCGTCTCCTATCTGCCTTCGTTCCTTCTGAAGTGGATTTTCTCTGTTTTCGATTGTAGATCCCTCTAAAAGTGAATACAGCAGTTTTTTTACACGAAAAAGTAAAGGAATTAACAGTTGATAATAAAGTTTAACTTCTTCAGAAGATTTCTCGGTTTTCAAGTAAGATAGATAGTTGATAAACTTAACGCTCCAGTATTCTTCCTGTTGGAATTTTTCCTACGTGTCCCTGTGGAAGTCTATCGCAACTTTTGGGCTTACGCGTTTCTGTCAGACGCGTCACCATTAAAAAAGCTGCCAAGCTTGGTGCGTATCGCCAATCAAGCAAAAAAGAGCAATATTGCAGAGAGCTTGACGCCATTGACACTTAAACCAACATTATACTTGTATGTTAACAACCCCTTTGCGGCGCAGGAAAACTTGGATAACCCAGTCACGAAGGTTTCAGCGCTGAATATTATAGACTGAGAGGACGACGCAAGTTTTCCGATGCAGTCATAGACTGCGGTGAAAAAAAACCAACTAGATACCAGACTAGTATATGCCAGACTTATATTTTCGAACAACAGCTTTGATTGCAATTAAATCACATTCAACAATTTTAAGGTTCTTACCAAAAGATATCCCGACATTAGTTACCTTGATTGAAGTTAAGGCTTGCAACTTCAGCTGTCGATTTCCCCAAGGTCAGCGGTTTCCTCGATCCGTTAGTTTCATTCTCCTTCCTCCCAAATGCCAATGATTTCCTTCTCTTCTTTAAAGCAGACCATTTTTTCTGACCACGCCTCAGGGACGCTCTTTTGACTGGCATCTTTGGAGTCCTCTGTACATCATATGATGCATTTACAGGCGCCACTTCCAATTGGTCAGTCTGGAAAGAGGAAGTTTCGATGCTAGGCTCTTCTGTATTTGAATGAGTTGACTCGAGAGCTGTGGAAGCCATTCCGTTAGCACATAATTTGTCAACATTCTCCGAATTGTTATCATTTCCTTCTGGGATTGTGATCTGTGAAGAGAAAAGTTGGTATTCTCTCACAAATTCTGTCATAGTTGTGATTAATTTGTAACAGGACTTCGTATCGTCCAATTCGCGGACGTACGATTTTGTTAATCACTCGTATGATTACAGACCGAATTGGACTCCACTCATTTCTGTTACCATTATTAATTTTATAAAAAGACAAATAGACGAGTTATGTCTTCAAAAGACCACAGGAGTGTTGCTAAAGAATTAATTATCTTTTGGTATTTTAAAGCGCACTCAAACAAGGATTTTCTCAAGGGAAAAAAAAACGGTGTCATCCTATAAAATTAATGCTCTTTCAAATCGTTTTCATTGATTTGTGAGATCGGAAGTAAACAACGGTGCTCTTAGAAACCCATTGGTCCTCTTCGCCATTGGTGTCTACCAGGAAAAAAAACAGCCAGAATTTCAACGACGTATGCCTCGCAGGCATCCCACAAGAAAAGGGATCTTGAGTCAGTTTACCTTCTCGTTTGATAATGCATCATTACAGGGCAATGCAGTGGTATCAAGTTTAATCGTGTCATCGTTCGGTTCATCCACCCAGCTCGCGTATCGGAGATAATTTTCATGGCAACCGATACGAACATAGATATCCCGGACGATTTTTACAGCCATTTGCCAGAGAGGGTCTTCTACTCTTCTTGACCATGGCATCATTTTCTGAGAGCCAGACAAAACACTGCTATCGTTAGCCTTTTTTAGATGAGCCTGGATTGAAAAAGATGAATGATTGTTTAGATATTCAAAAGATGTATCTACATGCGTGTCAAAGGTTGAATTCCTTCCAGTTAGCTGATTCTCCTCGTTCATTAGGGCACTAATGTCTTTTTCGATCTCGTTTACAGTTAAAGCCGTCTGCTCCTCGCTTGAAATCTCTTCGAAAAGTCCTTTGCAGTCTCCTGAAGACAAGGCAGAGTGACTTTGGTCATGTTCACGGGATTCTCTCCTGTAGGGACAAGCAGAGTGCGTTATTCCATCCCCGCACTCTTTTAAACTGGAGACTTTTAAACATGTATCTTTATTTGATAGTTCCATCAAAGCTTTCCCGTCCAAGACCGAGTACGCGCTAGAAAGTTTGGTTTCTTCGACTGAGTTTAGAGAAGAATCCATTGGAACAGAATTTTCAGTTGTCTTTTCGCTTTGTACTGTTTTCTCTTCCACAGCAGGTGACGTTTGCTGACGATGTTCTTGTCCTGCATCAGTTGTGGCTACTGGAAAGGAAAGTTTCTCGGAAGCACTAAGTCTCGTGTTTGAAAACTGCATCTTAAGTGGAGAACAAAACAAAATGAAATTACCAAAAAAAATTTGCGCTGAAGTTCAGGTCGATTATAATAACATCAAGCTTTTAAACACTGCAAGTTAATATGGCCGCTTTGGATAAATTCCCTTACTCTTAAATTCTAACACTTGAATCTCGGCGATCAAATAATTTGTTCTGAGGTTTGAGTTGTGATCAACTGTTATCTATTTCTGCTCGACTGACTGGTCTCTCAGTCAAATGGTTTTGTGGAGAATTTTCCAATCATTTTTTCAAGCGGCGACTTTGCTCTCCCCTGGCTGCTCTCGGCCTCTCCATCTTCGCCGATCTGAATCAGTTGCAGATAATCCTTTGTGGTTCTCTGCGCTTGATACTATTTTCATAAGTTATGTTGTCGATCTGTTAATGAATGATGCTGATGATAGCTATGATAGTTACAACTCAGGGACCGCGCAGCAAGTTTTTGAGTGGAGGGAGGGGGGGGGGCTATTTTTGGCTCCGTTATTTTTGTCAAATTATTTTTTGTTTAATTTATTTTTACTTTTGCAAAAACGTAGGGGGGGGGCTAGAGCCCCTCCCTCTGGGCGGTTCCTGCAACTGGCATTTGACTAAATAAATAACATTTTAAAACAAGCAGGCAAAACCTCCAAGTATTTAAACTCAACCTACTTTCTTCCCAGATCGTACAAGCTCTATGATGCGTTCAACGTTCTCTTTAATTTTTTGACCCTGATCCTGCGCGTTCAATCCAAAAGACTGCTCTTTTTTGCCTTCAGTCCGTTCTGGAGAAAAGTCACTGAGTTTTTCTTTATCGCTTGATCGTTGTGATTGTTTGCTCGGGTCAGAAAGATTCAAAGATTCTTTCACAGCTCGCACTCTCTCCATGACAGCCTTGCAATGCAACTGAACAGTTTCAAAAAATTCTGCTCTGCTCTCATGATGCAATTCCATAAGATTGTCTGGAATACTCGGACGGTTTGAAGTACCTGCCTCCTCTGGTTCTTTTGCAGCCGATGATGTCTCGCTGACATTACAATCAATGTTATCAAACTGTGCAAAGAAAGAAATCAGAAACAGAGAGGAAAGTTGGGTTAAATCTCTAATTTCATGCCTGAAGTCTAGATTTTGTTGGATAAAAAGGCGAATTAAGTGCATTCTTATGAACGACAGTGAGGTAACTCCGATCGATAGGAGAGGGTTTCGTTTTCGTTTCGGTACTGATGTTCAGAGATGGGATTTTTTAAGGATTACATTTTTTATGAAAATCCTGAACGATAAATAGAACAAGAAGCCCCTAATTCATCCTACTTACCTCCATGGTTTCAAGTTGACGCCACGAGGAAATGTATTTCTGTTGTTACTGTTCAGTCTCAAACGAATCAACTCTCCTCCGTCTTGACCGTAACCGCCTTAGTTTCGTAACAATCCAAAACGAATAAAATTCTTCAGCGCGCGCAACACCGTTATATCTGTTTTCAGTGGCAGAAATGCCTTTTTAACAGGTCAATCTATAGTCAGTCTAAACATATGAGATGTAAGTTACGCCCTCCATTATCTTAAGGCTAAATTATTACCTTCAAGTTAATTAAATTACTTCTGTTTAACTTACCATCAGGGCCTCACTCGCGATGATCTAAACAGTTTCTTCTGAAGGAATTTCTATAAACAGCCACTCACCCGGCTTAAAATAACTGTTTTTTACTAACTTTCAAAGCGGATCGAAAATGATGTTCCGGGAAATTAATTCTCGCGTTTCTTTATTTTAAGTATTGCTTTTAATTGTGTTTGGTTTATGGTCGACTCCTGCAGGTGGCCAGACCCCAAAGCCTGTTTCGCGGTCTGCGGTATTACGCTTCTCCTAGTGGCCTGGTAACAGCATGTTTTGTATTATAAATATCTGAAGTTTAATAGTTTCCACTTCTCTGCCGTCACGTTCCTGGAAGTTTTCTCTCACCCCAATAGGTAACAGAGGTACCAAGATTAAAAAGGGAGCAAGTTCCCGTTCACACAGTTCTCCTCCGTCCTCCTCACTTTTGAGGAACAACACGATTTCGTTGTTTTCTTGATCGTGAGATTTAGTCTAACAATTAAAGCTTAATATAATTTATCCACAATTAGACGTTAAGTTAACTCCAATTATTTAAGTCGATAACACAGGATTTTTATAAAAGTGTTATCATAGATTAGTAAAAGTACCTACAGCCTGCGCATAAAGGAAATTAATATAAATTTCTGCAGTTACGTATTCGAGTCGATAGATTGTCGTTGCACCCGTTGTATGATATGGATTTCGAAGTAAAGCATTTTTATTGCTGGCATTTGGTTTTGCCTGTTATTAGGTGCAGCAAAATTAGAGTTTCAACTCCAAACAGGAGAATTCTCGATTTCTTGCCGTGTCACCATGGGCGGAGTCCTAACTTAGCTGCTCGTAGGGCCGAGAGGATGATGCTTTATGCAGTGGATAGATCCCCTCCAGGTGGATAGTAAGAGTATTTTCATGTGCGCATTTGTCTTCTGTAAATTGTGATTCATCCTCTAGAACCGATGATTATCGTGTAACACCCTTAGGACAACTGCGACAATTTTGATAGTCCTAAGAAGAGACAAACCAAACAGCCTCTTACATGAATAAAGGGGTAAGTTTCTAAAGAAACTGTAGTGCTGCGTCGGTGTCAGCTTTTTTACCCTTTACGGTGGCTAATTTACGTTTTCAACTCAGTTGTTAACACTAAAGTAGCCTCTTACATGAGTTTATTTGTCTTTACTGAAGTAATACACATATTCAATTGAATTCAAATTCTGTGATCGAGAAATATTAAGTTAAAAAAATTCCCAGACACTGGTTACCAGCCATTTATAATACATTGAAATAGAAAGAATTCATTGCCTAAATAAACCGTTCAATTAAAATTATTGAAACAAAAAATTTTTCAGAAATTTTTACAGCTTTGGGACTTCATTATTATTTTAAAGGTTGCTGGCTTCTTTGTTCTGTTTCTCTGCTTCACTGCCTTCGTTTGACGGATTGCCAACTTCTTTATTCCCACCTAGGAAGAACGGACAAGTGAAACAGGTCATCTTGGTAAATCAGGAGAAATGTTTCGAAATTTAACGGGTGGATCGATGTCGGAAACTAGAATTACTTTACACAAAAAAAATACATGGAATTTATCGTATTCATGATGTATGCTAAAAAAAGGATTTGATATTCAAAGGATGACTGCCATCAAAGGAATTACTGAGAAAAGGCCTCAAAAGGAAAAGAAAAATAACTTTTAAACAGGGCTTGGAGCCGTACCTTCATATATCGGCTCTGCTGGTAGTTGAGTTTACAATTCACATATTGAAAGCGAGGCAAATATTAGTGGATTCTTTGTTTCCCGTCATTGAAGGAACTACACAATATGTCACAAATAACGTTTAAAATAAATCATATCTGAGAACATTCATTCTCATTGAACTCTTCTCTTAGAGCTACGTTGAAAGAAGAACATGGTTCCCAAGAAGTTCAACTGGCGAAACCTTCTTTCGCGACTAATTTTTCTGCTTTCAAAGTGCACGTCAAAATTCGCGAGTATCAAAAGTTACGAACCTTTTTTCTCGGAAGCGCTCGGCTTCTTTGCTTCAGCATTAGCTTCATCGATCCTTTTATGTTCTGCCTTGACATAATTTAATAGCTCATCCTGAAAGGAATCAAGAAAATATATCTTCAACGAATCTTCAAATGTTACATGAAGTTGAAAATCGCTTCACATGCCAATGAACAAAGAAATACAATTTTTGGCGGGTTGTTGCCCTATACATTTGTCAATTGCAAGGTTCTGATACCAATGAATCAGTTAAGTTGTTGGGGTGACTTGCGTAGCAGGCGTTCCTGTGTGTGCCTGAAAGAGTTGAGCTGCGAAGCCAAGAGCGGTTTGGAACGGAAACACTCGTTTTAAATTTCAAAAAAGAGAAACAGGTCACTTCGTAGCAACACCAACATGCCTAGTAAAATTGCGTGCCTGATCATTGTCAGAAGTGCAGTTACCTTCCATCCCAGTAACTCAGCCAAAGCAACACAACCATCATCTGTGGTACCTTGCCACATGACATCCCTGAAAGGAAAATTGCAGTAATCACGCGAATGGTATATTCCATATTATTCAATTCTGTCTATCAAAAGAGAGCGACTCCTTATTTGTGCATCAAACGCAAAAAAGGCTGTAAGGGGTCTTTGGCGTGGAAAATGTTGTCATAGCAGGCAAGAGAATATGATATTCTCTTGTGGCAGGTTAACTGGTGGGAAAATACGGCCGCCAGAAAATTTCACCGAATGCGCCTGGATAAGCAATATTTTCCTAAACGTCTTGTTGATTGTGAAACAAGAAATATCCTTCTTGCTCTTACCGATAATTGTCGTCACTATCAAACTGGAAACCACTGGCTGGCCCGCCCATTAACAGGCTGAAGAAGTCAGGCTGGAATAGCAAAGGTACAGTGAGCTTTTAAACTGAACGTGTGAGGGTTAGTTTGCGCTAAAAAAGGATCTAAATAGCTCACACCTGGTTTCCACATTTCTCTTTATTTATTAACAATCTCGGAGTTGTTGCAGGAACTCTGCAGAACACAAAAAAATTTTGAGGTTACAGAGTATTATCTGACAGTGTCCCTTCACGATCATTCCGTACAATTACTTGCAATGCTAACCTTAATAAATAACTCAATGGGTTGCTTTTTTTATCCGCTCCGCACCTCTCCCCTTCTTTTCTTGGCTATGATAAATGCCATATATATTTTCATTTTTTTTTTTTTTTTTACGGGGGGGGGGAAGGGGGGCGTGATGCTGAGAAGAAGTATTACCTTACAAAGTTTACAGGTTTACAAGAACACATCGAATACGTTACCTAATACACTACTTAATTAATAATTAAAGTTTACCCACAATTCATGCTCTTGCATTACTTTAACCCCAGACACTTCTAACTGATTCTTACCTGTCTACTAGGGAACAAAATGGCTGCACAACCAGTGAAGTCCCCATCACTATTAACAGGTCACATTTTGGCATATCCTGGCAAAAAAGGCTTTAGAATGTTTACGAGTGTTTTGAAAAAAAAATGTCTTGTGAATATAACAAGAGTGTTCATACATGTGTCTTGCAAAATCAAGGCAACATTCTGGCTTCAATTTAAGCCTTTTATACTTCCCACTGTTCTTGTCATATCTTAAATTAATTAGTCGACTGCCAAAACTTAAATGATTTCGAAATAGTCTTAATTCATTCAGTGAAAAATTTGTATAAATTCATTTATTTCAGACAAAATTTATCCTGTCTGTCATAAAAAACAATACATTAATATGCAGCTGACCCAAAAAGCCTCCTAAGAATTGCAAAAAGTATTTCAAATCAGTGATCACTGAGATTTTGTTTTTCATACAAGTTAATTCTCCTATCTCATGTTATACACACAGTAAAGGGGTAAGTTTGTAAAGAAACTGTGGTGCTGAGTCGCTGGGAGAGTATAACATGATATATATTAGTATTATCAATTGAGTTGATCACGTAAATTGGCCACAATAAAGAGTTACAAAGCTGACGTTTCGAGCATTAGCCCTTCATCAGAGTGAATGACAAAGGGCTACATTAGAAAACTCAGCTTTTTAACTCTTTACGGTGGCCAATTTACATGATCAACTCAATTGATAACACTAAATTATCATGTACACATGTAGATAACTACAAACATTGAAAAACTTGTTATTAATTACCTGAGGAACACATCTGTGAAACACAGGTGGTAAGGATTCACCAAAAAACACTATGTCTTAAACAGAAAGAGAAGCAGAATTATTGTAATGTCCTGACCACAACAACCTCTAATTCCAAATTATTTCAAAAACTCACCATCATTTTTACTCTATTTACTGTCAATATGTTTCTAACAAACAACCTATCTCTTTTATTGATCTTTCATTACATTGGACTTTCATTATGTTTAACACAGAGGCAGCAGAGTAAATTAAAATGGGCAAGGCTTAATGGAAAACAACCCAAATGTGTACTGTTACTGATACTTTCTAAAATGACCCCTGCTTTGGTTGGCATTAGCAAACCTCTCTGCCAGTCACCACATGATTTAATTTTTGATTTGGCAAGGTGGGTTTGTTCAAATGATCATTTCCCAAATACTTAGCCTTCTTATGTACTTTGTGAGAAGATCATGTGACTAATGTTTCACTGAAAAAAAAATATGCTAACATTACTAATACTTAAAAAAAAAAAAGAAAGAAAAAAAATGGACTTTTCTTTGTTGCAGCAAGCATATATCACAGCTGAAGAAATCTACCTTTAAGATTAATTTATTATAAACAGCTCTATTTTCTTCAAACCTGGTTTTACAACTCCTTTGCAATCAGGGCAAGTAGGTATTTTGTCTGCAAATACTTCATCTGAAAAAAAAAACACACACACACATAAAAGGAGGTATTAAGCTGTGAAGGGACACCATGCCTAAAAAAGTAGTCAGCCTTTTCTAAGTCTGAGAGGAATTAACTGAAAGAGACCCTACTCGAGTTGTTGTAAGTAAAAGTAACAATATTCAACTGAATAAATATTCTGTTTAAAAATTTGTGATATGCATCCTTCCATGTACTTTTTCAGATCCAGTAAATACAGAGGAATTTTTAAGATGCAAAACAAACAAGGCGTGTGTAATATATTTCACATATAGAAGTAGATTTCACACGTAGAAGTCAAAAAAGAGAGAGAGAGAAGAACACATGTTTAAGAAAGTGTTAAAAATGATTATGTCTCTTACTTGGTCTTTACAGATCTCATTTTACAGTTTGCTTTTTTATGGCTTTTTAGTTCAGCTTTAAAGTAGGAGAAACATGTAGAGCCAGTGGTTAAATATAAATTGATGTCTTTTTATAACCAAATTATCAATAAATAATTTTATTGCATGATCAGACCCATGTACCTCTGACCCATTCATGAGAATATTCTTTTACACAATCCAAACAGTGCGCTGTGTGAAAAGATCCATGTGCTTCGACAAGTTTCTCTTGTGGGATGCCTGCCACTCGTTCTAGAGTATCAATATTCTGTTAAGGAAATTAATCAGGAGAAAACATTTCTCTACGAAAATTAATGCAAGATTTTCTTTTGAAGTGTCACCTCATTCACAATGTGGCACCTCATACTAAATCAGAGTAGCAATGTGTCACAGATATTGCAAGCTAAGTTTATCTTAGAATCCTTAATTTTTGTTAAAGCATCTTTTCCATTGTTTTGCATTAACTGAGAATATTTCAATAATGCTGACATAAACTGAAAGCTTCTTGCTGTTAAACAAGTAGTAAGATGTATGCCTGTGACTGAAAGTTTTGCCACTTCTACTGGACGAGAAGTTTTTCAAACTACCGGTAGGTAAAGTGGACCTCCAACTAATTTGAACAATATTCCTGTCAACCCTTTCACTGCAGCTTAGTGAAGACAGGAACAGTGAGAATATTTAGTTGTAACATCTGGGAATTGTCTCGTCCAAGTACACAGTAAATACCAGCATGAGTTTGACCTACTGTAGACATGTTGGTCTGCATGGTCATTAAATGTTAATATACAGAATGACAAATGCAATTCTTACTTGAGTGTAATTACGTAGCAGCAACTCCTTGTCACTTAATAACTTGATAAAATAGTGTGAAATTGTTGGCTAAGAAGAAATAATCAAGAATATATTTAAATTTAAACATTTGGTTTTCGATCATCACCACTATTGACATTTTTCTCTTACTCTGCTAATCATGTGATTTAAATATTAGCAATAAACCAAAAAAAAATAGCCGTAGACTTATTCAATAGTAACTGAGTAAAATACATTTTGAAACTGTACTGATGTCATCTGCTTACTTTAAATGATCCAGGGTACAGCTCTTTAGCCAGCATAAAGAATGGCTCTGGATTTGACTGTTGATTGAATGGAACCATGCACTTGAAAATGATACATAACTGTTACTGCACAATAACTGCAAATCCTTAAACACCTACGGGTGATAAACATGTCATTTCTCCTTGCAATTCAAGTACAATATCTGGCTGACATGTTATAGGAACTGAGAGGTTGATCATCTGGAAGGTGATATCTTGATGTAAGACCAAATTCTCCAATCTAGCTCCCAAGGAATGTAAAGTCAGAAGGGAGAATTACTGATTGGATCTTGGGAGTGAAAGGGTTAATGGCTATATCATGGTCAGCACATAGCAAGGGGGCTAACACTCTTTCTTGCTCAGTAATTGTCAGTCTGAAAAATCAGTAGCTAAAGAATATCATCAAATTTTTACATTTTTAATGGACACCTGTGTGCCTTTATCCAGACTTGCATAACTTACCCGGAAGAAGTTTATTTCAAATACTGCCTGGGGGTGGGGTAGGTCATATTTTTGCAGGTTGTCATAGAGACCAGTACCAGGAGATCTAAAGTCTGGAATCCCGGCAGCAGTTGAGATGCCTGCACCAGTCATTACAATTATATTTTTACCTGCAAAAGAAAAGTATTCCTGTTTAACCTTTTACAACCTAACATCAGTATGCACATTCTCCATACTGTTCTCTATAAATTTCCTAATGTGCTGGCATGGAGAATTTGTTTAACAATCAAGAGTTTCTTCAGTTGATTATCATTTCCTTTATTCTCATAACCTTAGTGTTTGATTCAGAGGCGACATTGAAAGGAGAAATTAGATGCTAATCACTCAGGGATTAAATGGTTAAGGTAATATCATACATCCCAGGGCAAAATCTGTGGTACTTAAAAATACTGTGCCATAATCTGTTTAGTAACAGCTGAGAGATGAGAGACTATCAAATCAAAGTTTTAGAAGTCAAATCATGCATATAGCAAAAAATAATCCTTGTCAGAAGGTTCTCCAGTTATTTCTTTTCAAGTAACTTCAGAATAACTGACCATGCCCATAGCAATTTACAGATTTTATGAAAAAAAAATAGGAGAACTGACAAAGAACTTGGCAGACCAAAAACCATGCCAGGGGTGTTGATTTAAAAGCAAAATGTAAGCTTGAAAGTACTGTGATCTACTTGGTCTACAATATATTCGAATGCAAGTTTTTTTGTACTTACATTTCCCTTTCTTGATATAATTTGCAACTCCTTCAAACGTGACTTCCTCTAATAATTGTTCTGGTTTTTCTTTTTCCACTCCCTCACTGGCAGTTGGTGGTTTTAACTGGGCCAGTAACCGTTGAAGAAAATCTAAGGATTTTATTAGCAAGCAAACAGCAATACTTGAATCATTTCTTTATGTTAAGTGACAATTGCTGATCATGGGAGCTGGTAGAAAGTTTATTTTTGAAACCAGAAAAAATTATAGCATAATCAGATTGAACTGACTATTGGTACAGATGTTAGAGTTGGTCTCATCTCGGCTCAATGGAATGTTCCACCAGTTTCAGTTTTGATCACAAGGCACCTATCTATCAAACTGAAAGTTTCCAAACCCAAAGGTATAACTACAGTTATCTTTTTATCCATGGCTGCTAGTCTGATTGGCCACAGACAGTCTGATAGTACATGCAGCCAAGTACAGCTAAGGGACATGGTTGACCATAAGGTGATACAAGACAAACATTCTTTACTGAATGTGGCACAGTATTGAGGGGGAGAGATAAGGAAATGGGGTGTGTAACATCCGATCATTATGGTAAATTTTTTTCTGTTTTCAACACATGTCTAGTTCAGTGAGGGGCATAATGAAGCAAATCCTTTGTCTGTTTTGATTGGTTACCTTATGGTAGGCCTATTTTGCCTAATTTTTTTCCCAACATAGTTCCTGCCAAAATGGGCATGATGTTGGTGTACATTAAACTCCTAGGTTATCACATAATGATCAGTATTCAACAAAAAATTTTACAAGTGACTTTGTTAAACATTTAGCTTTGTGTCCTATGTTGAATCAGTCAAATACATAATGTTTACAGATTTATGTAGGTGGTATGTGTGATTGCTGATATGCTAATTACAGTAAATGTGTACATTACTGAGTGCTTGTGTGAAGGTGCTAATTGCATCAGTTGTGCAACAGTTTTATATATTAGTTACCTAAATGTAAAATACTCACTCAAATCACTCTCATCTTCCTGCTTGTCTTCTTCTTTCCCTCCAGTAGCTCCACTGCCATCATCATCTGGCTTCTCAGTTGGAGGAGGAGTATCTGAAGACATTAACTTACAAATTAAAAATCTCTATCTAAGAATGCAATTTGCAAGTGAAATAATCATAACAAAATATAATTTATCGTCAACTTCTCAAATTGAGCGTGATGACCTACACTAGACACTACTAGACCACCCACACTAGACACTTAGCCGACATAATTGGAAAGGTACTTTGTTGGCTATCTGGTGGACTTATGAAAGAGAACCATACAAACAAATTACTTAACAACCACTAATTTTAAAATAAACTCAGGTAATATTCGAAATACGATGCGTAACACAACAGCATCGACGCTACCAAACCATGAGGCTCACTGCAAGAAGTATATAATTTATCCGGGAAATAATTTCAGCGAAAAAGACATTTTTTCATCCATTTCATCCTCCAGAAGAACCCAAGCTTCAAAAACTACCTGACATAATTCATCATGCGGGGATCGGAGAGAGATACGAATCGAACAGGGCTTCCTCGCAACGATAGCGTATTTTAAAACACTTGATACGCTTAAAAGCGCTCACCTTCGTTCGCAGACATATGGGACTTTATATATTAAGAGTTCACTATAATTTGACGACCACTAAAATCAAGATCGCTAAAAATTCCAATATACTTCCTTGAGCTTTTTTGTTATGAATATTTGGTCAAATACTGTCAAATACAACAAGGCGTTGAAAAGCCCCTAGCTTTTACAGACCGCCTAAAGGCCTGGAGCCTTAGGTTCCATATATGGAAACATTGCAAGATTTGGAAAAATGGCGGACTGAGATCAGAGGGAAGTTAGCATTCTAGAGAAAGGAAACAAAAAATCTTTCCCCTAGAGTTACAGATCTGTGTGATTTTTAAGGCAAAGGTAAGACTGCTATTTTGAGAGTAGAAAAGATTGCGTGATGGCGTATGATTATATACTTCAACAGCTGACTTAGTTGTCTCTACAGCTTGCCATAGCAACGCACGATCGAATCGAAGCAGGACTCAGCTGAGCTGTCGATCGTTTGTGATTTTCATGCTACATTTGATTTATCAATTTTTTTAGTTTTTGATGAAATTTTTGCTTTGCTCTAACATTTTGTTGCAAGTATAATTTGAAGTCCTCGAGAGTCGAATCATTAATCGATCTTCTCTGAATTATGTTCAGCGATTTCAACTTGATTTTGAGAACCCAAAGTGACGGAGTTGTTTTGGTAATTTGGCTTTTCTTCTGCAGGTGTAACACGATGGAAGTATCCAGTTCAGCTGACAAGTCACGTTCACTTGACACCAATTTTATGTCACGACTGAGTTCCAGCCAGAAAATGTAAGTGAAGTGCGTGAGAGCGTTCAAGTCTAGTGGCTTATTACTGGTGGAACTTACCTTGGTCCAAGAGCTACTATTCAAACTCTAAGCTTGTCCAGAATGTTATGTGTCTCCTTGATTTACTGCACATAATCATACTTTGGTCAGCTCTGTATTTCTTCTTTTCTCAGGAGCAAAATGGAAGCAAACAGACTAGAAATTCAGTGGAAAAAAGTCTGTGATCATGAAAAGAGGAGCAAGGAAAGAAATAGAGAACTGTTGAAAGATTTTGAAAGGGTGGAACAACATGCTGCTATGCTGGCTGTAAAAACAGAGAGGCTTAAAGCTTATAAGGTGACACTTAAGTACTGTGTTGTTATGTTATAATTATTTTAAAAATTTCAGATGAAGGGGATGTTAAGAGTGATAACAACCTCACATTGACCATGATCCCTTGAGCCTACATATAAGTGATTCCATTCTATAAAAAATAGTCCTTTCTAATACAAATAATTACACTTTCCTTTTGTGACAATTGTAGAGCTTGAAAGTAACTTTTTTAATAACTTCTACATTTTTAGGAGCAATATGAAAACTACATCAATAAGATGTATCCAAGATGGAAAGAGGAACTGGAGAATTACAGACTAAGTCAACACCAAAACAAAAATGAACCAGCAAGAAACGTAAGTTACTCTTAAGTTAAATACTCAACTATCTAGGTCCTGAGTTAACATGAAATGTTAATGAACAATTATTTTTTTGTAGGGACCTAGCACAGAATTTTTGACCTCATCCTTAAGAGAATCTAGACTTGAGCCACAATTTTCTGCAAGCACTCCATTACCTGGAAGCATTCTGAGTAACCAGCACAATTCAGTACCGACAGCTTACAACAGATCACCTCCCACAACAAATTATCCAGCTGATCGTCGCCATCCTCATGATCATTTTGCTTATCATGGGCCTTCTCACCCAAATGGTGGTAATCTGCCACCAACTGGATATTATCCCTCTGACAGTAGATGGGAAAGTCCTGGATATTATGACTCACAAAGACCTTTGGATAATAGAGTACATCAAGGTCAGATGCCAGAAAGCAACAGAGGCCCTACAAATGTACAGTACAGGTCACCAGATCACTATTTTGGATCACCAGGTGATCAGTTTTATGACAGACGACCACACCCAGGAGAGACCAGCATTCCCAGAAATGGTCCTCCTACATCAAGTTTTATGTACTCAGATATTTCACATCCCAGATCCCAGGAAGCAACATCTTATGAACCAAGAACAGAGCTGCAAAGGACACACCTGGGGTACAGAAACCATCCAGGACTTTATGAACAGAATGGATACCATGAGTATTATGATCAAGGTGGAATGGGACAGGGTTACGGAGGTTCTGCAGATCACAGGATGGCTGAATTTAAACCAGCTGTTGTGAATAGAAAGGTTTTCAATAAGGAAGATGACTCACTTGTTGATAAGGTAAGGTTTATTCAGTTCTGAAATTTTCCTCTCTGTGCTTGTATACGCAAATGCACCTGAATGTAAACCTGGTACCTTTGTACAAAAATGGTGGCAACAACAGAAGGCATTTTGGTGAGGGTTAAAAAACCAAAACCAAAGTACATTGTGATGACAAAGGCCAATTGGAACCAAGGTAAATGTATCACAAGGAGACCATGAGAATCCAAGATAAAAACCAGAAAACTGCCCAAATTGTGGAAAACTCAGTTAATTAAGTCAATATTGGTTTTAGTTTTCCATCTGATTGGTTGCAAGACCAATAAAATAACAGCAAAGTGAAGGAAAGGCAATTCAGTCCCAAATTTGAGTCTATGCTTGAAGTTTAGAATCTCTTCACTGAAACATTAATTTCATTTAGTAATTATTAACTATGGTTGTTTTGGATTGAAATATTTTCTATAACTTTTTCAGGATTTCGTTGGTGGTTTACCCAAAAGAACAGTCATGGAAAATAGTCTGGAGTCTGCTCGAGATACCAAACACCTCCCCCCAGAGGATGCCACCATTAGTCAATCATTTGTTACTCCTGAAAAACCTTTGGAGAGGAGCAATCCTATGTCGAGTTTGAAAAATCCTCCACTGTCATCACCAGCCAGTGGTACCTCTGTAGTAAATACTAATCAAGAACATCACTTAGAGACTAGAGAGGATGATTCTGCCATTTCACCGACCTCGTCCCAAGCTACTCCAAATGTTTTAACAGATAAGCCAGAGAAGGAATCTGTGTTGAAAAATGAAAGTTTGCCGGCAGAGGGATCAGCTGATTTCAAGACAGCTTCGAAGCCCGAGGTTGAACCAGTAAAGACAGTGGAGATGTCAAACGGAAGGCCGCAAGAAGAGATGGAAGTCAAGTCAGTTGATGCAAAGATTGAGGAAAGAATTGCTGAAGCGCCTGGCACGCCTCAAGAGTTACATAAAGATAGAGAGCAAAGCGATGACGAGGAAAGCTTGGATTTAAGTGATCTTAGCCTTCCAGATGGAGGTGATGCGGGTGGAATATCTTACGTTCCTTCTCAGATAGAGCACAAAAATGTCGATGAACCCCAAAAAGATGCTACCTTGAGCGGGGATTTAGAATTTTCTGCGAGTCCAAGTAAACCTGCTGTTGTACAGGACAATAGTAAGAGCTTTACTGAAGACATCAGTGAGCATATCCCAGAGTCCGTGCCGTCGGACAACGACAGTGATGCTGATATTCCTTTGCATGACAAAGTCAAGGAGAAACCTCCAAGCAGTGTTGAAAAAGTCACCGAAAAATCTGAGCGGTTACATGTTAGTGACAATGCAGAAGATGGAGAGGATGCGGGTAGAGACGAAGTTGTAGGTGATGTTAAAACTGAGGTACAGGCTGAGATGACACACGTGGAGATAAAGCCATCAGTGAGTTTAGATGGATTCTTGTGTCTTTTGCAAGCTGTTGATGCTGACGTTGAGGTGTCATTTAGCCCTGAAACTCTGTATCATTCACCTAGCTGCAGCACCGACATGCGAGAAGAGATAATAAGGTGAGCGTTTTAAAACATGTTTTAACTTAACATTTAAACCTTCAAGCGGTAGACTTTTGGCCAGTACTAACTTCTTTTCTGGGACGAGTCACCTTAAACAGAACAACCAAAAACTAATACATTCATAAAACCATGTTGTCAGACTTATTAAGTTCTCATTCCCCATGGAGCATATCAGGTGAATGCTGGTGGCCATCAAAAACATGCGTGTAAGGCTGAAAGTTAAAAACTTTGTTTTCTTAACGTTGCTTTCTATGAACCAGAGTCTTTTGTTGGGAGAAAAGAACCTTGTTTCTCTCGAGACGAGACAAGATGATTTCAAAGGATTGACTGTATCTTTGTAGCGGCACAGTACAGGAATCGAGGAAGATCGGCATAAAAAGTACTGGTAGCGGTGATATGAAATGGCGAGGGACGGAAAACTGTTCGGTGCAATAATGTAGAAGGAAAACTATGTATGCATGCATGTTACTGCTTTTGTAAAATTCCGTCTTGCAAATTTCTCTCCTAATTGAATGTTTAACAGTTGATTCATATACTTTATGTTTAATTTTTTTGGAAAGAGCTGTTGAGGTTGGCAGTAGTCTCCAGACTTTTGACCCGAACACGGTCAGCATGATTGTTCTTGAAGAGTTACCACTTTTGGTGTCCAGTTCCCCTGCTGGTTGCCTTATTCCGGACCGAGTGTTTTCCCAAGGATTCTCCTGTGCAACAGAGAAAGAGCTAAGGTAAGCTACTTTTGTTTGTGAAGTGCACAGTGTAACTGTAAATTGAGGTTATCATGGTTCTGTCGGTACAGTTAGCGCTGGGATTACTTCATTTTATTCCCGCCAAAATTGGCAACTGTCATTCCATTCCCGCCAACTGTGTTGCAGCCGCGTCTCGTTTCCCGCCAAAGCGCGGTGAAGACGATAGCGAAGACTTCAGTTTACTTTTTCACTCGCAAGGATCACATCTTTCTCGTAACCAGTTAATGAATTTCTTTCTTCTCAGGCAAGAGAGGATAAAGTCAGCTCCCTTTGTCCTCTCTTGTTCTCAGGACGTGAATTTCGTCCGGTTAAAAGCAGTTTTGTCCTTACTTTTTTCACAAGCGAAATTGACGAAAATTTTCAGCCATTGACACGCCGTAGAAAGTGTTAGATATTACGATGGCTTTCAACCATTCTTTTAAAGGATCGCCGGCTTTGTCATGGACTGAGGTACATACATGAAGCTTTCTGATAAGTACTTATTTAGATGCAGTGAAAGCTTATCTTTGCACAAGTATTTAATTAAGCTTAAAACTTGTTTTTTTCTTCCATCTTCAGTTGTCGCATACACTCGGTTGGTTTTAATTTAGAGCTCTTTTTTACCATCGTTTCATTTCAGGCCCTTGGTGGAAGCTTCACTGATAAAATTGTGGAAGGAGCTATTTACTCATCTTGTAAATGTGGTGAAAAACAATGTGATGAATCCAGAGGAAGTAGGAGATACATTCGGATCGCTTCTGATCTCTCAGTCTTCAAAGTACTGGAGAGAGGTAGGCCTTTACTTTGTGTTTCTGCTACAAAAGTTGAAGGTTAATTTAAAGTGGTTGAATGGGAGAGCAGTTTAAGTTATTGCCAGTGTGATCTATAAGGACGTTTTATCGGATTTGGTTATTTTTACGATAAGATGAAGGCTAAAAACTGCGGATTATTCATTGTGCAAAGTTCATGGTTGTTACTTTTACATGGAATTGTGACCCTATCACAATTGAGAGCTGTGCTCGTAAAGGAAAAGGTACACATGGACAATTTATTTGCAAGCAACATTAAAGATCAATGAACCGTCTCCTTTTCACGACTTTTGCGTCCAAAATTAAGAATTATCGCCGTGTAGTCGGGCATAACTCATGTTTGCATTAAACTTGAGTGTAATGTGATGTTTGTTTGTTTTTTTTTTTGTTTTTTTTTTTAATGCCCATCGCGGAGTGCAGTTCGGTATAATTTTGAAGGTACTCGAAAACCCATTCGCTAGCCCTGACCCATTCCCTCGTGGTGTACAAGTATGTGCACAGCCACAATCTCGTTGGAAGATGATTGATAGGTCGACTGAGGAAAGTCAATATAAGGTAAAATCTGCAGGCTATTCCTTCCCAATGAAATTTGTACTCAGTACTGGAAAAATTTTTTGCTCTTAGTGAGCTTTGGTATACGCAAGCAAAAAGATTTATCTGTTGAATTTATTCCCTGAGGTCCAGAAATCAGTTTTGAAGTAATAGCCGTGTCATTAAACCTTTCCAAACGTTATGGACGCATGCGTGCCCATAAATTGTGTTCTGGACCATAAAGCACGGTCAAATTAAGATGTGTTTTGCAAAGAAACCACGCCTTACTAACTATTTAATAGATCGGCAGGCTGCCTTTCGAAGTGTATACAGCTGTGAAAATTTGTTATACTCACTGCGAGATAACTGCATGTTTTGGTTTTCTGAAATATTCACCGTAAGAAGAAACGTGAAACAATGTACCGTTGTTTTTATGACGAGAGGAACACTCCGTGCGTCACATAACACACCCTTGGAACTATTAATGGAGTTGAGTGATGTGTTCAAATTTAGTCTTCGTGAACTTAGCATCGGAAATAGAGGATTAAGTAGAACGAAAGATACGACTAAGGTAATCAATACCTTCAAAGCTTCACCCTAATGGTTTTTAGCGATTATGCATCCTTCTTTGTTGAGACTTCTTGTTTCCTGTCTTAAAACTACCGATTTCTTCTGCCACACGGCCACATGAAGTAATTACAAATTGTAGTACAGTAGGTGATTAAATGTACGTCTTCTTCTGCGAAAAGCAGATGTTGCGTATCTATTTGTGTTATAAAGGATGAATGAATGTTGAAAGAAAAGGCAGAGCCCCTAAATGATTGTGTGATAAATAAGTGCAATACAAATACAGATGTGCGCTCAGTCACTTGTATAGATATGGTTTTCTGTTTTAAAAAACAGAGTAGCATCTGTTCGTGAGTATTCTAACTTCCCACCTGTTTTACGTCTGAAATTCATCAATAGATCATAGATCAGAATAAGCATTGCTGGTACCGAAAGGAGCTCATTTCTAATACTTTTCAGCAAAGGAAAAAAATTATTTTGAGATGTATTCTGTTTTCGGATTTCAACGCAGGATGTAATCTGTGCGTGTAACTTAAGTCATCCCTTCCCTAAACCGGTGTTTGGATTAATGGATGCGCCAAAGAAGAAAGTCAGCTTCGTTGGTCTTGAAGCTCTCAACAGAATACATCTTTTGGGGACTTGGTTTGGGACTTGTTAGAACAAGGACTCATCAGAATGACAATCGCAGAGTATTAATAATGGTTTAGTTTCAAAAGGATTTCACCTCAGATATTTAATGGGCTCTGTATTTGACTACTACAATTGGATTAAGAGTGAAAATTCTTGACCGCAAGTGGGTTTATCTTTGCTAACTTCCGTAAATTGATGACATCGGCACTTACAAATCTTGAAATAAACACCTGCGCTTTTGATCATGAACACTTTTGATCTGATGTCATTCACTTTCGCGAGAAAAACTATCCGATAGGTTTTATATCGGTTCCAAAGTAGTTTTATCGCATCTTTTTGTTTCGACAAAACAATTTACACAAATGAGGCACTAACATTCTTCACACACATTTAGAAATTGTCTTGAGGCTAGATGTAGTCGATATCTTTTCAACGGAAAGTGGTTGAAAATTTTTTTGGGTCCCTCGAGAAACCACATTGTCACCAGGGATGATTGCGATAAGTTCTGTTTTTTAACTACACTCGTGAAAATTGTTTTTACTTCTTATTAGCTGACGCTTCACCTCTCTTTGAGGTTGGTACCTACATGTTTTTCCATTTCGTTTTATCGTAACTATAACGTATTTTATCGTATCTCAAATAAACATTAATTTAACCATCAGTTTGGAGTTCTCAAGTGTTTTGAAAAAGAGTAAAATGAGAGTCTGGAAACACATGTTGTTTTTCGGAAAACCACTATCAATCAGTCCCCACGTCACGCGTAGCTAAATATGTTCCTAAAATCCGGTTGACTACATTGTACTTTATTAGCCAGAGGTAAGGTCAAGATGGATGGGCGAACCATCTTGTGAAAACAAGCCTAAAAGACAATGAAGGATTTACTTAATAGCCAAATATACCGCCACCAGGGAGTTTCATTTTTGATGCAAAAAAATTTGATAAAACTGTTCTTGTTTCTTTATTTTGATTGTCTTCAAAACGTGCGGTCGCTGTTTTTGGTCCCCAAATGCTGTAAAAGAAAAGGTGCTCAGTTTACCAAGCCGGCATAATGCATTCGCTTCACTGTCCCGAATCAGAGCAGGCATAGGCCTAATTTTCCCACTTATGGAGCCAGTCGTGGAAAAGGTTGCACCAACACTGAATGGTTTTATCCATGAGAGAGTGGCGTGTGGGAGGCTTCATTGGCCAATTTCTTTCTTTTTAACCTTTGTAGGAGCACTCCCCCAGGAAATTTTTCATCTTTATAACACAGAAGCGCTGGTTCTTCCAAAAGGAATTTGTATGCAGTTAAATTGTTTTTCTGAAAATATACCTATCATCTCAATCATCACCATCCTGAAATCGATTTAGGAGCGTATTTATTCCTGTTGGATACCTTCACGGAATCTAACTTAAAGACAGGTACAATAATCTAAGCTCAAAATGAAGAAACGGTGCGAGAGGGAAAGAAAATATCTTAAGTTAATCTCTCTGTACGTACCGAAGTTTCTTTTAGTTTTATATAGAATAAGACAGTGTTTCTTTTGAATTATAGTGTTAGTCGATGATGACTGATAGCTACCATAGGATCCACAGATTGCTGCCGATAAGCAAATTAAAACTATTATTTTTTTACCCTACTAATAGTCGTTTTTCTTATCAGCCTCATCTGAAACATCAACCTTTTTCTTGTTCTTTTTACATGATCTGCGCATGATACTTAATAGGCGCATATCCATCAGCTGTTTTGCTGATACATTTCATTGAGTCATGATCATGTATCCTGATATCGTACTATGTCACTAATGCAAAGGAACGCGCGAAATTGAACCAATATGTTAAGGCACTTTTTTAGGTTTCTTTCTTTACATGTATTTTGAAAATTTTCCAGCCGAATTGTTTTGAAAACATATCAATACTCTTGTTGACTGAAACACCCACGTAGAATATATCAATGTAAGATCACTTCGTGTTAGTATTCTGATAAATGTACGAAGACACCATCATTTAACTTGCTAATTTTTCAGTTAGGTGTGAAACAGATATTTCAACGTTCGTCTGCCCGATCGATTTTTTGAAAGAAAGATTTAACGTTGTTTCAATTTTTCAAAGCTAAATGTGACACAAGAACTACAGGATACTGATAACGTTAGTTCTTCTTCTTCTTTTTTTTTTTTTTAGCCTACTTTGTATGTAAAAAATTACTTGTAGTTGTTAATGAGGTCAGGTTTTGATTGGTAGACCCTGTTTATGACAATTTCAGTTTTATTTCAAGGCTAACAATTAAGATGCACCAATTAGTGTGGCTTCTTTGAGCGTTGAGGCATTGTTCTAAGAGGCGGAAAATTAACCTGCCGTCTTCGGCCAAGTCTGCTCGTTACTGGTTCAGGCTTTATTACGTAGCATTTCGTTCAGCCAGGAGTGGCTCATGTATTCTCTCATGCGATGCCACGGCGGAATCATTCTGACCACACGGAGGAGTCCGTTGACATCAGCCACACGGTAGAGATGCGCATCAGTAGAGCTTGCGAGTCCAACGATCTCAGAGATTCCTCTAAGGTACTTTCCAATGGCAATGACAAAGATTTGTGTGCCTGTCATCTTGAGCTGGAACGCACGAAACAAAGTCTTGTGTTTTTCAACATTTGATTGTCCATCAGTGATGATAAGGACTCGCTTTCTGACTCCAGGTCTTGCGCCACTTTTGCGATTTAAAATTAGCTCCTTTCGGCACACTTCAAGCGCGTCTTGAGTGTTTGTCCTGCCACGTTCAAAAGGTATCTTCCGTAAATTGTTAACGGCTTCTTTTCTCTCTGTAAAATCAAAACGGATTGTGGCATTGTTCGAGAATGTTATTGCCGCATACCGTCTGCTATTTTGGGCTTTTCCAGTTAGGAGCTGCAGGGCTTTTATTGTGCGATAGTAATCTCTTCGCCGTATCGATCCAGATGAGTCAATGATGAATATTGCGTCGAACTGGGCATAGAGCTGAGGGATGGACCTGCGGTGCCTTCTTACTAGTCGTAGCACTGTGTCATCAATGCCCATGAAATACCTCATCAGCTTGTCGGCAGTTTCGCGGGCAGGTGGAACTTTCTGGTATCCTGTAATGACAAAGGGAATTCAATTTAACTATTTCACCAAAAGAAAAAGTTTTTTTAATCCCAATGTTATTGCCACCCGGTAAGAAGTGTTTTTTAGCGTGCTCGATTATTTTGGTAACTGACATCATTTCATTGGAATAACATTTGAAAATAAAGTTAATGACGGAGAACTCGCGTTGATTCTGTAGAGAAGAGAAAACTCTGTTTACCCGTCCGTTGATGTAGGTATGAAATGCTAAAACCTCACCCAGAGTTAACTTGAGGTGGGAAAAGGAATTTACGATTGTACAGCCATTAACAGTTTACTGTACGCGAGTTTGTATGAACGAAAAATTGCTCTTTCCACTTACTTGTCCAGGGATTCATTTTTGTGTTCTGAGTTCTCTCCCAAATAAAGGCAGATGAATCCTGCCCAAAAATCAGGGGCAAAACCAGAGCCATAATTAACGACCACATTTTGAAAGTGTTTGTTGCTTGGTGTGATGCTTTCGTGTTGGTTGACACGCACAACTGGTGGAGTAAGTTGAGAGCCTCAACCTTAAAATTTACATCAACATCCTCTCACAGTTAATTTAAGCTTACGATTAGCCGACACTTCTGGAAGCAATTGTTTTTTTAAGCTTTTGAACATCAGAGAAAATGGGTCAGAGAAAACTCTAGGTAGGAGGCGTGGAATGACATACGTCACTTTACACGTCATTTCATTCCAGTCCATTCTTATGAGAGCTATCTTATTATGTTTAGTAAAAAAATTAAAGTTTGAAGTTGGCAAAATGTTAATAAACTTAAATATCTTAGAACAATGTCAACTCCCAAAATTGAGGTGTCGATTTCTGTAACTTTTTCATTTTAAAGAAAACATTATAACGTAACAGAAATTTTGGGTACTTTTTATTTTCATGGCACGCTGTGGTTTTGTTTTGTATTTTTCTCCGGCATAAACGTCCATTCAGCAATGTTGGCCACTATACAGGGAGGTCTATAGATAAAGAGGTTTAACTTCTTGAATGTTACCATAACATTTTGCCGTGTTAATGTAGGGTCTTATCATTTCTCTTTTCTGCCGCTATTGTTTACTGTCGAAGGCTTGTCGCGTTATGGCTAGTTTCAAAGCTTCTAGATATCTTGAAAGTTGTTTTAGTATAAATGAATTTCTCGTATGACATTACTGGTTTACACAATGGAACTGAAAAGAAATCTTTTATTTTTATTTCTCGATACTCCTCGCCTGTAACAGTCTAAAATGACCTCAGGGATGTCGTAGCGCACTGCAACCAAACACCCATCATTACGAACGTTCTACGCCTTTCCTTTTTGTATGTTTATTTTCAATTTTGAAATCGAAGCTATTCGGTCATTTCAAGTTTTGAAAAGAGTGTCATGCCCTCTTTTTTACATATTCACCACTGTGGAAAATGTACAATTACCCGCTGTGCCACTGTCGCTCATATCAGTTACAACTTAACTGCTTATGACCAATTTTCTACCCAAAAAACTTCACTTCACTTTCGTGTTGGTTAAAACAACTATGTCGCCTCTTAATTCAAGTGATTATTTTTTAATCTTTTTACCAGCCACTTTTGTTTATACGTGGTACTTGTAGTCTTGATATTTTCAGCTGATAATCAGATCAGATTGTGTGATTTCATGGACACTTAAGAGCTTTTAGATTAAGACAACATGAATTGTTGATTGATGATAATGTGACTGTCAGTACATTGTACATTACTGATCGGTCAAATTCAGTTATGTTTTAGCTTAGGGCTTTTGCGGCGAAGCTCGCAAAGAAACCGCCTGCTGTTTGATTCTCGGTTCGTTTACCATCTTTTAAGAAATAATCTATTTGTTTGTAGTCGGTATAGAATTTATTTAATACAAACAGACGTTTCTGGATAATTGCTAAAGGCCATTTTCGTCAACTATTGGGTTTTGTCATTTGAGTGATTTCAAATAATGGTCGGCTTTCGTGTCAGCCACATTCAGAACAGTTCTGACGTATAGTATTGAGAAGCTATTATTTTAGAACATGAAGTCGGAGTCAGAGCGTTATGAGTCGTGGTCAATTTTTGTAGACGTATGCCTCGAAGATCAAGACCTTAAAAATTGCTCCGATGTAATTGATTAGTTGTGAAACGTTCAACACAGCAATGCGTTTATGTAGAAATGAGCCAAAGGGAAAAAGAAGTCTGAAGCTTAATTCTTTTTTACACCTTGTGATTAACTTTAAAATGTTGAAGATATGTTCTTAGCAATTCTGACTCGTCAACAAGCCACGTAAACAAACCATTGAATTCTTCAAATCTCGATTCTTAATTATTCTGTGTTTAATTTACCGTCGTTACTGATCACGACGAGTTCTTTGGCTGTAACTCAACGTCGGCAAAGGGGAATGTTTTACTCGCGATGCAAATTTTAGAAGCAAATCAGGTTGCGTTTACTTCGTCACTATCATTTACTGAAAGAAACTTGTACAGTCCTAAAAGTCCCTAGTTAAAAAAGACTTACGTGTGACGGAATCTTCTTGAATAATTTGATATTTAGCATGTAGCTAGAAGAGTTAGTTTAGTGTTAAATTGGATCGATGCTAGCATACTTTTTTTTATTAGCTTCTTTGAGACCGATATGGGAAAAAATCGAAATCGTGGTGCAACAAGTTTCAATCATTTTGCAAAACAGATTGAGGTTACCGCTACTACGATAATAAAGATACAACCTCAAACACTCACTCAAGTGTAGTTATGTTGTTGTGACTTTATAACGAGTTCTTGACCTCGCAGGGAGCTGAGTATCAAAGAAATCTTTATATTCAAAACTACCTCATGCTTGTGCAAATTGATTGGGTTTTGAGAAGGATTTATTCGCGTGGTGAATATAAGTATAGATTCGTTATTGGTCGTTTTGGTGGGACACTTAACACGCACATGACATTCTCACAACGCTGAGCTTCCCGCCAACGTTTTCCGCGTTTCACGCGCCCGATATTTCATTTTCCCGTTTTCTCTTTCACTTTCTCTTGTTGAGGTGTACAAGTGCCACTTGAGCTTATGAGAGCAGCAATTTCGTAGTTACTGATGAAATGCATGTAATTGTCCGTAGTTTTCAAGGGCCCTGGTATATGTTCGTGTAGTTTCCTGAAAATTTTACTTCGGCACACTGTTATAGGTGATAGCCAAAACAAGTTGTCATTGACAATCTGATACTCCTGTACTTATGTGTGTTTTTTCTAGCTGTTTTCAAGATGCCATCACAATCCTTTGATAAACACTCAAATATAAGTATCTTTTAGGAGAAACTTCTGTTGGCATACATGTACCTTTTCACACCATCAGAGCACCCTATAAGTGTCATTCCCAAGTCATTATTTGGCTTATCAAAACTTATGCGGTTGTTGATGCCTATATTGTTAGTGCCACGTGAAAGGTTAAGGTCATTTTCGTTGACAATCATCTTGTTGAATTTATTCGGCGAGTAGAGCTCTTAAGTGGCGAAAAAAGTTAAAGAACAGTTAGATAAATCAAATCAGTACTGTTTCACCATGGCGAGTCACAAACGATTATTCTCACTCAGTCATATCTAGTCAGTTTTCCTGTAGACCGAAAGAGAGCGGTGAAGTGCTGGCTTTAGAAAGTTATTTTCAACTGACGATGGCTCTTGAACAAAATTTAAATTTGAGACTAAGAGAAATTACACGAACAAAGAAAACCGAATAGTAGTAGCATTTTTCATAATTTAAGATTCTGTCGCTGCTTTGGATATTACCAAACTTTCATCACTGTCGTTTACCTTGATGTAATTAGGACGTGAATTATGGTCGATGTTATTTGGTGTTATTTTTATCGAAGTCTCAGGGTTACAAGTCTGTTTTGCGTATTAATTTCATTTTGGATGCGGCAATTATCCTAAACACATATACAGAGCGAAGTATTCCTTTAACGTCAAAACATAATTAAATTATTGTTGTGATTACTTAACTTATTTTAAGTACTACGTATCTTATCTTAGCATAATACAAAATGAATAATAATGCTGTAAATAGTGTACAGATGTTTTATTGATTGAAACAAACTGTGTTAAAAAAAATTGGCAGTTCGAGATAACACACGTTTGGGTACTGATAGTCTCCATGTATACAGGAAGTATTCTTTTTACGATGCTGAAGAGTGTTTATCAGGTAGAGCGTAGCAGGACTTAAGAAATTGCATCTTAACTTAACTTATCTTAACTTAACTTAACGATCTTCCTTACACTTCTCGAAGAAGAGATCTCCAAAAATATTTGAATCATTCACTTCGATTACTTAAGTTGTTTTTTAGGTAGGGCTTATCACTATCTCAGCATGATACGAAATGAATAGAGAAACTATAATCCAGCAAAAACACTTTAAAGATGTTTCTTAATTGAAACACACTGTGTCAAAGAAATTACCTCAAGGTATTATGTCTCTAGCAGTTATTGTCTGCGACGAATCCCAGAAGGCTATGTTGTGATACCCATGAGCGAACACATCATATATTTTTTTAGCAACACACTGCTGCGGCTCAACCGTGAATCTGACACTAGTCTACTTGTGAATATTACGGCAGCTCCCCGTCTTGTATGGTAACTCGATTCTTATCGTTTTGCCAAAGGTTACTGTTATCTTTAACAAGAAAACCAGATCTAACTTACGAGTCTACACTTCACATCATTTCATTAAATACAAAGCTGGGAATAAGGAATGCGAACTTTCAAGTCTCACATAAATCATCCGAGTTGTTGAAGAAAAAGTTTTATTCCATATTTGCACGAAAGAATGCGTATGTCTACACCGTAATCCTCTATAACTAGTTCCTTGGGCCTAGAATCACGGGCAAATATGATCGTTTTTTGTGATATTAGATTTATGCGTGAAGAGCAACATAAACTGTGTATACATGTACAAAGCTGATACTAAACTTTCAATAACGCGCCAGTAGCTATCCTTGATTCTTTTCCCAGACCGTACACGCTGAGTGCAAAAGAGCAAATCGAATCTGTTTTGCGCACTTGCGCACTTGGCTAGTTTGGCGACCAGGATCATTCTTGCATAAAAACGAGGGGGGGGGGCAGGTTAAATGGACGCTTGTTTTAAGAGAGACGCTTATTCGAGGGGTTTGTTTAAGGAAGGTTGTTAATTCGAGGATTTACGGTATTTACGATGTCTTAAGTATTAATGTCATCATACTCTTGATTGTACCTATTCGTAAGCCACGGTAACTGATGTTGGTGCATGTACCTCCACGGTGGAATGAGCCGTACGATGTCCAGTAATGACAAGACGCTCCTTACACGATACAGGTGTTTGTCTGTGCTGCTAGCAATACCAACCAACTCTTGTATACCAGGCATGTAATTCCCAACACCAATAGCAAAGATTTCAACTCCAAGTATTTTCAGTTGAAAGGCGCGGTACAGAGTGAGGTGGATGTGCATGTTTGAACTGCCATCAGTGAGAAGAAGAACGCGTTTTTTGGCTCGTGGTCGTAAATTGGAATTTTTGTTCTGAAAGAGCTTTGTCCGGCATTTGAGGAATGCGTCTTGTGTGTTTGTCTTTTCGCCAATGAAACGCACTCTAGTGCGCAGATAATGCTTGGCAGTTCTTAGATCGGTGAAGTCAAAGGCGACGGTTGCTTTGTTAGAATACACAATACCTGCATAATGCGTGTTTGGGTCTGCTTTGTCGATGAGAGTCTGCAGAGCTTTGATGCCTCTGTGAAAATCGTGCGGTCGAATGGAATTGGAGGCGTCGACCACGAGAACAACGTCGTACTCAGGCGGATCAATATTTCGTCGGTGTCGTCTCCCATTTTGGATGAAGAATTGTTCAATTTTCCTAGCGGTGACTCGTTCCTTTGGCACTCTTTGTATTCCTGTGAAAGTAATTGCAATTTTGTCATTGTCAAGGTCTTTGAGGCTATCTATTGTTTTGTCACACACTTCAAACGATGTTTATTTTAAAGGCACCGTACAGAATACAGAATGTTGGATTAATTTTCCTTTTTTTTGTACGGGGCAGTATTTTGTACTTATGTACTTTGTACTTATAATGACACAAGTGTCTGGTTTATGGCTGATCACGTTGCATTAACCTGTATTTAATTCAGTTGACAGTAAATAATAGTGTATTCCAGACCTTATTAGTTTCCCAAAATTATGCGAAAATTAATCCAAGTCTACTGATCAGTAGCATTACGGTTCTTCATACCCTACGGTTTGGATGGTTGGGGTCGATTTTTCAAAATAACTTCGGTGGGGAGTCGGTAGCATTCAATGCGCAAGTTGGTTCCTTAGCTATGACTGAATAATTGGTACAGTTGTATGGTAATCTGCACGATTACTTTGATGCTTTTATTTTTTTTTCAGCAATTTAAACATTCAACGTATGAGTGATCGCTCTTCAAATGGTCTACCGTCCATAATTCAATTGTCGTGTCTTGAATCGCATAATAAACCAGTTCGCGAGAACTGTAACGAGTATTGACCGGCGTGAATTAGGTAACACTTACGTGAGTAAAAGGACATGCCACTTTTCTTCGTTCTCTCCCAGACAAAACACTGCGAAAGTGCAACCGCTAATGGCAAGAGAAATAGTTTAGCGGTAATCATCTTTGGAAATTCTCCTGAAGTTTGTTACCACTGCAGTTTTCACACCTTGGGTCTCTACGACAGACGCAGAGTTTCCAGCTTTCTCGCGAGACTAATGATGTTGCGGGAGAAACAATTGTTTTTCTGATTTGATGGGTGTTAACAGGATAGTTTCACTTGATACAACTTCCTTAATTTGGTTTGTGTTTCACGCCCTTAATTGTTGAAAATTGATTTTCGGCTGTACTTCTAGAAACTGCTGAACTTCTCTTGATAGCTTCCTAAGGACACAAAAGTAGCTTCACTATGGTATAACAAATGGGAAGCTCTATCCACCCAAAATTTTGTTTTGTATAGCTCTAAGGGAAAAATATTGAGAGAAATTGACCGGTTGTGTAGTCTGGATCCATTAAGAAAACGGCTGTTCATTTTTTTTTTTAATTTTTATGTTTCTTATTTGCCACAGGTTAGCGTATTTGACATTTGTAGGATTCTAAATTTACAACCATATCAATACCGCATCAAAACAAATCGAAATATGTATTTTTGCTCAACTTCACCGAAAAATCGTTCAGCTTTATCTTAAGTGTGGGAAGTTAAATCGTAAAATATACCAGAGACCGGGCAAAGAGATATTTTGAAAGCTTTAATTTCCATACTTCTTTTAAACTATCGCCTTTTTCCATTTAAGGTGATAAAAATTATGTAGTGGTGATACCCCCTGCTTGTTTAATAATATTTGCGTGGAGCAACCAGCTCTGAGACACAGCTCAGTACGTAATGGAAGTTCGTGTGATAGAGGTCATAGATTGTACTTAGCGGCGGTTTTCGATTCTTCGAGAAGACGTTATTCCTAAATTCTTTCTTTCCAAATTTCCGGGTTATATTTCAGCATAACCTTTCCCTTTGGGTCCATTTTTTATTTTTCGTTTTCTATCGTAACTTTTATAGACAGAATTAAACGAACGATTTATACTTAAGATGTGATAAACACCTAGATATATCTTACTTTGCATTCTTTTTTTAAGCAGTTTTGACAAAATGCAATAAAGTTTATTCTTTATCTATTTATCATTTTCTAAGTGGTGCTCAGTAAGAACTAGTTGAGTTCGTTATCTTTATCACCGTTTCTCAATTCTCTGCGGAGCTCATTTGACATGTGTCTTTTATCATGTCGGGGTCAGTACTTAACTCCATTAAGTGACCTTTTTTAAAGTTCAACGGAGCGCATATTTTCCTGCTCAATTTTTCACCTATCAAATTACTCGAATTCGTTTTCGACACGTCTTTTTTTTTTTCAATGTCTGTACATTAGCGGCTGTTTCGTGCGACCTACAAAGTTTGAACGTCAGTAATCCTAGAAGAGTGCTGACAAACACTTCAAAACGCAAATGGATGTTGAAAAGGCTTTTTATTGTGGATGATTCCATTCGTGATAGTATGAGATGCTCTTTACAGTGTGCCCTTTGGATGATTGATGGTGAAAGTATTCTTGGCACTGATCTATCAAAGGAAAGGTTTCTTGACTTTGAAAACAATCTTGAATGCACTTTTTCGTGATAAATATTCATGAAAGCGCTGCTGGGGGCATTTTGCTGTTTTAAGGGTTTAAATGTTTAAATAAGTGATGCCGCGGGGTATTTTTTCCATTGATCACTTTTGCAGGTGAAGTGTGATTAATTCACCACAGTGTGTTGGTAGTGGTCGTTTTTAAGCGCTCTAATGTATACAACGGTGTTAAGTATGAATCCTGTTGGGCTCTGTGAATTCAATATTATTTGGTCCGATTGCTTATGCAAACATTTCCAAAACACGAAAATAGTTGTCTACTTGGTTAAAAGATGACAACATTCGTCAGTAAGCGACCACAGAACGTAAACATTCTTAGTGCTCTCTTTGTGAGGTACCATATCACACCATTATCATCTTTTGCTCGGCACTCATATTGACAGTGCCCTTTCGACCTATGAGGGTGAGGTGAAAACGTTTGTATTTCCCTCGTAAATCAAATAAATTGAGGAAGAGTAAAAACTAAGTAAGATTAAGAGCAAGAATTTTCAGTATAATATCTTGTTATTATCTTTTTTGTAACGCTACCATATGGATTAAATGATCACATACTTTATTTAATGAAGTTATCGCCAACTTTGACAATCTCTTAATAAAGGATTAAACATAATTGCATTATATATTTGAAAAGATAGAGAACGACTAAGGACAAAGGATGTAAAGTCTCTTTAAGCTCGACATCGTTTTCCTTCGCCGGTTTATGAAGACTTTCTCTAAATCATTTACCGTAGTGTTTTAGTAACAAACTCGATGAAGCTAATTTTACATCACGTTCACGAAACTGTTTTAAACAACGCAACAATTATTGCGTGCAATAAAAATAACAAATTGTGTTTCCTGGAATCTCCTCTGATTGACAGGTACAACCCTCTACTTAATTGTGGCTGTCAAAGAAGTCGTATCGTTTTAGTTTAGCAGTTTACATCTTGTTCTACGTTGTCCCTAACTCTTGTTTTTTGCTTTCTTGTTACCATTATTAGCTTGTGACACTCTTTCCTTATTGGCTCTCCTTATTTGCTCAACGCTTTACGGTCCTTGTTATGTTTGACAATGGGCTCGTCAAAAACCAAAATATTACGTTAAATTGTTTGCTTGTTGTGTACTTTCTTGCTTATTCTCATACATGAAGTTGGCGAGATGTTCTACGTAGTTGTTTTCTTGTTAAGACTTTCTCGTTTGTTGCATCTTCTAGATCCATCAAAATGCAATTCTTAGAAATGGAATTTGTTTTGCAAATCTATTCTTAAAATGAATTACATCTTCGGCACTTTTAACTCACAAACATTTACATTTTAAAGGAGGATGTTAATTTGCTTTTTAGACTAAGGATATTGTCCTCGAAGTAGAGGAATCTAAGATTAGTTTTATAACATAGGAAAGTACGTGGAATATGGCAAGTTTTGAGCGCGGTAAAGAAATAGAGAAAGATGTTTTTCGTCTTGTCACGAGCGTGAGACAAAGAAAAATGCTGAGGCCCCGTGAGGAACGGAACCTCAGACCTTTGGATTCCGCTCTCCGATGTTCTACCTCTGAGCCACAGAGACTCTGCGGTGAGCAAGGTCTATTACGAAGCTCATAGCACACGCGTCCTGTATACTGCTAGGATCAGCAATGTCGATAGCGTTATAGAAAAGTATGGTTTGAAATGCACGAGAGACTATGAGTATGGAGAAGGATGAAGACATTCGATGAAGATTAAAAATGGCCTGGTGTTGTTCCTTAAATGTGGTAACCTGAAACATATACTTGCTAAAAATGACCGAAAGCTGCTCTAAATTGTGGCTATTTTAGTGACGAAAACTTTCTTTCTGGCCTCCATCTTTTGAGAGTATTTTAATGTTGCTTGAACTAGTTGAAAAAAAAAAGTCATTGCTTCTGATTTAAAGTCACAAAATAGTCTTATTGAATGGACTGGTCTGAACGGACAGCTAATTATAATTACTATCAACGATGTTCCACAATTTTTTCCGCTGGAATTCGAGACTTGCTCAGATTTTGTTGTTTAATTTTAGAAAAAAAGGTTTTCGTGACTATTATATAATTACTGTCAACGATGTTCCACAATTTTTTTTCAGCTGGAATTCGAGACTTGGGTAGGTTTTGTTGTCTAATTTTAGAAAAAAGTTTTCGTGACTATCGTATGTAGTCGTTTGACATCCGAATACACTCCAGACACTTCGATGGTTGTAGAATGCATTTGAGATCACGCAAAATGGTAAAAAATACCACTCCCACCTCCAAAGAATGCACTTAATATGGTTTAACGGAACGTGGTGTGATTCAAATGTTTATTACATTATTCTAAACCTCTTTTTGACTGCAACTGAATTATTCGTCAACCTGACAGAATTCCATGGAAATGTGAAAATGACGGCATTCCATATTTTCTGACTTAAGTTATATCACGTTATAAATATTTTAGTACGCAGACAAACGGTTAGAATGCTGGACAAGTCCTAGAAGTCTGATGGAAAAATCACAAACTTGAATAGCTCTCATTTTAGTTTAACGTTCTAGAAGTAAAATTGTGTTCAGTTTATAACAAGTGCGCACGATTTTTCTGTCATCGCAAAAATACGAGAAACTTTACCCGTAGGAAGGAATCCTTGCTGATAATAAGCGCCCACGTGCGTGTGACAGTTTTGTCTGGGCTGCACGATGAGCGTTCTAAAGTGCGACGGGCCGGCTGTCATTACGTGGGTGACTGCAATGGAAATCTACCACTAAATGTACTCAAACGTTTATCTCCTTACGTTAGTTCCCTTTTCGTTTGCGTCGCGCTGGGAATCCGTGAGTCATCAGTAATTTTTAAAAACTTCAAGGGCAAAGGGGTTGAGCCAATTTTTTTTTTTGTCGCGCCCTTCGCTCTAGCCAGATTACATAATGACCTAAACATGAATAAGAAAAAAAGGGCTCGGGAAAATGATAGATGGGAAGGGAAAATAAATAATCCTTCCTTCCCGTCGTTCAGGAACTCGCAGTTTCTCGATTGTCCGAGTCTTTCCTCGGCTCTTTTGACTGAGTGCTGGTAAAAGGCTTATTAGCAGCCGTCACAACCGGAAATAAGAAACTCGAGTCTCACGTTGAAATAGATGGTGATGTTTCTTTTTTTTTTCCTTTTTCGAAAAAAAAAATCTGCTGCCTTTCTGGCAAAAACGTTTGAGTGGGTGAGGCCTTGGCACTGCGGCCCGTTACATGGGCAAGACTGCTATGAACTAAATGATTTGGAATCTTGTCTCAGACGTTTCTTAACCGAGATATGGGTTGCGTATACACGGATGTTTTATCGTGCCTTGAATTGAGGACATGCGAGGCAGAGGAATTGATATGTGGGTATTAACAATCGTAACATCATTAAAGTTTGATGTCCGTCAAGATGTGTATTATCATGTGGAGGTAGAATTACCTTCATGTTACCGGGTATATTTGTGAGTGTCTTCGTTCATTGGAAATTTCATGTTTCTTCATTATCTGCTTAGGTCCTCCGGACACATTTTTCCCAGAAGTAGCACCGATGTCGCCTTTTTCGAACAGTTTTCAACTCGTGACAGTGACTTGTAGAAGCATTAGGGAGTTAAGAGGGAGATTATAATGACTCCAAGTGGAAAAAATGAAAGTTTGTATCGTTACTCATCACTTTGATTAAAAAAAAGTTTGATAGGAATACTGTTATACATAATTACCGATGATAAGATTGATGCTCTGAACAAATAGCCACAACCTACGTCAAGAGATAACGTTTGGAGAGGTGATTGCGAAATCTCCTTTAATTAATTAGTTGTATTGCCCTATTGTTTTTGTATTGCTTGCTGTGTAAACAGTAACTCAGAAAGATAACTTTACTTTGTTCTAGAATGTACTCTGCTGGTTTATCTGCGCAGCAGATGGACACAATTCAGTGCACTGATGCATGTAATTTAATTTCCCAGACTATCGATTTTGTTGAACTTCTAGAAAATGTTACTATTTCGCTGACGTGGACGTGGAATTGAGTGTGTCAATCAGATTGCAGGAAAGAAGTATTTTAAAGCCTTAGGTGGCACTTAATTGCGAAAGAAATCGAAGAGGAACCAACTTGTGGGTAAAACGAAAGGGCTATTTCAATAACAAAAAAGAAATAGGCGCACTTCGCATTTTACTGCTACATTTTGAAAGATTCAGTTAAACTTTTGTTTTGTTTGTTTAAGTTTTGATCGCCGTGTATCATCCATCAGAATACATGGTAACCTCAGTCCACCATCTTTTGTAATACTCACATCCTCTTGGTGCTTATACATTCTGTAAACTTATTGTTTTGAGATCACTTTGTGTTAAAAGTTGAAAGTTACTTAAACCTTTGTAGATGTAGGTCAGAATACCGTTATAAAGCCGCATAAATTCTGAAAGACATCAACAACCACAACGAACAAACTTACGCTCTTCATGTTTCAATTGTCCCTTCTCTGGTGTCCATATGAATCCGGTGATAATCTGACAAAATGCGTAGAATATGAGACAGTGAACAAACCGGGTTGCCATTCTTCCACGTATAATAAATTGAAACGGCGCTTTTGGTTGCTTAGAGAAGGGTCTCTCTCTTCTCTTGATATCTCTACCCTGCACCAGTAACTAATTAGAAGGTAGCTTTGATTGAGGTGATCAGTTTAAGTGTTGTTCAGGGAGTGGTATGCCTGTCAATCTAAGCGAATCAAGTGACCCGTAAAATCATAAATTGGCTAAACGAAACAACAAACATTACAATAGAGAGCTGAAACTTGTTATATTTTTGAAGTGCTTGTCAGACATCTTCCACTTGCTTTTGGACTTGTTTGCTTTCGTTCTTTTTCTCTCATTTTCAAAACGTTGGTCGTTCTTCCCAGAAATCCTTATTCTACAAACTATCATCAACGATATCAAATTTTGCAAGATAGGAAAATAATAATCACGGTAGTCAAAGTTTATTAACGAAACCTTATTTGGGAATGAGGAAAGGGAGCCTCTGATAGTATACAGTATTTTGTTCAACTTTCAAACCTATTGATGAGAAATAGCGAGGAGGAGCGCTTACCTTTTCCCAGCCGAGCGTTAACGATTTTGCGGTCTTTTAGTCAAAAAATGGAAGTCGAGAAAAACGTCTGGGGTCGGCCTTTCCGGTGGTTTCGAGTTTTCAAAGAGAAAGCTCAAGTCCTGTCTGTGTTTTTGATACTGATTGATTAAAGGTTCAATGCATTTCAATTCAATAGAATTTTTTTGCATATCGTTGAGTTTCGTGTTCTGCTTACCACGCCAGCTGGTTCTTAATTAGAGATAACATCTTTACGAAATCGCTAAAATGAAATGATGTGGCATTTTTTTATTTCCAAAATATTCTACACTTATCCTATATGCCTCTAATTCCTCCAAACCTTCGAAAACAACATTGAACTGATAACAGTAATGTCAAATGTTAACCTACGACCATTTTTATGCAAATCTGGTGAAAAGGATTTTATCAGCATTAAATTCCAGCGTGGAAGGTACGAGAACAGTGCATGGAACAGATTAAACGTCTAGCCATGTCGAATTGATTTATGCAATCGATATTAAGAGAGATAATTACCTTTGAGTTTTGGAATTTGGCTCTACAGTTTAGCAATATTATTCTTACAGTTTGCGGTCATTGTGCAAATATTTTGTTTATTCAGTAGAACTTTGCGGTCAGCATTGTCTTCACCCAAATTGAAGTTAAAGGGTTTTGATATATTGTTCCGAATTCCTCTGCTCAGTTGGGAAGTTTAACTTACTCAATGGTGATTACAAAACATCGCCAACTGATGTATTTTTCGCCTTGTAGCAGTTTGCTTTACTCATCTTGTACGGGCCCAATTATCACCAGCTTTTATTTTGCTAGCAGAGGCCTGTCGCGTAGTCTGTATTTTTTACTTTGAGTATTAAAGCTATTCAGAAGCCGATATCTTTAGTTATCTCCTTCAAGGTAGATAGATATTTGAATATTTCCTAACCTATTCTCAAAGTCGATTATTGTGGTATCACTGTTTAAGCCGTTAATGTGACGACGCATATAGTCTGAAAAGAGAGACATGCTGTGATGCGGAATCGATTACGAAACAGCATTACTCCCTGAAACTTTCAATCTGACTCTTGTTTGCTGAATGACCCTCTAAAAGACAGTTTTGCAATAAATATACGCAGAAAGAAACTAACAGAACGGCTTTATTCTAATGGTATAGAGAGGTTGAGCAGATGTCTCCTGTGACCTTGAAGACAAAACACTCCTGAAGTGGTTTCATTCCACAATAGTGTGTCACCTGTTTTGACTACCTCTACTCCTTTGGTTCATAATAGTGTCTACTAAGATAATACTTGAATTGCAGAAAAGTTTTCTTATAAAGTTTTGTGGTTCAAGTTTCAAATAAAAGAATATTACTTAGAGAAAATGCCAACCACCTTCCTATCACTAAAACATTATTGAGTTCTCGGTAAATTTTCCACTTGAGACGTGCGATAGTGCTCCTTACTAATACACGCCTATGTTTATTTATCCACACAATTTACGTCAACTGAGCAACACATTCGAGAACAGGGAAAAATTAATTCTAGAAATAATAAAGATATTTGTTTATAATGGGTCTCGTCCATTTGTTCAATTGAAAGACGCCCATTTAATTTATATTTTTAGTGTCGCTTTTCTTTTAAACTTTCAGGCAGACTTATTTTGTTTGCCTCGATTCAGACAGTTTTCATTTGCATGTCAGACAAAGTAATGCCGATTGATCAAAAGGGCCGACCTTACTCATCCTGCATTCCCTGATAAACTTCTAAATTTAATCAATTCGTTAAACGGTCTCCTACTTTGTTTATGAAAATTCATTTCCTAGTTCAGTTTTCACAGAACATGTCACCTTTTTGTTTTTCAGAGCCAACAGCTTCTGCGTAGAATACTTGAAGCAGCAGTTTCAAATGTCAGCAGCCGCTCAGCTTCCCCTCTTGCTCCCCCCCTTGGTCACGAGTCGGATCATGAGCCTCTATTTGAAAATGAGGCGCCACCTAAGCAGGATGATGATGAGGTATCAATCGCTACTGAAGCTTCTAGTAGTACACTGGGTTCTACTCCACCCAAAATGGAGCTAAAGTAAGTGATATTCATTCCAAAGTAAGAAATATTCAGCATGCGTGCGCTTTACGAAGTGTAAAATCTCATTGGCTAAACAGGGTGTGTTCTTGACCTTTAAAGCACGATTTATTCGCGCCAGTCACAGTTTTCCTTGCTCCTAACCTTAAAGGGTAATTTTAGTGCTTGAAAACTTATTTCGATTTATTTTCATCACTATTTATACAGAGGGGATGTAAATCATCGCTTTATCAATGCCAAGCAATTTAATAGTTGAATAGAAAAAGGGTTAGAGACTAGGGTTAAAAGGAACTCTGTCTTTATTTTCAATTTCCCTTTTATTCTGTTGCCATTTTATTTCGGCAAAGAATATTTAAACAATGTTTCTGAAGCCTTGCAGAATTCTTTGTTCAATGACACTATTTTGCGTCCACTTTTCGCCATAGATAACTGTAAAAACTTAATGATTTATGTCAATTAACACCTTTTTTAGTAAATCCAAGGATCAGAATCGCCAACCGACACCAGACCCAACGGCCTCGTACGAGGATGATTTTGAAGATGAAGTTCCCCTCACCGAAACTCCTGCGTACCTTAAAATGATGAGCAGTGCTCACTCTGAACCTGATGATGACATCAGTGATCCGCTGGCTAACACTGAACCGCAAAAACAAGAAAGCGAGGCTGACGAAGATGTTGAGAGGGAATTGGCACGGAGTATATCCCCGCCTACGACGTTACCTAGTCAGAAATCGCAGAACTATTCAAAAAGCGGGAAACAAAAACCAAAACTTTCTTTGTTTGAAACTGATGCAGATGGAAAAACTAACAAAGACGTGGGTGATAGCTGGGGAGGAACATCTCTAAAGTCTGTCAAATCCGACATTTCAGATTCTGACTCATTAGCATCGCCTCCGTTATCGCCGGATGACGTGATTGGATACACGCCAACTGCTTTGGAAAAACAGCAAAACGGTGAAAAAGTTGACAAGGAAAATGATAAGAGTGAGCCTAAGTCCTTTACTGACTCCAAAGCCAAACGAAAAACAGGTATTTCATTTGAACAATCCTCACTGGCTTCCTCGATAACTTGATAAGTTTTTGCTTTACAACAGCCAAAACATACGAGTTAAAATTCTACGACTTTAGAATAGATGAACGTGTTTTGTCAGGTTTGAATAATAAGAAAACATGGCGAGTAAGACCGTGTTATTTTGCTTCAAGAATTCTAGATGTATGAATCCTTTGAAAGAAAATTTTAGGTGGGGGTTCCTAATGCAGTATTTCGACCGAGGAAAGTGAGCGATAAGACTGAGTGCCACTCGGGGCATGGTAACAATTTCAATGCTGTTACTAGCTTTTGATTATTTGTTACTATCATTCTGACTAAGTCTCTTGTATTTCTTCCTGCATAGATTTCTGGAATACCTCAGACACGGAGTCCGAAGTAGATTTACAGCTGAGCACGGGAGGAATGGATCAAGAGGATGATGACGATTTTGATTTCTACGGATGACCCACGAATAAGAAAGATTAGGGTATCTGCTGGTTCATAGGTATCCAGTGTAAAAGGGGCAAGCAAGTCTTTGGGAATTAAGTGTAGTAACACGCCTGTTTAATGAAACCAATGCGATTGATCTGCGAATTTCAGTCTTGAAAATTCAGTGGAGGCGGCGTTAACACGCATCATTTTCTTACCTTATATCATTTTAATAACATAAACAAAACGTTTCATCTCACTAGAAATCTGACATCAGTATTAACAAAGAGTGAATTATGATTGAAAAGAAATCTGCACGAAGCTCTTCGTATGCCTTGTTTGTATATAAATATAGCACGAGACAGTTGACGTCTCAACTGCTGATTTTCGTTCAATCTTCTACTTCATTAAATATTTCTTTCTTCATGATATTTACCACTCATCCGAACAAATGGCAAAAACTGATTACTATCATATCCATTTGTTAAGTAACTAAATTACCTCGATCACCGCGTTCATTAAATATTTGAATTTTCTAGAAATATTTTACTTCAAAATGCCATTCTGTTACGGGTAGAATTACATATAACTGAGGGTGAGGTCTTTGGAAGAAATACCCTAAATAAACGTTAAAAATTCTGCGATAGCGATCGATTCCACGTACAGACGTCTTCGGGATGTTTTTGTTAAAAAATGACCTGTTAGGAAGTCATTCTCCCACATCATTGGCTTGCAAGGAATAATATACAGAATTGTACCAAACTGGGTTTGTTAGAGGTACAGCCAGGATAAGAAACACTACCAGTCCGGCCACAAATGAAGCGCTTATGACTGCAACAGACAAAACAAAGTCTCAGGATCAATCAGGAAAACTTTTACTGCCGAGCTTCATGACATATTCCAAGGGAAGGGGCATGTTTACTTCATAACAGTCTAATGGTAACTTCAGAGGGTTTGAAAACTCTCCACCTCCCTTAGTTTATCAAAAATCCACTGAGTGTGTTTGCGACCAGCGGCAACAAAAAAAAACTATTTCATAATCACGTGCTGTAAACGCTTGTTTCGGGACGTGTTTTCTTTTTAGTCACGACCACGGAGTGATCATGGATTGCAATTAGTACAATTTCCGAACGAGAGTCATATCTAACACCAGTCAAAATTATTCACCACCACCAATCACAATAAAAGAAAAACATGATAAGAAGCCTATGAAAACTCAAAGCAAAAAATAATGCAAGCGTCTATAGCGCACGGAAATACTAGTTACCAAGTTGTGGTTGATTCTAGTTTTGCATCCGATTGGCTAAAAGGATAGGACACATTTTCTTGACGAATCAGAGTGAAGTTAAGCAAACCCAAAGGAATCCTTGATTAGTTATGACAGTTTAAAAGTACTCTGACGATCTCTTTGATATTTAATCTTCACTGTGTTTTCGGAAGACTGACTCACTTCGTGGATACTTGGAGCTTGGTACTTGATCAAGAGGAGGAAATCCCATGAAATTACAAAAACTATGGCACAAAACTGGACCAATTAGATGACCTACACGGGAGTGAGAACATCAAACAAACTTCAATGCGATTACTGCCATGAGGAAAAAGATCAGTGGGCTGACTGACAGAGAGACCAACTTACCTACTTACTGACCGATAACCTGGTATATCTCTAACAGATGACCAACTGAACAACTGTGTGATTTCCAGATTAGCTGACTGACCCCTGACTATCTGACACACAGATTGATTGGACTGGCCTAGTGAATGACTGGCTGACCATCCTACCCACTAACTGACTAGGTGAAGGATTGAGTGACAGCTTTGCTGACCCATCTTAATTATTTATTAAGTGAATATTTGAATGGCTGACTCAATGTACTACTGACTATAAACTCACCAGTTCTTAAAAACAAGAAAGCCGTATAGCCTCCAAACACTGTCGTATAACCAAACTGAAAAACTGAATGGAAAAGAGCAGCTTCAACCATGAGCAAAACAAACTTATAATGAGCTTTTAATGGCAATCACTGGATCTAAAGGAACAGAATCTATCGTACATTAGAGTGCATTCATCATTCTAGTCAAGGTCTACATCATTGTTAATGCAGTCTGTCGAAAAATTAATACTTGTGATGCCCTATGCCTCTGGAAACCACTCTTGTAATTATTCTGTCATGGTTGAGTTTTCTGCTACACATCTATTGAAAATTTATCACCAAACAACTCATTTACTGCTCTGTTTTGCAGCAATTTCAAAACATTGATTCTACAACTTACAATTTATTAATTAACTACACAATGGATGTCTTACTTGCAGTTGACCATACATCTTTAGGGTTCTCCCCTTGTTGTAATCTTTCAATGACATGGTGAATATGAGCTAATAACAACATGAATAATGTAAATTTTGTTACATATTGAAACAAAAAATTCTCAACTTCTCTTCTGAACACAAACAGGGAGGCAGACTAAAACTGTCAAAAAATGTAAGTAAATAGCCCTTAGTAAGTTTGATAATGTCATTGGCTGACAATTCACCCTTGAGTCCCATTTGTGCACCACTTTTTCCTCAAATCTCTGCTAATTTGTTATTCACACAGATTTCTGTTTGATCTCTCTGTTTTGTATGTACCATCTCATTTAAGTTCACCTTTTTCATTAATTTTCAACAGTTCACGACTCGTTTAACCCAGGCTTAAGGATGAAATTAATTATTCTGAAAGAAACATGCTTGAAGGAAAAATAATGCTGTTTAACTGTGAATCTCAAAAGAATTTTAACTAACTTACAGTGCCTGTAATTAAGCCTCACCTACTCCAAAGAATAATGGAGAAATAAATATTGGCATGGCATTTCCAAACCCTGGAACTAACAGAGGAACAAGACATGCCCTGTACACAAGCTCTTCTGTGAGGGGAGCCTAAAAAAATGAATGTAAACTTGAGGGAAATTGTGGATAATTTAGTCTGAGAAATCTGCACACAGTTCTTCAAAAAATGTAACCAAATGCTGTAATTATAATGCAGCCTATTGCCCATAATTCACATAGCCCTGCATGGCAGGGCTATGTGAATTTGGGAAGGGGGGAATTAATGTGAGCTAAAGGCCAGGCTGGACATGTTAAGAAATTCTGGTGCATCTTCAAAAGTCTTCAGGAATCTTTGGACATGATCAGGTCTTGTTCAAGAGAAAATTCTCATGTCTTAAGCTCAGAGAAAGTTGGCACATACAAACAGAACCATTTCTAAACAATGCAAGGGAAGCAGCCAATATGTGGTTCTGCTGCCATCAGTTTGCTATTGTTCAAAGTTGATCTAATCTACCTAATGTACTAAATATTGATGTACTGGTTTTTTCTAAGAGAACTTCAAACTTTTAACAACAAAAAGAAGTTATTATAATGAAATCCCTCCAAAAGCACAACCCATTTAGAAAAAAATAATTGAATATGTAGAACTTAATTGAAAACTTACCACAAGGTAGTTCCTCAAGTTAATGGCATTAACCCAACTAGATGGATATTCAAGAAAGCCTGGGAAAAGGAGAAAAAAAAAAAACACTCCAACTCATTCCTGTGACTGAGGTAACATATATAAAAACCATACTCATCAACATGAATTATTGAATATATTGCACAGAAATTTACCTTTCACATTCCCTGGGTCACCACTGAAATACAGCAATATGATGGGTCCTAGAAATAAAATCTACCGCAGAGAAACAAAAGCAAATATGTAAATATTTTGAAATACATCTTATCCTTTTTTTAAAAAGAAAAATGCTACTGTTATCATTACATCTTACCAATGTTAAAACCAAAGGAAAAAGAATAGCTATAAAGATATTTTCTGAGTGGATTCCCATATATTTCCAAAGGGAGATACCCTAAAAAGCAATACAACAGAGATGTTATTTTAATCAGATGTAAAACAGAGAATTTACAATGACCTAAAAACAAAAAAAAGAAAAAGAATTTTGACAGATACAAAGACAAACGCCTCAAATTGGCAGATTCACTTCCTTATACAGGTACAGCTACATATGAAATATCCAGACTCTACTCCATTTATCTGACACCTCTCCCAGTACTAGAGACTTCTTGAATTAAGTGAGATTCTGCTACAGACTGTAATATCACTGCAGAACCTCTAAAAATTGATGCATATCTGTGAATACTCAGGTGCTCATGATGGTAAAATCCATCCACAGTCATCATAACACATTCACACTTATTTCACCAGTCAGTTTCAAATCCATGTTAAAGGCATATGAAAAGAATAAGCAATATGTCAATCCTTTTGACACATAGCTTTTACCATGTACATACCTATTTTACATGTGAAAGAAGTTGCACTCACACGTACCCTTGTCTTGAAGGCAATTTACAACTAAATAGACCTGAATTTCAAACTCAAGCCTCCAACAGAGTGCTTGGGTAATAAAGCTAGACTTACATTATAATCTAGAGATCTGTCGGCCCAAAGCCAAACATATAACGGAGCCAACAGAGATATGACAAAGACACTTCTGAATCTCTGCTTGATAGTTTTAGGATGATCTCTGCAGAAAAATCACTGTCACAAATCAGTAATAAAACAAAGCTCATAATTATAAAACAATCATTAAAGAATTATCAAACCAACTGACTGCCTGAGAGATTTCCTACAGAGTGAAAAATATTCATAAACAACTAGCATTGAATGATTTAATCAAAATTTTGTGTTAACAATATATCACTACAATCAGCTGATTTTTAATTTTTTGCATGCAATCTTTATCTGTTTTCAACTGTTGCTTTTCTGCAGAGACCCCTCTTCCCCCCACCCCCTGAGTTTTCATTTCACTCCTGGTCTACAGTTGCCCAAGGTATGTCTCCTCACTGTGGGGGTGTGGAGAACAAGAAATTGGAATTAAATATTGAATAAGTTGTATTTAAATTGTAAATTTTCTCTTGCCAGTAATGAGGAGAAATTCAAGTGAGATGTTAATCGTAAGAAATTCTTGGAAAAGGCTTGAGTTGAGAGGTAGAATCAACAAGATATCAAGTCATAAGACATGCACACTTTTATCCTGTGTTATGATGCATAATGATCTGTTCTTATTTTGTGTTGAGGACTTTCTCATACAGATTATCCCACTGGCTTTTTTATTTTGTCTGTTATTTTTGTTTAATTACCATCAAGGCAAACCACTAAAATTTCATAGAAATTATAACAAATTAAAAAAAATCAAAAAATTTGGGTAATAAAATATAAGGGTAAAATTTCACACTGAAACATTAATTTTAATCAGTTACCGATTTTAAGTCTAAAAAGTGAAAACCACCAATCCCACATTACCCACTATTGTATAACAATTATAAGGATCGGTTATCATCACGGGATCAACAAAAAGGAAAATGACAGTACAATCTTATCTGTGCATTCCAAGTCGTAGACAGGTGGTGATAAAGTCAAAATTTCGCTTTCATCATTAACTGTTCTAATAAGCTATTTCGGTCTATTATTAATTCAACTCACCTGGGATAAGGCGATTTTAAAACATACAGGCTTGCAACATAGGCCACTGAGAGGACCAAACAAGCAATAATGCCTCTAAAACGAGTAATCGTGTTGAAACTAACAAACGGACCAAAATGATCTATTACGTCCGCCATGTTTATATCAACGGGTTACTGCTGACCGTCTTTGAACGCTGGCCTTATCAATAATTGACAAGGAAGGAGGGGCTAAGGAGAGGTCAGGGATGAGGCACTAACCCTAATTTTCGAAAAAGGCCCTACATGAATACCTGTCTTGTGAAAATAAATTTTATTTGAATGGGAATTACGCTTCATTTTCAAACCAAACACTTCCCTGTAGTCTTCATTTTTGGAAAGGTAATTGGGTAGTGTTTTAGTCAGCGAGAGGGAGAAAAAAACATGCAAGCTTAATTTAGCATTGATTTTAAATCTATGCTCCTTTTCGCTTATCATTTCATTTCACTAAATGAACTAAAGAATTCCATTGACCACTTCTCACTTAAGTCCACAGTCCTCTTTCCCCAGTCCACAGTATAAATTTTCCGGGATATCGTCGTGATCATCTGATCTTCGAGAAAACAATGGTCACACCACATGTACAAGTACGCGTTCAACGTGAGCATTCGCTTCTCTGTGATCTTTTTCTTATGACGTTCTTGTGGTTGAGGATTTGTTTTTGAAAAAAAGAAATGCAGTTTGTTCGTTGACGACAGCTCAAAGTATGGAACCGTTTGACCTGGATTTGCTAAAGGAAGGAAGCTGGAGCAATGTTTTGTTCAGTTTGAGGCGTTACTCAGCTGAAGGATACAAATTCGCCCGAACGCGAACTCCTCAGGAGATTAAATCAGATGTTCTGAGCTCCAGGCGAGTTAAACATGTTATCGAAAAGGTATGGATTTCTTGGATTTTGTTTTTCATTTACGCAGGAGAGGTGTATTTTCGCCTACTATCGCAAATTACCACGAAACAGCTGTGTCCAAACTGCCCGATGGACTTCTTAGCCATGAAACTCCTAACCACAAACGTAGAGCAAACTTCGGCCTAGTATTTTAATTTTATCGGTGAAATAGACGTAGGAGAAATTTATACAGCGATACCATAATTTATTACTGTGTATTGACACTAAACATTCAGCTATCTTGAAGCTGTTTGACAAACAACTCGATGTGCCCTCTTATGAGCTTCAACTGAGTTAACATGCAACCTCGTTGGCAATCTGGCAGGGCTCTTCAATCATAAAATAAAACAGAAGTTGTTTTTATTCATGCCAAGCGTAGGAGGAATCAACTTGGCTACGCCATATTGCCACGTGCTTATACCAAACAGCAGTTTCGAAGCTATTTGACAAACTGTTAGGTCCTATTATGAATACTGATTGATTACACATCAATCCTCGCTGAATTTAACTCCGGCTTAGTTTTTTCAATCATAAAATGAATGGAGATCAACATCGTCACTTTGATGCCATAAACCATAGGGTTAGAATATATAGCTTTCTTTTAGTTATTCCATTCCTTGATTAGAAGTGAAAATCAGACTGCACCACTTGTTAATATATAAAACAAATAATTAATATGTGAATATGTGTGTCTTAAGAAACCCACCATGTCCCCAATGTGATGCAGCTGTTAAGATAATTGCTTTTTTTCAACTGAGTTGATTGAGTAAATCGGCCACAGAAGAGAGTTTCTGGCAATGGCTTTTTGAGCATTAGCCCTTTGTTAGGGTAGCTTTCATGTTGTCAACTGGGTGCCCTTAATGATTAATAGATCACGATATCCAAATTATTCCACAAAAAATCTTGAGTTTTTATTTTCAGTTCCATAGCAGTTATTAAGAATTTGATAGAAAGGTAATTTACTCATTTTCACATGCTAGGAATGAGCAATGGATTAAATTTCTTCCGACAATATCATTACATTGTCAGGAAGAAAGGTAATTTTTAGATTAAATAAAATAGTTACTAAAAAGTTTGGTTTGATTTAGTACCAGATTCTCAGAGTTCAACATTTTTTTTTGGTACACAGTAAGGAGAACAATTACTTAAACTGTGCAACTGAAATGGTTCATCATTTTCAATTATATTTGCAGACTGCTGAGGAAAGAAATACATCTGTTGAGATTGTCACTGATGAAGTAAAAGCAATTTTAGAAGAGATGGGTCATAATTTTAATCTTAGTAGCATCAGATTAATGGCTGTAATGCTGCGCAAAATACTTTGCACACTATTCCGCCGAGTTCTGATCAATCGGGAAGGCCTAGAGAGGGTGAGTAACTTATTATGTAGATTTTTCCACAAACTAATCCATGCTTTATTTATATTGCTTGTTTCAGCCCTGCAAGGAATAGAGAGATAGTACTGGACAAATATATTATTTTTGACCTGTTTTTCCTTGTGTTTCTTGTAGTTTTAGCCTCTCAGGTTTGCTCGAATTAGATTGAAATTTAGAGTTGTCTTTACTTCTCTTAATTTCAGAGGAAATTTTTCTTCACTGTAGTTTTTTTGCCTCATTGTCTACCTGGTCATAGGCATACAGGAACAGTAAATTCACCCAAAGCTTAACTATTATCTCTGACAGTCACAGTGTTTAGCTCTGTTTCAATTCATTGAATAACCTGTTTCCTGTTCCACTAAATTTTCTCCCTGCCTCTTTCTCCCTTCTTGTTAAGTGCCATAACAGAATGTCTCAGGTAGTGCTGATGATCTTTGAATTGTGCTGAATTTAAATATGACTCTATGATCCTGTTGTAACTCTGAGTTTCTTTCTCTCCTTTGCCAACCTCCCAAAGCCATACTATCCCACTGGTAGAGTCCTTGTTTTCTTTAACAATTGGTTCATATGTCAGCATGCGTTCATTGAGATATGAAGCATGTGGGAAGTTTGGAGAGCACGAAAGATGCATAAGAGTTGCTCAAGGTGTAGCCGAGAGCAACTCTAGCTTCTTGAGTGCTCTCCAAACTTCCCAAGTGCTTCATATCTCGATGAACACACAGCTGACGTATGAACCAATTGTATTATAACATTTTCAACCCAAAGAAAATTTTTTTTCTTGAGGGATTTGTTTGCTGATGTCATGAGAGTGCACAATAGGAATATGAAGCATGCTCGCGCAATTGAATTTGATTAGACAAATTTACTAGCTATGTTATAAAACTAGCTGTTTCATATTTCCTACAAGGGAAACTAAACAAGTTTTTTAATCTATAGTTCTGTGGTAATAATACATGGTATTTTTTCAGACCACTTCTTTGGATGTTTAATAATACAATACTATTCATTAATTGTCGTAATTGATTTCATTTAGCTTAGAGATGCTGCGAAGAACAACCCAGTTGTATTTGTCCCATCACATCGCAGCTATATGGACTTTCTTCTTGTGTCATTCATCTGTTTTACTATGGACATTCCACTGCCATTTATTGCAGCTGCTGCAGATTTCATGAACATGCGGGTAGTCCGTACATTGTTCAGAAACAGTGGAGCATTCTACATGCGTCGTTCTTTTATGTCTGACCCACTGTACTGGGTTGTGTTCACAGAGTACATACAGAATCAACTTCAGATTGGTGATCAACCACTGGAGTTCTTTTTAGAAGGAACAAGAAGTAGAACAGGAAAATTTCTGCAACCTAGACTTGGTAAGTGTTCTTTTAAAATATCTTATGTAAAGCTGGAAATTTTTGGATAAGACCATCTCATTCTCATCACCTGTCTGATTGAAATTGTATATTGTAAGGAGAAATTCTGTCTTGGTCACTCTGAGAGTTAAAGGGTTAAATTAAAATAAAATGAAAGATCAAAGCCTGGTTTGCTCACATCTGACCAAATTAACCAAACATGACTCAACTTTCATTGCATTTTCTCTTAGTTGCACAATTGTCTCTGGGAAAACTATAGGTCACTTAGTATGGCAGATAATTTCTTACCAAAAGGAGAGGCTAAAGTTTCCCCTGACAAACCATCCGTTTGGACAATTCTTATGACTGTTCTATTAATCCCATGCAAAATTCCAAAAGCCTACAAATGAATTAATAGTCAATATGACATTAGGGAGATATTAGTAAAATCATTATCAGAAACCACGTGACAAAGGTAAAAACAAATCATTTACTAGGTGTCCTTTCCATGGTTGTGGATGCATACACAAATGCTCGTGTGCCAGATGTTATCATTTGTCCAATCAGCATAAGTTATGACAGAATTCTGGAAGAATCACTTTATGCTTATGAGCTGCTGGGAATACCAAAACCTAAGGAATCTCTTAGAGTGAGTATTGCTTATAATTGGTACAAATACAGTCAAAATGAACTCATGCCAGTCCCTAGATGGGGCCTTGCAGAATCAGTTTGACTCAGAATAATAATTTCTAAAGATCTCAATAAAGGTGACGACAGCATGCATCTCTGACTCCCTTAATATCTCGCATGCATGAACTTGCATGAAGTACTCTTTCACAGGTACTGTTTTTCACAAGTTTTTCAATTCAGATTTGTTCAGGTTCCATTACAAATCATAGCCAAAGGTGTAAAGCACATACCTAAGCACAACTCTTAGGCTTCAAGAACTGGTTGAAAATAATGTAGAAACACAGTGAAAGGGAAACAATTTTCATGTGCTCTTTGAGGTGCTTTTCAGGGGCCTTTTACATGCATGTGAAATTTTTGTTTGAAATAAGTTTGTAGATACATGAAAACTGTACCTAAAGAGTCTACCAGAAGAAACATTATAATACATGCAGATATGGCAATTCTTGGTTGCATATATTTTGCAACACCTTTACTCTAGAATTTTGCAAAAGTCTTGTACTTGGAATAATTTAATTTTGCACTTTGAGTGAGACACAATGTTTTCAGGATCTTAAATATATCTTTCCAGAAAATCTTAATCATAGCCAGTCAAGTATGTTTCTGCATACCTTCAGGCTTACAGATGAACTTGCTAGCTTAATGTTTAGTTAATGCTTTTTCCAAAATTTCTAATATAGGGGTTGATCAGAAGCAGATCTGTCTTGACAGAGGACTATGGAAGTATACATATTCACATTGGAGAGCTTATACCTCTGAGTAGATTCACAGACGGAAAGCTTAACAGGGTGGATAATGCAGCTATACCAAGGTGAATATAAGGCAACTGCTATGAAATTTTTAGAAGGAATGTTAATTCTGTTGTGACTTCATTGTTACCATAATTCTCAATGCGCCATATTCTGCTATGGGGAGCTTAGCTAAGGGCATTTATTAGTCACCACAGCACATGTGATTCAAGCCCAAGCTGAGGGACCAAGGAATCACTCATTGTCTTGCTAACATGCCAAAGTGTACAGCATGAGGAGGTTCAAACTCCTGTTGGTTCCAACTGGTTTTAAGGCACCAAAAACACACACAAGTGACCCCACCATATGGAGTGGATCTCATAGAACATTCTGCCTTGTTAGCGAGAAAGCTTTAGGTGCACAAAGGGAGTTCCATAGGAATTACCCCTCCTAGTTGCACTTGATCATTACATTTTAGCAATTTGAGTATCCAATGCAGTTGAATTTTAGTGATTTAGGAAAGGCCAATAAACTTGGAAACATATCTGTGTAGAAATATTGCTGTACCTATAAAGTCAACTCTGTGAAGAGTCATGATTTTTACCTTTGGAGTCATGGACATCTCTGCATTTATCAGTGTGATACACAGAACCAGCTTAACAATATGACTCTAAAAAACTGTCAATTGAACATGTTTTCCTTTCTTAGACATTTGTTTCATTATTTGTCCAATGATGAGAAGAAAGCCGTGAAGTCACTGGGATACAAGGTCTTGCATGATCTACAAAAAGGAATGATTCATTCCCCCAGTGTTCTTGTGGCTTCAATCATGCTTCAAAATTTACAAGGACTCCATTTTGGTAAGTTTGGTTTGAGAGAAGTGTCAGTTGGTGTATGTTTTAATGGACCCCTGTGATAGCGCAAAGCTTATCACAAACTTTTAAACCCAAACACATCATTTAGAATTGGGAATCACGATCAACCAGTCAAATGTTGCTCATTGATGTAGGATACTGACATGGCAAAAATCTTGTTTTGCTCAAGTTAATCACTGAGACTGAGAACTAGCCTTGCATGTAGATGGAGTCAATTATTTTGTTTGGTTTTGGTTTTGTTTTGTTTTGTTTGTTATTTTCCTTGGGTTTTTCTTGTTTGTTTTTTGGTTTGTTTGTTATTTTTCTTGATTTTTTTGCTTTTGTTTTGTTGTTGGTTTGTTTATGTGTTTGTTTGTTCATTTGTTTTATTCTGTTGTTTTTCTTTTGGCTGTATACATATAGCCCCTAGTTTTAATTGTATTTTTGTGTTATTTTACATTGCAGATGAGCTGTTAGAAAAATTTACCTGGCTGAAAGAGTTGTGTCTCTTGTGGCATATTCCTATAAAGTCTGCAGGTTTGTTTGAATAATAATAATAATAATAATAATAATAATAATCATTATGATAATAATAAATGGATTGAAATGCATTTTTTGAATTTTGTACCAGAATGCCATGAAATGAAAATATTAGTCTTTCTGAATGTGAATTCCTTAAAATTGATTAAAAATTTCAACCTAAAAAAAAGTTTAAAATGATGCTAAACCTTAAACCGCATTGCCAATAGGTTTTACTGTCCTTGTTCGTACAGTGGGCCTGTTAACCCTTTAAGTCCCACCAGTGATCTAGACCGAATTTCACCATACACTATCAGTACGATATCAAGCAGACAAGTAATGAGAAAAAATATTTGTAAATTAGGGGATTATTGGTTGATCCAATTTCAAATTCTCCAAACGCATTTTGTTAATTGTGATGTGGAATTCTGAGTTGCAAAATGTACTTTTGTATGATTAGCTGGTTGAATCATTTGTTCAAGTGTACTGACTTGAAACTAATTTTCCTTTGGTTTGTTGATCTAGGTAACACGGACAGTGTAGCTTTGGTAAACGAGAGTATCGATTTATTAAAATCGTCTTTGGAGAAAACCAAGGATGGATTTGTGAGAATCAGAGACATTACCGCAAATGCAATTGATGGGCCAAGTTCTTCAGGGCAAGCGGCAAAGAAGGGTGAACATCTCGCAAATTCCGTACGAAACGTCAAAGATGAGGCAGCCATACACATGCTGCTGGCATGTAAAAGAAATGTTATTTTGTGCGATTTCTTTAGAACTGGCATGTTTTCCCTATCTGCGCATAAACAGCCTTCTTCAGAAAAGCAGTTAGGTAAGTCAAATGAAGCTGTGAATTCGTTTTTTCCCATATTTTTTCGATTTGGTTTTATTTTTTTGTCACCGTCTAAAAAAGTTGATTTACCCTTCTTGTTTCCGAGTATTTTTTTGATCAATAAAGAAACCTGATTGGTTATTGTGCTCAGATGAAACAACCAATCAGCGAAAGCTCACTGATCTCTGTTTTGTGACGCAATCAGTGCAGGATTATCATACTGCACGCGATAGCACACGATAGCCATAGTCTGCAAATAGTTTCCGGTTGCAAGAGCCTTGAAGAAACTGGCTTTCAGTGAGATGGCTGGTGAGGGGTGGGATGGGGTGGTCCTCCTCCTCTTCCTCCTTTTCTTTAAGCTTTATTCTCTGCTGAAGAGCCTGTGAACGGACTAGATGGCCTGAGCAGGGCCAGGTACTTTGCGACCTTGAACCAGATATTTTCCCGTCCAGCCCTCCCGTCAATGAGTGCATAGTATTCGACCGAGCACTTCGGATATTTCTTCATCCATTATTGAAGTGTTAAATGCTGTCTGATTGCGTTGCTGTTCGAGTTGTCTGACTCCTTGCTTTGTGAAAGCATTTGCGAGTTTGACTATTGGTCATGGTTTCCTCTTACAACGGAATGACGAGGTGCTATCGAGGTGATGTCTAATTTTGTTCCAAACTTTTTTCTGTTTTCCTCAGTTCAACTGTTTGCTGATTTTGAATTTTTGATGAAACTTTTGGTGCAAGAAGTTCCTCCAGTTACTGAGCAAATCAATGAGGTAACGACCGATGTCTTCTGATAATTTTTCTGGTGTTTGATTGGAGTAAAATAAATTGAATTTTAATTAAGTGTTTCATTTTACTTCTTCTCCAGAACTTTGAGTACTTTCGGGAGACCGTTCAGTTATTAGAGCACCATGGCTCGATAAATATTCGAAATGGGAAAGTAAAGATTCTTCAGGAGAAGGACATCACTTTCAGTGCGGACATATGGAGACCTATTTTGACAGCATACGGGGTGAGTCAAACACCAACTGTCACACATAGAACAGGGTGACAAAAATGACCCACGCAAATATCTCTTGATCCCATGCGTAATAGCTAAGGTAAATTGGAGTATGTTGTTACCATTTTCAGATTACATGTCAGTTTTTTGCCAACTTCCCTGATGGTATTCACGAACAACCACTGTCAGAGATTGTAAAACAAATTCAGGACAAGGCAGCTGAGCTTGTACTCACTGGTAAGTTGGTATATGCTTCACACAAATGGACAAACCTTGGACGACCTTCGGAACAGCTTTATACAATCGCTTTGACGAAGAGCTAGCGCTCGAAACCTAAGCCTTTAAACTCTTTGCGGTGGCCAACTTACGTTTTCAACTCAGTTGTTAACACTAAATTACCTGTTATTCTCTCCCACCGACGCAGCACCACAGTTTCTCTAGAAACTTACCCCCTTAATTCATTAAGCTTTAGGGACAGCCCACGGGTAAACCCTCGGGATAACCCTCGACACAACCTTCGGGATGGTCATGTTTTAGTAACTCTAATGTTCCGTCAACCATTACTGCTGGAAATATTTACTAAGGTGGTGGAGGGGGAGGTCGTGGCCTCATGGTCTGAACTATCATTTCTTCACTCTCAAGGTGATGTGAAGTTCTACGAGGTCCTCTCGCTTGACTTGTTAAGGAATTCTGTTATGGCGCTGGCCGATTTGCGGGTCTTGAATTCATCTAAAAGGTACAGTTATTACTTCAAATTCCCTGTCGAATGCCCCTTGGGTGCATCCATGAGCTAACCTGTTGGTGCTGACGAAACTGAAGCATATCGTTAATACCGTGTAGTGTAATAAATTTGCAGTTTGCCGATTTTTATTTCGCAGGAACAAAGATTTGTTGCTCGAGATGACTGAAGTTTCGGCTGGGAAACTTTTTTTGCCATTTGTGGTTCAAGCAGCAAAACATTACCAAGAAAGAAGCGTAATAATTTCAAATCGCTAAGCGTCCTTTTCTAGTCATATTTAGGTGGTAGGTTCGTTACTACAATGTTTCGACGGAAGTCGGATTACAAAAAATACTAATTAACCTTTAATTTGTTTGCGGATTACCTTTTCGTCTTTGACCGAGGATAGTAAATTTTTGCTGCGTCTGCTTTACGGATTTGAGGACTGTCTACGAACTCCGGAAAATTTTCTTATTACACGGTATTACTTTGATCAAAATTGATTTGAATTGTAATTTTTTTTCTTGTAGTGTTGATGGTGTTGTAGTTATCTCAGTTCCTAGCAGTTCAAAGGTCACGGAAACCTTGCACAAAATAGGTAAGTGGAGGATGAAGTTTTCCTCACGACGCGTTCGTTGCGTTAAACATTGTTCGAGATTTCTTTTTTTTTTGGGCCCACATTTATACTTTTGAAACTGAAAATTTATTTGAAAACTGACAACTGCTACCTCCGAGAACAACAACCAATCGGGTTTCTTTCCGTTTGAACAGAAAAACTCGGACACGGAAGGGAAAAAAATGAAAACGAAAAAAAATTTAAGAGGAAACACGAGTTCACAGAGTCATTTAAGGCGGCTGGAAACGGTTTTCCGAGACACATACCGACTATATCCAAAGCGCTCAAAAACCAACTTTCCCTCTTCGGAATCGAACCAATTTCCCACATGTTTAGACCAAAGGATCGAATTTTTAAATAAAGGACGTAGCATGACAATCGCTTTTATTATGCTAATCAGTGTTATGGGGAAATCCCGTTACGTAGTTATAGGGGACGGTCGCGGAGAATCCTCGATATATTTTTTTCCCCAACCAATTACTTCAGGATTTTTTTTTTGCGCCAAGGCCTTGCTGCTGAGTGTTTTTTACAGAAGTGGCAAGATGCACGCCTTTCTTTGTGGCTTGCATGGTGAATATGACATATAAATTGAACGCTAGGATCTTTTTTCTATTTTTTTTGTAGGTGAATATCTCGACCTGCCATGTTCTGCTTCGAATTTGACATTGCCTCAACTGTCAAAGCTGTGAGCGAAAATGCTTAACAGTCAGTAATAATGACAGAGATTTGCAACAAGAGCGCAAGATGGAAACAAGAAGATAATTTGGAATCGACTCTTCAACAAAATGGTTCCATAGATAGATACTGGTGTGCTATCCGTGATCGAGGAAAAAGGGTGCAATAATCCTTTCCGATTGTCGTTTCATTCAACTGACATAAAAGGAAAAAAAAATTTGCAGTGCGCTTAAAAGAGCAATTAATATAAAGGTGTAGCTTTGGAGGTGATAGTATTTACCATTCCATCCTTTGTGAAGAACCTATTTTATCATTCCATATGGTTAAAACAAAATTAAGTAGATGGGAGTTGTAACTGACCACAGTCGGCGAAACAATCAGTTATGTGAAGTGCTTTATCTATCTCATGCACCTGGGGGGGGTGAATCACTTGATAGGATGTTCATCAGTTTTTCGTATACATTACGAACTGTGAGAAGTGCGTTGTTAGGAACGTCTGAGGTGACAATCAGTTTTACGACCATGACAAAATTTCTCCTCTCAATATCAATGAAATGTCAAGCAGATTAGAATAAAGAAAAATATCAATCAAGGGATAGCTGATCCAATACCGAATTCTCCATTCTAACAATATGAGAACTGTATTGGAGACAGTAAGGAGAATTGCTAATGAGATCTTGGGAGTAAAAGGGTTAAGCAAACTTCTAGAATCAGTTATGCGATTATTGCTTTTCTCTGTTATTTGAACGGCCAATGTCAACATATGTTGACAACTTGACTGTGTGGAACTTAATATCATTGGACTGATTAAAAATTAAACGATGAAAAGGTAACTTAATAAAACAAAGAACTGCCAAAAACGTCGAGACTTGTTGTTGTCTTGCGGAAAGGAAGCCCGAAATTCAGCAATTTCGGGGGGGGGGGGGGGGGGGTTCAACGAGTGAACTAGAGACTTGTGAAAAGTTATTACCTTTTGAACCACAAACCCACTGTCATGGGAGGGGGTGGGTAGGTGGGGAGGGCTGAAATTTCAGGTTATTTACAATCCATCAGTTTTTTTTTGTATATATGCCTAGGTGCGTTCGAAATTCTGTAATGGAGAAAGCATTGCACATATTTTGTTGCAACTGTATTGATTACTCATATCAAGAGAAACAGGCAGTTTTTATAAGTTTATTTAACTAAATTGGCAAAGATTTGCACATTTTACTTTAAAAAAGTGTTCCGCTAACCTCAATAGCATCTTTTGTTCTCTTCGCAATTGAATTTTCTCTGCCGCGTTAATCACTTCCGCGGAAAAATTGAAAAAAACGCGGGACAGCCATTTTCAAATTTAGTGCCCCAGCTATAATCACCCCTCGTGAGGTGATTATATAAACATAGCATAGCTCAAGTTTCAACTGATTTGGTTTTGATAAAGGCCTAAGTCTTTTAGCAACAGAACTTGGAGCATGAATTAGGTTGGTTGAAATGGAAAATTAGAAATTTATCAGCCGATATATCTTTATTTTAAATGTCATTCGATCGCTGATCTAACCTACTTTCTCAACTGTTCCTTCCCCTTTTGTCATCGTTTACCTGGTCACGCTTCCAACTAAATGCATTTGAACGAGGCCTAGATCAATTTCACTGACAGACTTATATAAAAACTCTCTAAGCAACATTTAGAACACATTCCATAGAAGCGTTTTTTGAAATATTTATACTTACCTAAATTGTTACCCAAAATTCGTCCGATGAAGTTCCGAACCATTACTTCTTCTAAAAACGTTAAAAGTCTGTGATCCAAAGAAATCCAACAAAATTTTGAGAGCCAGTTTTTGATTCTCACAACAATGTGTATTCAATGAAGTAGCTAAACAATGTACATAAATTTCACAAACATGTATGCTATGATAAGAGGGCATGATCTTCTTTCAACTTTTCTCAACAGGCCTCAATTATCGGCGACCTGACGCTCTTCGTGAACAGTGCTTGAGGAAAGTCGCACAGCTCCTGACCATCGTTATAATGTCGGCTGTTTGTCTCACAATAATTCGCTGGACTCTGAGTGAAAAGTACCTGTCGTATGTATGTGAAGACTTTTCACATATTTGAGATATCTTTGAACAGGTTTGGACGGGAGCTGAAAGAACTGGGAAGAGAAAATGAAGTTAAAGCTTCCCGTTAAATTTCCTGGAAAATTGATTTGAGAGGATAAACCACTACTAGTTTTGAACTACTGTTTTTTAAGACCTCTTTGAACAGCTACAAATAGAACTAACAATAAGAGAGGGATAGTTTACCAGGACAATTCAAACTGAAAAACAAGTCTTCTTTGGCTTGTATCTTTTTTTCACGGAAAAATCACGAGATAAAATATTTGACCCAGTGTTTCTAGCTCGCGTTTAAGCACATTGAACCTGCTATTCATAGCTTTTTTTTCTCATTCTGTAGTGCGGTTCAACTAAGCTAAGGAACAACGACGTTGAGTGTTTGGCTAACTTCTTTCCACAGGCGGAAAAAGGGTACATCATATTCACGAGCCAACTTTCATCAGAAAACAAAACGACAGATGACACCAAAACGTTAAGCGACATCATTGACCGTATCAGAACCGTTGTACTTGTTTTTAAGGTCGAATTAGAAAAATCAGTTGACAAATATCCATTAACTGAAATAAAAAAGGACTTTGTTCTTCGTTTCCCTGTTAATTAGCGCGGACCAGCTTCCCAAGCGAAATAAAATTGAAAGCATCTCCCCCTTAATCAACTTGTAGGCTCCAACCAACAAAGCAGTCAAAATATTTCATGTCTGCTCATGTGCAAACGTTGTAATAACTAGGTCGGGGTCCACCCAGCAAATCTTTGCGTGAGGGAAGGGGAGGGGGGCGTTAAAGACGAGTGGATAAGCTTCAGGCAGGGGAATGGGGACATGCTTGGTCACGGTGTTTTAAAACTGTATTGACCAGCTTAAGCTCATTTAGAAAGGAATTCGATTGGTGATGAACAGTTTCCTCGACTGAGGACTTGAGAAACTAAGACGCAACGGTGCAGTTGTAATAATCTCAACGAAAGTAAACGTGAACTGCGAAATTACTTTAATTTTTTTCAAAGCAAATCAGCTTTCCGACGAAATATGTGGCCTATAATCTAGCGTTCCCGAAGGAATTTTCTCTAAATCTTCCCATAAGCCCTTTCGAACTTTTGCTCGTAGTCAGCACGAACCAGAGTTAGCTATTGAAAGCAAAAGTCAAAGCGAAGCCGTTGATTTTTTCGGAAACCACTGCATGAGAGCTAAAAACGTGTGATGAATGTTTTTTGTCTTGAAAGGCAGGGATTGTTTTCCTGAGTTTTACTCTACTCAACCTAGAAATGTTAGTTTAAGAGAATTACACCTTGGTCGCAGACAAGATGTTGAAAGTCTACGTGAATCTCTGACACGTGCAAACTCAGTGCTTGCTCAATTTCCCAACGTGGTGGACCGAAAAACAGTCTTGACTAAACTTGTGCTATTCCCAGAAGGCTTTATTATTTCATCAGCTATTCCAATACCTTGAAACTCAATTTATATTCATACAGTCAGTTATTCTTTTATGTAATCTCGGATGAAAAACTACTAAAGCAAAATACGAGGGCTCAAAAATTGCAATTTTATTTTATGCTTTTGGACCCTCTTTACACTGATTCTATGCCGTTGTGTGATATGTGTCACTGAAACGGTAACTCATACTTACACATGATTTACACGACGTCACTCCGTTAATGTATTCAGAACAGATGTAAATTTTCTGAGAAGTCATTTTCGCGCTTCTCCACTCGCGCACAACTCGCATCTTTGCTTCCCCCTTGAAAATAACAAGTAAAGTCTAAACTATTCTATACCAGGCAAGTTCATGCCTTCGACATCGAGATTTTTTGCACTGAAGCATAGAATTTAAGGATAAATGAGATCTACTCGTCCTCGTTGATTGTGATGGATACTTTCTTAGGATCCAGGATCCAGTCACTCCTAACCAATATGCCATTCACCTCTTGAATTTTCTGTAAGACAGATACAATTTAACTTAGGGGATTAAACATCTCTACCTATGAGGCATTGCAAAATCAAGGCTAACAAATGAAAGTGGAAGCTAAACAAGTGTAATTGCTGTTGAAAGATTTCAATATTTTTTTCCCTTTGAGATCCTGCTGATTTACGCAGATAAACTTTGTGTTTTCTGGACAATACTTGTTTATAACATCAGTAGCGCGCGTGCTTGCCCTATGTAAGTCGTACTGAACCGCTATGAACAAAATCTTTATTTACGCACGCCCGTGCGTGAATAAGATGACGTGAGCAGTTTTTGTTCATTGTCGCTCTATTATAAAAGAATTTGCTCATGCTTTTAGCTGTGTGTATATCGAGTTACGGATGCACTTGGTAAGTTTGGAGAGCACTCAAAAAGCTAGAGTTGCTCTCGGCTACGCCTCGAGCTACTCTTACGCATTTTTCGCGCTCTCCAAACTTCCCGCGTGCATCCATAACTCGCTATACGCACGCTAAGCATGAACAAATTCTTAAATTTAGAAACATGCATCTTGTTATGATCAAATGCACATTTACACACTTTAAAATATCATATATTGTAATCGATAATGAAAACCTACTTTGTGCCCTGGATTCAGCCATTTTGATAGGATGCTCTTCTTCTTCCTGACTTCTTCAAGATCTTGGATCTGCTCGTCTTCGTTGACTCTGATGGATGCACTTTTCTAAAATTCAGATGTAAATCACTTTAATGGAAAATTCAATAAGTAAGACTGGGGATAACCATGGATTTCTTATTAAAACAAGTGGTTTAATCTCTAACGCAAGCAAATCGACCACATTGACAAACTTTTTAGACTTTTAAGCCTGTACATTTTGAGAAATAACTTACACGTATGCACTTTAAAGTCACCACTAAATTTAGCCAGCAAACACTTGACAGTTACAGCACTACAAAGGCTTAAGGGAAGTGGTCAGCCAGTCCAAGGTGGCGCCCAAACCCTGAAATCTCACAGCATCCATAAAGAAGCGACACGAATGGTATGCATTCTCCTAACATCGAGTCAATACAGAGTACATCAACAGAGTAAACATACTTTGTGTCCTGGTGTCAGGAATCTTACTTGGAGCCTCTCCTTTTCCTCGTCTGAAGCCTCCAGAGTCTCCTCTCTTGACAATGGTACCAGCGGTATTGCTTGGATCTGCTCCTCAACACAGATACAAATCAATTTAATGGGAAATTTAAAAAATGAAATGGATAAAGCTACGAGTAACGACAAAACTAGTACGGCCTGGGAATTGGAGTTGAAGCTCAATCAAATGCACAATGACGCATTTCAAAAGACAATGCAGTGTTTATCGACAATGAAAACATACTCTGTATGCTGGTTCTAGGAGTTCTGCTGGGACCGTCTCCTTTTTCCCGCCTTTTGCTTGCAGAGTCCTCTCATCGATAAGTGATGTCAGCGGTATCACTGAATCTTGAATCTCCTCGTCAGGGTTCACGTTCATATATTCTTCATACTGTAACAGTATCTCCTCTAGAGAGTTCTCAGCACTGGACAGCGTTGCATGACTGCACACCAATATGAACATTGAAAGAGCATAGCGTATCATCTGCATAAAACAGGTAAAAAAAAAATTGAAACTCTACAAAACTACAAGAAAAGAAATGAGATTTCCTATTTTGTTTTGTTTGGTTTCTGGTTGGTTTGTTTGTATTAGCGACAGTAGGTAATTGTCATTTTGCCTGAGCCGTTTTGGTCTGTAAAAGAGTATGTTCTGTGACCATTTTTGTTCTGGATTGTCATTACTAACTTCACTGTTAGTAATAGTAATTGAACTGAGTGGAGTACAATTTGGTATGACATCTTTTGAGTCTTTTGAAATCGCGTGATTTCAAAATCAAACAATCGTGCCACGCGAGTTTCATTAAATCACAAGTATGTTTTTAGCCCAAAATTACACGATACGAAATCCAATTGCTTATTTTTTACATCCATTTTGACTTTGCAAAATTCAGCCACTCTATTACTGGATATTTTAAAAATATTTCATTAATCCAGTGCCGAGACAATATCAATTTTTAATTGAATCATCGCGATTGAATATCTTCGATTGCTCGTTTGCAAAGCAACGTGTTGGGTTTTAATCATCATTCGGGACGATTATCGACCAAGGAAATTTAAGCTTGAACATACCAGTTTAGAGCTATGCCAGTGGTGCTGCATTTTGTCCAAAAACTTGAGGTGATTCCTCAAAAAAAAGAAAAGAGTTGTCGAACAATTGTTTTAACTCCCACATCAAATTTTAATTTTCCCTACTGTCAACAATACAATTCTTACAATTTTAGTTCAGAGAAATTACTGTTGGATCAACTAATTATCCCCAAATCGATATTTGTCTTTATTCTCATCACTTATCTGGTTGATATTGTATTAATATTGTCGGGAAAAATTCTCTCTTGGTCACCCTGGGAGTTAAAGGGTTAACCAATGTCTGTTTCGAAAAGCTCAATAATAATGATAGGTCGCCGTGTTAGCAATATTGAGGAACCAGCTTAACGATTAATAACAACTAATAATCAAAGATAAGTCGATTCGTGTCTTCTAGTCCTCTAGAAATTTAAAAACAGTCTTTTATCAGCTTTGAGAAGACTGGTGTTGGCAGTGTTTTCAGGATTTCTAAATTGCTTCTCTTTAAGTGATTCTCGTGACCAGTGCATGGTCACAAATAAAAATATGCCAAAAAGAACAGGGATGTTTGTCTTTCATCTTGTTCCTTAAAGGTCTTGATACCAACTTTGCCTATTTCAATGTTTGGTATTTCGACTGCTCAGTTTTCATCCAGGTTAAACTGCTAATCACGATCTCTCCGACGATTTGACGATTCGAAACAATTCGATCAGTACAAAGTTAGTCGATGTAAAACTGAGATACAGCTTTATCATGGTAGTTTTCAGGGTGCAGGAGTGGCTTTCTGCGAATAAGACATCAGAACAAAACAACTTACCCTTCCACTGAACGCTGTCGCTTCTACCTCTAGCAGTAGTAGATGCAAAACAGATTTGGCAGAAAGGAAAAAACAGCTTTGTACGCTGGAGAAACCTTGTGACTCCTTGTGACATCAACGTGACAGGTTGCACTTATCTTTCACTCATTTAACCGAATTCAAAGAAAAAGTGAATTTGGCGATTAGATTTCGCACTTAGTTTTGCATTTCCATGGCCTGAGCCAGACCCACGAGCAGTGAGAACGGGCAAAGGAGCGGGGTTCTGTGAAGGGGTAGCGAGTGTCTCTTTCCGTCTCTCCCCTTGAAGAGTCTTCCCCGCTATCACCCATACCTCGTTTACGCTTCTTTCTCACCCCTACCGACAGACAGTTTCTCGGGCAGACTTCTCTGATGAGGTTAAAGAAAGCAGTTTGACCCATAAATTTCGATACTGTGGTACCCACAATCAAGATCGACTAAATCATTTGCTTTTAAGCTCGATATAAAAGGTTAGTTGTTTCACAGAAGCAAAAAAATGCAAGTAAGACAGTATCAGAAGACCTCGGGCGAGGTTTAGAGCCATCAGCCGACATCGGAATTACGTAATAAAAAATGAAGTTTGTGTGAAACGTATGATTAGATTTATATGTTTCAGAGCGCTAATGATTGTGTTAAACAACAGTCGACCAACAGTTGCGATTCATATAACCGACCCAATTTCTCTTCTGACCGACCATCAAAGCGCGGTTAGGTTGTATTATTATGGATTCAACTCACTATCTCTTGCGATTGACCGAAAGCGTACAGTGAATTTTCGAAATCAGCGCGTGGGACATCATCAAGTTTCAGATTATTCAATAATCATGTCAAGGTAAGGGTTATCAGCTTCAGCCATCGGTTTCAGCTGATAACCCACACCTCGACCTTGATGATTCTGGATATCACTAAAACCTAATCCAGTTAATGTTTATTATCTGTTAGAACACTAGCTAAGACCGACCCAACGGAGAGAGGAAAAAAAAACAGACTTGATTTCTACCTGACTGCTCGTGGCAATAAAGTTTTCCGTGTGCGCGTGCTTTTGTTATCTTTTATTTCAATGAAGTCGTTAAAATCGAGCAAATTGTTGAATGCACATACATTTGCATTTTAACATCGACCAAACTTTGGATACTGGTGTTCACGAGAGGCCAGCCAACCAATTAAGCAACACAACAGAAGAGAACGTCACAACAGCAACAAAAATATTTTGGAAACATTTTATTATCTAGAACGAAAACACTGAGTTGCTGGAAACTGAAAAATACCAGGTAACCGCAAACGGGCGAGTCTCTTTCCTGCCCTTGGAGACCAACTGGAAACGATCATGTTACCCTCAAGCTGTTTGCAGGAATCAGTAGTGCGGTTAGTTCGCGGTTGAGCTGTAGAACGCACAAAATAAACGCGGTTGTAGTATGACGACACCAAATTCACCCCAAATTCCCGAATGTCTCAATCATATCCGGTACATCATTTGGTTTGAAAAATATTTTAAAGGTAAAGCTGGAAATAATCATGACAAACTGTTATTTATTTCGATTTCAAAACTAGCCGATTACAATTTTCTATAACTAAAATATCTATTTATTCATTTGTATTTGAAGCATACCTTGGTAATGAAAATTACCTTGAGCGATCATTCAAATTGACGTTGAATTATTCATTAATTTAAAAGCTTGATCATTTGTTTCTGTGTAACATAATATTTCGATCAATATTACTCGTCTTTTCTCCAAGCTGTATAAACGCAACATCAAATTGATTTGCTTTTGTGGGGGCTGTTTTATCTCGATAAACATATTTAAAAACCATTGAATATAAATGTGCAGCGATTAAATTTTCTTTAGGCGGATTAGAACCAGATCTTGAAATTTTAGCGAACCCTGATATAAGAACTCCTTGTATAGAACATCACATGGAATTCACAGAAGCTCGATCACGCGGAGTTTGATCGCCACATACGAAAGGTTGTGATCTTCCCAATCATTCTGTTTGAATTAATAAATATAATTGTTATTATTGAACAAAATGTTGTATATTGTCTTTTTGACGGCCGTAAAATCACTAGTTATTAATGGAATGGCTAAAGGTGTCAACATTTTTCGTATTTATGTAAATATTTGATCTGTCGGTGCTTTCGACGTGAATTCGATAAACACAGCCGTCGAAAATATTTCCATACCTAAAGTAAACGATCTTAGTTTGCAAATCGTTCCTACTTTACATTGCACTGATTCCCGAATCGAAGCTTTCTGTCACCTCCGAATCGTTCAGAATGTCATCTCCCTCGACTCTCGTCATATTTTTAATCCTTTGCCGAAGAGCTATGAGCTGGCGTGCAAGATTTTTGTCTTGTAACTGTAGTTCTTGAAGTTCCTTACGTACCCATGTTATAGCGTTCTGTAGGTCCACTTGTCTTTCGGCGATGGTTGCTCCTTCACGCTGTATTACAGGAACTTTACTGCCCTTTTCGCTGCCAACTTTCTCACTGTTGATCACGCTGTCATTTAAAAATTCCCTTGTTTCTGGCTCTTCGATAAAATTAACACGGCGTTGTTGTTCGAGTTTTACATCATCTGTTTCATTCAATCTGTTCATCTTGAAGAAGAGTAATACGCTCTGTTCTGGGTGAAAAGTAAAGTCCTTGGGATAGTGTCTTGGTGACCCGTCGAATGTTGCTCATCAAATCGTACTATTCCGTGTACGTTGTGAAATGTTCGCTATCGCCTCGGGTCAGTCTTTACTTCCTGCGAGAGTCACGAACTCTGAGTGATTAATGAGTTCGGTATGTTTTGATTTATTTCAAATGTAAATATTAAACCTCTGCGAGAGGTCTTTGTTATTTTCCGCCAATCAAATAGTCGGAATGTTGTTAGCGTGCGTATTTTAAATATCATAATGTTCATTATCAGGAAAAAGTTTAAAGTACCATGCTCCATTCCTTTCATTAAATCGGATTTGCCAAACTGTTTACAAATAAGTGAAACGAAGAAAAATTAAATTATTGCGACCTTAATTAGTCTACCTTGTCGCAGCCTTGTTGGTTAGCGGTCATTGTAAAGGAGCGTGCGCAGCAATCCCCAAAATAAACATGGCGGACAGAGACGATCTTTACCTTACCTAAGAGGACTTGTCTAACTATTTACAGTGTGTTAGCTTCCCTGGTCTAGGAAAAATGAAGTAATTTCTTTTGAAATGTATTTTCTTAAATCAGCTGATTTTATTTTTTAAATCAGCTGTCTTTTTGCATCATTTTTCTCAGGTTAAATATAGACGGTCTTCTTGTGTACTTTCCGTACGACTATATCTATCCTGAACAGTATTCGTACATGATGGAATTGAAAAGAACTCTTGATGCTAAGGTACGTCATTTTAAATAGTTTCGAGTTTATTTTCTAGCATACTGTGCTTGTAACCCCGAATATCATCGGTGAGGGTTTCACAGTTAAGTTACGTCACCAATTCGAACGTGCGATTTTCGGTTCGAAGAATGCATATAGTGGTGTGTCGTGCAGCACGTGTTCATGTTTGAGGACCGAGACCAAGGTTTGCACAATTTCCCACAGGAGAAATGCCGAAGACATTACCTGTCGCTTGCACATTGCCATTGCAAAAACAGCTGGGTGATAACCAATGGAGCAAAACGGGATGAGGCTCAAACTATACCAGCTGATCTGGAAGAGATCATCAGGCTACGATTGCATTGCTGAGGTTTTGCTTTCAACATAGCCATTGTTAACAGGCACAGCCATTCTGTCGTGAGAGAGATGGATTTTGACTGTTTTTAGATTGCTTCCTTTACTGTGAATGTATTAATGATACTCTGTAACCTTAAATAAGCTATAGCTATTGTAGCTTAGTATGTCTTCCTAATTTTATCTCATTTTATTTTCAGGGTCACTGCCTTTTGGAAATGCCTTCTGGAACTGGGAAAACTATCTCATTGCTGTCCCTGATAGTTGCCTATATTTTGGTACATGTAATATTCTGGATTATTCTGTAATCACAATGTTTCTGGTCTGTTTGAACTTATTGCTCCCTGAATACTTAATTTTTCACTCATTTAGTTGAAGTTTAAGATTTTATAAATAGAAGAATAGGTCTCACATTTATCCAATCCTTTTCCACAGTCCAAACCATTTGAGCTGTCAAAACTGATCTACTGCTCTCGTACTGTTCCAGAATTAGAAAAAGTAAGTGAACATGTCAATTAATTTCTAGCTGGAATTTGCTAGATCCTATACAACTTGTTTGCCAAACTGATATTCATTCCCATGTGTTATATCCTGGGTTAAGACATCCTCGAGAGTCAGGTGTCTTGTGCAACCACAGAGCTGCTAATACATGTAAGTTTGAAAGTAAGGGCAGACGAGAAAAGTCAGTGGCAAGGTTATCAGGAACACTGTGTTGTTTTGTCAGATTAGACACAAGACTGGGTCCTTGGCATTTGAATTGCACTAATCTTGCACTAATCTTGAACCAAATTCTGAATGTGGAATCAATTCTCACATTTAAACCTACCTGTAACTGGCAAACTGTGCATTTAATTCTACCCAGAACTGGATGCATGTAGGAGGCATTGTTTGTAAAACTCATTAGGCTATATAGGGTATATGACAATTAAATAAAGATGCAGTGTTTAACTGCAGGTTTTGGAAGAGTTGAAGGTTCTTTTGGAGTATTACGAAAAGGAAACAGGAAGAAAACCAAAACTGTTAGGGCTGGGACTCAGCTCAAGAAAGAATCTTTGCATTCATCCTGAGGCAAGTGCTACCTATTGTAGATGCATGGTTTTGTATTCTGTCAACTCTTTAATCCCAAGATCTGATTGTTAATTCTCCCCTTTAGCTACCACACATTTCTTTGAAAATTAGTTATGAGAATTTGGTATTAGATCAAGATAACAACTTTAACCTGACAAGTTTGAGTATTCTCATTACCTCTTTGCATGGATATTATCGGGAAAAGAACTCCCATGAGTGACCAAGACAAAATTTCTCCTTACAATATCAATACAATATCAACCAGATAAGTAATGAGAATAAAGAAAAATATAAATTTGGGGATGATTGGTTGATCCAATATTAAATTCTCTGAACTAACATTATAAGAATTGTATGTTTGACAGTAAGGAGAATTACAAATTTGATCTGGGAGTTGAAGGGTCAAAGGGTTAATTCCATTTTTGTGTTTAATGGGGTGTAACACTTATTTTCTGAGACAAAAAAAGCCTACTGCAATAGGGAACCCCTAAAGAAAGAACCTTGATTTTGTAAGTGTACCTCGTGCACTAATTTTTCAGTCCCTTGGTAGTAGTGTCATTAAATCAATATGTAATTGTGACAGTGTGTATCATAAATACTTTTCCTTTTGACAGGTGAGTGCAGGAAGAGAAGGGAAGAAAGTGGATGGGAAATGTTTGAGTTTGACTGCATCATATATACGTCTGAGACACAAAGAGGACAAAACTGTTCCTGTTTGTGCATTTTATGAGGTAATGATCTTGTGGTGTAAAATGATGTTTATATTGTACTAATAAAGTGAAAAATCATGATGACACAGAATTACAGTGCTTCTTTATTTTCCTTCCTTGGAGAGATTAAGGCCACAGTATAAAGCATCCTTGGACATCTGAAGGAAAATTTAAGAGGCTGTTTACATCATATGCTGACATCTAACAGTTACATGTACATCTAACAGTGACAGGGTTAGGAATAATCGCCCATTTTGGAGTCTGTGAACTGGATTTGGTGTAAACTTGTGAAATAGTACTGTACAGAGAAACCCAAGTAATCCTAAAGACCCCAAACAGTTATTAATGAACTTGACTATTAACAGTTGCCTTGAATTTCATTTTAGGATTTTGATGCTCATGGTAAAGAGGAAAAAATTCCTCCTGGAGTGTATAATTTGGTAAGGACTGTATCTACCAAATTAAGTGCATAAGTTTTTTATCTTTGACCTTCATACAGAGCAATGACTTGTTGAAATATTCTACAGCTCACCGTGAGTTTCAAATTTGACTATTGAAAAAAATATGCATGTTTTAGTTTTGAAATTCAATGTAATATGTGATCTTGGAGTTGTGAATCCTTCTATGATACAAGGCAAGATGGTATAAAATAATATGATAACTCTTGTTAAATTTGTTGTAGTTGTTAATGCTTGCTTCATTTAGTTTGGTTTGTAATCTTGGCTTAAGGGTGACCTGAAAGAATTTGGCAGAAAAAAGGGATGGTGTCCATATTTTTTGGCAAGATATACAGTAAGTACACTGTTACTGAACTACAATCTAACTAAAATTATCTCGCAGGTTTTCTGTGTACACTTAGCTGCAACACTAAATTGGAGAATATGAATATTATGTTAGGAAGAAGTTAGTATAAAATCATCTGGAACTTAAGAATTGATGATATTCCATTTGATGGATTTTTTTAGATATATCATGCAAACATAGTTGTGTACAGCTATCATTACTTGCTGGATCCTAAAATTGCTGAACTAGTTTCAAAAGAACTGGAAAAAACATCAGTTGTTGTCTTTGATGAGGCTCATAATATTGGTAAGGAACTTAATAATTCTTACAAACAGTATTTGCAGACTCCTTTACAGCACAGTAATGGAAGTTAAGGGCTTCTTAATCAAATTTCATATTGATTTTATAAGTACAGCTGTCGTTGGGTTGCTCTGGAGACACTTGATCATCAGAGGAGCAAAACTGATGGGCCATGTTAGAAGTTTTATTGCTAGCAGTATGAAATAAATTAAATGTTTTAAATGATTGCTATAAATTCTAACAATCACATATAATTAGTTATGATAGTGCTGTTTAGGATATAGAGGAAATTTGGTGAAATTATATTTTGTTGTGAGAAGATGCTCAGTTATAAGACCTACCCCAAGTTCAATATAGTTTAAAGTGCACAGAGAGGCTTTAACTGAAAAATTGCTGCACCTCATGTAACCAGAAAACTGCAGCATTTCTTTTCAAATAAAATCAATGACAATATTTTTTGATTTGTAGATAATGTGTGCATTGAATCCCTGAGTGTGACAATTTCAAGAAGAACACTTGATAGAAGTCATACTAATGTGGACAACTTGGCCAGAACTGTTAAAAAGTGAGTATTTTTAAGTTCTCCTTACCCCTCCCTTGAAAGTATGGTTTTGGTTTGAATTCCCTATCCACCCCTCTCAAGTGCTACTTATCTAGAATCCTACAATTTGTACACTGCATATTGTAAATGTCAAACTTTTCTACAGTTTTTTTTTGTCGTAATATGCTAAGGTTGATTTTCATTTTTGAACTTGCTTAGCCCTCCTCTTTTTTCGATCAAAGAGAATTTTATGCGGTAAATATTAGCTTGGTGCTTTTTTTTCAAATTTGATATAGGGGTACTTATTTCAGTGTTCAGAAGCATCAGCAGCAATGGGGACTTGTTTCTGTCATACCGACTTCTTCATTGAGAAACAACAATGAAATACCAGTATTGATCTGAAATGAATTTCAATCTTTGCTTGACTTTGTATTTATCTGAAAGGATTTATTTAACTTGGAAAGCAAACAATAAATGAAAGTAAGGGAAGTACTTTCTAGCAGAAAAGGCACTGATACCCTTGATGTACTCAAACAATTTTTTCTTGTAGGCTATTTTACTTATAGCTATTTATCAAAAAAATCTCTGGAAAACACTTTTATTTTGAGAAGGCATTAATTGAAGGATTTTATGGCACATATTTGTAAATTTGACATCCACATGAAGTCATTTGCAGTTGTATTCTTCTTAAGTCTGAAACAGAAGGATGCCAATCAACTGAGGGAGGAATACAGCAGACTTGTACAAGGTATAGCTGGGGGAGGGGTGGGGCACAAACAGACTTATTACTCTAGCATGACCCTTTGTGTGGGAAAATCCTGTCACAGTCATCCATCCATTTTAATATGAATAAATTCCATTTAACCAAGAGACGAAAATGTTGCTGTAGAATATATTACCCAGGTGAGGTCAAATGCCAAAATGGTTAAGGACCAAAATATTACTGAAAAGTGTACTTCCTCCAGTCAGTTTACAAACAGCCAAAGTACAGCAGATAGTTTACGGACATAAGATGTGATTTTGATGTTTGTTAACTTTTGTGATGGACACAGGTTTACGGGATGCAAGTGTTGCTAGGGAAACTGATGTGGTGCTGGCTAATCCAGGTACAGGCATACGTAAAAATTTTTTTTAACCTCATGACTAGTCTCTTAACCAATTGGTTTTGGTTTAACATACTGAAGCAATGATATTCAAAACATATAAATCTCTGACTGGTTTATAAAAATCAAGGCAGTCATTGTTAACATTAATTCAATTCTTTTTTTCTCTTTTTGTAGTTTTGCCTGATGAAGTCTTGGAAGGTGATTTCAGCATCAGTTTGCATACCTTAGTTCTCCCTTTCTTTAATTGATTGAACTTTCTTTTAATTAACCATATCTTTAAATTGAATATTTTATTGTTTATGTTATGGAGATCTTAAGAGACATTTGATATTTCTTTTTACCTAATGCCCTTCAAGGGAAAGAAATTATTTTAGGGACAATTTTTCCTTCAACACAGGGCTGTCGTTTTCCTTAATTGCATACACCAGTACCTAACCCTTTAGCTCCCAAGATCTCATTGATAATTCTCCTTACTGTCTGCCATACAGTTCTTGTGATGTTAGTTTGGAGAATTTGGTATTGGATCAATTTATAATCTTCTACTTGGAATTATTCTTTATTCTCATTACTTGTCTGCTTGATGTTGTATTGATATTGTAAGGAGAAATTCTTTCTTGGTCACTCATGGGGATTAAAGGGTTAAAAGAGGCATACATGTTTTCTTATTTTCCAACACAATTTTCATCAGGGATCCAGCTTCAAAAGACAAGTGGAAAACTTGTTTACAAACCAAAGACTAAATCACAACAAAGCCAAATGTACATGTTCTGTGTACAGAATTTTTTTGAGGATGATTTTTTGCCCTGACTGACATCTTTTTGTCATGTTACTATTGTGTCATCAAACTCCATTACGATAAATTTAAATTGAATTAGATGAGCTAAAACATTCTTCACTTGTTTGAAAAATATTGACAATGTGATACATTTATCCATTAATATCCCAGGGAAATTTATCAACAACATTTCTCTTTTTTTTTTCATACAGAGGCAGTACCTGGAAATATTAGACAAGCCGAACATTTTGTAAATTTTATGAGACGGTTTATTGAGTATTTAAAGGTTTGTTCTACTTTGCTCCTACCAAAGATCTTCAGGTTAATTAGTTTTATGCTGTTTATGTACCTCACATAAAGATATTTAAACAAAAAGATACAGATGCTTTAACTTCTTACCTTAAGACATTGCCCTCATCAGCTGTTGACTTATCAAAAGAAACTAAAAATTTGTTAAATGTTGTGATGAATTGTGCTGTGACTATTGTATGAATATACCAGGCAAGGGTACAGAAGATAAGACAGGGGGACAAAATTTTGGATTTTGTGAGTCATTTTATACATACAATGTTATGAAGTAAAAGATGCTCAATTTTCTTGAATAAACCAAAGAAAAAAAGTGGCTAAATGTAATGTCAAGCAAGATTGTTGCAGAATTAAATAATGTGTGAGTTGATTTGAGGTAAAATATTGGTGTCATGCTCAGGAGTTCACCATTTGTATTTTTTGTTTGTTTCCTATCACAGTGGCATGTTTTTCTATTATTTTTTCAGACAAGGCTAAGGACACAGCATGTTGTGCAACAAAGCCCTCCATCTTTTCTGCAGCATATTTTCCAACAAGTCTGTATTGAAAGAAAACCTCTCAGGTATTTTCAAGTAACCAATCACTTGGCTGATTGGTTGATCAGTCATTTGATTGGTTAGTCAGCCAGTCAATCAATCAATCAATTGATCCAATTGATTCTGTAGATAAATTTACCCTTTACACCCTAATATCAGTATGCATATTCTCCATACTGTTCTCTATACATTTTCTAAGATGCTGATTAGGAGAATTTGTTTAATGACCAAGAGCCCATTTAGTTGGTGATCATTCCTTTATTCTCAGGACCTTGTTGTGTGATTTAGGGTTGACAGGTTAAGGAGAAATTAGATGCCAGTGACTCTTAGGAGTCAAAGGGTTAAATTATTATTAGTGAACAACCTTGATATTTTATTTTTGAAGATTCTGTGCAGAGCGGTTGAGTTCTCTGTTATACACACTGGAACTCCCTGATGTTCAAGACTATGGTCCTCTGACACTGATTGCCAACTTTGCTACCTTAGTCAGTACCTACAGCAAAGGTACAGCTCACCTATCTTACTTGTATCATTATGTTATTATTCAAAGTTACACTGTCTTAAAATTCATACAGAATATGAAAGAAAACCTCAATTTGAAGCTGAGACTGTGCTGATAAAAGTTGTTAATCACTTGTCAAATAGTTCATCTCAAAGTTAAAGCTTCTGCAGAATCCATGAACTTAGCCCATAGTTGGCTGTAATCTCTTTGCAGAACATGTGTATGGCAAACTCTATACTGCGATGAACCATCATATTGATGTTGAAAACAATTCTGTCATTCATATTTTTTTTTTTATCTCGGGCTATTCTGTAATTGGGTTCCCTTTGTTTGCTTTTAAATTCAGTCCTTCATGTTTCATCACAGAATGCCATACTCATGCCACATAAATCTAGTTCAATGGACCTGATTGCCAGCAAATGTCTCTGTGTATACCTCTCTATTAGGTTGTCTTAACTGTAGTTATTGAGAGTAAGAGCTTCACAGAGTGTTATTGATGGAGGTTTATGTTTGATTTGTTTGTACAGGGTTCACACTGATCATTGAACCATTTGATGATCGCACACCAACCATACCAAATCCAATCCTACATTTCAGGCAAGTGATTCTCCACTTTTTCTCTATTATGATGTTATTTTAACTACAGTAATGCTTGATTCTATTCAGGCACTTGATGTGGTTTTCTTTTACAGTAAATTTTCAAACTTAGTCTGGAACAGTCTTTATTATACTTCAAGTTCATACTATTTTTTTCATCCAAACCTTTCCTCTTCTTTCCCTCTTAGTTGTATGGATGCTTCCATTGCTATCAAACCTGTGTTTGACAGATTTCAGTCTGTTGTCATCACATCAGGGGTATGATATCATTCAATTTACCTTTGATTAATAAGTTATTTGCCTGTTATTAGACACTGATTCAAGACCTGAGAAATGAGATAAGCGCAATTTTTTGATGAAATTTCAATTGTAAAATACAGATATCATAGTTTAGTTTGTAAAACTCAGTTTGTAATTATTGCAGTGTTCTTTACTAGTGGCATTCAGACTGGTCTGAGTGACCATACCATGATAAAAGAGGTGTGTAATATCATCTTATAAACAAAACAGTGCTGTTCTTCCTGAATTGTTTTTCTTTTCTCTTGACACCCCAGACTTTATCACCAATAGACATGTATCCCAAGATTCTTGACTTCAGGCCGGTGACCATGGCAACATTCACAATGACACTTGCCAGAATTTGTCTGTGCCCCATGGTGAGTGAAGCATACTTTAAGTCGAAGATGTTCAGAAATAGAAAGGATGCCTTTTCCATAACTTCTGGATTGACTAAAGAAACAATTATTAATCTTTAGTCATGTCAAATCCAACTGGCATTTACATGCACAGTTAATAAGTTTCTTCACTTTCAATTTAATTCCAAATATGGTGGCAAATCTTTTTCTGCCTGAGCAGTCAAAGCTTTGGAACCACCCTGATAACTTGAGACAAATTTCTCCAAACAGTTTGGCTACATTTTCAAAAAGGAAGGTGAATAGAAGAATGAAAAAACATCAAGAATGGAATATTGATTTATTGAACTCTTAATTCCTAGAGATGAAAGTATAAGAAATGTATGGCTGACAGTGTGGAGAATTGATATTTGGGTCATGGGAGTGAATGGTTGAAGAGAGGTTCAACTGAAATCTTTTGTTGATGCTTTCTATTTGCAGATTGTTGGCAGGGGAAACGATCAAGTAGCCATGACGACTAAGTTTGAAACAAGAGATGATATGTGTAGGTTTTCCAAGTGAAATCGTATGTTTTCACGTTCTCCTGTGAAGCTTAGAGCACAAATTGAAAGCGATGATACATAACGTTTTCCTTTTGATTCTCCGTTAGCTGTCATTCGTAACTATGGCAACCTCTTAGCTGAGATGTCAGCCGTGGTACCCGATGGGATTGTTTGCTTTTTCGTCAGTTATCAGTACATGGTAAGATAGCGTTTTTCTCCTCAAGCAGGAAAATTATTCGTTCATTGCTTTTGCTCGCTTAAGAATACAAACAGATAAGAAGTTAGGAGCTGTAAGAGGATTATGATGAAGTTTCGCCCAACGATGCAATTTTGTTTTGCCTCTTTATTTTTTTTCTTGTTTAGAGTGACTACTGCTTATTCAAATAATTGTTCTTTTGCATGGAACAGTTCGTGTCATGAGCACTCGGACTCGTATTAAGCGTGAAGCTTAAGGTTTCCTTTCATACAAAGTATACATATAGACCAGTTTTTTTTTCATTTGTCTATCATTCTTTATTTAATCGACATCTGCACTTTTTTTTTTTGTTCCGTGCAGGAAGCAGTTGTGTCCATTTGGAATGACCAAGTAAGAAATTTGAGTATGATTTGATTTCCAGTCTTTGAAGGATAAACATAGCATCTGTATACATATGGATAATAACTTCACGAATTTTTGTTTTGTTTTTAGGGTATCATCAGCAACATTCAGAGAAATAAGCTGCTTTTCATTGAAACTCAAGATGCGGCAGAAACCAGTTTAGCTCTTCATAATTACCAGCGGGTGAGTTTCGTAGAATTTAGTCAAGGACAAAATTTTCATTGTGCCTTCATGCTTCATGTTTTCCTCTCTCGTTTTTTCAGGCTTGTGAAAATGGAAGGGGAGCCATATTGCTCTCTGTGGCCAGAGGAAAAGTTTCAGAGGGAATTGATTTTGGTAATCAAGTGTAGAATTGGAGCGGTTTTCAATCGGGTGTCGAAATAGTCGGAATAAAATCTGAATTTGCATTTTCTTGTTAACTTCTCTCTGTAAGTAGTCCACGAAACTCAAGTCACCGCCATTCAGCCATGTTTCTGTCATCTCTCAGAGTTCTCACTGTTCTCTTTGAGATATTTTTCATCGTTGTGACTGGCTTTTGTGACGACTTCGTTTTGGTTTTATGACACTCAATCGAAAAGAGCTCTAATTAACAAATAGACCATGTATAGAACTGCAGTTGTAATTTTAAAAGCACTTTGCATCTCTCATACTTAAAGAAGGTTGTCGCAACCATTGTCAGCAGCCATCTCCAGGTCGCTTGTTTGGTCTCTTGTTAATAGCTTGGTTAACGGGACTTTAGTTCAATTCTTTATTTCGTTTATTTCTGTGATATGTGTTCGAGAAATTTTAAATTGAATGTCGAAGGTAAACCTGGATTGCATTGGTTTGCTTTGCCACGTTCTGTGATTGGTCCAGAAAACTCACGCCACTCTCTCAACCAATCAGATGTAAAGCAAAACAAACCGCGTCCCGGCCATTCGTTTTTTCCCGCTCATTTTTTTCTTGGTAGTACTTATTTTCTCCTTGTGAGGTTAGCCTGTGTCCTAATTACCTGTTGGGATTATTTTGTTTATGGTTCTTACGCACTTAATCCGAGAGCGCTTGAAAGCTAAGGCTCTCATACTTGCTGAATTATTTTTCTTTTCACAGACCATCACTACGGCAGGGCCGTTATTATGTTTGGAATTCCATATGTTTACACTCAAAGTAGAATCCTAAAGGTCAGTGACAGGAACTTGTCGCATTTTAAAATTTTCGTTCTCCATTTTTACTTCCAAGCTAAACAGATCGCATTATTAAACTATGAATTTTGGACTCAAATAATGGTGTTATATTTGATATGATCCACTAGTGTCTAAGTTACAATGAAACAGCCACATCTTAATTCATTCGGTTCGGCTCGTTTAATATGATATGTATTTGTTAATAGGCGCGCCTTGAGTACCTCAGAGACCAGTTCAACATCAGAGAAAATGATTTCCTTACTTTCGATGCAATGAGACATGCTGCTCAGGTAGGAATCAAACAAAAAATAATTATCGCCTTCTACGACATATTCAGGTACCATTTAACTTCGAGAAAGTCAAGCAATAAAAATCGCCAACGTTCCAGGCACGGTAGAGGCGGTTGTCTGCGAAACGGCTGCTGACCGCCTGCCGTTCTCTGCGCCCCCGTTTTAACGAACCGAGATCCTGGAACGAGCTAAATTGCATGTGCAGTAGATTACTGCAATTATCCTGATCCATGAAAATCGAACGCTTGACTCATTTGCAAGACTTCAGCGATAAGTTTTTCTTATGGTTATACAAAGATCAGTTCAATCACCTCTATGCGGTAAATAATAATTTGATTTTGATAGAAAGATTCTGTCTTTAATTTTGGTTTGTAGAGGGTGGAATTGATGTATCGCATTAAACTGTTGTATTTCTTTGTTACTTTGGTACACTTATCTTTCATTTGCTTCTCTGATCTCTCAGTGTGTTGGCCGAGCCATCAGAGGAAAAACAGACTACGGCATCATGGTGTTTGCTGACAAGGTATGGGCTAGAAGCTAATTTTTGAACTTCACGTGCCTTTTCCTCTCAGGTTTCCAGTCCTCTTCTCTGCGTGAAAGGTACCATGTTACTCTCTGTTTCTCTGACAATGTGGCTGAAAATTATTATTATTACTATTATTATTATTATTACTATTATTACTATTACTATTATTATAGTTATCATTATGTACCATTCATTTTTTGCAGAGATTTTTCAAAGTTGACAAAAGGGGAAAACTTCCCAAATGGATTCAGGTAAATTAAAGAAGAAACTTCATGAAATAGGGTTTAGATATTACGACAGAATTGGTCAACAATCCTTTTGATATTTATATAGCCGCAAACGCTAATCACTCGTGTTTCAAACTTTACTAGAACAAACTTGACACATTGTTGAATACGGTAACTGAAAATGACAAAATTACAATCACGCGAATGAGCATAAAATAACTTACATCGTATGAGTGAAAGTACTGGAAAACGACAAAGCGAAATAAACAAGGATACTTACAAGACGAATGTGACCAAACCAAAGACGAAAACATGAAACCCAGAGCTAGATATGTAACGACAATTTTCGCAAACTAGACAACTCCCCAAATAAATTACGCGCAACCAATATATATACGATATGCAAATAAATATAACAAGTACAAAACTGGTAACTGACAAAGGACACTAATGGAAGACGAGAAAATAAACACCTAACACGAAACTATGAAACACCAACACTAACAATAAATGATAATACAAATTCTTGCGCCTACAATTTATTCTTGCATTAAATGCTGTCTGAAGCAATTAAGAAGTGTCGAAAATAAACCATGATTGCTTCTGTTTTGCTCGCGCCATTTTTCATTTTCCATTTTTCTTAACACCCCCCCCAAGTAAAAATCTTAACGTTCCCCCGTCCCTCCCCACTAGAATCGGAGCCCGAATCCAGATCAAAGCTTTTTGAATACTTCAAGGCTAATTCCCTTTGACTGTATTGCAGGAGTACTTGAAGGAAGGAGTGTGCAATGTGTCTATCGATGAAGCAGTCCAGGTAGGGATGTGTACTGTTTGAAATATTTTAACAACCTTAATTTTTGTGTAGGCGTGTTTTTTTAAGGCGAGCGGAGGCGACCACGAAGGTCCTTGATCAATAAATTAGGTCGCCCTATGTGCAGAGAACTGAAGTTATTGTTTCTTTTTACTAGATCAGTAAGAGATTCTTGAGGCAGATGGCGCAACCGTTCGACCAGGTAATGTGGGAGTTTACAAAGGACGACGGCGACACCGTAAACAACGTTGATTAAACATTGAACTTATATGTTACCTACGAATCTCGCGATACTCTAAATTTATTTAGTTTGTTTCTCATTGTCAATCTCGAAACTGAATAGGGAACACAGCGTTAAATTAGAAATAGAAATTAAATAAATCAGCCGTCGTAGTTCACGATCTCCTGGCAACGTAGAGTTTGGTCATTTCACGTTGTTGTTTTGCGGAGGACGCCAAGAAATTTACACAGATTTATAACGCACGTGCACGGCAACTGTTCTCCTCATTAAACTTTTTGTTTAGTGACGTTCCCGTTGCTGTTGCCGTCGTGGTTTTCTTAAACTCCCTATCGTCTTTTCCTAAAACCTAGAACGTATGGCGCTCGATGCAGCTAGTGAGCTATATCTTTTCACGGTTCTCTTACGAAAAGCATTCCTGTGCGAAAACTTAAATATTTGAATGTGATGAGTAATAATCCAATCTTTTTCGATTATTCAAAGTTATTATTCAATAATTAGTGCAGCTTTCTTAAGAGTTTGATAGAAACGAGTAAGGCTTTTATAAAAGGCGGGAGCCCCATCGAAGGTTATTTCTTATACGAACCACAAAGGAAGGGACAATTGCACTAAATAGGAGAAGACAAAGTCGAGTTTTTCTGCGTTTCGTGCACGCTATTGGCGCTTCCCAAAGACAGAGCAAGGTCAAGACTTCTTTGTATGTAACCTACGTTAATGTGCAATTGTGCTGTTGCGAAGACTTATTCGTCCCCCATAGTTGATTGACTGTTTCTTTTCCCTTCAATCACAGGAGGATCAGCTTGGCCTCTCGCTTCTCACTGTTGAGCAAGTGGAGTCTGAGGAGTTCCAGAAAAGAATACTTCAATCAGCCGTTGCATGATTGGTTAAGAAAGTAGACCTACTTAAAGCTTAAGGCTGGTGTTTAAACGTAGACCATCACATTACTTCGTAGGTAGATCACGGTAGAAATATTTTCGCGAAGTGAGGTAGCACCTGAAAAAGATTACAGAGGGGATACTTAAAGATCTAAGGTTTGTCTGTTGCAATTCGACAGGGCCTAAAAAAACTCCCCAGGAAGTTAACACCATTTGAAATTCTTCAAATTAAACAGGAAATTTGAAGTTTTCTTTCTGCTGGCCTTGTACTTGGAATTAAGCAGCCAACAGTGAGCAAACGTCTTCCAACAAGACATGTATTGTGTTAACTTACATGGTTGCGTTTATACTTTTTCCAGTAGCCATTTTTTGTTTTTGTTTTTTGGCCCTCTATAGAAAAGGTGGCAATTCATTCCGTTTGTAGTTTAAGTTTGTGTTAGAATCGTCAAATCTCGTTTTGTTGTTAGTATGGCTCTAATCGTATGTACATATTTATGGACTCGTCTTTGGTCTGATATCGAAATATGGATCATTATGTAACTTTGATATGTAAAGAAAATAAAAGTATTTTGTTTTAACCACATTATGATGACGTCTGTGATCTTTTACTAAGCAGACACGGCAGTACGGAGTCTTTTTGATAGATAAACTATGTAAATAAAGAAATTCCGTGTCTCTGAACAACCTCACTTTCAAAAGGAGGCCAATTGCTGAACGTTTCTTGTGAAAATGAGGTTTGTCTCTTTGATAAAAGAAAAATAAAATAATTTTCATATCAAAGCTTTGTACTTGGCCTCGTTTTAAAATAGAGGCTTAGATTATCGTGAGAGTGGCTTTTTCTGCCGTCTCTTTATTAGATTCATATCATTTCATTCGTCTGGCACCTCTTCTCATGTGGGCGAAAAGACCATTGCAACCATTGCATTTATCGGAGACAAACCTATGACAGATCATCTCAAGCCCTGAGTAGATTTCATCTGTATTGTTTTGCCAATTAATCGCTGAAAATTATATATTGCTGCAAGCACTTTGGATCTCTAGTAATTTTGATTTTTAATGATCGTGGTTAATTTCCCAGGGAGGCGGGAAGATTCTCGAGTTACACCAGTTTTTCTTTAAAAAATATTCTTCTTGCAAAGTACGTTAATTTCTTGCTGGAAAATAATTCCCTCTTTCTCTCCGTATGAAGTTGATTTTCTCAAACGCAAGGTAGGAAGGGTTTTGCATGGATTATTTTTCCTCTGCGCCTTTTATTATCCTTGAATTTTCTTCGTGCCCCTCCGCCCACAGTTTTTTGGTGCGTGCCATACACCGTGACTCGGGCAACCTTGCTTTCCTCGTTGAGGTTGCGTGTTTACCCTGTAAACACTTGACAACCACGCAACTTCAACAAACACGTGGCAAACTCCAGATTACAGTTATTATGCGACATTTAGCTATCAAATAACTTATTTTTAGCCACAAATTTACTTGCTCGTTTTCAAGGACTTTCAACTGCTTTTTAAGGGTGTAAATAACATCCTATTTCCGCATACGACCATTCCGCGTCACGAAAGTACTAGAGAGAGTTTCTCGAATTTATTTCGTCAGCTTGATCTGTGATTGGCTACTGAGCGACTGCGTCCTGTTGTCATCGGCTCGATTGAGGACAGCTCGAGGCGTCTGCGAGGTCGAAGAACGAACGCAATCATCGCTCTAATTTGTATTTTGGCGCTCTAAAGGGTGAATTTAACGATGTCAGACTCTGGCAACTTTCATGATCAAGAAGAAGAATCTGAAACAGCGGTAAGAATAATTCCTGTTAAGACTGTCGTGCTTAAGTTCTCAAATATGAATTGAATAACAGACTTTCAAAATTTCAAGTGTTTTTATAAAGGGATACTGTCAATGTTATTATTTCAGGTTAATACGGCTAAGCGAAGAGGGAGAGGAAGGAAGAGAACTCCTTCAAAATTTACTTCAAAGGTAACCCTAAACACGATCTTTTGAACGGTTTCTCTGGTAGTTTCCGTTGTAGCGCATTGTATTGCATATTTGTTTACAATAGTGGCTGCGACTTGGTCGCGGTGGAGTTAGTTTGTCCGCGGATTTCCTTTTGAACGCGCACTGACCTAACAAGCTCTCTGTAATTATCAGTGGCAAAAGTTCTTTGATTTTCAATTTCAGGTGACAGTCGAACAAATAGACACCTAAAATTTCTATTAGAGGAAAACTGATGAGAAGCCACATCCTGGTCAAAATAAATAGGTTTAGTTGTGACATGTAGAAAGTTCGTCCCATCAGAGCTATAGATAGAAGAGATAATATAAGTAGTTTATTTGTAATAACTTTGCTATTAATCATTTGAATGACACGATTATTACAAAGGATAATATCAATAATAACATTAAAAAGAACTATTAGTGGTTTAAAGCAAGTTTGTTTTAAAAATTTGTCTGTTCATCTGTTACGTTTGTAAATGAAATATGTCGATTACTGACAAGAGTAGGTTTCGCCATACAAGGTGTTCACTGATTAAAAATACTTGAATCGTAGTGCATGCATGAGTTAGATGTACATATTTTACCAAATGTTTTACCAAGTCTTCCCTCCGGTCCACTAGCTAACCTAAACCTTCCCCACGTGAAGAAAGAGCCAAAAAGAGTTTGTAGGTTTGGCTAATGGAGGCACAACTCTTTTTCTCTGAAGTGCCCCTTGTGCACACCACAATCATAGCATTTTGCTTAGCCACTGTAAAACGAAGAGCCACTTCTGGATTTAACAACATGGCAAATTTACCCCTCATGAATGGCTTTTTCCTTCAAGCAACTGTGCAGAAATTAAGTTTAACTTCAGGCCTAAATAATAAACTTTGCACAAAAAGATTTAATAGCCAGAATATTTCATGACTGCTGAGGTTTTAAATTAAATTTTAAATTTTTCTGCTTATATTATCCCTCCTACAGTATGCGCGAAGATAACATTTTTATACTTATGATTTCATGATGTATTGTCCATATATATCAAACCAAAAGCATACATTGTGGTGGTGTGGTGGCCTCATGGTTAGTGCGCTCGACTCTGGATCGGGTGGTCTGGGTTTGAGCCCTGGCCAGGGTCATTGTGTTGTGTTCTTAGGCAAGACACTTTACTCTCACAGTGCTTCTCTTCACCCAGGTGTACAAATGGGTACCAGCAAATGTGCTGGTGGTAACCCTGCGATGGACTAGCACCCCATCCAGGGGGGAGTAGCAATACTCCTAGCTGCTTCATGCTAAGAAACTGGAGCTAAGCACCGGCCCCATGGGCCACTTGGGCATTTACAAAGGCTTACTTAAAAGCATACATTACAAACTTCTGATGAAAACTTATCCCTGCAACCTCTCCATCTTTTTTTCTTTTAAGAGCAAAAAGTCAAAGCAAAATAATGGAGAAAGCGAGGATGTCTTGGTAAGCATGATGACTACTTCTTTTGTTTGATAGGAGAGGTGCTTATCTGTAAGGGGGTGTGGATTGAAAGAAAAATGCTATGATTAGTTCAAGGACTTATCCCTTTCTCTCTTGGATCTCATTAATAATTCTCCTTACTGTCTGCCATATAGTTCTTGTGATGTTAGTGAGGAGAATTGGGTATTGGATCAACCAGTAATCCCCTTGATATTGGGTTGATTTTATCTTGGTCACCCATGCCAGTTCAAGGGTTATTGTATTAAAAAATTTTGTCCTGCAGAAGTACATGGATACAATTATTGTTGCCATGCCATACCACTGAGGTCATGTGAGAGATATCCAAACACTACAACTTGCTAGGATATGATTATCAGTGCAATGCTTTTGTAGTACCCTTGCAATATGAAGTGTTTTCATCTTGTATTTCAATTATAAAGATCTTTTTTTAATCATGAATTACTAAACCCACTTTGCTGCTTATCACTTTAAGGTGCACACAGAAAACCTTAGCTTCACAGAAAGGGCCAATTAAGATATTGGATGTCAGTGCAATCCTTTTGTCTGTTATAATTAAGTTGATTAAATTGTGTCAATTTCTAGTGATGTTGATTGACAAGCATGATTAATAAAGAATCTATTTACTGACAAAAAGCAGGCTGTAAGGAATTCTTATTAATACAAAGTTGGTGAGATTAGGCCCCATCCTAGCCTTCCAGATCTTTGTTTACTTGAAATTATCAACATATTTTTGTCCCCTCTACTTATGGGAAGTTATATCTTGCATCTTTGAAATGGCTGATGAAAATGTTCCTGTGCAGGTGACACCTCCATATACTGTGGCTCAACCTCCACATACAGTGCCTCAGCTGCCGCAGATTGTTACAAACCCTTCACTGCCAGCATCTCAGCAGGCTCATCTATTACCTCATCTTATGCATATCACTCCTCAGCATGCAAAAACAGTACCACAGCATTCACAGGCAGATCCACAGCCTTCAAATGTGGTATCTGAGCATCTGCATACAGCTCTTGGTATCCCACCTTCAGAAACTCCAGGGGCAAGACCTCAGCCACCATATCCAGTACATACACACATAAATGCAGTAACCCAGCCTCAGCTTCTGAGTACAGTACCACAGCCACAGCACACAGTCCCTCAGCATCTGACAACAGGACTACTGTCCCCACCCACAGTACCTCAACCACTAGAATCTGGACTTCAGACCCCAAATACAGTACCACAGCATCTACAAACTGGGCTTCAGTCCCCACAAATCTTAACACAGCATTCAAATACCATACCTCAGCCTGTAGTTCATCAACCTCCTTGTGCTGTTCCACAGCATTCACAAGTGCCACATCCATCTCCAGCTCATGGATCTATTGAAGGAGTAACACCACTTCCAACCTTTTTCCAATTTACTTTGCCTTCCAATCTGTATACTTCACCAGTGATTAACAGTGCTCTGCAAACTCCTCTTCAACAAGGTGTTCCCTCTGCCTTGACAGCCCCTCATTCATCCACCATGAGTATGCTTAGTGCTCTCCAGGATGACAAACTATCCTTGATCCTTCCAGTATTAGTGAGAATGGAGCATAAGATAGATCAGATTATGGCGATGATTGGAGCTAAATCAGCTGCTGGAGGAAATGGGCTGCAAATTGGAAACCAGTTGAATATGGCATTGATGGGAAACCAATCAAGTGTCCCAATGTCTGAAAGCCAGCCAACTGCCACGGTGGCTGACAACCAAACACGTGCAACCTCAGCACAGAAAAGCCACCAGCCAAACCAATCAAGTTTCCCTGGGATGGTAAAGCATTCAAACCCAGCTACAAGAGAAACCCAAAATAGGGCTGCAATGCTAAAGCAACCGAATGCAAAAATAATGAACACCAATCAGTCAAATACTATACCGGCAGCAACACCACTGAACACTCCTCTGCGACCCACCCTAACAAACAATACAGACAATGGATCTGCCTCTCATTCCACAGATATAGAGGCCCCATCTAATACTACTTCAGCGGAAGCCCATATGATTAATACTACGCCCGACAACGAGGAAAAGGTAGATTTTGAGATGGAATGCCAAGGAAGCGGTCTTAAACCACTACAATCAGGACCTTTCGACGTCTCAAAGTCACTTCGTGGGATCTCAGCTCGTCAACGAATACAGCTTGAAATGGCTAAAATAACCGAACAGACGTTACCGGAAGATTTAGACTTTCCCATATCACGTGACAACCTCATTGCCCTGCAGGTGAAGTCAAATTCCACAATGAATTTCGCTGTCCGATTGTTACGCGAGCTCTTCACGCCAGACGAACTATACGGCAGAAACATTTCTGGGGTCCGAGGAAAAGACCAAGTTGACCCCACCAGGGTAGAAATGATTAAGGACATATTGTTTAAAATTTATCGCACATCACCGGCAGACAAAGAACTACTGTGGAGGTACTGTCGTAAGGCGATGGATTCATTTTTACGGAAGATGCACCGCCCAGATCTCGTAGAAGAACAGAAATAAAACAAATCAACCTCACGCAACGATATGCAGTCATTTTCGTCGGAAAATACTTACTTAGAAATAATACAGTACAACAATTTTTGGATACGTATACGCTTCAGCTTGGCATACGTATTTTGGGTCTCTTTTGTATAGACCTAGAGCAATCTTCAGATAAGTGTCAATGGTATTACGCGGTTTCGGCGATTTCGTTTGTTTTGCTTCTCTTCGCACTCTCATTGGTCTAGAGAACTTGCACCTCCTCTCGACCAATCAGATGCAAAACTAAAAGCAATGGTGTCTTGGTCACCTGTGCTTTCCCGCACTTCAAACAGTTGGTTTGTCTTGCTTTGTTCTCGTTGACTCTTAATAGAATTTCTCTTGCTCTGATCTGATTGGCTGTTACGATTAATTTGGTTTTGGTTTTACGATTTTCAATGGAAAAGCGCTCCAGATGTGGGAAAACAGTAACTAGAATTTCTTTGTGAAACGGAATTAGTTTGAAAACTTTGCTTTTTTTTGTTTTGAGTATATCAAATGAATAAATTGAGAAATTCTCAGACAATAAAACTATTAACCCTGTAGTTACTATGTTGCTGTGGTCTGTTCAATAACAGATCTTAAATGACCTCAAAATGTGGTAAGGTTCGTAAATTACTCTAGCTTTGAGGAACGGATAATGTCAAAGGATAGCCTGGTTCATGCGTTGAGGTGATGAAACAGAGAAAAAAAACGAAGGGTGCGATAGTCGTGGCGAGGGTATGTTTGGGTCGGGTCGCTTTACGCGACGTGCGTATTTTTACTGATTAAACGCCTAGAGCGCCTGGAAACAGTCTTAGGACAAATTTACGGGTATCTAGTCGTTATATACCCTCGGTCGTTTCGTGCCTAAATTCAGAAGATCGTACCCAGTTTGAGTCGGTTCTTACCCGAACTGCTGCTTTATAGGCACCAGTCCCAATATCCATTCTTTGTCGCATCACTAGCTACATAAGCAAATGCATTCTCCCCCCCAGACTCCTAAAGACTCCTAACGCCGCGATACTTGCACAGGGAATCTGAGTACAAGTCGAAGTCTCACAGGTAAAGAATTGACTACTTCTTGAAACAAACAGAACTCAGCTACATAATTATTGGCGAAGTTATACGATTGATGTCATCTAAAAAAATACCGAAGCTCTAATTGGAGAGTGTTGACATAGAAAGGAGTGAGCCAGAGGTAAGCTGCGACCGAACTGTTCTCTGGGAGTCGGAAAAGACCTGCTCGTTTGTCACAAGTAGATAAACCTCTGCTATCAAAATATGCACAGAATAATAATAAAAAAACATTGTCCAAGATATAATAGAGTCACTATGACAACTTAGAGGCAACGATATACTAAAACGTGGTTAAATCTCAGTGGTAAAGAAGCCCCTTATACCCAAACAACTGGCCAGAGCTAAATTTTAGAGAAACAAGTCCCCCATTTTACAGTATGGTCAGCACACGTTAGCATCGATAGCACCTTAACACTATTGGCTGTTCAAGCCAAGCTGGTACTGGTTTTGAGTAAAAAACACAAGAAGACACCATTTCAACACCAGCGCTTGTGTATTGTTATTCAATAGGCATTAATAATGCAAACACTGGTTTGTCAAAACATCAAGCGCACTTCATTCAAAGATCACCGGCACACACCATTTTACTCATTTACATCCAGTAAAATTAGTTAAAAACCTTCAATGTTTCTATAATTCAGTGCAGTCGTCACGTTATGTTAAGACCTGTTTGAATACGACATATGACATTACACACGTGTTTAAAGTCGATCTCTAGCTGCAAAAAAGCTTTCTTTACACCTGAAAGTCTCTTTTGTTCACTAAAGCGTAAAGGGCACATACTGGCTTGCCCACGGAACGTGTCTTCCTTGGCTTTACTCAACAATGAAACCCCTTCCACATCAGTTTTCTGCTTTCCTATTTTAAGAAAAATAGCCTGCCATTGTAGCATTTACCATTCAAATTTATTTTAAAAAATCAGCTTGACTCCCTTAGCCAAAGACAAAACGCCACCTTAAGGCAGATCACCAAAATCGTAGCCAAAGGGAAACTACACTTGCCAATAGTGAAGTGTCTATCCAAAAGGCACGGTTAACACGCTGTTTAGACTGGATCTGCAGACAAGCAGCGTGAGGATTGGCATCCACTCTCCCTAATCCCTCTGTGTTGTGGGCCCCAGCCCTCTGTGAGTATATAGTATCAGTAAGAATTGTGATCGTCTGCTGTCATCTGTTGGTGTCAGGGTTATGGTAAATAACGTTCAGAACCTGTCCAACACCCTTAGTATGTCCTTCCCTGAAAAAGATCCTTGATCCTTGGCGAACATACTCTGGCTGTTTCATGAACCTGAACCGTATTTTTGCTCTTTGACCGGTCCTCAAGGATTCCTGTCAATGCAACACAAGGAATCTTCGTCAAGATTTTGGAAGTCGCAAGAACATCAGTAAAAAAACTACGTTGGAAAGAATACCACGAGAAATTTAAAAAAATCAATTATAATTGGTTTAGAGTTGCCGTCAGTTACCTAGGAGCTTCTTGTTAGAAAGCAAGTGAAACCGCTTTTACCACAAAAAAAAAAAAAATTTCACACAAGGAATATTACCCTCGAGAGAGGTTTACATTTACTAGTCGAGCATAAAATATAAAGGGGTAAGTTTCTAAAGAAACTGTGGTGCTGCGTCGGTGGGAGAGTATAGCAGGTAATTTAGTGTTAACAACTGGGTTGAAAACGTAAATTAGCCACCGTAAAGGGTAAAAAAGCTGACGTTTCGAGCGTTAGCCCTTCGTCTATTGCTCTGACAAAGGGCTAACGCTCGAAACGTCAGCTTTTTTACCCTTTACGGTGGCTAATTTACGTTTTCAACCCAGTTGTTAACACTAAATTACGAGCATGAAACATCACTGCATTTCAATTCGTACCTTGTTCATTTCCTCGATAACAGCTGTTTGAATAACATTTCTAATATACACAGTAGCTTGAAAGCGTCTGCTTATTGATGTGGTGTGATAGAGAAGAAATACATCAGCCCAGAATTCAATGCAGGAATGAGGTTTTTGAACAGGATCAGTTAGAACCATGCCCTGACGAACGTACAAATTAAGATGTTTAGTTAGCAAGGAGCACTAAAAGAAACTACACTCCGTGACATTTTAAGAATGGTGAAAGCTGGAGCAATCTTGACAAAATCATATCAGTTTCTAGTCGTAGCTGCTCGAAATTTGAATGGAGACGCTTTTCAACACAGCACTATAAAACCAAAACCAAAGAAGAGACGACGGCAAATTACGAAAAAGCTAAGAACTCCAAGAAGCCAATAAAAACGAGAAAGGAAAAAAAAAAACGCCTCAGTGTTACTCAACCACGGAAAACGCACCTTTCGAATCTGATTGGCAAAGAGACTGGTGCACGCTTTCGGCCTTAGCACAAGAAGTAGCATGCAAGACCAAAGCGAAATCGAGTTAATTTCCAGACTCAGCTCTGGATAATTTTAACAAAACCAACTTTTTCCTACAGGCGCAAAAATCAAGTGTACATGGTCTAACACTAATTTTTCGGGTCTTGTCAATATTTGGAGAAAAATTAGGGAAAGATTCATAAAAAGATAGATATCGCTCGAATACGGCTAGGAGTAATGAGATGGCGCATTTTGTGTTCTGAACTTACCTTCCTTAGTAAATTCCTGTCGATACCGCTGATCGCTACCGAAGCAGCCTGGCCTGCTCGAACGACCCTACAGGAGGCGCGGTTCCTTTTCACTGATAACACAGTCACTGGCTGAAAGTTACCACTCGTGGACGGACCGAGTAGAAGTTGATCTCCTTCGCGAAGTACTCCTCTAAAGAATCGAATTAAATCCTTAAATCCATGATAAGACTTCATAACTACTGAGAACTTCGACATTGATTGCAACCCCCCTAGACGCAAAAATTAAACTCACACCGCGATGCTTAATCTATGCAAAACGGTTTTAAGAACCGACAATCATGCGTGAGAATATTGAGACAACTGCTTTAATTTTCCAATGGTCAGTTGTGATGTGACGTTACAGATGGTAGAAACCGTAAGCTATCAAGCTTTTACTGAGGCCTAAAACGTTGACTAGACCACACCCAGTAATGATACGCAAGACAAATAAAGGAACTTGACACACGAGGGACCTGATACTCGGTTGACCAATCCCAGCATTCTTTTGGGCGCCAGTGTTATCAATGTCGTTTATTACTGTTTACCTCTCTAAAGTGCCACCCACAACCGGCCCAGTCCCTGGAACATTGAATATTTCATCCACCTGGAAAATGAAAGCAGTTCAAAAATTAATGAGTAGGAAAAAAAATTCTTAAAATACATAATACAATGTATTTCTCTGATTATTGAGTAACCTTAAGTCCTAAGAATATTTGTGAACTTCTTTAACACGGTAAAGGAAGTGTAAAAGTTAAAGAATACTACCTGTGGGTGGAATTAGCAGTCAAGCTGCCTGGTATTTCAGCAAACCAAAGTTTTTCTTTTTCCCCAAATAAGAAGTTTGACCAACATACAGTTACTGTGATATAAGTTCATTAAATTGTAAGAAATTCCACCTCACTTTGAAGAGGTGCATGAGCCCCCTAAATCTCGGTTGCCATAGCCACGCCCTGATTCAGAACGTCATAATACCCTGTCCAAGCATCTTGGTTGGTGGAAATGAGTGAAATAGCGAGCACGCGACAAACGGCGGGGGTCAGCGGCTGTTTCCTTCACCAGCACCACTTGTCGCTTGTCTGCTCCTTTGCCTGTCTCGACTAACTACAGGCGAAATGAAACTTCCTCATACCTGGTATTCTGTTGGTTTTTGGGCTAGTTTCTCCTGGTCCGTGGGTGATCGCGATGGAGGCACTAGATTGAGAAATTTCTTGACCAGATTGAGATTTTCTCCATCCACACAAGACACTGTAAAGATGGGAGTAACCCTAGGGATAAAAGATACTGGTATAAAAGCAATTTTCTTTCTTTTTTTTTTTTAAAGTACTTGAAATTGAATTAGCTTGAATTATCTTCAATACAATATTAGTCTTTTAAACATGCACCAGCCTCTCAGATGGAAAACTACAGTTGGATTCCGATAATTCGAACCACGAACAAACTAAAACTTGCGATTATTTTGCCGAAGCTTCAGGAAATTCAAATGGCCACTTGTACGACCTTTCGGCTGATCTCCTCTTTTCTCCATCTAATTCTCTAGAGCGCCAGAAAAATAAGAGCGGCGAGGATGAAAAATAAAAATTTTTTATAAAAAAATTAGCCAAGGGGGTAGGGGTGGGAAGAGAGTTGCATTTACCTTGTGCTTCGCGCTCCTTTTGGCGCGCACGCTTTACACTTCCAAGTTCATTGTACAGAAAACATTTAAAACTGCTATTCATATTTAGCCGAATTGTTCGCCGAAGTCGCTGAGAATGTTGTTGCGAGAATTATTCAACAATAGTCACTGAGCCTAAGGCGAATAATTATATTATTATATTGTTATAATGGTGGTGATAAGTCGCATCAAGATATACAGGCTGTTTTAACAGATTAATTTAATTCAATAAGAAAAAACTTCACATCTTACTTTTAAAAAGTGTTCCGCCAAAGTCAGTAACATCTTTTGTGCTCTTCGCAACTGAATTTTTTCCTATTGCGGATATCAATCTTAACTTTTAACAAAACGTACAGCACTATCCACCGGATAGAGATTTATCCAATGGATAGCGTTCTCCACCCTTCAAATAACCGGGGCCTGAGCAATCATACCAAAGGCAAATATGATTCCAAGATTGCTACTTTGTGACAGTATATCGATAATATTGATAGAAACAGCTGGGTTCATCTGAACTAATTAAGAGTTTGTTCCGTTGAAATAAAGAAAAACCACTAGTTTTTATTATAATCATATGCAATGAATTAAGATAAGGAATTAGGAAAGCTGTAATCTTACTGATTCGAGTTGAAGTTAATTGCAGCTGTACTAACATCGTCTTCAGTTTTTACAACCATTGGCACCTTATTACAGCCAGGAGATTTTAAAAGTCGATCAAGTACTCTGCGCGTCCGTTCCATTGTTGTTGGTAAACAAACATCATTCTTGTTTAGTATTACAAAGGTTGGGACTTTCAATGCCATAACCAAGCCTAAGTGTTCTTTTGTAGTTCCAACTATACATAAAAAGTACAAAATCAACTTAGTAAGTAAGAAGACAAGAGCCACTGTTTTTATCCTTCCCTCTGAAATCTTTACCAAGTTTGCAATGGAAGAACCTATAAAATTTTGTTTCCTCACGCAGTCCATCCTCTCCACAAAACTTGACAGCTGACAGACAACTTACTGGGCCATTTGATATCAGTGCAAATAGGGACAACGATAAACACAGAATCTGCTTGTTTCGGAGAATCAGACCGTCAAAGTGTTCACTTAACGTTGGGGTAAATTTGGTTCAACATAAAATGATTTTGCTACCATTGTTTATCTCACACAACGACATAAAAGTCATCCTGATCATTAATCATCATCATCATAAACTTTATTAATGTGTCTTGAATATCTAGCTGATGGGGTTAAAAACCCCTCTACTAATAGGGGACACTTAACATAGTTAATAACCTACTAACTGGTCTCTAATGAACTATTAAAAAAAGCCTAACAATATAATTAACAATATAATATAGTTAAAAACCTGTTAACTATCGACTAATGGGATGAATTATTAAAAAGAGAATAGACTGATACAATTGGAACAATTGTCGTCTTCTACCATTGCGCTCAAATCAAATTTACGGATGTGATTTTTAAAACTAAATAATGATGGGAGGGTTCTGATTTCGCTTGGTAGCTTATTCCACAACTTGGTAGCTTATTCCACAACTTTGGTCCCATCATTCATTTGGAAGTTCAAATTTGTAACAACCTTTTTCAATTTCAATTTGCCAAACGTCAACTGAGAAAAAAGTTGAGTTCACAGCCCTACTGAGACACGAGTCCTTTACCTATTCCAGCATTTCCAGCAATGACCAGCATGGCAAAATCTGGAGAATGACCAGTTAAACCAAAGATTGTTGTTCGTAAATACTTGTGATGCCCAGCTAAATCGATGAAAGTGATCAACTTGGCTGACTGCTCGCAGATGTCTTCTGCCGTTCGAGATTCGCTGTAGTTTACAACCTAGTAAACATAAAACATTTACAAAACTATAACTTGGTTCAAAGACCGTGAAATATTGACAAATTAAAACCACCTTTCTAAACCTTCCCAAATATGATTACAACTGTATATGTAAAACATGAGTTACTTTTTTCTCTATTAATCCAAATTGTGAAGGTGGTTTTACATTTGATAGCATTCTTAAAGAGTTTTTTTTAACTGAAGTACCTAACAGGAAAGGTGCTTCTCGGAAGGATGGTGCTTATTAAGAAACTTCTTAACTGTACTGATTCCATTGTGGTTGAAGTTTTAAAAATTATAAATTGAGTGGCAATAGATATATGTTTTCCATGTATCCCTTCCATTCAAGAAAGAGAGAAGGGATGGAAGCACTAATTCAAGGGAGGGCACTTATTAGAACATTGGTGCTAAAGGAAGGAAATAGAGTATTCAAAGCTTTCAATTTTCTTTGCAAGTGCGCCCAGAGGAAATCTTGTGGCTAACTTTCGATCTTTGCCTACCTCTCCCTTGCTGCTAAATCCAAGTATTTCGTGGCTGATACTTGATGTTCGACCTGTTTGTATTTCATGAAGATGTCTGAAAAGATTCAACCTTGCTCGTCCGCGGCCATTATCTAGCTCATCATGCGTCAAGACTCCAAGTAATGTGCTCTTTCCAGCATCAACATTCCCCAACACAGCAAGTCTTATGTCAATAAACTGAAAATAAATTAGATAAATACACGAAAATTTGGGTGAATAAATGCAATTCTTTCTCTTTATAATACACTTTGAAACAGTGTGAAAATATGAAAGTCATATATTTGAACTGTGGATAAAGAGGTGAATATGAAAGTGATCTTCGCAAATATGAACACTACTTAAGCAGTAGTGAAAAGAAGGCCTGAAAAAAATTCAGGCCTGTATGGGATTTGAACCCATGACCTCTGCGATACTGGTGCAGTGCTCTACCAACTGAGCTAACAAGCTAACTGGGAGCTGGTCACTGTGTTGTTTCCAAATTAACCCGTGAAGTGGTGAACACTTTGATTTGTTAACTTTTTGAATTACTGATAATCAGCTATGATAGCTGATCAAAGTGTGAAGGTAATTCAGTGATATTGACTGAGTTGAAAACATAAATTGGCCACCCTTAAGAGTTTCAAAGCCGACATTTCAAGCCTTAGCCCTATGTCATTCCCTCTGATGAAGAGCAAACACTCGAAATGTCAGCTTTGAAACTCTTTATGGTGGTCAATTTACATTACAACTCAGTTGATAATACAAAATTTTCTTGTTATACTCTCTCACTGATGCAGCACCACAGTCTCTTTAGAAACTTACCCCCTTTTATCAAAATGTTGTTTAGCTGAAACAGGAGTCTTATCACCCCACAACAAATACAAAGTGCAGGGAAACCATCATTTTTAGAAGCTCTGATTTCAAAATGCTCCCTGTCACCTTTAAAATTGGAAGTCAAGGTTTTCAACTTTATCCACCTTGATTTGGGCAAATATCCATCAGTACACAAATAGTCCTTTGTTTAATAAAAAAAGGCCTGAATTCTAAAAATCCAATTTTCCTTCATAGATTCATTATGCTTACATTTAATGGGGTGTAAGTAAACAAGAGATTAAGAGAATAATAAAGAGATTGATGTCTGACAGCATGACAGTGGATGTTTAGATGAGAAAGAGGTATATGTTTCCAACATGTCATTCCATTTTTATCAAACATAGAAAACCAAGAACACAGGAACTATTTGGGGAATTTCACCATCCCAGGACAGTTCACACTGGATATTACAAAATGCAAATGTCAAAGTAATTCAACATTATTGGTAGTGTGCTAATTGTAGTCTGACTGGATTCTTCTTCTCCATGCAATAAAATTTCAAAAACATTTCCATTGTGCACCATGAATCGATCTGTATGTCACAAAATCATTACATACCTGCTGATCATCTGGCACTCGTCTCACAAGAACTTCTGCAACATGTCTACCATCATGAACAATACCATTATCTTTCAAAACATATTTCCTTAATAAAGCAGTATGAGCTCCAAGCTTTGATGCCATGACATTAAGTGTCTTCAGGGAAGACTCCAGCTCTTCCCCAGTCAAACCCACGTACATACCATTGTCTCCAACACCAATCTCATAAATTGCTTCTCCTTCACCTTCCTGTAACCGCCACTTCATCTGAGTGACAAGGTGCTCAAGACGAGAAGGAGATGGATTTACAAGCTTCAGCTGTCATATGAATAACAGTAATTTGTATAAGTAACGATATGATTTTGAGTGCAATTTGGTGTTATAAAGCACAAGTAAATTTTCAAAGACAATAAAATAACACAAGCCTATGAGGCGAGTGCAATTTGTAAGCTTTTAAAAATTTACAAGTGCTTATTTACACCACATTGCACAAGAAATCATGTTGTTACTTGTTAATAATTTACATGAAAAACACATCACAGAAAGTCAAGACAGACAAAATTTTGGCTGCGCTCAAGCACTTTTTGTAATTTGCACTTATGTCACAACTTTGCACTCATGTTAAATGATAAATGCACTTGTTTTTAACCAATCAAATGCACATTAATTTTTCATTTATATTAGTAAATAAATAATAATAATTAATTTTAACCCTGAGACATTTACAAGGTGGCTCTGTATCCAATTTATCCAGGTCACATTAGAATTTTGAGTGTGTTTCTTAAGTTATGGGAGCAATTTGGAGTTATGAGGAAAAAACTGGATACCAAGATGTAACCATTCTTGTGTGACACAAGGAAGCCTATTTCTAAAAAGTCTGGGTGGTTAGTCGCCCTGAAAAGCTGTTTTTTGTTTGCAAAATAAACACTCAAGATATAGGCATCAATGGTTATAAAATTTAAGCGATGAAAGTATCAGGAAACAAAATAGGAGGGACTAGTAGTGGAGCTCACAGAGTGTAGCCCCATAATCATACAAAATAGTAGTAACCCATCAAGCCAAAAAAATTTGGATGTACAACCGTATGACCGTACAAGGTGCTACTTTTAACATGCGTGGTCAACTGTACTGAAGGCATGCCAATGCCACAGCTTTGTTCAGTAGTCCAGTGGTCAGTGCACTGGGCTCTGAGTTGGACAACCCCGGTTCTAGTCTTGGCCGGGGCAAGGCATCGTGCCCTTGAGACGTGCAGGAAAAAAAATGCGAGCTCCGCTTTTAGGCTTGGCTAAATCTATATATTATTTACAGTAGAACATAACGGAATATTTCTACGATTAAATAGAATAATATCGTTTTGGTCTGATAAAGTTGTCAAGAAGATTACTGCATTAAACAGTGCATATCATTCATTCTCTTTTATCCCTGGGGCTGTTTAAGTTATTTTAAACTAAGAGTAACATCTGATTGTGTTAAGTGTGATCACCTGCATGAGGGTAGTCCAGAGAGGGATTGTTGGCAATAGTAGTGACTAACATTTTAACAATTGACAAATAGATTCCAAGTTGCCGTGAGTCTGTTCAGTAATAGATCACAGATGACGTCAAAATGTGGTAAGAACAGAAAAGTGGCGTATGAGGTGCAGCCGAGTGTGTCACTGATGTTCTTACCACATTTTGACATCATCTGTGATCTTACTGAACAGACGCAAGGCAACTTGGAATCTATTTGTTTTATATAATAAAGAATTTTAAAAAGTTTTTATGATGATGTCATCTATACGTCTGTCCTCCTATAGATCATAGGTGAGAACCAATCAGAATGCGTGCATAACTGAGCTTATTATATAATTTACTTTATTCTCATCACCTCTATGCTTGATATTGTATTGATATTGTAAAGAGAAATTCTGTCTTGGTCACTCATGGGAGTTAAAAAGTTAACTACTTTAAAGAGAAATTTGTAGTTGCCAGAAGGAAGGATCATGAATCAGATCTTGGGAGTTAACGGGTACCAACTTTATTTCAAGACGGTAATGTTAGAAACTCGATTCCCACCGCCATTTTTTTTCAGTTGAATACTTAGAATTTTTTTCCTCGTTCAAGGAAACTCCCCAGAACAAAACTTAGATATTCCATCCAACTAAATCAACACCAGGGTCCAGGTGTTCCTCGACTTCAATTTCACTTTCTTAATAAATCTCTCTTCCTTTCGGAAACATTCACCTCTCGCTCGAGCGGGCGGGCTTAAATTTAATACATTCAGACTATTCAAAGTCCCCAGCAACAATATTGCCACGAAGCACTATTTTGGAGATGGCGCATCCAGGTAAAATATTACCTCATCATCATACTAAAAAGTAGCATCGAAAGTTTCTAATGGCGAATTTCCTCGATAACAACTGCAACCGTTTCAGTTCTATTCCAACAGTGATCAACTAGAACGAAATGATGAAAACCGTTTGCAATTTCCAAGCTTAGAATTTTTCCCGCTTGACAAGGAAACCTCATCCAGTTTGAGACCCAGGTCAGAACCATGCTGAAGAACTCACCTTATACTCTACGTTTCCTTCTTCAACCTGCAAATCATCAAGTACAGAATCATATTAAACTGAGGAAATCAAGCTTGTACCTAAACGAAAATACCTACTAACCTCCGGAGGCAGGGGCGGCAGGCACTCCGGCATTGAAGCCCGGGCTTTCTGTGTTCCGCTCCCTGATGGTGTTTCGAATAAATGGATGAAGGATTCCATTCTTGGTGCAAAGGTATTGTTATCGGTGAAAATTCCCAAATCGATACCATCAGGAACCGTCTAACGCTCTTGCCAGTGCAACATTATTTAGCGGTTGATTTTGTTATTTTTGTTATTGTCGGCTCGGTTCATCATTGCCACCAGGCGACGGTGAAAAGGACCCGGATGTAAGGTAAACTGACGTCACAAAAGAAAGTGGAAAATTGGCGACTAGTCAAGCACACAATTACCAAAGTTGCTGAGTCGACTAAATCATACTTTTCACCATATTTCGAGGCTTTATATCCGAAAACTTGCGTTGCACCATGAGCTGCAATATTGCATTGGTAAAATTTCACAGTAGTGCGGAATCCAGGGTAGCTCGGCCAATTTTTTTATTGATTTAAATTCAAAATAGAGAGCAATACTTCATTATCCCTGACGTTAAAATCAAAGTGAAGAGCAGAAGACTGTCAGTTCATTTTTATTTTGAAGACAACGAAAATGAAATTTTGCTCTCCATTTTGATTTTGGCGTCATGGATAAAGAATTTTTGCTGACATGACTAAGAAATGAAACTTAGAACAGCGAACGCATCCACAACTCAAAGCAGAGTTCGAGACAAGCGCAAATAACATGAAGAGTAAAAACGGGATTGAAATCGGTGACGAAATTTAAAACGCCAATGAAATGAAACGAAAGTGGCAGAACCACCTGAGATAACGCAGTTCGAAGTCAAGCAAGATATCGGTGGGAAGTGGTGGATATTTGCCTCGCCGCTTCGTGGCTCGGTAAACACCCAGCACTAGCTGGATACTTCACTTCGGTAAATGGTTGCTAAATAATCACCCTGCAATGTGAAGCACTCAGTTTCAAATGGCCCTCGCGCAAATTCGTAATGATTTTAAGGAGAAAACGAGTAAAGTGAAAGTATAATCACCAGAGTATAATCATAGTAAGACAAATGTTCTCCTCAGACTCTTGTTATTATTGCAGAATAATCATTTAACAGTCTTATGCACGAAACTGCATCAGTCAAACAAGTCAAGTCAAGTAACAGAGTCGCCTCACAAAGTTCATTCAACAAATATTGACTTCAACCAATCGAAACAAGGAGCTGTTATAAACAATAATCTCCTCTGCATGTTCCCAATATACAACGCAGAGGAATTTGCGGGAAAACTGCCCGGCCCAAAACTAAATTTAAGATGGTATGCACCTAACTATCCTTAAAACAAAAGCTCCTTTTTTCCATTTTTCAAAACAACCAACTTACATTTCTTCCAAACTATTTAAAGAAAATAAAGAGGATGATGATGGAGATAGGAAGAATCCTGAAGTCAATAAATAGGAAAAATAATAAAGATCTCGTACTGAAAGCACTTTGGAAATGATAAGCCTGTATCAAAAATTCACGTTAAATAGTTGCAGCAGAGTTAGTTTTGCTTTTCAGCGTACGCTCCCGTTTCATGCGACGCATAAAGGAATCCATTGCCTTGCGGCAGCACCTCCACACCATATCTCTGTCAGACGGTAATGTACGATAAACCTGGAAGACAATTTCTTTAATGATTTCCACTCTGTTCGGGTCGACTCTGTCTTTCCCTCTGGCTCCTGAAATGTTCTTCCCATCAAGTTCCTCCAAGGTAAACAATTCGCGCATCAGGCGCACGGCAAAATTCATCGTGGAGGTGGACTTTGCCTGCATCGCAATGATATTGTCACGTGAAATGGGAAAGTTGGAATTTTCAGGCAGCGTAAGCTCAGTTATTTTTGCCATTTTACGTTGAATCAGACGGCCTTGAGCTGTCGATAAACCAGGATGCAAATTCGTCACGTTACACGAGGAAGTTAAACTGGAAGCTTCGACGCTAATAGATTCCATAGCAGTGTCTGTATCGCTGTTCTCCATCGCTCCGTCACTCGAGCGGGATTCAGTCAAGTTAACATTAGACCGCTTATAATTTGTTGTTGACGCAGTTGACTGGCTTTCTTTTGACTGAGATTTGATAGGTGCGCTCACCGCTTGGTCTCCCTTCGTAAAACATTTCTTTTGCTTTCCTGGCAAAGGTATATTCGAATGGTTAGCTAAGTTATCTGTATTTAACTGATTTACCATCGTAACAGTAGTGGAATGACTTTCCGTCTTTGATTCAATCGATCCGTTTCCTGTCATGACAGAATTTGGGCCACTTTCGCACTGGTTGTCTATCAAGTTGAGATTATACTTGTTTTCTGTTTGCAGCCCATTTATTCCAACACTGGATTTAGCGCCGATAATCGCCATAATCTGATCTATCTTATGCTCCATTCTCACTAACACTGGAAGGATCAAAGCAAGTTTATCATCTTGAAGAGCACTAAGCATACTCATGGTGGATGAACGAGGAGATGTATGAGAAGACAGAACGCAAGGCTGGAGAGGCGCTTGGATAGCGCTGTTTAACAACGGTGAGGGAAACAGATTTGGAGGGAGAGTGAACTGGGCGAGTGAAGCTAAAGATGGGGTACTCTCCAATGGTCCAGAGCGCGGAAGTTGCTGCCCTGCCGGTTGCGGAGCCCGAAGAGTATTATTTGGAGCCTGAAGCACGGTTTGCAGAGTTTGGGGTGCTACTTGGAGCACGGTCTGTGGAAGCTGAAAGAGTGTCTGAGGAGGCTGAAGCGAAGCTTGTGAAGCCTGTAGCAGACTTTGTGGCGGTTGAAGCAAACTTTGTGTGGGCTGCAAAATTGTTTGAGAAGAGTGTGACACTGTGTGGGTAAGCTGTGGTGTAGTATTTAGAGGCCGCATAGAAACTTGTAGGGGCTGGGATGTAGTGATCTGTGATTGCATCACCATTTGTGAAGACTGAGACACAGTTGGTTGAGTCTGATGAGCAGCTTCTTGGAGCTGCATTGATGCCTGTAAAGATTGACTTGTTGGCAGCTGTGGCGCTGTTTTTACTGTTTGATCCCCCCCTGATAGTGGATGCAGTTTCTGTACCAACTGCATCAACTGAGGCAGTGTGTGTAGTGGCTCACCGGCAGTTTCTGTAGGTTGCAATACTGTGTTCGTAGGCTGCAGAACTGTCTGTAGAGTATGTGATGGTGTTTGTTGGGAAAGAGATCCTTGTCTTGGAGGTGACTGCAGGGCAGGCTGTTCCTCTGCTGCTGTAGCCTAATTAAGGTAAATATTAACAATCAACAGTTAGAAACGTGTTGATGAGGGAAGAAATTGAAAAAAAAAAAGGCTGGTTAGTTGAAAGCTTGGAAAGGAAATTAATTTTATTTTCACAGTGGGTTTGATGGATCTTGTAAATTTTTACCTTATCATACAAGGGGAAAGGGGAGGGTCATTTCACAGAAGCTCCTTGAACTAAGCAACAACCTAATTCCCAGAAGTTAGTCACTTACAGAACATAATATTGAACAACAGGGAGTAGAGTTTTCAGCTCTTGTAACCACTGAGCTGTAAATCTCTGGGGTATTGCTGGGGTTTTTTCAAAGGAGGTTCACTGTTACCAATTTCTGCTCAGCTTGAGTGAAGTGGCTTATGATACTGTTACTCCTTGTGTATCAGGGGGCTACAGTTAAAGAAACCAACAAGGACCAGCAAACAATGGAAACAAATTTTTGCCCTGTAGATGAGGGAAGGTGGCACTTTTTCCTAAACCTGAATTATGATATTTGTATGAAGAATCATCTCACAACAGTAGGGATCACAGCACCCCAGTTCTTTGACATTGTCATATCTGGTTCTCTGACACCCTAACAAATACCCCATTATCTTCTTTCTCACTTCTCTTTCTTAGGACAATTTTGGAAAGAAAGTGTCTGGCCACATGATTTGCATATTACACAACTTGGTTTTTAAAGTTTTCCTTCCAAGGTTTCTTTTGAGTATTTCCTGAATAAACTCTACAATTTAGGCTTTGTTTTTATTCCCCTTCTTCGCTCTGTGTCACATTTGAAACTCTTGAACATTGCACTGGCAGCCAGGAAGAGACAGGAAACTTGAATTAATCTTAAGGTTTTTAAGATTAACTTTCAAATGCATTGCCTCTAAGAGCTATAGGCAATGAATTTCATTGTAAGTTGAAAGTTTAACCATGATCCACCATTAGAGGGGAATAAGTATGTCATCTAAAGAGAGTATCTTATTTAACCCTTTAACTCCCAAGATCTGATTGTTAATTCTCCCCTCTAGCTGCTATATATTTCCTTGTAAATTAGTTGCGAGAATTTGGAGTTAGATCAAGAAAACAACTTCTACCTGATCAGTTTGAGTATTCTCATTACCTGTTTGCTGAATACTGCATGGATATCATAGGGGGAAGTTACTTGTTAATCGCATTTGGGAGTTGAGGGGTTAAACACAATTTCCCAGACCAGCTGTTTCACCTGCCACTAAGAGTGCTTTAAAGTAGTCTGAAATATTTGGTACATTTGAAAGAAAATGTGATCAAAGTGCTACAATGGATTATTCCAGATAAGCAAATGCACATATTACAGCTTACCATTTACACCCTTACATTAGAGTTCACATTCTCTACACTGTCCTTTTTACATTTCCTATGGTACTGACAAGGAGAATTTGTTTGATAATCAAGAGTGTTTTAACCTGGTGATCAATCTCTTTATTCTCATGACCTTTACATTACATTCAAGCTGGATAATGAAAGGAGAAATTAGAACCCATTTGTTCTTAGGATTAAATCTTTAACAGCCAAACTAAGAACACACAAATTGCAAACCCAGGGTGACAGAAAAATCCTGCCCTCTTTTAACATCAGTGGCCAGTCAGTTAGAGGTAAGAGGAATTTCAAAACTTAAAGAGAGGAATTGGAGGATTTCAATAAATTCTCTCAATCATTCTGGTCCATACAGTGATTATACCAACCAACCTTTTCAGAATCAAAGAGGGGAAAATTTTCTTTTGAAATTGGGGATATTCTATCGAGGACTTGGTCATGTTACAAGACGCCTGAAGATTTTTAAGGACACTCCATAGATTTTGGCACAGAAAAAGTGTATATCATGTCTGTAATAGTGCAAGTTTTTTCCTTGGGCAGCAAGTGTAAGCTGGTGAGAGACCACAGATTTTGATCCCTACAGGTTACATACTCACACCTCTGAGGTGAGATTTGATGGCATAAGATATTTCAAGTGATAAAAGCATAAAAGAGAATAGGACACTTGTTAAGACATTGAGGGAGACAACTATCTGTTGAGCGACTTATCTAACAAACCTGCAAACTCAGAAAGGTTGTAAAAGGGAAGGTGAGGAGTGATCACAAAGAAACAAAATAAAAGAAAATTTGAGACTGTTTGGGCCAACATAAAACTGACAGCAGTGGCAACTTCTCAGACTTTTACAAGGCTCAGTGATACCATATTTCCTCAAATAGGGCCCCAGGTGCTTATTTATAATTTAGGCCAATAAAGGAGGGGTGCTTATGGGAAAGAACATGCTTAATCGAGGGGGCACTTATTAAGTAATCATGAACCTTACTGATTCAGTTACAGTTCAAGCTTAAAAATTTACAAATAAAGTGGCAATAGAAACAGGATCTCCTTGTAACCCTACTATTTAGGAAAGTGGGGAAGGAAGAGTTGGGGGTTCTTTTTTCATATTATGGCCCAGCCAGGGGGTAGGTGCTTATTTGAGCATGGGCACTTATTCATTCCAATGAAATTCAGTAATAATGTTGAGGAAAATACTTCTCTTGTTAATTTACTGAAGTGGAACCACAGTACCCATGCATTTGGCACGAAATATTACTAACTAGATTAAATAATGGCAGCTAAGTTTGATTTGTTGATTTATGTTTTATGAGGACGCAGAACAAAAACGATGAGATTTCCGCACAGCACTGTATCTTGTTATGCATACAGTTCTTGGAAAAAAAAGACATTAATGGCTTTGTTTTGTAATAGTACAGGGCTGTGTGGAAATCTTAGACCGAACATAAAATTAAGCTCTACGAAGAAAATCAGTTTAGAATAGTGGCTGCGTGCCCACGCGGTTAAAATATTGAAGAAAGTGAACTGAAAAAATAACATTTATATACACATTCTACTTCTAAACAACAACAATAATTGATATTTGAGAAAGGATGTTTATAACAAATTAATTGGGGAAGAAAAAAGGCAATAAGTAACACTTTTTGTTGCTCGTACGTAATATAAGGTCTAGTTAAAAGACATCCCGCAAAATCGCAAAGCAGAACTTTTAAAATGGCGCCCAAATATGACTGCGGTGACAGCAAATCGAGACAAACCCTCACTAGGTGATTCTTCCCGTGTAAATTATTTTTTCTTCACAAAAATCAAATTCGAAATGTATATTTTACGAGCAGAGCTTACGTAGGATCGGAGAAGTATGCAATTAAATATCGTGAAGGAAAATTAGGTGAGCGGGAAACATTAAATTGGATGCAACGCGATGCGAGCGCACCTGTGATTTGTGACTACAACAAAACCGCGTTCGCTGCATTGTTGATTTAAGGCTGTTTTATCTCTCTAAGCATTTAAAAAAGCAATGCAAACCTGAGTAATCGATTTTCTAGGTCTCCTTTTTCTCGTCTTCTCTCTCAGCTTTCCAGAAACTTTTCGCTCCTGCGGAAATACGAGGTTTAAATTCACGCTTTCGTGTACTTTCCTTAGGATTATTGCAAAGCTGAGAAGCAAAGTAGTTCGATAAAATGAAATTTTACGCAAAATGCTTTCCTTCTTGGCTTTTAAATAAAATATATTGAAAAATATCTCACCGTATTATTGTCCTTTAGTTCTTGATTGTCATTTGATTCCCACATAACTGTAGATTGGGAACTCGTTGGAAGAGTTTTCGAAACGAGACGTTAATCGAGAATTGCGTTTGACTTTCGTTTACGAGCGAGCACTCAATTGTGAGTGACAGGTTAAATTCAAACAGTAGCCAATCATGTTGATTTATCCCGCATACTCAAATTAGCCTCTAAGATTACCAGACCGCGACCGCAAACTTCCTAATATTAACGGTCTTAGCAAAAAAAAGATGAAATTAAGCAAAAATTCTAGAATTGAAATGACGAATTATTGTATAATTATGGTATCTGACGATACAGATGATCGATAGAACCGGTTACCTCGAAAGAAAGGGTTATTTCTTCATCATAGCAACGTGAAACTGTTATTCTGTATTCTATTTTTAGCTGGCCTGTTCCAGGTGGGTTCGGTTAATAACTTGGAGCGCGATAGGAAACGAAAGCAGCTGAGGAGTGAGCTAAGTTTGGCTAGGGTAATCTGTTTCTACTGAACGGATGTGGAATCTTGACGCGGCTTACAATCAGATAGCATCAACCCTAACTCCGAGTTTCGTTATCAAGTTTGGTTCAACAAATAGTCAATGATTATTCATGAGCCTTCGACTTTTACTCAGATTTTCAAAAAAAAGAGATACATCTACAGAAAAAGAGACATTACAGTAAAATGTAATTTGCCTCAGAATTGCTAGTCTAGACAAATAAAGCTAAAATTGTTATATCTGTCGGTACTTGCTCCACGACCCTCTTGTCCTGAATTGGACTGTTTTTTTTTAGTCATAGCTCCTATCTACATCGTACCAATTTTCTTAATTATGCCAGTCATTCATCGCAATCGAGTGTTGCGTTTTCCGTTTAACATTTCGCTTAGGTCATAGTAGAAAATTATTTTGGTATTGGTCGCGACAAGTTTGAGCAAGTTTGTGTGGGAGAGTGCATGTTATGTTCACTTAACATCTCGGAGATTATACGACGCTGGAACTTATGTAATGTGTCTCAGGAGGGGCGACTTTAGGAACAGCAGAGGAACAGAATAAGAGAGATGGTTAGTATTTAAGCTCGTCAAAGAAATAGCGGGGAAAGACGTTTTTCGTCTGAGTCCCCATGAGAAATCGAACCTCAGACCTTCGGATTCCGCGCTCCTATGCTCTATGGTGGACTTTGGAACAGCTCTGAAAATTAGGAAAAAACAAGACACACACAAGTGTAACCCCTAAGGTTATGCTGAATAATGATATGTCTTGTCAGGAAGTCTAAATACCAAGATAACAAGGTTATTGACCGCATATGTTACGATCAACTGTTACGACTACTCATTTGGGTTTAAAATTGGGGTCTCGAAAAGCCATTTCCTGCGTTTTTCGCAGAGCATTTTCAGTATATCTGTAAAGTACGAGGGAAAATGCATTAGTAAGTGGGAACATGGACTGATTTTTCGTTGTCACACCAAAAAATACTGAGGCTGATCTCGCGACGTCTAAATATAACCACTTACGACATTTAACCTTAAAGAGAAAGTAACTCTCAACGAAAAGAAGGTACAATCGTACTATTCAGCTTAGGTTTATTCCGCTTACATTAGAAACGTCTAAAGTGTTTGGGATTTTGGTTTGACAGCAACAAGTCTACAGTCGAAAGAATTGGTCGTGAAGTCGAAGGGCGGGTTTCCAAACTACTCCACCAATAGCTCAATTCTCTCCTGAGTTACAAGGTGTAGATCGCAAACTCAATGTGTAGTACCCACAAGCCACTGTAGAAGGCTTTCCACACTAGGATAGAAATCTCTCGTATATTTGGGATAATAGCTCTTCTTGCTCTTCTTAAAGAAGATGTCAACTTCTCAAAAAATCTGAATAATTAACCAATGTGATAAGCGGCCGAACACTAAAATACAATAATGCTCCATTAGCGCTTACACTAAACGCTCAAACACATCTAATGGTCTAACAATTCATGGGCGGTATTACGATAATGACACAATTCGTATGCATATATATAAGTATTTTATGCCGGGTGAAGCCACCAACTTTGTTGGATCAATTTTCAAATTGTGTTAATATAAACAGGTCAGTGAAAACTGGTCTGTAATAAAGTTCATCTTGAGAAAAAATTACCTCCCCTCCCCCCTCCCAAGAAAAACCTCAAATTCTAACTCCCCCCCCTCACTACTGTCAAATATACCGAGTAAAAGAGCAAGTATTTGTCTGTCAATGTAAAGTTTTTTCTTAGAAATATTCCGTTAGATTCAGACTTGTCTGCCACAAATAAGTAGTCTTAGTGGTTGATCGTGACATATGTGGCATATGACGATTGTGAGATGCAGTTGATAACTTTCGAGAAACTGTAGGAGCCAACAAAACCCATAAAATCGCTTGCAGTTGTTGTCCTCATAAGTGCTCACACGCGCAATAAGTTTTTAAGAGTGAATATGCATCCTAATCCAGCTGTTATCGACCAAAAAAAAAATTGTCCAAATTAATGATAAAAGCATGAAACTTTGCCACAACATTCATGACCCTAAGACTAACATTTTCTGATGTAGGGCCAATCCAAATTAACTTCTGGTGACGAGAAGCACACATATCACAAATTCGTTAACATGGAAACGAGGCTAAGAAAATAAAATCATCTTTAACAACATTACTTGAGGAAATTTGCAACAAAAGCCTTCAAACATAACAACTGAGTCATTTTCTGTCTATTCGTATTCATCTTATGCTATTACGTGACTATCCTCTATAATATTTATCATAATGTTTAGGTTCCCTGTGGTTAAACGTTAAATATACCCGTTTACGTAATTTTCTGAATCACGATTGGTAAAACCTGTTTACCTTAGAAATATAAAGCTTACGTCTTTGGTTGACTTGACGTTCTCCTCCGTTACTTTAGTAAAATTAACCAGCTATAATAAATAAGCTTTGGTTAACAGATTTGGGATACCTGTGGTAAATTGTTCAGCTAACCTTCTCTGAACGGCGCTTTAGGTGAAATCCTAAAATGTTCTCCTATCTAACCAAAATTCAACAAACGATTGATGTAATGCCTAATTCTTAGTCGATCTACTCTAGTCGTTGGTGACACCGTTGTAAATAGTTATGGCTGTGGGCAGTTGCCGCCACAGTTGCACAAACCAGTGCATGCCAAATAAGCCTTTAAGTTCTTGCATTGTCCTCTATATGAGGCTATGCATCCGCATCGAATAAGTTCGCGACAAGATTCCTTTGCTTGCAGGTAGAGCTTTCCAGAATGGTGACCATGAGTCGTTGAGCTGCCGCCATCCCTGTCTGATGGGCTTGGAAGCACTGGCTGACAAAGGAAGGCCCCATACGTAGGCTGCATAGCCTAACCAAGTACATGGACCATGAGGCAAGTATCTGCCTCTTCATGCGTGCAAAGCACAAGTAATCTCATCTACCCTCGGGGTAAGAGCATCTCCTGTTCGTGCGCATCTTGCGCACGGGAAGGAGAATGCTAATGTTATAGGGGAAGGAGGCGCAGTTGGTCTCACAGAGAATCCATCAGCTTTGAGAAGATGGATGGTGGCCGTTCCTGAGCTCTCCAGGATGATTCAAGAGTTCGAAGGTAGCAACAATCAAACAGAGGAAAATGACCATCATGAGAAGAAGTCAGGTATTCATATCTGGGATATCATGGATAATACGGTGGTCAAAACTGTTCGCAGTGTTACAAAAATTGGTGAGAAACAGTCCAATTCGTTTGCCAATGAGCGGTTTGTCGAGAGAAGAAAGCCTGATACACAACCTTTCAAGAAGAATAATCTTCCCACTTTCACGTCGACGAAAAAGGAGACCGTGAAAGACGAAAGTAGAAGTTTTGAGGGATGACTGTGTCTTATTTTTGCGGCTTCACATAGCTTGTCAGATTCGTGATGGAAACGCGGAAGATTTCTTCAAGTATGAGAACCAACCATGGCCGCCACCTCTTTCGCAGCTTTGTCAGCTTAGAGGAGGACAGAAGGCAGACTTGGCGCTGTGTTCGCCCAGCACATCAGTAGAGATCGCAACTCAACCAGTCGCTCATGTAGTTATTCTTGATGTAACTGCTATCGTGCAGATGCTACAGCCAAGAACAGCACGCACATTTGATGAATACTTAAATACCGTGCACGCCCCTTACATCCTAAAACACCTGGAAACGGCGAGAAGGGCTGATTTAATCTGGGATGTATATCAGGATGATTTAATGAAGAGATCATTGCGAGAAAAGAGAGGCTCTGGACAAAGGCGCAATATACTAGCATCAACAAGAATTCCTGCTGACTAGAAAGGCTTTCTGCGAGTGGTTTAATCACAAATATTTATATTCATATCATTTAAGGTGGTTTCACTGAAGGTTCTCGAGGGTCAGAGCACCTACTCTATCTATGATGAGGGTATCCTATCGAGTACTGAGAGAACGGAGATGAGCTTACTTGCGCCTTGCACACATGAAGAGGAAGATAGTGGCCTTACGATCCATGTATTCGATACAACCTCAAGGGGACATCGATGAAATAGAATTAGAAACAACGATACAGATGTTGTACTTACTATTTCAGTGGCTAGCACTCTTCCAAGAGATGAACTCTGGATCACCTTTGGGTCTGGAAAGAATATACAGAATATCCTTGCGCTTACCATAGCAATGTCCCTGGGTCCTGATAAAAGCCTCGATCCTACCAATGTTCCATGCACCAACTGGGTTTGATACTGTTTCGTCTTTTAGAGGGCGTGGAAAGAAAACGGCTTGGGATGTGTGGAACTTGTTTTCTCAACTGACACCAGTGCTAAAAGTCCTCAAAGCATCACCACAAGGTATCATAGAGGAGTGCATGGCTGTGCTTGAGAGGTTTGTTGTCCTTATATATGACCGTAAAGCAGCCTTACGAAAGTAAACAAGGAGCAATAAAAGCTCTCAGTTTTCAAAGAGGTCTAGAAGCTTAGACAGTATCCCTCCCACTGGAGCATAACTTGAGCAGCACGTCAAAACAGCAATGTTCCAAGAAGGCTACGTATGGGGCCAAACCCTCCTTCGTCAGAAAGTGCTTCCACAACTCATGGTCACCATTCTGGAAAGCTCTACCTCAAGCAAAGGAATCTTGTCACGAACTTATTCGATGTGGATGCAGAGCCTCATGTAAGGGACGATGCTATTGCTTAAAAGCTAATTTGGCGTGCACTGGTTTGTGCAACTGTGGCGGCAACTGCCAACAGCCATAACTATTTACAACGGTGTCACCAACGACTAGAGTAGATCGACTAAGAATTAGGCATTACATCAATCGTTTGTTGAATTTTGGTTAGATAGGAGAACATTTTAGGATTTCACCTAAAGCGCCTTTCAGAGAAGTTTAGCTGAACAATTTACCACAGGTATCCCAAATCTGTTGACCAAAGCTTATTTATTATAGCTGGTTAATTTTACTAAAGTAAAGGAAGAGAATGTCAAGTCAACCAAAGACGTAAGCTTTATATTTCTAAGGTAAACAGGTTTTACCATTCGTGATTCAGAAAATTACGTAAACAGGTATATTTAACGTTTAACCGCAGGGCAGCCAAACATTATGATAAATATTATAGAGGATAGTCACGTAATAGCATAAGATGAATACGAATAGACAGAAAATGACTCGGTTGTTATGTTTGAAGGCTTTTGTCGCAAATTTCCCCAAGCAATGTTGTTAAAGAGGATTTTTTTTACTCTTAGCCTCGTTTCCATGTTAGCGAATTTCTGATATCTGTGGTTCTCGTCACCAGAAGTTAATTTGGATTGGCCCTATATCAAAAAATGTTAGTCTTAGGTTCATAAGTGTTGTGACAAAGTTTCATGCTTTTATCATTAATTTGAACAATTTTGGTCGATAACCGCTAGACTATACGCGCTCCGGACCCTTTTTTTTTTTGTTGTATCCCCACGGGGATATTGTTCAAATCGTAAACAAAGCATTTATTACTATCATGAATTATTAAATCTGAGTTGTCGTCAATTTGCATCATAAGTAAGCTTTTGAATTAGGTAAAAATAAAAACAGTCCAGTTCAGAATAGAATTACAGATATAAGAATTTTAGCTTTCTTGCGCTTCATACGGTTCAAATCATGAGGACTTTAGGAGAGGTTGGGGCGCACATGGCTTACAACACTGTATTAGTCGGAATTTTAATCATGTATGGGTTATTCGGAGCGTTCGTTTTTAGGAAATTCGAGGCTACTGAACGTGTGTCAGTATCAGACGGCCAGCCAGGAATTTCGAGAGATGAACTACTTGAAGACCTGTGGAGTGGAAAAGATCTTGACTTTGACACGTGGTCTGTGCAAGCGAAAAACAAATTGGATTTATACGAAGAAGGTTTTAATCCGGAGTCGTCCATTTCTGCCGAATGGAGCTTAGATGAGTCGTGGTTATTCGCTTGCACAATATTCACTACTATCGGTAAGAGGGATCTAGAACTGATTTATTGAATTTCCTTTCAATGAGCTTTTTTGTTTCTTCTTGATTATTTTTGTGTCGCTTAAAAATTTAAATTTGCTTTAAGGCTTTCGCGCGGGAGCTAAGTTGAGCTGCATTTCACCTAATCTGAAATTCAAATTACTGTGGTTGTCCGGCATCTGAAAGGGAAAGTGAGGGAGGGGATGGAAGGGAAGTGAGGAAGTGGTTCGAGGGAGAGGGACATAGGGGAAAAGAAAAGGAGCTTTGTGAGGAATCCACGAGAGTTGAGCGGCCAGTGGGAGATCTGCTAAAGGTCTTGGACAAAAAGTGATTTGTTATGCCAAATTCACAGACCTCTCGCCAGCTGGACTCTCGACAACCACAGGACACTCATGTAGTAGCTCTAAAGAAAGCATATTCGTAGGTTGCAGAAAAGGGAGCCTGAAAAAAATCTGGTTACGACAAGTAAATTAAGTCCAGTAAACACCTGCTATCCGAAGTCTCTTTCGCTGCCTTGTAATGGTTTGATCGCGTTACGCGGCTGCGTGTGACACTGGAGACTTGATTTGCTGGAGCTCGACTAAGTCTTCTAGATTTATACTCTCGGCCCTATCACACCGAAATCACACCGAACGAAAAAAGGTCTTGCAGAGAATATATCAAACTGTTTTATGTGTTGGTATGTTTTATACTAACACGTAGAAGAATAATTAAATCCCGCTGAATTAATATTTTTACCTTATGCACTAAAGGTTATGGCAATATTACCCCGATGTCCACCTCTGGCCGTATTTTCTGTATTCTGTATGGATTTGTTGGAATACCCTTGTTCAATGTAGTTGCCGTGAGTGTAGGATCTCTAATAACCGGGTTAGTTACTTTTATGCCTTCATATTCACCTTAATTTACCTTATTGTCACCTTAGTTTCGATGATGGACGACGAATCGTCAACCACTGTTTTTCTGTTACTGTTTTTTTGAAACCATTAAAACTAAGTTTTGTTATTTGAAGTTTTTGACACTGTGTACTGCATATCTGTGGTTTACGATAAGGAAGTTAGGAAGGAAAGAGTGAGTATGTCCTGGCATCCTCACGCACATGCAGGTGTTGCATATTTGAACGAGAAGTAATTTTCGCGCGTTATCGCGTCCATGCCAATCTGGTTCTTTGAGCCCTTCGTTTTGAGTTGAACAAATCGATAAATGATTCGACAGAAGGGAACGAGAATGGTGCTCATAAAAGGTTTTAAGTCCTGAGAAATAAGAGCTTATCACTCTAAATAATTATGTGGTAACTAATCAATTTCGCTCGTACGGGAAGAGATTGGATCTTTCTGTACAAAAGGGATTTAATTGACGCCGACAACAGTTGCAACTGATACCTCTTCTCGATTTTAGCTCTTCCCTAGTCAACGTTTAATCGTTCTCTGAAAGTAAATATATTTTATTCGACATTTATCACTACCGTTTTAATGCCAATTGTTCTACTGCTTTTTTTCTTTTTTTTTTTTTCCAGGGTGATTCAATTTTTTCACTCCACCTATGAGAAGCGAAAGAGAAAAATTGAGGCAGAAACACATAAGAAAGACGACTTTGACTTTGAATCGCTGGCAAGTGAAGTCAACCAAGAGGGTAACCTTACTTTCAAGAGCGTACTGAGCATGACTGTAGCTTATCTAGCGGCTGGTACACTGCTATTCTCCCTGTGGGAGGATTGGTCACTGTTTGAAGCGTTCTATTATTGCTTTGTGACTCTGACAACGATAGGTAAGAAAACAGTGGCGGATCGGGGGGAGGGGAGGGTACGAGGGGTCCATGCATTTTTTTCTGTGAGCAAAATTCTTGAAACAACAGGATCCCAAATTGTTGTTGTTGTTGTTGATGTCCGTCTCTATGAATGAAACACGCATTAGAGAACTAAAACAATCAGGTTCGAAACTTAAAACTTGGCCGGAGTGGCAGTTTCGTTGTTTTTATTTTTAATTCTTATTAACATATTAGCTACACATGTATTTCCTCATGGCCTGTTTGGTCTTTAATAATACTCTTCTCTAGTTTTACCACATAGAATCGAAAGGCTCTATATACACTTGGTACCAAAACATTACCAAAACAAGAACCATTCTGTCTTCTGATCCTTGACTCGAATCGTTAAACTGACGATTACACAGCGTTTCTTTTTTACTGAGAGACAGCGGATTAAATGCCTTAGAACTCAAGTTTTAAGGCATAGTTTTGACTTGCATGTCATTTCTTTTGTTGATTTTCGGTATTTCAGGTCTCGGGGACTATGTGCCGCAGAACATGCACCACACGGTGTTCTTTGGTGGGTACATTGTCGTGGGTCTTGTCTTGGTGACCATGCTATTTAGTACCATGGAAGAAGAGATTGCTCAGTGGTTTGATAAGATTAAGAGAGCGGCTGGGATAAAAAAGCACCCGCAAGAGGACAAAAAGAATCTCTAGGCCATTATACTGATCTTGAATACATCTACACTTTGGATTGTGTTTGATTACCTCTGCATGAACGAAAAATTCCGCCGTTGAGTGTTACTAGGTGAGAGACATCTAATCTGCAACCCCGAGAGCTACTGGTTAAAGAAACACAATGGCGTTTAAGCGAATACACACAAATACAGCGCGCCAGATGTGTGGCTAGAACAGAAAGTAGAGATCTAAAAATTCGTTGACCAAGATGAGGAAAATGTTAGGATGAAGTTTTGTCAGCGGCCAATTGTTTGGCATCATTAGCTCTGTTATTTCTTTCCTTTTCTTGATTTGTTTTGTTTTGTTTTTTTTTTACACATAATAGCGGAGCTGGCAGAGCGTAGCCCCATAATTATACAAAATAGTAGTAACCCATCAAGCCGAAAAAATTTGGTTGTACGACCATACGACCGTACAAGGTGATACTTTTAACATGCGTGCTCAATTGTACTACGGCTTTGTCCGGTAGTCCAGTGGTCAGTGCACTGGGCTCTGAGTCGGACGACCTGAGTTCTAGTCCTGGCCCGGGCAAGGCGTTGTGCCCTTGAGATGTGCGGGAAAAAAATGCGAGCTCCGCTTTTAGGCTTGGCTAAATCTGTATATTATACTGTCCTGTTAAGAAACTGATTATCTTAATATGTAGCCTTAAATTGATACCGACATCCGTTTTGTGAATGAAATAAACTCAGCCAAGACTGTTGTGCTTTATCAAAACATTGGCTCGTTCCCGGTTTGTAGCAGAGAAAATAGAAGGAAATTCAGGATTTACGGGTACAAGTTACTTTTCTTCTTCTGTCGCTTTTGCATACATATCTCGGCGAGTCTGCAAGTATCAATGCAGCAGAAGAGCACGTTTCCCTATCAAAACTTTTGTCATTTTAAACCAGAAGTAGTGGTGAAAGGAGGGATGTATTCAATAAAGCGGCAGACTTTCTATGTCCTTCTCGCCTGTCTTGGGTTGAACCTCTAACTTAACCGAAATAGCATCTAAGCGCGCTCGCTGATATTTACGTAACATAAAAGCGACCAGAAGTGTTGGAGATGGAAATACGTCAACATTTTAGTAAAAACAGAGGATGACAATCACGTTTGCAAGTTACTGTTTCTTTCATCGGGTAGAATGGTCCGACATTAATGCATTATGATATGCAACCAAGGCAAGCCATCAAAGCATTGAATGAGAAAAAGCGCGAATTCGCCAAAGTGTACTCACGAAAATAACAATGCCATCCTTTAATTGCATTCACTTTTCAGATATAATTCATCTGAAAGTTAGGGAAAGGAATCTTACAGGATTCTCATCGACCGATCTCGTCGGCCTGCTTCGACTAACGGTTAGCACCTATAGATGAAGTCTTAATGTCGATGCAACTCAACTGGAGAGATAACACATTAATAAAGGAAGTGAATTTCTCAAGAAACTGTGGTGCTGCGTCGGTAGAGGGCATTACAAGCCCTTCGTCAGAACGATTACACTAAAACGTCAGCTTAAGAATCCCTTTACGATGGCAATCTTCAATTGAGTGTCGAACGTAATCCGACATTGCAAAACTTGCGCTACTCCCTCAACCAATCAGATGCAAAACTGAAAGCAATCACGACTTGGTCGCCCGCGTTTTCCCGCGCTTTAGTCAGTTATTTTCTTTCTCATGATTGGCCGTCGTGATTACATTGATTTTGCTTTTACGACACTCAATCAAAAAGCGCTCTATCGACTCAATTGATAAAAGCAAATTGTCTGGAAAGATAACCCTTCTTCGTACACTTCAAATAACTTTTCATTTACGCAATTGTTCCCAGCTTCACTTTCTTTGGCCTCTTCCATCTATTTTTCCGCTTTAAGTCGGCAAGTTCCCCTTTCATCGCCATTAGGGCTCGAGGATCTCTTACATCGTAACCAAGCCTCTGCGCATTAATTTTCCGCAGTCTCGCCTCCTCTTTTTCCTTTTTCAGTTTGGCTCTCTTTTCTCGCATCCTTTCACGATAATCGGCGACAATTTCTGGCATCTTGGCCATGTTTTCCGCAATTCTTGCTAGCCTAAAAAGTGAGTAGAAAACCAGCAGTGTTATAGCTTGTTTTTTTATCTCTTCCCTTCAGAGAGCTAGGCGTAAAATTTTCAAGTCGTTTTCTGAGACATGCAAAATATCAGTCTTACGGGAGGGCAGATCGGCAAAACAGGAAGGCTTAACTAAAAAGCCACAAAAATATTCAAGGATGAAGGATATTCACACCAATTACAAATTAAACACTTGCATCAACCATGACAAACTCCCTTAAGCTCGGCCTTTGAATAAGGAATCAAATGAAAAATTTATCTTAAAGGAAGTTTAAGAAGAAGAAATTCAGTATTTTTGCGATGGCAGGAGTAGTTTTAAACTTCACAATAGGGTAAACGGTTTGACCTTGGGAGCATGATTGTCTGATTGTCCGGGTGAGAGTGGTCCTGGGAAGGAATGTTGTCGATAGTAGTGACTGACATTTTAACAACCTATGCAGAGGTCATCATTGGAGTTGGAAGTTGTCATCACTTGACTCCGATGTTGAGTTCCATCGAAGTTATTGAAATGTCAGTCACTGCTATGAACAAAAGTCCTTCACCAAGTTACTTGCATTCATTCAACATGATAAAATATTACTTTGATCCTTTGACCTCTAAGAGTGACTGGCATCAAATATCTCCCTACAATATCATCCCTGAATCACATGTTAAGGTAACAAGAATAAAGGAAATGATCACCAACTTAAGAGGCTCTTGATTGTTAAACAAGTTCTCCTTGTCAGCTACTTGGTAAACGTTTAGAGAACAGCATGGAGATTATGCATACTGATATTAGAGTGTAAAGGGTTCATGAAAAATATAATAACTCACCTTTCCTCCTTTCGAATTGCTCGCTTGTGTCCTTTTGGCGTTCTATCCAGTCCCCTGTCACGCATTGGTCTCTCTGGCCAATAGAAGCCTTTAGCTATATATTCATTTCTTAAAGCTGCTAACGCTCTGGCATTGTACAAAGGCTTGTGCCATTTGCCGTCTATTAGTCGACCTTTGGACTTCCTAAGGATCTCCGCGACTTCAGGGTGCACTGTTAAAATAAGAAACAGATTAAAAACAAAAAGGGAGTGCGTCAGACTAAAAGATCAGTGTACCAATGGCTTATCGCAGTTCTGAACTGAGGAGAATGAAGCAACCACAAAGGGTGTTGTTGCTATTTTAGGCTTGAAGCTTCTTAAAGTTATTTTATTTTTTGGCATTTGGGACACACTTTAGTAGCTTTTGCTGATGTAAAATGGAGGTCGACACAAAGAGATTAACACAAGAATAAATGTACAGCAGGGATATGGTCACTAACTGAGGTTGCACTCTACCTGGTATGTGTTCCTCGAGAACAGGAGTTCCCATTCCACGGCTCTGCAATAAATGTGCAGGTGGATCAAGGTGTTCCTCTCTATCTATTTGTTCCTTTGCATCTGTTGCTTTGCTGCATAAATTTCTGAGTGAAAAAAAAAAAGAAAAAAAAAAAGAGTTTATTAAGCAAGCTACAGATTAAATTTGTATTCTGTAGTACAATACCCATGGAATATTTTTGGCTCTCCAAATGTTTGAAATCTCTCAAATTGGGTCTTAACTTCATCATCATAATAAAGTTCTTCTTCAATCGCATAAATCTTGTGTTTCACTGAGAGGCCTTGGAGAAAATGTCAAGAGCTTTAGTTTCAAATATTCCTGCTTTACTTAAAAGTCAACCTGATGTTTTAAAGCTCTTGCCACTTTCAATATGCCAAAATTTGAACAAAGAAATTTGTCTGCATCAGAAGTTTCAGGTTGCAAGAAGGTCTGGCACTCTTTTATTTGTCATAAACCCTTTTTTCTCCAAACAGGGTCAGATTTCAATGACCTACGCAGTAAAACTCTGTCCAAACTTCCCTCAAGCCCCCCCTTCCTCCCATGTGGCAAAGTTTCAGCCGGTTTCCCACACAGCAATGAGGTTAAAAAGTGTGTTCGCAAAAAAATAATATTAAAAACAAGAAATCAATGAGGAATAACAGCAGACATCAATGAAGCAAGAAAAACTTTAAAATTAATGGCAGATTCATTGCATCTTAATATGATTACATAACATCTGAGTAAAACAAACGTAGGGTGCACTTAAGAAGGGTATGGAAGAGAGGTCTTCATTATCGGTAATAGTAATGACATAGCAGTCCTTTAAAAATTTAACTTGCGATCAATTGTTTCTTTTGAAAATGCAACTCAATCAAATTTCTCAAAGGGCTAGATTTGCTACCTTTGTTTCTGCAGCTCACGTGCAATCACATCAGTTGATAGATTGCACGTGAGCTGGGAACATTCCATCAATGACGGGCAGTTGTGTGAGATCATTCATGAATACAAAGTACAATGTTCTCCAACTAAACAGAATTCATCTCAAGGAAAACCATAAGTGATGTTCATAAAGAAATTTTTTTTTTCTAATGACAATAGGTCTTTCAGTTAAAAAATCTTTGCATGAGTTGTCGATAAAAAACTGTGTATATTTGAAGAGAATACCCTTACTGGCTGATCACGCAGCCTTGTTTAGCCACTAGTTTATAATTATTAAGCTATTTAATTACCTTTGTATCTGTAACGTTCCAAATGTTAGCCTAAATGGGAGATTTTGAAGACTAACAGAACTCCATAAGCGATTACAACTTCTACACATAAATGCTGCCAATTTGTTCGCCATCTTGGACTTGTCTGATGGTCACATGGGTAGTATTACCAAATACGGAAAAGAGTTCCTAATAAGGAAAATACCTCCAGAAACTGTCGTTGACTAAAAATTATTTGGTAGTTGATATGGCGGAGGGCGACTTGAATGTGGACAGCATAATATCCCGCTTGTTAGAAGGTTTAAATTCTTTGTAATCTTTTCTAATTCCTTCGCCTCATGTAGATGAAATACAAACGTTACCTTTATTTTCTTAGCTCGCGGAAGACCAGGAAAGAGTGTTCAACTAGCAGAATCGGAAGTCCGTGGACTGTGTCTTAGATCCAGGGAAATCTTTTTGAACCAACCCATTTTGCTGGAGTTGGAAGCTCCTCTCAAAATATGCGGTAAGTAGGCTATGGTGAACCGCTGAAGCCCTTTGCAATTTAATCAAGTGTTACTGGACGTCTTTATCTAAGAACCAGATCCGCAGTCAGTGAGCAATGCCGAGTTGGAACGCGTAGCGTAGATTTTTCATGTCATTTCAGCTTTATTACTCGCCTTGTCAATAGCTGGTCGGCTGTTCACTGCTTCTCCAAGTCTATTTCTTTTATATTAGATCACCTACTCAAAATTTTCGTGTCGGTCTGTTTCTAGAAGATCGGCATTGTGTTTGACGGAGTAATGATCGACGATTTGCATGTGTTGAAATCATCTCGTTGACCTTAGTCCTAAACTAACTTTGTTTTGCAGCTCCTAAAACCTCTGATTTACTTCGAGGAACTTCGAGGAATTTTCAAACCAGGGAAATATATTAAAAAGACTTGAAATAAGTAATTCGTACTTTCTGATCATCAAAACGCAAAAACGTAGCGAAATATTCATCTGCGCTTGTAATTTTCGAGCCTGACGAGGACTTCTAACAAACAAACATGAACGAACTTATCAAGGTATGCTTTGGTCTTGTTCACTGAAAAATTATCGTGTTGATATTCTTCGAAAGCTGTGTAAAAATACCACGTTATTTATTTTTTTTTTCCTGAATTACAAATATTCCCGACTATTCGTGTAGATCGTGAATTGGATATTTTATTCGGGAGTTCCCGAGTTTAAGTTTGATCTATTAATTTGACATGATCTCGTTTATTTTGTGTCTTTGGTATGTAGTTTTCGATGATAACTCTCGATGAACTCATTTTTTCGCTGCTAAATCGCTGATTATTCGAGTAAGCAAGTTCATACCAAGGTGCAATAAAAAACTGTCAGGGAACAAATGAAGTTTAATTCAGAAAATCAAGCTGTTCCTAGATTACGAATAAATGCCTTCGGGTACGAATATTTTGACGTTTCTCAGGAAGAACTATTGACCAAGATTTTGGACAGGCAACAAGAATTGAACCGCGGGTGTAGGCTTTTAATTAAGAGGAAGAGACCGAAATTGATAAAAAAAAGGTTGCTGTTGTCATCAACTTCTTTTAACGTTGCGAGAGTTCTTTGCTAAATGCAAATAAATTTTACTGTAGCGACTAATTGTACGGAAGTTGCAGTAGATATGCTTTTGTCATGGTAATAATAGATCGGTAATAATTCCGTGTAACTTGATATTGTTTACAGAAACGTAAACTATGGTACTTACTTATCTCCCTTCAACATTGCGTCATGAGTTTCAAGATCGCCTTTCGAATTGTTCAGGGCCTGTCTTAAACAGGCGAAAAAGAGAACAGGAGTTTCATAGAAGAAAACACGTCTTTACTTGAAAATAACATACTAGCTGCCGTACATCAGAATTTCGTTTATATCGAAATCTAGGTTACGGTGACAGCACGATTCTCCAAGATGTTATTGGAATCTTGTTTGATCATCACAAATTGCTGTACTTTCATTTTCCATCCGTTTTCAATAGTACCTGCAAGCTATTCTGTTCTCATATTAATTCTTTCGGAATTACAGAATCACTAGAAACTGCTCCTGGCAGATGCATCTATATTGTTTAATATTCTGAAGAGAGGAAAAAAATCATTAATCAAAAAATCAATAACATGGGTGTTAGGGTTAGTTTGTGCTTAGTCACAAAAGTATAATAAGAAAGATATTTTAAGGTCATATTGTCATTGGTGGTTTTGACAGTTGTACATCACTTAAATGTGAATGGTTGGGATTAATCATCACTGTCTCTATGTTTAACCAAAACAGAGTTACATGTTTATGATACAGACAAAGAATTTTCCTTTGCATATGTAGTTTATTGAACAGTAAGTTTACCATGTTATGTGTGTTAGTGTGAATAATTCTGGTCAGCATTTCAAATTCTGGAGCAAGAAGTTTATGGTTGAGGGACAGTTTATAAATAAATTCTCAGTATAGGTAGTGTTTTTAAAGACTTGATATCTTAAAGCACATCATTATTCATCTTTTCTAGCAATATTAGGGTCTGATGTTGCCTATATGTAGTTACGGGTGTACGTGTCAGCACACCTCTCACAGAGGGCTTGAGAAAGAGCAATACTTCAATGACAATTTATTGAATGTTAAGTATCATTTCTTGACACAGATGAATTACACAAACAGCACTTTCTAATCTAAAGGAGGGGAAATCGATCAAAAAAGCAATCTTGTGTCTCAGTTTCACATTTCATGGTGTGACGTTTACGCAAAAACTAACTTGGATCAGGAGCATGTTTTGTCTAATTGCTTTTTTTAAATTTTATCTTCTTATTTTGCAGGTGACATTCATGGACAATACACAGATCTTTTAAGATTATTTGAATATGGAGGTTTTCCTCCTGAGGCAAACTACCTGTTTTTGGGTGATTATGTGGACAGAGGAAAACAGTCTTTGGAAACCATCTGTCTGTTGTTAGCCTATAAGATCAAATATCCAGAAAACTTCTTTCTTTTGCGAGGAAACCATGAATGTGCTAGCATTAACAGAATATATGGCTTCTATGATGAATGTGAGTATGGGCAAAGCAAATTGGTTGAAAATAAATTTCAATGTCAGAGCTATTCTTCCGCAACATAATTTTTGGATCATGGGAACTGATATATGTAGTTCAACCCCTCTGGAAAATCCCTGTGGCTGGATTTGTGCTACCACTTTTGGATGTTTTTTTGCCTTTCTGAAACCTTTTTTCTTTTAATTTCTTTATAAATGGTTCTTTCTATGGTGGTGTTGTTAATGGGGTCCTGAAAAGGAGGTTGAATGAAGTCATCTCAAAAATTTTGTAGTTTTTTAATTCCAAAAATACTCTTGATCGAGTGCCATTATTGGCTAAATGAAATTGCTTTGTGTTGTATTTCACAGGCAAAAGGCGGTATAACATCAAGCTATGGAAAACCTTCACCGACTGTTTTAACTGTTTACCAATCGCTGCTATAGTGGATGAAAAGATCTTTTGCTGCCATGGGGGTGAGTAGATATTTAATCAGAGTCATGATCATAAATCAATGATAATTTTCTTGGCTGATGTATATATTCTGAAATAAAAGTGTATTGTTTATTTTGGGTGGGAACTACATCTAACTATCTATGAATTATCCTCTATATAACTTTACTTCTTATTATCCCACATCTTTGAAAATTTAAAAATATTTCTTTTCTTTTCTCTTCAATTTTCTTCTGCTTGAATGGAGATTTGAAAACATTAGTCTCCAGTGAAAACTCCAGTCATCTTGAACTGCAAAGATTTGTTTCAGTCTGCTAAACTCAAAACACACTAAAGTACAGAAATGTATTGTTTAATATTTTGAGGTTTTGATTTCATAACCTTATCTCAGCCTCTTGTTTATTTGTTATGGTCTATGTTCACATCTATTTTCTTACATTGCATGCTTTCATTATCTGTTTGCTTGCAGGTCTCTCACCAGATTTACAGTCGATGGAACAGATTAGAAGAATCATGAGGCCCACAGATGTTCCAGACACTGGTAAGAAGTGAATAGATTTATGTTATAGAGACAACAGACCTAAAAGAAACAATGTTGTTGCTTATTCAAGAGTTCAATCTGCTCCATGAGATATGGAGCCACTTATTTCTTAACTTAATGTAAACATTATTAGCACTTAATTGTGTACAAGTTTCACTTTTCTCCTGGGTAACAACAGTGTTTTCATAAGCTACCTTTTCTTTTTCTAAATTGAATCTTTTCTTTCAATTTTCCCTCACTGACTGATTTTTTTCCCCTATATACCCACAGGTCTTCTTTGTGACTTACTTTGGTCAGACCCAGACAAAGACACAAATGGCTGGGGTGAAAATGATAGAGGAGTTTCCTTTACATTTGGAGCTGATGTAGTGAGCAAATTCTTAAACCGTCATGACTTAGATCTCATATGCAGGGCTCATCAGGTAAGGTTTGGAATTACACTTTACATGTTTACTGCAGAAAGTTGTACAATCTGAACAATATATATAATTTGGCCACTTTTAAGAGTTTCTAAAGGTGTGTTTTTGAGTTTCAACCCTTCATGTTTCACTCTGATAGAAGGGCTAGCACTCAGAAAGTCAGGTTTAGAAACTTTTTACACTGGCCAATTTACATTATCAACTCAGTTGATTAGCCAACCGTGGTAACACAGCACCACAGTTTCTTTAGAAACTTGCCCCCTTTATTCAGTTATAAATTGCCCTCTGTTTCTTAATTATGTAACAAATTTCAGTTTTTTAATCATGGTCTCTCTTTAGGTTGTGGAAGATGGCTATGAATTTTTTGCCAAAAGACAGCTAGTTACGTTGTTCTCAGCACCCAATTACTGTGGAGAATTTGATAATGCAGGTGGAATGATGAGTGTGGATGAAACTCTGATGTGTTCTTTCCAGGTATGAAAAGCACAATCTTATCTGTCAATTTGGCACATTTTGTTGTTTTGTTACAACCACTTGCCTTGCACTGCAAACCATTGGGTCGTTACAAATTGATATTTGATTTAAGATTTCATACGTACAGGCATACCAGTAGAGTATTTTGAGCACAATTCAAGTCAAGAAAAGTGTCACTTGCATTTCATACCTTGTATACAAAAGGTACATGAAAGTTCGTCATTCAGAGCCCCAAGCCATGCAAGGTTTAGCATTTTCTGGCCTCACATTGGTTACCAGAAATACTATATTAGTCACCAGGAAAAACCAAACAAAGCAGAAACAAATATGTGATGTCAAATGACCCTGTCAATTGCTGCTATCATAACTCTGAAATCATTGATACCATGTGAACCTTCAAGACTTCAAAACTACTAAACTACTATAGCATTTTCATCACATTTTATGAAGTTAATTGTTTAATATCTCATATTGCATGGACAGACACAATGATGATGCCATTTGGACTAGAATGAAATTGTAAAGTTTTGCATTTTTTCCCTCAGATTTTGAAGCCATCAGAAAAGAAAGCCAAGTACCAGTATGGTGGATTAAACTCTGGCCGACCTGTCACACCTCCAAGAGGTCCACCAAAATCAAAAGGAAAGAAATAGGCTTGAGATTTAGTTGGCAAGCCTCGCTTCTTCTACTGAAAGGACTCTAAACTTGTTGTTTGTGATACAAGTTATCAAATCCTCCTCAATACTGAGATAGTTGTGTTTATTTTTGGCAAAAAGTCAACTCCTCCTATTGGTGTCGTAGATACCATGTTTACTGCAGTTTCTCAGAATGGAATGGTCTGTAGATCATTCACAAGTTATTTGTGATAAAATTATTTTAGCTTACCTTAAACAGAGTACATTTGCCAGACAATTGGTTTATCCTTTTACTTATTTATCTGAAATTCAGTTTGTCGTGTGTTTGTGTGTTTTGTCTGGCATTAAAATGTTTTATAATTGATTGAGAAAAGTGAAGCTTCTTGGCCAAGGTTCAGGAATTTTTAAAGTTAAACAGTGCACTTGGCACACTTAGCAGTTTCTTCACAAAGTCAGTGGTAGATGAAATTGAGTTAAAACTGAAAGATAGCTTTGAGTGTGATGTTCATGATGACGTGGAAAGATAACCAGCCATTTCTAAGCCCTCTGCCTTAAATTTATTGGCTGCTTATCTATTCACTTTTAGTCAGAGTTCTGGAAGGTTTTTTCTTTCCTAGAAGTTACAATTTCAGTTTGTAGTTATTTTTGATCACTACAAATTAGATGTTGCAGTTTTATTCCTCTGTAAACCTACAACTGAATTTCAAGGTGCAAAAAATAGATAATTTAATTAAAATTTTGTTGCCATCAAACAGGACTATACTGAGTTTACTTGGTATATATTTCTGTTGTAATTCTATTCATATAATGGGCGAACGAGGCACATCAATCTGTAATTTTAGTTGTGAAAAAATGAAGTAGCAGTAGCAGTTACTGGTACAGATCATGATTGATTCTGAAAGTCTGTGTTTTCCAAAGAGGATAGTCCTGATGCACCTGAAATATTGGATGCTACATGTATTTCCACCTCATTAGCAGATAAGGAATTTGCACAGTTGATAAATAGTTTAACAAAGGATAAAGGATGTGGTCATAAGCCATCTTAAGAAGGTTTCAACTACAGTCTGAGTACTTCAACATACATTATTGGTTCAATGTTGCAATCATTATTTTTTCATGAAAACAGTAATAGATTGTGGTTGATCTGCCTGTCTGTGTTAAATTTAGTTTCACAGTTATGTTCATAAAGTAGATGAAATTACATGTACTGAAATTTTTATTTCAACCACAAAATGTAACTTTTGTAGATTGTAAATCCAAGAGCAACTCCATGTTAGAATCTACTTATCAAAGTTTTGAATGCTAAAACTTGTAACAATATAACTTGAGCTCCTTGTAGGTGAGCCTTGCACTAAATTGCATAAGGCAAGATAGCCTGTATTGCAGGCAGAGTTGATTGCCAGAGAAGTAAATTTTGACTTTGTCTTCAATACAGACTGAAGATGGTGTGCTTTTTTGCTACTGTCAGTGTTTCTGAGGTAAAGCCCTTTAAACCCAAGATCTGTTTGTTAATTCTCCCCTCTAACTGTAGTACATTTCCTAAATTAGTAATGAGAATTTGGTGTTTGATAAAGAGAACAGCTTCTGCTTTATAAGCATTCTCATTACCTGTGTGCTGGACAATGTTGGATGTTAAGTTTCATGTTGATTGCCACTGGAAGTTAGAGAGTTAAGAGAAAAGAGAGAGATATTGATAGCTTTAACCCTTTCACTCCCACAAGTGACCAAGACAGAATTTCTCCTTACAATATCAATACAATATCAAGCAGGCAAGTGATGAGAATAGAGAAGAATATCAATCATGGGATCATTAGCTGATCCAATACCAAATTCTCTAAACTAACATCATAAGAATTGTATGGCAGATAGTAAGGAGAATTACTAATCAGATCTTGGGAGTGAAAGGGTTAAAAGGATGATTTTCTTCTTTCCCAGTTGAATGTCTAAAATACATTGTTAAAGATTTGTAAATTGCATACTTAAAGCTTCCTTGTAAACAACTCTGTGACTTCTCTCAATCTCTGAAACTCCTTGCTCAAAGATGTGGACAAAGAGATTGTGTGACTTTGTAGGAGCATACTCAAGCTCAAGTTGTACTCTAAGTATTTCATGTGAACCAGTACAAAGGACTGTTTTGTAGATGCAAACACTAGAGATAACTAGTAACAATAAAAACACTTCTAACTTGGCAACAGCATTCTTTGATTTCTCCTTGAGTTGTATAGGAGTTAAAAGATTTTTCAGCAAACTCTATTTGTTATTTTCCAGTATTTGATCTGCCAAGTGTGAGAGAAATGGAAAAAATTAGGTCCTTGTGTTTTGAGGCTTTCTTTTATTTTGTTCCAGCCGAGTTAAACTGATTTCTAATTTAAACAAGACAGATGTCCCATCCTGTGAAAGCTTTTCCCTTTTTCTGTAATGTGAAGCAACAATGTGTATGGTAACTTACCCCTCAGTAGGTAGTAACCCATGCCAATGCATGGTTACCTTCTGTATTTCTTCAGGTTTATCTGGTTTCAATAAACACACCTGGGTGAAGAGAATGCACTTTGAAAGTATAGTGTCTCCCTGAACTCAATTGTAAGAGGACTAATGCAAAAAATTGGACTCCCTTGGATTCAGACTAATCAAAAAGTTTTTTACTTTTACCATTTATTTTCATCCACTAACATGCATGCAGCACTCCTTACACATGAACACTTCAAAACGCAATTTGAAGAGATGCAATACAAACTTTTCGTTTCTGGACAGCTTAGATACATTTTTGTACACAAGAAAATTTTTAATAAATGCTGAGAGCTTGTAGAAACTGCACAAGATTCTGACTTGCCCCATAAAGACTTGTAAATGCCAGAGGTGAAGTCAGAGTTTAAGAGTTCTCAGAATTGGCTTTGATCATTTCACTCTGTAAAGAACCTTTCTTTGAAACCTGTGTTCAAGCTCTCCTCTCCTCAGCATAATGTAAATAACTGTGTGGATTGCTCGTTCAGAATATTTCTGTGAAAACAACAGGAAAAGAAAAATAGGCATTATCAGTAGACAATTTTATTGCTGTAAACTGTTCATCAAGTCAATATAAAACCAGTAGTAATGTTAACTTTATAACAAACAGAAATGTTGATTGAAGCTACCTGTTTAGCAAAATCTTGGATAATTCTCTGCTCTGAAACCTACCGGGAAAAGGAAGCAGTTATTAATATATTAGCGAAGATTTAAAATAGCAGGTAATTCATGCATATTGCTGATTTAATGAAATATAATAACCTGACAAAAAGGTCTGATAAATTATCTTAAAAAGAAGTAATTGCTGAAAACCATTCTTCACACCTTACAGCATTGAAACCTCTTCAAGAATTTGAGTCGTAATTTGATTACGAGTGGTACACTGGAAACATCAATAGTTTTGTTAACTTATGGAGTGCTCTTTTGACAGGATTATACCCACAATAAGTATTACCTGAGTGCCGATGGCAAATCTCTTCCTTATTTGTTTTTCAATTTGTCTAACTTCCTCAACATCCTGTTCTGGTGTAAAACCTTCAGCTCCTGAAAGGTGTTTATCAATATTGCTTGTAAATATCTAAACTACAACAACTTGCATCTACTACAGTCATGGCCCACACAAGAAACAAATTTTTCCCTCTCTTGTCATGCCAATGTCTGGATCTACAAACAGTATTTAGGCTGAATTCTGGGCTCTATAAGGCTCAAGATTTTTGTATGGGAATGAATAAACCAGCTCTTACACCCAGACCTTTCAACCTCGCGGGCACTTGTCCCTGCTGATCTATTAAAATTGTGATTTACCTGAGAGGCTGCCTGACATGGCAGCATCCAAAGTTGACACCTGGAAGAGCCTCAGGGCTTCTTCAACATGTGCTGCAGTAGCAAATGGTTGTAACCTCATTTTTGCCAGTGACTCTGAAATTCTGATGATTGCCTCCAGTTGTCTGAAATATGGATGCAAATTAAGTTACCAGTATTTAAATCTTAATCTACAAGTCTACTTCCACTAAATATAATTGAAATCCGTACCTGACAGTTATAGGTATGTTGATCTTTTTTTCAGCATCCTTCTCATAATCTCGCGCCCCACTTCGCATGAGAACATAGCGATTCTTCAGCATCTGAGCAGCTTCCTCAGAAAGCCTTGGGCCACATTTGCTATTAAAATATAAAAACAGAGTTGGCTTGAGCAACACCACATAAAGAAACACAGATGAAGCCACAGAATATCTCAAGCAAGCTGATGACATACTTCCGACAGTAACTGATGTACTTCTTTATAAAATTCAGGCTCAGCTCTCCCTCTTGTGCTTGTCCTGTTTGAGCGGCATTCAAATGAACTTGCATGACGTGTTTGGCAAGGCGCTGACAGAAGGGATTGGAAGGGAAAAAAACACATTTTCTCAAGCTTCTTGCAAGATTAATAAGAACCTAGCATGTCCAACCTCATAAATTATAGAATGATTTTGTTTACACCAATGTATAATAGTATTTCATATACAATAATCTTTTATTAGTTCATTCATTTGAACATGAGTGGTACACAACAGTATAAGGATGACCCTTCATATCACCCTTTAACTACCACAAGTGATTAACTTGCAACTTCTCCCTACAATATCTATACATCATCCAGCCACCAGGTAATGGGAATACTCAAACTTATCAGGAAGAAGTTGTTACCTTGATCTAAACACCAAATTCCCATAACTTATTTACAAGGAATTGTTTGCCAATTAGAGGGGAGAATTAACAATCAGATCTTGGGAGTTGAAGGGTTAAATCATAATTTTCATTACTATAGGTGATATCTTACCATGTCTTTATTCTGTTCATGTTCATCCTTGACGATATAGATCATATCAAAACGTGACAAAATTGTTGGCATGAAGTCTATGTTCTGGCAAACAAAGAAATTTCTGACATCAGCAAACATTCACTATTATGCAAAAAAATTTTATCAGATATAAACAGAGTATGGAAGGTAGTTATCAGATGGACTACCTCTTCTCCCTTGGTTTCATCCCAGCGACCAAATACAGAGTTTGCTGCAGCCAACACAGAGCATCTGGAATTCAGTGTTGTAGTAATTCCAGCCTACAAGATATAAAAAAATTGCCAAAAGAAAGTTGATTGGCAAGAAGTCTTTGAAAGTTTCTTAAAACACTTTCTACAATTGACATACTTTGGCAATTGAAATTGTCTGCTGTTCCATAGCTTCATGAATGGCTACACGGTCATCTTCACGCATCTATAACAGCACAAAACCATAAATCACCTTAACATCAGAATCTATATTCTCCATACTTTTCTTCATACATTTCCTTTAGTTGTGACAAGGAGAATTTATTTAACAATCAAAGCCTCTTAAATAACCCATCATTTCCTTTATTATCACAATGGTAATGAGTGACTTAGCACTATTACTTTAAGGAGAACTTAGATGCTGGTCACTCTTAGGGTTAAACCCTTTAACTCAGATAAAATTCGTAATTCTCCTTACTGTCAACCATACAATTCTTACAATGTTAGTTTAGAGAATTTAGTATTGGATCAACCAATTATCCCCAATTTGATATTTTTTCTTTATTCTCATCACTTACCTTATTGATATTTTATTGATGTTGCAAGGAGAAATTCTGTCTTGGTCACTCATGGGAGTTGAAGGGTTAATGGGGGTTTCTAAACTGGATGATACCTGTCTGTCATAACAAATTTGTCTCATTGCTACTTACCTTGTCAAACTCGTCAATGCAAACTACACCTCCATCTGCGAGTACCATGGCTCCTCCCTCCATAATGAAGTTACGTGACACAGGATCCCTCATGACGGATGCTGTCAATCCTGCAGCACTGCTTCCTTTACCTGATGTGTACACACCGATAGGAGAAACCTTCTCTACAAACTTCAACAGTTGACTCTTAGCAGTACCTGGGTCACCAAGCAGCAAGACATTGATGTCTCCACGTCGTGTAAGTCCATCAGGGAGCCTGTGGATGATATTAGGATGCAGTTAGCAAAGAGCAATTGGGAAAACACAGGCATTATGTACCATAATAACCATTTATCTCACACCTTTTGCGAGACCCTCCAAACAGCAGACATGCAATGGACTTCTTGACATCTTCACTTCCATAAATAAATGGCGCAATACTTTTTGCTATTGTCTCATATGCATCAGTTCTACTGGCAAATCTGTTGAACTCCTCTTCTTCCAAGGGATTCAGGGGTGCCCCGGAGCTGCGACCAGGACCTTCTGTATCCACCTGAATGCCAACAACACGAAGGTATGGCTTCCTGATACCAACACCCACACCATCACGATCCTGAAAAAAGAAAGGTGAGGATTGTTAGATGTCGGCTGCATAATCCTTTCACTGCTAGGTGTTTCAGAGACTGAAATTGCTGCTTCAACTGTTTTTCAACATGTAAGGAAAAATTTGATTTATGTCCTGAAATTATTTCTGCCTGGTTGCATGAAGCAAGTTTAAATGTAATAAATTATGTTCCTAACTAATTGTGAAAGTACAAATTTAAATACTCTGACTGAAGGAAACATGTAAAATATATTTCCCAGTAATGTTTCCTCTTATTTCAGCTGCTTGTTATGACAATACCCCGAGGCCCTTTTACAGACAGTGTAGCAATTAAGTACAATTCTTCTGATCTGATTTGCAACTTTGAGCATCTTACCTTGTCAGCCTTTTGAGCAACTTTTTTGATTGAATAAATACCCATCACAGTGACTCTGTTACCAGGAACAACCTTCTCTGTCAAATACCTTCAAGAAATAAAAAAAAAAATAATAACATGAAGCCCAACTTTAACCCTTTAACTCCCAGATCTGATAGTCAATTCTCCCCTCCAGCTACTACATATTTCCTCTTAAATTAGTTACAAGAATTTGGTGTTAGATCAAGACAGCAACTTCTATTCAGTATGTTTGAGTATTCTTATTACCTGTTTATTGGAAAATGTAAGCATATTGCAGGGAGAGGTTAGATTTAATCACTTCTGGGAGTTAAAGGGTTAACTAGAAATTACAGACTTGCAGGAGCTGTGATGAGCCTAAGCCTTTAACTCCCATGAGTGACCAAGACAGAAATTCTCCTTACAAAATCAAGCAGACAAGTAATGAGAATAAAGAAACATGGATTATTAGTTGATCTAACACCAAATTATCCACACTTACTTGATAAGAATTGTATGGAAGACAGTAAGGAGAATTGCTAATGAAATATTGCGAGAGAATGGGAGAAAGGTAGGATACAAGACTCTTAGAAGATCCTTACATCTACCCAAGACACATTTCTGAGTGAAGCAATCTTGCTAAAAGTCCCTTTCCCTTGCTTCACAAGCCACACTGATCTTCAGCAGTTGATGAGCTTGAAAGAAGTAGCCCTTTAAGTTTGTTTGTTTGTATCAACAATTATAATGATAAGTGCATACCGGTCACAGTACAACTGCATGTGCCGTGGCATTTCACCATTAGGGACAGCATCTGGAGATTCTTGCAGCTTCAATACTTGGAAGTCAACACATTTGCATTTATCAGGCATGATAAAAAATGGATCCAAAGGACATGGTGGACGGCCCGCTTGGTCACTGTCAAACACAGATGTAATTAATCATTGTCATGATATAACAAAGTACTAAGAGAAAAAATTGTAAAACTTCCCAGAGCAGGTTCTGTTTGAAGGGACAAAAGAAATCTTTTGTGGCTATATTATCCTTGAAGCTTCCTGCCACCACTAGCTCATTTTCAACACTGAAAGTTACACTGCTTTTCACAATTTTATCCACTTAGTTTTGAAGGAAAATTGTAGACTGCACTGATTATCCACTGATTGTTGTGTCAGCTGTTTATCATATTCTTTAAACAACTGTGGGGAGGTGATTTCCCATAAAATAAGTATAAAGTCTATTAATAAGCCAGTATGAACCAGAGTTTACCCAAGGGAGGGGATCTTAAGTTTCATTCTTAAGTTTCATTTGTCATCCCTACCTGCTGATACCCCCTCATTATTTTGTGATAGGGGAAAGAAAAAAAAAATTTAAAAATTAAAAAGAATGGCATACTCTCAAACTCCTACCCTCTTTAATTCTAAATTCCATAAATCACAAAATTTTAAACTCCTAAAAATTCAGCAGGTAAAGATCCCCCTGCCCCATTTTACCAATAAAAAAATTTTTCCCTAGGCATAAGATCAGAGAGACAGATTATACCTTGGGCATTTGCGAGGCATTGCATATCCCTCAAGACCTGGCTTTAGAGGAATGTTGGAGATTGTGTTGCGACAAGAACGGCACTGGATTGTAATGTTAGTTGCCTTGGCACGAATGGCAGAGGCACTGATGATAATGCCTGGAATCTTTACCAATTTAGCCATTTGCTCAGACTGAAAATAAAGCAAATTACAAATTAGGAATAAGGAATAAATAAAGAAGTTATCACTAGTTTAGGACTGGAGGCTTCAACTAGCCTGGCGTGATTGTTATTGCCTCCAAAGCTTCAAAGGAATCAATAAGCCTGTACGCGAAAGAATGGGAATGAATCACAGCCAGTGAAATTCAAAAACATACTCGCAGCTCCCTGACACTCATGGGGTTTGCCTCAGACTTGAGAGTGATCTGAATATCTTGTACTTCCTCTTCTCCTAAAGGCCGTGGCTTAGTCACCTCATCTGCCATTTCTTTTGCTGCATCTTCAAACTATAGAATGTTAAATATCACAAAACAGATTTTTTAACAAAGTTTGGGATATGATTGCTTTAAAAAAGAATTTTTTCATGTAAGCTTCTCCAAAAACCAAAGGAAAATGAATGGCAGTCAGATGGGAGAATTACTGATCAGATCTTGGGTGTATTAAGGGTTAACAAAAAGATAATGGCATGATGTACCAATAAATTCTCCAAAAGTATCATATGCTATTAACCACCAGTTGTAAGCCATAGGACTGTAGAATGTCGTGGGAAGATGTTCTCTTAGTGGGGAGAGAATCTTGGGGTGACATTTACAAGTGGAATAACATGATGCATAAGCTGATAACAGACTTCACCCTGATTCAAAAGTTCAACTCCAGGTAAATTTAGTTGAAACGTTCTTGATGAGCCTTTCCCTTTCAAATCATAAGTTCGAGGAAATTTGATCTCATGGGGGTTAAAATGAAATGGACGAGCTAAATACAAATAAGTCAAAGAAGAGATCCGAATTTTGCTTAAATGTACAGGAAGTTAGCTACGTATACTCACTAAAGGCAGGAATTCTGCGGGACTTTTGGTGAGTTTATCAGCAAGTTGCTCATCAAAGCTCGTCAAATCTTGCAAATCTACTTCAAGGTAAAACTGTCCCAAATTATAGTGTCTCTTAAGCTGATCACTGAACGAGAAAGAAAGGATAAACATATATTAGCGACGCAGATTTGATTTCAGACGATCGATCGAACTTGGGCAAAATATTTCGTAAGCAAAGCACATGGTAGCCTCGCTGAAAAACCAACAGCGAGATTGTAGAATACAAACCCTGATTCTTGTCAAATTATGAAGATAAACGACTCTTAGAAAGCTGTATGACATGTTAAACTTATAGGCTTTAAAACTCAGTTATTCTACGGCAAAGCATGATTTTGTGCTCATAGATTAACTTTCGTAGAGCATGCTATAGTGCGCCATTTTGCTCACCGATACGCGTAGCTAAAAGTTCCTTCGTGGAATTCACGGATAAACTCCCTAAATCGCTTCTTGGCACTGATTCTGTTAACTTCTCGCTCATCTGCTTGTTCCTCTGAACCAAAAGCATCGCTGAAATAAACCGGGCGCTCGTCAAATCCAGACATTTCTGCGAAAAGTTGCCAACTGATCACTACTTGCTTCTTCCCGGGAGAACAAATTTGGCGGGAAAACCAAGGTAATTTTCTTTCCTGATTGGCAGATTGGTAGCTCTTCAGATCATGTGATCAAGTATTCACGGAGTGACGTTCTTGCCGTGCAAGGGGTATGAAAGTAGTTTTCGCCTCCTCTCCGCTGAAATGCCTTGGGAACTCGCACAGTTTAGTGTCCAGAAAACTTGCAAGTTTTGAAGAAAAAGTGCACTTTTCCTTCAAATGTACGTTATTCAAACTTCAAACTTAGCAAAGAACGATTGCCAACCACTGGAAACGAAGGACGTTAGGTCAATTATTGCAAGGGGTGAGGGGCGGGGGCGGGGAGGGGATGAAAAGTCTTCAGTTTGCTGTTAATAATAGCAGCGAATTGAATAGCAGCTGCACTTCATTTAAATTTAAGCGCCTGGATTTCTCTGCTGTTAAAGGCAGTAATAACTGCCAGAAACATTAATGCGACTATTTACAATTATGTGACCAGGGAGTACTCTGGAAAAATGAAGCCTTCTTTAAAATAAGGTATGTAAGTATGAACAGTAAAAGTGTTCAGAGATCTTCAGAGAGCCTTCGTTATCTCCAAGTGATACAACGCACACCTTGAATGGGACACAACAAAGTAGGGAAATTTATAGCCAACACAAGAGTTTATGTTTGGAGTAGCTTGATTAAGTACACAAGGATTACAAAGTCGCTATGAATTTATTCTACATTCAAAGGAGAGTCGATAATTTTACAAAGAGCTAACTGTACATATGTTTTTGAACAAAACTACCATATAAACATTGATATAAAACCAAAAAGCCCATGGTTGTTGAACTAAGGCCTTCATTGAGCAGTTCTCAAATATTATAAATAGATTCAGATGTACAATTAACTTTACTTAAGAAGCAATTTTACAAGCAATCGATCACTATCTACCAAAACCTAGCAAAAGTTATTGCATTTTCTCAACTACTGGTACACACGAAATATAAATTAAGGAATGAATACTACATTAATGCTTTAACCTATTAAAATATGAGTCTAAGGAAACATTCAAAGGCGGTTTAGGCCCCGGGAAGATGTAATGCCCTTTTAAATATCCATACCCTTTCAACAGAGGTTTCATTCCTTTGACAACCCTTGCCCATCACAAATTCAAATCTTTCTTCTTATTCACCTTTGAATAAATAAATAAATAAATGGAATAACTAAATGGGATTTTGGCAGTGGACATTCCAGTAGGTGGCTCTTCTTGTCTGCTGTTTCCCATTCAAATTGGAATTTTGAAAGTTGGTTTTTCTACTTCTAACTATTGAGATATGAGTCCAAGGAAATTTTTAAAGGTGGTTTGGGACCTTGCAAAATGTAACACCCTTTTAAATGAATATCTATACCCTTTCGATAAAGGTTTCATTCCTTTGAGAACCCTTGCCCATGACAAATTCAAGACTTTCTTCTTATTCGCCTTTTAAATAAATAAATAGATAAATGGTAATAAATAAATGGGAATTTAACAATAGACATTCCAGTAGGTGGCTCTTCTTGTTCACTGTTTCCCTTTCAAACTGGAATTTTGAATGTTGGTTTTTCTAGAAAGAGGAAAATCCGAGGGCCTGCAGAAAAACTCTTGGAGTAAGGTTTTTTGCATTTTCTCAACTTCAGGTATACATGAGATATAAATTAAGGCATGAAGACCACATTCTACTTTTACCTATTGAGTCTAAGGAAATATTTAAAGGTGGTTTAGGCCCCTGGAAAATGTGACGCCTTTTTAAATATCCATACCCTTTCAATAGAAGTTTCATTCCTTTGAGGTGGCTCTTCTTGTCCACTGTTTCCCATTCAAATTGAAATTTGGAATGTTGGTTTTTGTGGAGAGAGGAAAACCTGAGGGCCTGAGATGTAAATTAAGGCATATATATACTAAATTCTACTTTTACCTACTGAAATATGAGTCTAAGGAAATATTTAAAGGTGGTTTAGGCCCTTGGAAAATGTAACGCCCTTTTAACTGAATATCCATACCCTTTCAATAGAGGTTTCATTCCTTTGAGAACCCTTGCTCATCACAAATTCAAGTCTTTCTTCTTATTTGCCTTTAAATAAATAGATAAATTGGAATAAATAAATGGAATTTAGCAGTGGACATTCCAGTAGGTGGCTCCTTTTGTCCACCGTTTCCCATTCAAATTGGAATTTGGAAAGTTGGTTTTTGTTGAAGGAGGAAAACCTGGGGGCCTGCAGAAAAATCCTTGGAGTAAGGCTGAGAACTAATAACAAACTAAACCCACATGTGATGTCAGGTTTGGGAATCACACACCTTTTCCTGTTAAGGTCTATTAGTTTCCTAAAGCTCATATCTATGTAAATTAAGCATTAGTTATGAAGTCATTGGTCTGGTATTGGAAGAAACTGAGGATTGACTTGGGTTGCTTTATCAATTATGATTTGTCTTGAATTGATTGATGCTACAGTCAACCCTTGATTATCAGAACTCATGGGAATGGGCTGAGTAGTCTGGATAATCAAGAATATGACAGTCATTATTAACCCTTTCACTCCCATGATCTCATTAATAATTCTCCTTACTGTCTGCATATAATTGTTATGTTGTTATTTTGGAGAGTTTGATATTGGATCAACTAATAATCCCCTAAATAGTATTTTTCATTATTCTTGTCACATTTCCATATGATACTGTACTGATTGTGTAGGGAGAAATTCTTTTTTAGTCACTTGTGGGAGTGAAAGGGCTAATGAGCCAAAATAAGACTAAACACGTCATTTAATCGAGATTGAGCAAAAATTAAAGTAAACTCTCTAATCATTGTGCATCATTGCCAAAATTTGCTTAAGTATTTATAATTAAGCATTTTTTAACAAAAACAATTTTTTGACACCATAAAGTGCTGATGTAAATCATTTTGTTTCAAGATGCCACAGCTTGAAGTCACTGATAATTCTAACATTCTTTGAAGCTGCATTAATGGTTTGATGTTTCATAGGGAAAAAGTTGTTTAGGATCTTGAATGTTACTAATTAATATTCATGAAAATATGGGACCAGAGGAAAATCTGCATAATCAAGATCTGAATAATTGAGGTTTGACTGTACCAAAATTTTCTTTGTTTCCTTGAAGAGCAATCTCAATCATTGTTCAACAGGGTTTGGTCAATATTTTATAAAATATTTCATATACCCCTGTACCACTGACACAGCTTCTAAAGAACACTCTTAACTTTAGCTTAATGTGCCTGTAGGCAAACGCAAATTAGGTGTTTCTTTTATCACTCAATTTATTGTGATTAGCACAATCATGAATCTTCTTTCTGCAAAGTTTCAAAAGATATCAGTGGTGAATTTTCAGAACCACCTCCATAATGAAAAAACCAATTGGTACCATTTCCACAGCAAAAAATTAAAAATAGTGGATCAAGGAGCAAACTGTTTTTTTGGTTGTCCTTAGACACTACAATTTTAACTTTTAACTCTTGGTTTGGTTTGCAGGAACAATTTGGTTAATTAAAAATTGGAGGAGGACTTGTTGGCTCTCTCAATCCTGGTACCCACTTGTATTTTCCTTTCACTTATGCTCACCAAATGAGCACTTGGTATTGGCTAGCCTGTGACCTCTTAAAGTTTCAAATTTTGTCCAGCAAAAATTTGTTGGGTGGTTGGTGGACTGGCAGTTGAAGTGTGTTGCTCATTGTCAATGCCTTTTGTTTCCACTCTTCTGCTTCCTCTGGGTTTCCATTTTTTTTAAACCAAAAGGCCATTTGAGTCATTGCATAGATCTTAAACCTATGATTCTCAGTTAGTTCTTGTTCAGCAATTCTTAAAGATGCTTGAAATGATTTTTTTGCACCTTCCATATCACCTTGTAATTGATAGCACACTCCTAAGTTGGCGAGTAGCAGAATGCATTCTTTCTGCTCTTTAATACCAACACTTTTCATCATTTCCAGAGCTTGTTCATAAAGTTTGATTGATTTGCATTGGTCATCAGCTGATCCTAGACTCTTCTCACCATGGAAGAGGTGAAAATCTGCAATTTTCCTCAGTAGTAGAGCAGTCATGACGTGATTGCCAAGATTTTCCTGAAAAAGCTTTAATGATGCCTCGAATTTTGCCTCTGCCTCATCACGTTTATTTTGTTGGTTGTAACTTTGTCCAGCATAAAGCAAACTTATGCCTTTCTGTACAAAATCCATCAGTTTTAGATGTTCGCACACCTTCCAACTTTTAATGAATTGTTTTTCAGCTTCGGCATAGTTTTTCATTTCAGATTGGAACCGTGCATAATGATTGTTAAAAAAAGCCTCTGACACCTTCTCATTGTCAAATTCTTCAGAGTGTTTTGAATGTAGGTCTGCAGCCTCTTCAATCAACTTCTTGCAATTATCTTGATTACCGATTTTCCTATATTCAAGCACTAGGAGGCAGAGAAGTTCCACTCTTTTAGTGACAGGTTGCTGGTAAGACATGAAAAGCTGATCAAGCTCTATAAGGTGCCTCAAATAATCATCTGGTAGAATACATATTTCTAAAAATGTACATGTCTGGGAAATCTTCTCCACTAACTCCTCCATAGTTTTCTTCAGTTGAGGATCTTGATCTTTTAGTCCTTTGATGAAGAACTGGAAGAAATACTCAAAGTTGTGCCTGTCCTCATTAAAAGAATCAATTGCCTCTTTGCACTTGTCCTTGCTCCAGTAGCAAGTGGCAATGTTCACTAGGTGGGAAATAAAGTAGAGGCAGGCTGCTTTTTGCCCCTGCAACTGTATCATTGAAGAATGGTTGGCTTCATCAATCCTTCTTTGCAAATTTTTGAATGAATGGATGGATTTGATATCTGTATTGGGCAGGTTTCTCAATAAGTGACCTGTCTTTCAAGGAACGGAGAATTAATCCAGGATCATCTTGACAACCAACTTCCTTAATAACAGCTTGGGCAGCAACATTACTGAATGAGCCTGGAAAAACTGACAGAATTACCAGAGCCTTTTGTTTATCTTCATTCAAAAAGTTGAAAGAAGTGTGAATTGCTTTTTCAACAGAATTTTCATCACTTTCATCCTCTTTGAGAACATCCAATGGCTTTTCCTCAAGGCGTTCAATGAGCTGATCTTCAGAATAGTCTGAAAGCAACGAACTTATGATGCATAAGGCTAAGGGTACACGACCGCAAAGTTGAACCAATTTATCTGTCTTGGAGAGCCCTTGTTTCACATCTGGATCAAGGACTTTGGACATGAGGAGTTCCTGTGCGTGCTCACGGGATAGTGTTCTCAATCTCACACATTCCATTCGCAAGTTGAGGTCTAATTGAAATACTCTTCGAGAAGTGATAACAAATGAGATCTTACCGTTTGAAAGAGTTCTCATGTCCTTTAAAATGGATACAAATGCAGCTCGATCATCTGATTCGAGAACATCATCTGCGTTGTCCAGAATGAAAGAAACTTTCTTCTGCTGTTGTTTGCTCCAATTTCGGAGCCAATGTTGGGGATGTTCTGGTGGTGGAGAGAGGTTTGTACTGCACGGAAGGATCATCGAGGTAGCTACTTCAGCAATGGCTGCTTTAGATCTGAGTGAACAAAACAAAACTGTCCTCTCTTCATTCTCGTTGGATGCCAATTCGTGGCCCACTTCAATTGCTACTGCTGTTTTACCAAAGCCAGGTCCCCCAGTAACAAGAGCTGCAGCTGCACGTTCAGTTCGAATTGCAACGATGATTTTTTCTACCTCTTCGGACCGGCCAACGACATTATTTTTATCCGGAAGACAGTTTGAGAGGCTACTTGTGGCTTGCCCTGAAATAGAAGCTTGAATAGCAGAAATGTCATTCTCTAGCTTGTTTAACCGTGGTTCAAATTCCATTTTCCACTTCTCTACTTCCTCGCTTACTCGACGTTCAGTGTCGTGATCAATAGGTTCAGTTGCAAGGCGATCTACTTCCTTCTGATCAAGTCCCAACGCCACCAATGATTGGGCAATCGTCTGCAATTTCTCTTGGAATTTGTCATTTGGAATACTGGTGGATATTCCATGACACAGCTCATTTCGAAGGAACTTAATCCGGACGATGTGAGCTTCTTTGCTGAGTTCAGTATCTGGAGGCATTTCGTGCCATCCTTTAGCTGGTGCAGTCAAACCACAAACTTCCCGTAGTAAGAGATGCAAAAGACTTATGTCAAATGTTAGAGGGTTTGGTGGAACACCGCTAGAAGGAAATAACTTCTTCCACTGATCATCGGTAAGTATGTTCTTTTTAAGTGACTTCAGGTAAGCAAGCCTTCCCTTGTGTTTGAGGAGCACGTCTTGCAGTGTTGGACAGGTGGATTTCTTTAAATACTCTCTCAAGACGGTTGTGCCTCCATCGATTACCAGTCGTAAAAGTTTTGTGCCATTTGTTTTCTCCTCGGAAGAATCGAGAACAGAATTCATTTTTCTCACTTTTGCTCTAAGGGCTTTTAGACTATTCCCTTTTTTATCGTTTAGCGTCGATTGCGACGCGTCGTTAGGATTGAAGAAAAAAAAAAAAAGAATGCGGAAAAACATTTATATGACGTCTTTAGGCCTGGTACCCTGGCAGCCTCCTAGAAGCCTGGAAACAACAAAGAAATCGATATGGCAGAGACCATTAAGACAACGTGGAAAAAAGGATCAAACACAAATACAGATACAGATCTTTATTAAAGCTCCCTGAATGGGTTTTTCAGCATCAATACAAATGGTTAAAAGAAATAAAACTAAAATATAAAACTATAATTACTGCTAAATATATATATATATATATATATATCAGGGGAATAAAAATATTGAATAATGAAGTTAACCTAATAGCAGCTTAGTTAATTGACGCTTAAATTTCTTGGGACATTTTTAACACTTAAGATTGCTGCCTAATGAGTTCCACAGTTTTGCTCCTCTTTAAGCAAAATACCTCTGACCAATTGAAAGGCGGTAAAAAGGTATATTCAGGGTACTAGCTGATCGAGTTTGCTTGTCATGAACACGAGAACGTAGCCTTAAATTATTTGCAAGGTAATCTGGCGCAAGATTGCTAATGCACTTGAAAACCATAGTCGCATCATTCAAGTTCATCATTCAATAGGAGCCAATTCAATGATCTTAGTCCTTCGGAAATATGGTCATATTTTCTAAGTCCCAGAACAATTCGTCTTGCAAAGTTTTGCAATTTTTGTAATTTGTCAATGTTGCTATTGCTGGTATTACTCCAGACGCTTGAGCAATATAATAATTTGCTAAAAACGAAGGCATTCATAAGTAACAACGGCGTTTCCTATCCAAAAGATGCTTAATTCTATTGATTTGTTTTAACTTAAATAGACAGTTTGAAACGTTCTCAGTAATGTCTTCGTTATAACTAAGGTTTGCATTCAGCTGAACGCCTAGGTCTTTGGCGACAGGCTCAGGTGATATTTGTTTATTAAAAAGTGAAACTCCTATGCGACATACCAGCATCCCTCACTTTTCAGCAGCTGCTTGAAAAGGAAATTCTGGATATATCAAACATTTGGAAGATTAAACGAGACTTACCTGTAAGTTGAAGTTTGATTGAGATTCTATCACATGACATCAGAAGGCGAGAGATCACATGAGATAGCACGGCGCTTGCGCACGTCATAATTAAAACCCACGTACTGGGTGCATCAAAGATAGTGTTCAGGCTGAAAAAGCCAAAGTAGGAAGAGATAGGCAACCAAAGTGCCCATGAGAGGGTGGGTGTGATGGTGGAGGGCATGTGATCTCTCGCCTTCTGATGTCATGTGATAGAATCTCAATCAAACTTCAACTTACAGGTAAGTCTCCTCCATGGTAAGATGCTGTAGATCCAGGTAATGTATCGATTGCCCTCGTTGACTTGAAACTAATAAAATTAGCATAAGGACCTTGTGCGTTAAATCCTTTATAGACAGTTTTTCATTGGGTTATAAAGAAGATAAATGTTTTAAAACAACTGAAACATCCCAAATTTTGTCATATTTAGGTTTGGGTCTACGCGATTCAAATACCCCTTTCATAAACCGTGTAACAATATGATTGCTACCAAAGCTTCCCCCCCCCGTCTATCGTAACAATGGTAGACAAGGCAGAGCGAGCAGTATTAAGGGTTGAGTAGCTAAGCCCTTGACAAATAGCCCCGAGAGAAATTGAAGGGCATCGCTCAGTGGTGGTGTATAATAATTAATTTCCCTTTCACGACAAAATGCCATCCATTTTTTAACGTATGTGGCATACTGTTTTTTTTAGTGCCTGTCCTCCAAGGTAACCTCCTCTGGAAAGTTGTAACGGCTGAAGGATCTCCTGACACAGGACATACCATCAGATGAAGACTCCTGTGTAGTGGATGCGGGCCACTGCGAGAGGGTTGTTGTAGAAGGTCTGGTCGTGGGAGCAGAATCCAGGGCTGTTCGAGTACCAAAAACAGCTCCCCAGCACAATGTTGATGCGTCTGACTGAATTGAAGTGCTGAGGTGGGCGTGTTGGATATCTCGTTTGAGAGTTTGGGCATTATCACGCCACCACTGAAGTTCCGCTAAAGCGGGAGGGGATAATTGCATTTCCCCCCCGTAATCGCCCTTGTTTGCTACGAGTGCGAGATATTTATCCCGCTCAAGATGGCGGTAGGGAAGTGGTCCGTACTGAGCACCGGGAAAATTGGACACCAGGATAGCGATAACCTCTGCGACCTGCCTAATTGTGGGCATTTGTGTTTTTAATTGCGAAGCACAGACAGACAGAATCCCTTGAACTTTTTCCTCCGTAAGCGTAACTGTCATAGCAATAGAATCCAGTACAAACCCTAAGAAAGTTAATTTCTGAGAGGGTATGAAAACCGATTTCTCTGGATGGATATGAAACCCTAATTTGGTAAACAGCGTGATGGTGTCAGTGACATATTTATGGCATTCCGCGGAGGTGTCGCCTTGTAGATAAGAATCGTCAATATACCCTGAATTAAGATGTCCCATGCTCCGGAGTGTGGCATACACAGGTTTCAATAGTTTAGTAAATATGCGCGGGGCACTGGCTAGGCCAATGGGCAAACAGGTATATTTGTAGAGAGCACCGTCAAACCAGAACTTTAAGTACTTCTGGTGAGACGCGTGGATAGGAAAGTTATAATACGCGTCCTTTAAGTCCACCGAAGCCATAAAACAACCTGGTCTCATCATGTTTACAGCGGCCTCTAGAGTATCCATTTTAAAATGATGGTGAGCTATAAATTCGTTAAACGCTTTAAGATTAAGAATGGTACGGTGCGTGCCATCTTTTTTCGGTCGTAAAAATATTGTGGAAATAAATTCCTGTTTCCTGTGCCGCCGGAATAATGACCCCTTTAGCGAGAAGTTTATCAATTTCAGCGTTGACAATTGAATGTTGGTGACTGTTGAAGACACTAGGTCTGCCGTAATGTTGCGTGGGTGCAACGCTGCTTTTAAACTCAATTTTAACTCCAGTGACAATCTGAAGAATAGTAGGCTTCCCACTGCGGCAAAAAATGTTTGAGCATTCCCGTTTGAAAACTTGTTTGTGATTTTACCAAGCTATGTACAATGTCAATAGGCAAGGATGCCATGTTTGCATTACATACCTCAGGCACCTTCATTGGCGCTGGCTCGTTTAGCCGTCCTTTTTCTTTCTCGGCGGCTTTGAGAAGCGGCTTTTGCCTAAAAAATCAGAGGATTTTCCTCTAGAGTAAGGCTGGAATCTGCGCTGGCTCGAGCCATATGTTGAGCGCCCAGCGTACTTATCGCTACGGGAAGTCCCAGAATGTTGGGGGCGAACCTTTTTAGTCAACTTATTGGCCTCTGTGATATCCTTCGTGAGCTTTGACAAATCTCCAAACAGGTACTCTGAGGTGCCATCAACAGTGGAAAGGTTGCATAAAGCTGCATAGTCTTTATGCATCTCTCTCTTCATGGCCAGGCGTCGGGAGTGATTCACCTCGTGGTTGTATTGGAGGGCCATGGCAACCGCATCTGTTAGCAAGGTGATCAGTTCTTTGTCGTTGCTGTATTTTCCCAGCGCCAAATTGGCGGCTTTTGTCATGGCTGAAATAGCGCCGATTAGAGTGTTTTGCCCCTTCTGCGATCTTACATCCTGAGTTTTCATGGAAGTCGAAAGCTGGCTCCAGATTGAGGGATTCACTTTCGGGGTTCGCAAACCCTTGACATTCTCTGGACGAGGATATTTGTCCAGTTTGGCCTTGAGCTTCTCGTCCCCCATCTTTTCTGACAACAGATTATTAAAAATAGCCGCCAGACCTTCGCGAAGGGGCGGAGAGGTCTGTACGCGTCCGCAAATGACGGGTCTTCTCGTTCCTTCAAGAGGTCTTCGCCTGGCATAGCCTCAGTATTATCATCTTTGCCCGCAGAAACGAGGAGCGCGGATAAATCCGCATCCATGTCCGCAGACATGGCGGGCCTGTCATTAGAGGCGGCTTCACCGTCCTCCTCGGAGTCTTCGTGCTCGTTCAAGAGCACTGCGCTCACATTCTCGTTCAAGGTCGTGAGCTGGCTCAGAACTAGAGCCAAGGCAGCTTTGAACATGTCCGCGAAAACGTTTGCTGGAGGCATATTCTGGGCGCCACTGTCCGTTAACATTCCCGGTCGCTCGTTAGTCGTGTTGTCTTTGTGATCGGACATAATCACAATGAATATGGGCACCCAACTACGTTAGGGCCTTGGCTGGACTACAATTGAGGTTAACTACGTTAGCCTCTCAAGCAACTTGTGCCAAGAAAGGTTTTTAGCGTAGAAAAAACGTCAAAAACCAAGCTCCAAGAATTTGTATGACGTACCGCGTTAAGCGCAAATCGTGCAATGACTCTAGCAAGCGCCGTGCTATCTCATGGGATCTCTGCCTTCTGGTCATGTGATAGAATACGGCGTTAAAAGTTAATGTTTACGTATTTGGATTAACAAAATGCACAGTATACTGTAAAAAATGTGCCTGTTTTTTGTTCCTGTTTTTCTCTATGCTGTTACTATGCTCGTTTTTCAGATAAAAAGAATTATTTAAGGTGAAATGGTTTAACTACGTCGTTACTTTTTTTTTTTTTTTAAATGCCAAAAATTTGGGTCAGTCGGACGACAATAAACGGAGAAAAGAAAAGAGCATGGCCTCAGAATGCGTAGATTCGAGTCGGTTGCAACTTTCACTTTCTCAGGCCCCCACGGTCAATCTATCTCGGTGACGGAGCAGTAAAATGAGGAACTTTTCCCACCAAACGAGGGCCCACTTCCATTTCGCGGAAAAAAGTCTTCCAGGGGGACAATCGTCGCAATATGCAGAGTAAGTAAATATGTATGTACACTGCAACTAAGGAAATTGTAGAACGAAAAACCTAAAAAAAGTCAGGCTTTCAGCCGATAAATCCAAAGCGTTCCAGGTTGCGTGACGCGAGTTATTTGATACAGTCATCATCGATCAGTTGTAGATCGGTTCGCGTAGCGAACATTAGTTTGGTTACGTGGGAGGGGGTTTAGTAAGCTAGTTTGTTTTTTTCCTTATTAGTAATTACTAAACACAGCGGACACGTAAAATAAGAAGTAACAATTAGGCAGGAGTTTATGTTTGGAACAGCCTGTAGAGCAGGCGTCTTATAGGGCGAGGTAATGTTACCTTCTCGCGATCTTTCATTCGACTGGCATGCCGGCATGGTGGATTCGGAGTTTTGAACCCCCTAGCAGATACGAGTCTAACAAAATATTTAAAGGAGGTTTAGGCCCCTGGAAGATGTAACGTCCTTTTAAATCTCCATACCCTTTCAATAGAGGTTTCATTCCTTTGAGAACCCTTGCCTACAACAAATTTAATTCTTTCTTCTTATTCACTTTGAAATAAGTAAATAAATGGGAATAAATAAATGGGAATTAAGCAATGGACATTCTACTAGGTGACTCTTCTTGTCCACTGTTTCCCATTCAAATTGGAATTTGGAATGTTGGTTTTTGTGGAGGGAGGAAACCCTGAGGGCCTGGAGAAAAACTCTTGGAGTAGAGATGAGAACCAATAACAACCTAAACCCACATAACGCCAGGTTTGGGAATAAAACCCAGGCCACAGTGGTGGAAGGCAAGTGCTCTCACCACTGTGCCATTTCTGTTCCCGTTAAGGTCTATTAGTTTCCTAAAGCTCATCTCTATGTAAATTAAACATTAGTTATGAAGCCCTTAGTGTGGTACTGGAAGAAACTGAGAATTGTCTTGGGTTACTTTATCAGTGATGATTTGTATTTAATCAATTGATGCCACTGTCAACTCTCGATTATCAGAACTCCTGGGACTGGGCTGAATACATGAAGTCTGGATAATAAAAAATGCGGCAGTCACTATTAATGAGCCAAAATAAGGCTGAATAGGAATCACTTAATCAATATTAAGCAAGAATTAAAGTAGATTCTCTAATCATTGTGCATCATTGCCAAAATTTCTCAAAGTGTTTACAGTAAACCATTTTTGACAAAAACAATTTTTTGACACCCTAAAGTGCTGATGTAAATCAGTTTGTTTCAAGCTGCCACAGCTTGTGGTCATTGATAATTCTATCATTCTTTGAAGCTGCATTAATGGTAAGGTAGATGTTTCATAGGAAAAATTGTTAAGGATTTTGAATGTGACTAATTGATATTCATTAAAATAAGGGACCAGAGAAGTGAGTCTTGATAATTAAAAAATCTGCATAATTGAGGTCTGAATAATTGAGGTTTGGCTATACCAAAATTTTCTTTGATTCATTAAAGAGGAATGCTCAATCATTGTTCTAAAGGGTTTGATGAATATTTCATGAAACATTTCATATACCCTTGAACCACTGACACAGCTTGTAAAGAACACACTTAATTTTAGCTTAATGTGCCAGTAGGCAAATACAAGTCAGCTGCCTCCTAATTTCTCACTCACTCAATCTCAATCACTCAATTTCATTGTGATCATCATACTAATGAAACTTCTTTCTGCAAGGTTTTAAACTATCAGTAGTGAATTTTCAGAGCCACCTTAATAATGTTTGGGTTAGATTGAAACCATTGCAACCAATTCCTCAGCAAAGAATAAAAAATAGTGGACCAAGGAGCAAAACTTTTTGGGTTCCTCAGACACTATAATTATTTTGACTTTAATGGCTTCTGGCTCTTGGTTATTTGCTGAATTAAAAAGTGGAAGAGGACTCATCACCTCTCTGAATCCTGGTCCCACCTGCATTTTTCTTTCACTTGTTTCAAATAAATGAGCACTCGCCTATGACCTCTTAAAATTTTAAATTTTGTCCAGCAAAAATTTGTTGGGTGGTTGGTGATCTGGCAGTTGAAGTGTGTCGCTCATTGTCAATGCCTTTTGTTTCCACTCTTTTGCTTCCTCTGGGTTTCCATTTTTTTTAAACCAAAAGGCCATTTGAGCCATTGCATAGATCTTCCACCTATGATTCTCAGTTAGTTCTTGTTCAGCAATTTTTAGAGATGCTTGAAATAAACTCTTTGCATCTTCCATCTGACCTTGAAATTGATAACACACTCCTAAGTTGGTAATTGGCAGAATGCATTCTTTCTGCTCTTTAATACCAACACTTTCCATCATTTTCAGAGCTTGTTTATAAAGTTCAATTGATTTGCGTCGGTCAGGAGCTGATCCTAGACCCTTCTCACCATGGAAGAGGTGAAAATCTGCAATTTCCTTCAGAAGTAGAGCAGTCATAACATGAGAGCCAAGATTTTCCTGAAAAATCTTTAATGACGCATTGAACTTTACCTCAGCCTGGTCACGTTTATTTTGTCTGTTGTCATTTCGTCCAGCATAAAGCAAACTTATGCCTTTCTGTACAAAATCCATTGGTTTGAATTGTTCACACACCTCCAAACTTTTAATGAATTGTTCTTCAGCTTTGGAACAGTTTTTCACATCAGAGAGGAACCGTGCATAATTACTGCAAAAGAAAGCCTCTGACACCTTCTCATTGTCAAATTCTTCAGAGTGTTCTGAGTGTAGGTCTGCAGCCTTTTCAATCAACTTCTTGTATTCATCTTGATTACCGATTTTCCTATACTCATGCCCTAGGAGGCAGAGAAGTTCCACTCTTTTAGTGACAGGCTGTTGGTAAGACATCAAAAGCTGATCAAGCTGATCAAGGTGCCTCAAATAATCACTTGGTAGAATGCACATTTCTAAAAATGTGCATGTCTGGGAAATCTTCTCCACTGAGTTTTCCATAGTTTTCTTCAGTTGAGAATCTTGTTTTTCTTGTCCTTTGATGAAGAACTGAAAGAAGTACTCAAAGTTATGCCTGTCCGTGTTAAAAGAGTGAATTGCCTCTTGGCACTTGTCCTTGCTCCAGTAGCACGTGGCAATGTCCACTAGGTGGGAAATAAAGTGGATGCAGGCCGCTTTTTCCCCCTGCAGCTGTAAGACTGGAGAAAGGTTGGCTTCATCAATCTTCTTTGCAAATGTTTGAATAAATTGATGGATTTGATATCTGTATGGGGCTGGTGTCTCAATAAGAGAGCGGTTTTTCAAGGAACGGAGAATTGATCCAGGATCTCCTTGACAATCAACTGCCTTAATAACAGCTTGGGCAGCAATATTACTGAATGAACCTGGAAAAACTGACAGAAGTACCAGAGCCTTTTGTTCATGTTCTCTCAAAAAGTTGAAAGAAGTGTAAATAGCTTTTTCAACAGAATTTTCATCACTTTCATCCTCTTTGAGGACATCCAATGGCTTTTCCTCAAGGCGTTCAATGAGCTGATCTTCAGGAAAGTCTAAAAGCAATGAACCAATGATGCATAAAGCTAGGGGTACACAACCACAAAGTTGAACCAATTTATCTGTTTTGGAGAGCCCCTGTTTCACATCTTGATCAAGGACTTTGGACAAGAGGAGTTCCTGTGCGTGCTCACGGGATAATGTTCTCAATCTCACACATTTCATTCGCAAATTGGGGTCTAATTGAAATAGTTTTCGAGTAGTGATAACAAATGTGATCTTACAGTTTGATAGAGTTCTCATGTCCTTTAAAATGGTTACAAATGCAGTTCGATCACCAGATTCGAGAACATCATCTGCATTGTCCAGAATGAAAGAAACTTTCTTTTGCTGTTGTTTGCTCCAATTTTGGAGCCAATGTTTGGGATGTTCTGGTGGTTGAGAGAGGTTTGTACTGCACGAAAGGATCATCGAGGTAGCTACTTCAGCAATGGCTGCTTTAGATCTGAGTGAACAAAACAAAACTGGTCTCTCTTCATTCCCATTGGATTCCAATTTGTGGCGCACTTCCATTGCCACAGCTGTTTTACCAATTCCGGGTCCCCCAGTAACAAGAACTGCAGCTACACTTTCAGTTCCAATTGCAGCAGTGATTTCTTTCAACTCTTTGGAACGGCCAATGACATTTTCATCTGTAAGACAGTCTGAAAGGTTACTTGTGGCTTGCCCTGAAATAGAAGCTTGAATGTTGGGGCATCCTTCAGCTGTAGTTGCATTCATTAATTTGGGACCATCTACAAAGTAACATACAAGTTATAATAACTTTTTGGCATTTATGCCGTAACAAACTCAATGTTACAAATTGAAATCACTTCCTTAACTCAAACAACGTAATGCTCCATTAAAAAAAAGCAACAATTGCTCAGATGGGGTTCATCTAGAACGAAATCCTTGCATAACTAGACATTAAGGATAAGGAATCGATCTGCACATTAGAAGTGTGACAATGTGAACATCCATGAGTAGGTACACCACAGGTAAGGCAGAGAATGTGAGGAACGTGGCGAAAATCTTATTTTGAACATACCTGTAGGAGAGGGAGAGAAGAAGAAGGAAAATATAGATCCATCGTCAGCAAAATCAAGGCATCCAACCGCACTAAACTCGCCGTCTCGGTTTTCTTGACGCAAGATCACAGCACTACCTTGCATACGGTTTTCGTTGCGAGTGTGTTCTGAGTGTGTCGATGAAACGTTTTCGAAATTAACCTTCTTAACGTTTATCACACCAGAAGATTTATCCTTGTCGTCCACGAAAACACACAGTAAATCATTCGATTCACTTTGATTCACTTTGGTCCCCTGGAATGGTCGATATGTAAAAATGCTCTCCTTCTTGGAGTATTTTTTGGAGGGTTTTACTCCAATGAAAACAAAGTTGCCAATTCGAAGGAAGTCCTTTTGATCTACGATTTTATTTAGTAGAACTATTTTCTTCTTTGAATTTAACTTTTGAAACTCCAAATGATAATTTTCCAAGGAATCATCAGTATCGATGACTTGACTGATTGTTATGAGGCAATAACTATAGCTTTTTTCGATGCTGATGCTACTGGCTGGATGTGGACTGGCTAGTAACTGGCTTTGGAAAAAAATGTCCAAATCCTTGACAAGGAAGCCAAAACCTTGAGTTCCATCTGGGCTCTGACCGGTTCCTTCCCTTCCTTCCCTTCTAATCCGACATACTCCCAGCCGCCATTGTTCTCTTTTTCTCGCATTATCCCTCTGAACTGTTCTTGGGATGTGGTATATAGGTTCCCACATGATAGTTGACTCGCTAGTGTTTCACATCTAAGGCGTTCGTCGAGGGTCGAACACACAAGTTTATAGTACAGCGGTTAAATTTAAAATACCTCATGTAAGCTTCAGCACTTGTTCCCCACGAAAAATTCAAAAAAGAATTGTTCTACACTGTCTACAGTAGATACGACTATATACACTGTCTACAATTGGTACAACTATCTACACTGTCTAGTGTAGATAGCGTAAATCCAAAGCGTTCGAGGCTGTGTGACGTGATTTATTTAATAAAGTTATCCATCAGTTTTAGATCAGTCCGCGGAGCGAACATTTAATTTTTGCTTCTTCTGATGCGAATCAACATTGATACGAAACGTCATAACAATAGTGGAGACTATTGCGTCCAGTCGCAAAAATAACTCAGTCTGATTTTCTAATGAAATAACATTAAACAGTTTCTGAACAAGAACGAAGTCACAACTCCTACTACAAGTCGTTCGTAAAGCCTATGATAAGAAAAAATGTTTCTATTCTGAACCATTGCAACTCTCAGCTTATTTTCAGATGAAAATCAACATTGGTGTCTAGGTCTTAACAAAAGTGGAGAATATTTCATCGATCTCAATCTTATTTTATAATTTTAACGATTATTAACTGTTGAGGGATCTGAAATAACAAACTCGCACTGTACCATGTCGTCTCATCACTTGGGCATTGGACAACAACAAAATAAATTAGTGTCATAAGTTTGTCTCTTATTGAATCTAGCGGTGTTCGACTATTGCGGAAAAGGTTCAAAAACGACCTTTCTCCGAACATTGAATTAAACGCTTGCACATTTTCCCTTGGTCAAAAGAAACATCCGACGGGTCATTTCTATAGCTGCCAGTTCGTATGCATGGGCGATACGCATATTTTGAATTAAAAACATACTTTAGTACGCACTGAAACGTAAAGTATTATCTATTTCTACGAGAACGTTAAGGATGATGTTTTCACCCGCTTCTGTTGGGGGGTCCAAATCCGCGGAGGGGGGTCCAAATCCGCTAGCGGATTTGGACGGGGGGTCCATATCCGTTAGCGGATTTGGACCGGGGGTCCATATCTGTTAGCGGATTCGGACTTGGGGGTCCAAATCTAGGGGGCTCCAAATCCGTTAGAACACCGGCATGGTGGAATTGGAGTTTTAAACCCCTGGCGGATTTGGACCAAGGGGGAAGGGGTACAAATCTAGGGGGCTCCAAATCCGCTAGGAGCCTAGGACACCTGTGACAGCAGTCATGTTTTTTTTAGAGTTAGAGTGCACTGTAGCGGAAGGGAAGGGGAAATGTCAGTTGTACGGTAGGGTCTGGGTACGAGATTAGGAATAACCTTCAGGCTTTCATGTTCGATCCAATTTTTTGTGATGTAGCCAAGAAAGGAAAAACTTATCGCGGTGCGGAAAGTAAATGGCCTTAAAAGCGGTGGTCACACTACAGATTATTACCCTTGGGATGACAATCCGCCCATGGGAGTTTGCAGGTGTAACTAAGTTTTACTGTGGGAGATTACCTCGGGGAGATTTTAGCTTATGGAGGTGGGATCAGTTAGGAGAACAAAAGGTTTTCCCATGACAGCTTCCCTAAAGCAACAGAATGGAAAACTTGAAATCCCATGCAAACGAACCAATCAACGCTTGTCGGTGTGTACTTCGCTGACAGATGTGGATTTAGATGTCATGTCGTGAAACTATTTTTGATTCATGTGATGTTGGGCAATGTTCTTTTTTATTCACTTGCAACTTACGATGGGCGATTTAGAACATATCAGAACATCTCGTTTTTGGGAATATTATACGATTTTCTTTCTTTATTCGTAATCTTGGAGATCTAGGCCCAATCAAAATATTAATTTTTTCCCTAGAACCAGCCTTCAATGCCCTTCATTCCGACCAAGAGTCGACGATACCGTTTCGCAAGGGATATGAGTCGTCTTCCTCATTGTACACGCCCCAAAGATTGAAGAAAAAAATATTTAGATCGCTGTGCTCGTCGAAAAGAATGAAATGAAGAGTGAAATGAATTGAGAGAAAAAACTTTGATATTCTTGAGTTTCAAGCATGTTTACGATGTGATTTGCGTGCCAAAACATTTTGCCGTTTTATTATTTTACCCAGACACCAGTGACAAAGGTTAGTGTGACCTTTTCATCTAAGGAAATTGAAACCCAAGATAAACTTTACCACGGGTAAATTCAGGTAATTTTCCCTCGGTAAATAGATGTTCCATTGGTAAAAGGTTGTAGTGTGAATACAGCTAAGAACTCACAAGATCGTACGAAGATTGCATGACTTCACGTTCATTAATCTTTTCTCCATAAGCACGCACTGGATATGAAATTGTAAATATGCACTAAGCGCGAATGGAATAATTGTTTTATTAATTCTTCTTTTAACGAAATTACGGAAATTACAAAGTAGGTTTACTTGAAATAAGCACATGGCCATTTTTCGGGTGAGATGTGAATGATAAATTAAGCTTTCCTTTCAAATTTTAAAACCAGTGTCTCAGAACTGGATCATAGTTTGGCGAAAAAGCTAACAAAGTTTTCCTCTGCGTGATTGGTTTACAATCAAGTCGATAGTCATGAGAGTTAGGGGAACATTTTTCCTCTACCGGGGAGGGGAAAGTAGCAACAATAAGTAAATGATGTAAAATACATGGCTTTGCTTTGCATTTTATATAATTCAAGTTAAAACATTTTCTTTTAGTCAATATTTTTGGTGTTCCCATGTCGTAAGAGGATGTGTTCACAGAATAAAGTAGTTCCTGTTAATAAGTAAGGTAATAGTAACTAACCCACTCCTCCCACAGTAATTATATTTGGTTTGCCTACCGTATAATTCTTCGTTCATTTCGCTTGCTTTGATTTTCGTTAGAGAAGGGTTCATCAAATCATGACTGATCCTGCTCCAAAGCGCCTGAAACTTGATGAAGAAGAGAGAAACTCGATGCTTTCTCCGTTACTTAAATTTGGGTGGACAGAGGTGGAAGGAAGAGACGCGATTTACAAAGAATTTCTTTTCAAAGATTTTAATCAAGCTTTTGGTTTCATGACACGTGTTGGTTTGCAAGCGGAGAAAATGGATCATCATCCTGAATGGTTCAACGTGTACAACAAAGTACAGATTACACTCAGCACACATGACTGTGGAGGACTGTCTGAAAAGGATGTCAAACTAGCCAACTTCATCGAAACCGTCGCCAAATGAGTCGCAAAGATCGAATTGGGTTGGATTCAACCAAATGCAAACTATGCTTTTAGCCTTTTTTTGATAGAAGATGTCTAGCTGTTTTACTGACGGCGATGGTGTTCATCGCACATTTATAACAGGCGGTGCTGGTTGTACAAATTCTTATGATAACCGTCTTTAATAAAAAAAAAATTGTTCAAGTTTGAGAGAATGTTTGTAACCAACACACCATCCATCAGTTTCATCTTTAGTTTTGATCTCTTCGTCAGTGAAAAATATCCCTTAACCCATTAACCCCTAAGAGTTACTTGCATCTAATTTCTCCCAACAATATCATCCCTGAATCACACATTAAGGTCACGAGAATAAAGGAAATGATCACCAACTGAAGCAGCTCTTGATTGTTAAACAAGTTCTCCTTGTCAGCAACTCAGGAAACGTGTAGAGAACAGTTTCGAGGATATGCATACTGATGTTAGGGTGTAAAGGGTTAATGCAAGGGGTTCAGTACTCCAAGGCAGGGATGGTATGGGGAGGAAAACAAGGACAGGTTGGGACAGGAAGGGGGAGCTTAGCTGGGCTCAAGAGGCATGTTTCCTAGGAACAATTTTAATTTTTGATAAAAATGACAGAGGGGAGATTTCAGCCTCTGAACTCTGTCATTCCTGTAGGGGTGAGTTCCTTTGGAATGATATGTTTCTGGATCAATGACCCTAGATCACCTGGATTGTAGTTCTTCAATGGGACTGGTGACCCTTCCTAGAGTACTAATCTTTTTGTGCCTCAGTCAAACACTTTTGAACCTCTATGAAAAGGGTCAGAACCATGTTGCTCTATAATGGGCGAAGTGATTTTGCTTAGATCATGTATTTACAAAAACTTGCTTGCTTTACACATTTTTCTTTCACAATTCTCTTTATTTAAAAACTTGCCTATCAGCTTAGGAAACGAAGTGGGGCTCCCTAGATAAACACTACTGTCACCTTTTTATATCTGCGCTTGCCAGGAAAGGCATTGTAAAGATGAATTTTGTTTGTGAAACACTCTGTCTGCTAAAAATGCCTTACTTATACTTAAAATATATCAAAATCACAAGTTTATTGCATTTGTGATGTTAAAATAACATGGTTTACCTAAATTATCTTGTCATAAAATGAGAAAAGGAGCTAATTATATGCTTTTTTTTTTTTTCATAAAAAAACTTATCTTTGCCTAATATTTTTCCATCTGAAAGTTTCCTTACATCAGGTATACCTCAGTTTTATTCAATATTATTTTCAACATGATGGTTTTATCTTGGAGCACAAGTTATTTGTGTAGGAAACAAACAAATTGTAAAATTGTATGGTTAATGGATCTTTATTACATGAGGTGATTCTAGTGGCTGGGGCTGATTGAAAGGTTCACCAACCTTGAGCCATGGTTATGATAAATAATCCAATTTCTAACAATTAAAAATTTCAACAAAAGATCACAGGCTGTTTCTCACATTGTAATTTCCTTCCAATAAATATCAAGGTCAAAATATACAGTAATTGTATTACTTGCAAATGTTTGGGTGTATGCTCTAACCCTTTCAATCCATGAGTGACCCAGACAGAATTTCTCCTTACAATATCAATACAATATCAACCAGATAAGTGATTAGAATAAAGAAAAATATCAATTTGGGGATAATTAGTTGATTCAATACTAAATTCTCTGAACTAACTAATAAGAATTATGTGGTTGACAATGAGGAGAATGACAAATTTGATCTGGGAGTTAAAGGGTTAAACAGTTGCAGTAGCCAATCAATCATATATTAACTTTGTAGAAAACTGGATGTTTTATCCTAAAGCAACCATATAAGACTAAAATAATTAAAACAGCAATCATAATATGAAAATCAATTTCTTTCTGAGACAAATTAGTTGGTCATGACAGTTGAAAAAGTGAATTTCTATTTTTCTCTCACAACAAGTTCCTCAAAGCCAGTTTCATCATCAATCTCTCTAGTAAATGAAAATGTGTCGCAGTTTCCAATGACAACCTCAGCAGTAGTAAAAACTTTCATGTTTCCCATAACATGACCACCTATGACGTTACCATCTTTGTCTGAAAGGGAAGCATGCAGGTGTCCTTCATCAGCCAGTGTTCCAACCAGTGAAACAATCTCATGCCTTCCTTTAACCTCAATGATCTGAAGAAATAGAAAACAGACATCAAAATCTGAATTTAATGGTCTGATTATTTCAAAATTTAAAAAGTTAAGCCATTGTTTAACAAAACCACATCTTAAACAATCTTCAGTTTAGCTGAACCTTTGTTTTTTGCGAACAGTGTCAAGAGGGCTGAAAGCTAACAGTGAAAGGGCATTTATTTCATTAAATAATTGCTCTTATAGCAAAAGCCTGAGGCTCACTGATTGCATAAAACCGTAGTTTTGACTAACTGGCCCAATGGGTTCAAGTCATGGCTGAGGCATGGGGTTGTCTTTAGGTGATACAATTTAACTTTTCACTCAGGAGTATAGATAGGTACCAGTGAACTGTAACAGAAATCAGAAGAAAAAAAAAGGGGGGGTTGGGGAGGGCAATGTAGAGTGGACTGGAACACCATCCTAAGATGAGGTAATACTTCTGATCCCTTCAGTTTAGGCTAAAGGATTGAGTATGGGAGTTTGGGATTTCTCGTGAGTTCTTGAAAGAAATACATTTATGCTACATGGCCTTCTGCTTGTGGGTAGGATGCTGTACTTTCATTGCAGCTGCCAATTCATTACAACTGTAAGCACCGGCCTCCCATCCCACATTCAGATCCTTAACAGTATCTACCCGGAGATTTCAACTTAAGCGGGAAAGAAGGTGATCAGTTCTGTAAATCAACAATTACTATGTGTCGCATTTCCTTGTGTACTCCCCACCCCTCACCTCTCGGGACTAGCGTTTTAAATTCACCACCAATCAAGAAAATAAAATTTTCAGCCCAAAATTTGCGTGATCTAAGACAAGTGAGTCCACATCATTGCTTTTCTCATTAAAGAGCCTTACGTAATCACAAGCCTGCAAAGCTGAGGTGCAAAATAGGACGGGTTTCCGCATGTTGGGATGCAATAACTACAGCAGACCTCGACGCAAACATTTTCTTCATCGGGAAATAATGCTTTTGCTAATAATCATGAAAGAACCCCAATATACAGAAGCCTGTCTGAGAATAAAAAAAACTAGCAGTTATACGATTTCCTTACCTCATTCGGTGTGTCTATTGACGCATTAGCCAACCGTAGTGTAGCTTGAGTCACACTTCCTACGCAAGAAAGAACGAACGGTGCCCCAAGTTTCTTAGTCTTGACGTAGTTCAGCAGACATTCCCTTATTTCCTGGCCTGGTTTTAGTCGCAGTGCATAACAGGATAGCGTGCTGCCAGGTTCGCTTCGGAAGCGCTTGTTATTCCTTACGTCCACCATCTTGAGGGTAAGCTGCGTGACTTAAGCGTGACATAATGTCTTGCTGTCCCGAAGGGGATCGATCACGCACGTCATAGTCGACCCAATCACCTCAAGAGAAGCAAAGAAGACTCGCAGTTTACAGTCTCAAGGTCGCGATCTACACAGAACTGGCTACATCGTGAGAAAAAACAATGATACTCCGTATAGAAATCTCCAGAATTTGTATCCTACCTAACGTTAGCTAATTCATCATCCTTTATGTCGGAATTCTTCAAATTCAATTCGACACGAATGTGCGGGGGCAGAAAGGAAGTAATCTGATCGATTATTTTGCGCTACTGCATACTGGCCCTCGGACCGCCTTAGCCGTTTGATAACCAAAACATTAGATAATTCTTGCTCACTAACACTGAATTATTAAAAAAAATTCTGATGAAAATAAAGTAAAACAAAAGAAGATCTGACAATTCGAAATCTAGCCATTTCTGAGGGATTCGCTATCAATTAGGATCCTGCTAACTTTTTGAGCCATTTCTACGTTGGAGGTTCATTCGGAGCTCATTTTGACTGAGTGTCGAAAAGCCAAACCAAAGTAATTACCACCGCCTTTATGAACAAAGGGAAATATCACAGCGAGCCACGGAGAACCCACAATAAACAAAAGTGTCGTAAATGATCTCGCGACAAACAATCACACTGGTTTGATGTAGACTGTATTTATTCTCTCACTCAGGCCTGTTCCAAACGTCGTGCTACTGCCGTGCCGAACTCAAATGAAATAGTAATTTCGATTTAAGCACGGCAGTAGCACGCCGTTTGAAACCATTAAGCGCGGCACGGCTGAATTAGGTTCGGCACGACTACTTAGCGCGGCAGGCCTTGCCGTGCCGCACGGCAGTAGCACGACTTGGTTTCAAACGTTGTGCTACTGTCGCGCCGAACTCAATTCATAAATTAATTTAACGGATTTTGCATTATTTGCATACTATTACGCATGCGCACTAATAAAAAAAGACAAATCTACCCGTTTTGCCCGAAAGCTTGAGAGAAGAGGAATCCGACGGTGACAATAAATTGCTTAGGGTTAGGGTTAGGGTTTGGAAACGCCGGCACGATCGTAATACAGTAACTTGCTGGCTCTCGTCAAGGGAAACCAGAGGAAGAATAAATGAAAAAACTTTCAAAAGTAATCCTCTCCTTGCAATAACAGTATTCAATATGGACTGTTGCATTCGCCTGCGTTGCCTTCTGGCATTTAAAATTTTCTTAAACAAATTTGGATGGGGCGATACCGCTGGATGGATGGTTTGTTTTGTCTTTTGAATTTGGCGCGACTGCATTAGGTTCGACGTTTGAAACCGCTGCCGTGCTATCGTCGTGCCACTGCCGAGCCAAATTCATTTGAGTTCGGCACGGCAGTAGCACGACGTTTGGAACAGGCCTCACTCACAATCAATTAACCCAAATCACCTATCATATTTCTGTACTTCCGTCACGCACCTATAAATAAATTCAATGTAACGCTTTGGTCACGACACTAGCAAGCTGCAGGGAGAGAAGAAAAACGCGTGTAACCAAGTTATGACTGGATGTAGTTTTGAATCTGATTGGTTGAAAATGTAGCAAGAGTTTTCTGGAGCAATCACAAAGCGAAATATAGCAAACTAAAACAATCCCGGACTACTTCAGAAGTTCGAAAGTAAATTGAATTTTAGCAAAGACAGTAAATGTTAATTGAAAGGCAGTTACTGCAAGTAAAAAAGAGACAGACAAGCTAAATAATTCACTGGTTTTATTTATTTACATTTTGGCTTTTTAATATTCAGTTTTGAACAAAACTATGGATTTTTCTCATTAGATTACTCATGAAGTACTTTGATGACTTTCTTTAAGACACAAAAAAATACGAAAATATGTAGAAAATAGCAGCTTAAATATTAAAGCTGCAGAAGTTTGTCCGATGATTGAGTTGACGTATTTCAAGATGGGTGAATCCTCCAACCTAAGTTGCATTGGATGTACGTAAATAATGAAGTCATGATTGCTCTTAACAGGAGCAAACTGCATTTAACTGCCTCGCCAACGTCATAAGGAACTATTCCAACCTCATCTGTTGTTTTCCATGTTAGGCTAGCAGTTAATGAGAGCGGCGATAGAAAATTCCAGATAAAAGTCCAGTCTTAGCTCCTTAGAATTGCAGTTTACCACATGTGATGACAAGCTAATGGTAATCAGTCATGTATAGAATAGACATCATCTGCGGTAGCATTCGCCTGTTCAGGTAAACCAAGGGCAAACACTCAACAGTACCGCGGTAACGAGACTAACCCAGGACACGTTCATAGTAATCTCTAAGCCATTTTAATCAAACCCAACCCATTTTCTTAGTAATACTGTTTCAAAGAAAGAGAACTCTCGTCGGTTGTGCTCGCAACACGAAAGTATTCCTCATTGTTTAAGTTTCTTTGCGACCATTTCCAATAGTCTATCAGAGTACTTTTCAAGTAACACTTCATGTATTTCAACCTCCTCTTCAGGAATTGAGGAAACAGAAAGCTCAGAAGTCCTCCTGAAAGGACGAAGTTTTGAACCAACTTGGTCCAGGTTTCCGGTGGAGAAGCTGAGCGCGCCGCCGAGTGGTCTAGCAGCTGTGCCAGGTTTACCCCAGGGGAGGTAGGAGAGTTCCCACTTCCGCCGACGAAGACGCGAATCGTGAATCTGTTCCTCTATGGCTGAAAAAGTGCTGGTAATGTACGATAACAACTGGTGGTTATCGTCCGAGGGTTCTCCATTCAGAATCTGCAGGTGCAAAAAAAATAAATAAATAAATAGATATCACAAATTGGTTAGCATTAGACAAAACGGTCGAGTGCTTTAAGAAATGATCTCCCGTTTAGAGACTTACTTAGTGACCGAGGCTACATGCTACTTTCAAACAATTGCACAGCTAGGATCAGCAATATCATGGAGTTTTGAACTTTCCACCAAATGAGAAGGGACTTACTTAGCGCTAATTAATAAGAGTGATCGTGAACAGAAAGGGCTCAGTTTGACATCTTGGTCGATTCAAGCCAACTAATTCCTCTCTGGGAATAAGTATCCTCTAGTTAACTATAACAACCCGAAACTTTTTCTTTCTCACCTTAGACTGAACATCCATAACCTTTTGAAAAGCCTGCACAAGGTGTTCAAGGGTTTCCTGACATGTATTTTGATCAATATCGGTGGAGTTAGCAGCATCTGTAAGGTTGAACAAGAACACGACCAAAGTTTAAAAGGCTTCATTTGTCTTACTTTATTGCGGTGTCGTCTACGATCGTTGTCATTTACTATTGTTATGGTGTTCGTTGGCTAGGAGGCAGTCTCGAGTAAAAACTTTCCAGGTTCAAATGGAAAATATGACAAGTTTTTGAGGAACTCTGCCTGGTCTATTCACTGTTCACACCTCTGGAGGCGTCTACAAAGTTCAACCATGTTTCAGGACGCGCTAAACTGAAATGCCCTACATTTCAGATTACAAATTTTGATTCGGTATGAAAGAAAAATTCACGTGGCCAAGGTAAGCCAAGACTAAGGATGGGAGAGGTTATGGAGGACTGTAAATAACAAACTAAAAAAGAAATTATTCCGAGCACAAGGCGTAGGATTAGGACATAAGATTCGGTTGCTTGTCCAAAAATGATTCAACTAGGCTGCAGGAGTACCCTTACAAGACATAAAAGGAGTACCCTTGCTAGACATAAAAGGAGCGTTCACACAACATAATGAACTTTTTACCATGATCCTTACCAGTGGAAGACTTCCGACTTGTAGAGGGAGGACTGGTACTCAACAAGTTCGACTCAGACATGCTCAATCTGAGTGGCTCAGGTGGTGGTGACGCAATAGCTGCAGACAGCTCAGCTGACAGTTCACTGATATCAGACATAAAGCTCGACCCGCTACCACTCCGAGAGGTTCTGCGCGGTGACAAGGGCTTACTGGTTCCCAGGTCCAAAGTGTTCGATTTCTTTTCAAGGACAGTCCCTGGGACCGGTATAGCTTCGTTACCAGGCCCATCCAACGCAGGATTCAGCTGCTCGTCCGAAGGTGGTTTTCGTCCTGTCGAATTCTCATTACTAGCTAACAAGCTGCCATTAGTCGAAATATCGTTTTTATCGGAAGTTCCATTCAAAACGTCGGTGTGCTCTTTAAGATTTTTTGTAGCTGAAACATCATTATTATCAACTGAATTTCGCTCTAATGGTTTTTTCGTCTGAGGTGGGGTTGTCTCCAAAATACCAGCGCTTGACTTGGGTCGTTTTTCAGCTGTTTTTATTTGATTCGGTATATCCATAGTGTCAACAGTTCTAGATGGCGGCACACTCGGATCTAAAATAGACACTTCTTCTACTTTGTGTAGTCTGCTACCTATGTCACCTAACGACCGCGATTTTTCTCGTCTCTCCTCACTAGAAACCCGTCCTTTCTTCTCTCTTAAAGGAGCATTTCTGGACGAAATAGTCAAAGAAGTCTCGTTTGTTTTGGCGCCAGGCGGCTGAGAAGTTTTTCCCGCCAGCTCGGATGACGTATAAGACGATCGCCGCTCAGGCTGTGGTTTAGTGGGTGACTTTTTGTCTTTTTCTTCTTTTAAAGTTTTTAATGTGCTTTCGTGGTGTTTCGCTGGCTGGGAATTCTTCATTTGCTTGTCAACAGGCGGTGTGGACGAACGAGGCTCAGTTGGTTTCTTATTCAACTTGTCTTCCCTCTCGTTTTGTTTTAGCGCGTTTTTCGACAGCATGTCAGGTGGGGTTGAAGATCTGGGTTCAGAATGCCTTTTATGTTTGTCTTCTTTGTCATGCTTGGAACTCCCCCTAGAATTCCCAGCGATTTACGCCATGATTTTCCCTCAGAGCCCCGCCGTTCAAGTTTACCCCCGGAGGTAGATTTTAAATCAGATATCTCCTTGACCAGTGGGGGTGTGGCTCTTCCCTTCTCTTTGTCTTTTTCCTTCGATTTTGCTCTCTCTTTTTCTTTCGAGTTTTCTTTTTCCTTGTCTTTGTTTTTAGATGACTTTGACTGACTGAAAAACGCAATCAGATTGGAAGCAGTACGCTTGGATTTCTCGGTATCGTCAGCCTTTGAGACATTATCTTTCTTCGACTCAGGAATATCTTTCTTAGCCGACTGATCCTTCCGTTCCTCCTTGCTGTTCTCTTGGACATCTACTAATCGCGTCTGTAAATAACATCAACCCAAAAAAAATACTCACTGCCAGGCGAACATCAACATGGAAAATTAACTAAACAAGACAACACGTAGCTATGACACGCATGCGCTAAAATGCGTAACAAGCTCTGAATCGCAATTCTCTCTATCAGTTCTGCTACATATCCTTGTAAACTAGTTGAGAAAAGTGATAACATATGAAGGTAACATCCATGAGCTGTTTAGTTTCGCTTTTCCTCGCAACTACTTGCTTGGCAGTACGGTGATATTAAGGAAGAGGTTACATCAGGGAGTTAGAGTTTAAGTAGGAGTTAGTCAGGTATTCCAGAGATATTGCACCAACTTTTTTCTGGACTACGAGCAACCGCTGCCTTTTGGCGGAGTCCGTCGTGCGGGTCAAGTTGGTGAGAAGAAAAAAAAACGCGGACCTCTGGGAGCAAGGCACACGAAAAGCAGCGCTTTAATATTTTTTTTTCGCTGACTTTTGCGTTTTCAACCCGCGCGACGGACTTCGACGAAGAAGAGGGACTGCTGGTAGTCACCCAAGTGATAAAAGGTGATAGAACAGAAGTCATTTTAGATTTTGAAGAATCATGATGGATAAGATTATCAGGATTAAAGATGAAGGTGGGTCACAGGCTTGATCGCGGAATTCGGGGGTAGTATCTCTACATACCTCAAGCAGGTTAGTTATGACGGAAGGCTTACTGCTTGACTCTGTTAATGCAGACACGGGTGTACTGTCTCCGTTTTTACCAGAGCCAGACGCAGAATTAACGACTGTAGTGGGTGTAAACGACATGGATGTGGTGACGGTGCTGGTTTTTGAGGTAGCACTCACGGATGAAGTGTGTGTAGTCGAGACAGACGATAACACAGTACTAGTTTTGGTGGCAGGCTCTTCAGCTGCAGTGCTTGGAGATGATCCGGAGTTGGATGAAATTGTTGTGGTTTTAGAAGAAGAAATGACAGTTGTGCTGGATACAGAAGAGATGGAGGTTATAGTTGCTGTTGATGTCGCACTGTTGACTGGCATCTTCTTCAAAATGTCTTCCTTAGCTTTCCATCCCAGCTGAACAATAAAATAAGCACAGGCGAGATCAATTTTTCAAAAACTGCCGAGAAACTAAAACCGGAAAAAGCTAAAATTAAACAGTCAATCCCAAAAACTAGAGAGCTTAACAACAAATCATAACTAAAAAAAACTGCAGTGACCAGCAGGAACAAATACGAACAAGGTAACAAACAAAGAGAATTCAGATCAAACACAGGAGTAATGCCTGTGATGAACGTTGCTCATTTAACTTTGATTTGTCGAAGCGACCCGATTATGTCTCTTGAGTTCACATGTACCGCTGATAAAGGTAAATGTGAACTCAAACCAAAGCAGTTCTGCAGTGCTTGGACCATCAACTCAAAACTGAACGCTTTCGTCCAGCGCTGAACAGCGATACTGATGCATAACGTGGAATGACGGCAGTGTGCGATGCTCCTGCTAAATTGTCATGAGCGGGATCCCTTTGGGCGAGCGACCGAAAAAAGCGTGAGGGAAAAGCAAAAAGTCAAAGAAGAAATGACTCTTCTACGATTTGCTTATCGCCCACATGAATATCAACAACTGATCTGTGGTGGGTTTGCACGAAGCAGTATTGTTAACTTTACTTACAGCTTCGAGTCGTTTACGAGTAGCCTCCACAGCCTGCGCCATTTCTTCTTTACGCCTTTGAAGATCCTGTTTGGACTTTAACAATGCAAAGGAATAACGTTAAAAAAAGAAAAAAAATTGAAATAATATTAAGGAAACTTACATTCTAAATCACATGCTGGTTGCTGTCATAGTCACTGACCCAAACAGAGGATGTGATGATTAGTGTGGGTCTTCAGATCGAGCAATCAATCAGCCAGCCAGTCAATCAGTCAGTCAGTCAGTCAGTCAGCCAGCCAGTCTGTCAGTCAGTCAGTCAGTCAATCAATCAGCCAGCCAGTCAGTTAGTCAGTCAGTCAATTAGCCAGCCAGCCAGTCAGTCAGTCAGTCAGTCAGCCAACCAGCCCCTCAGTCAGCCAACCAGCCCCTCAGTCAGTCAATCAGCCAACCAGTCAGTCAGTCAGCCTACCAGTCAATTAATTAAATCACATGCTGGTTGCTGTCATAGTCACTGACCCAAACAGAGGATGTGATGATTAGTGTGTGGTCTTCCAGATCGAGCAATCAATCAGCCAGCCAGTCAATCAGTCAATCAGTTAATCAGCCACCCAGCCAGCCAGTCAGTCAGTCACTCAATCAATCAGCCAGCCAGTCAGTTAGTCAGTCAATTAGCCAGCCAGCCAGTCAGTCAGTCAGTCAGTCAGCCAACCAGCCACTCAGTCAGTCAATCAGCCAGCCAGTCAGTCAGTCAGCCTACCAGTCAATTAATCAGCCAGCCAGTCAGTCAGTCAGTCAGTCAGTCCGTCAATCAGTCAATCAACCAGTCAGTCAGTCAGCCAGGAAGTCAGTCCGTCAGTCAGCCAGCCAGTCAGCAGTCAGTCAGTCAGTCCGTCAGTCAGTTAATCAGTAAAATAATGAATGAATGAATAAATCAATTGCCAATTAATAATTTCATTAGTGGAATGAGGTTATTCTCAGTCTCTGTTATCAAAACAGGGCTCATGTTCCAACGAAAAGACAGGAAATGAAAAAAAAAATGCGTAGAAATCATTGGAACTCAATTAGAAAGAAGACTTGCGAGTCACCAGAATAATTTAAAGCATTTTCCGAAAAAACGGGAAAAAAAAAAAACTTACATCATCTGAATGATGATTTTCTCCTTTCTCTTCATCAAGGTTTGTCGATATTACACCAATCCTGTAGACAAAGGAATAAAAAGTTTGAATTCCATTTAAAGGTTTCGCGACTATTGCATTTCAACAAACACGTTCGGAACGTCGAAGCTTTTTCTTACTTCTCTGAAACCGAGGAATTTACCAAAACCTTAATTTATTCGGCCAGCCTTCTCTTGGACTTTCAGCATATTTTTTAACTGAAACACTACCTAGCCCAAGGGAAGGCAGTACTTGAATTTTTGCTCAGAGAGGGGGAAGAGGACGCCCTACACGAGGGGGAGAGGTCTAAAGTGGGGGGCTCTTTGGCAGGGAAAAGCTCAATAGAAACTTGAAATCTGTACCGGAAGTTTCTCAGGGGAGGGATTATCAAAGAGGGGGACTCTTTTGAGAGGGGAGGCTACTCAGAAACTTGAAGTATTACACTAAGGGAGTGGGGGTTATAAGGGACTAAAGGTTTTACAAATGGGGAAGCTTACTGGAAACTCCAGGTTCAACTAAAAAAGGAAGGGGATCAAAGGGGGAAAGCGGGGAGGGAGGGGGCTGCTTTTAGCGTTAATTAATACAATACATATTTTCAAACCTTCCAGGTTGGTGCGAACGCGACAAAAATCTGGCCGAGATACTCAGCCTGGTCCGCATCAGCCGATCCGTGTCCAGGGGCGGCGGCTCTGTGACTTGCTCGTCCGCTTTTTGCGCTGGAGAACTGGTACCTAGAGTTTCGAAATAGCGACCAACCATCTCCTCATCCTCCCCTCCCTCGGGCTTGTTCTCATCGTAACCAAATGGCTTTGTGGTATCCTCCGACGGACTTATCACTTCGTCTTCATCGTCTTCACTGGAAGCTTTGTATCCGAGAACAAGGACATAGTTACATTCCATGAAGCAAAATTGGAGACAATTTTCAACATTTTGTGAAGTAGCACAGTAAAGTAAAGGGGATCACAGACACCTTGGGGGAAGCAAGCAAGCTGAGTTGCGACTGACCGCTTGGCATGTTAGTCGCTTCTACTCATTTTGTCGCCAATCTCAAGAACAAATTTAAGAATGCTTGAAATTGGGCGACACGTTTCGGGACAAAATCTTGTTATAGGGAAAAAGATTTTTATAAACATTCTCCACTCCAAACGAAACAAAATCGTCAATAAGACCCTTCGTATAATGTTTCCGACCCTCGACAGTTCAGCAAATATAGCTGTTTCAAACTGATGACTATTGTCTGAGCAAACAAAAAAGTACAAGTTGTTCTGAAACTTGCTGGACATCAGAGAAACGTTTTTCCAATAGGATCTTACGAGAATTTGTTCCTTTCTCTTCCACTCTACCTTTGTCTTTGCCCTAAAAATCCAACAAAAAAAATTCAATTAAATCAACCCTGATGCAAAATGAGATTTATTTATGAGCAGGCAACGAAGTCTTAGCAAAGACAAGGTAATTCAAGAACGTAACGTAACTTGAGTGTTTAAGAGCCAATGAGAACTCTAATTCAAAAGAAGCAAACGGCCTGAGGGGTGGAAAGGCGGGAGTGGACATGTAGCGATGAGTTTTATCTTTACATCTGATTGATTAAGATAGCACCCGTTTCCTCAACCACTCAATTAAGGAAGCAAAGGAAAACCAATAAATTCCAGACAAATTTCAACACATATTCAAAAATTGCACTGTACTAGTAGTAATAGTTGAGAATCTTCGAAGCAGCTATTTATCGAAATTTCAGTTTTTACCTCTTGTTCTTCGCCTTTGGGATCTTCTACTGTTAGAGACAATCTCTTTGGCCGCTCGGCGACAGACAACTCGAAAGCTCTGATGAAAGACGAAGAGAACAGTTTAAGCTAGAACTACTCAAATTGGTAAATACAGTTTTTATAAATCCAAGGTATAAAATCAACATAAAGTAACCACAATGCTAAACGGACAGAACCGTTAACTGAGCAATCAATCAGAAAGAAAACCAAGGGAGAAAAATTTGTAACGTTTTCAACCAATTCAATTAAAAAAATTTGATATCTGATATCGTACTTCCGGACTGGGACAAAGCCGCGTAAGTAAAATGGGAACCTGGGATAAGGTATTGATTCATTCTAAGATACTTCGTTTATGCTTTTCATAATTCCTTACAACTTTTTTATTTCCTTTTGTCTTTTTATTAACTGTACGCAGATTAGAGTAAATTCATACACACAAGCGAGTAGTTATCCCACATAGTACACCAACCATCCACATGACATAACAACTCTTTCCCAGGACACTGGTTCACTCAGGCGGTTTTGCAGCCGAATGGAAGGATTAGCATTGGTTTAAAGACGGTGAAAACAAATAAGGAGAATCGATATAAAATCTTGTTTAAATGAAATTTCGTCAGGAGTTTACGAGCATTTAAAGAACTGATGAAATGATCTACCACGCAATTAAATTAAATATTTTTAGGTGATTAACTTCTGGAAAAAAAGAACACGACAGAAAAATTCAAATTATTTCACGGTTTAAAAAATCTCCTTAACACTCAGTTACTTGTAACTCATTTGATGAAGGAAGGGAAACTGGTTTATTGTGTCAAAATCATAATCATTTCAGGGAAGTTAATCTAGAAAGGACTTAATAACAATATTGATACAATTTACCATTTTATTTATGTCGTGTCTCATTTTGAAGAAATCAAGCTCAACTGTTCAGATAAGAAAGCTCGCTCTTTCTTTTAAAATCCATGTTCTTTATTCTATCAAAAACTGAGTATTTTTTGCTGGGGAAATTTATCTTACCTTAGATAATTGCACTTACTAAAACAATGACTTTTAAGTGCAATATTGTGAAAAACAATAAAATTATTTCTTTAAGTTACCTGAGGCAAGTTACAACCCGAAACGGAAGAAGGTCTAACGATGGAGATCTCTTAAGCGGAACCGGTTCGTCATTAACCAGTTTGACGGGTTTTTCCTGATTAACCAGATCTCCCCGCAGTCTCTTGACTTGTTGAACGATATTGGGACAAGACTGGTGATGATTTAACTGAAGAGCTTCGTAATGTTGCACAAATTCTTGGACCCGTGGGGCACTGGGTCAAGCGAGTGTCAAAAGGAAGACAGTTCGTGTTAGTTACATTATACATTAAACAATAAAAACAGGAATGGGACGATGGCGAAGGTTTGCTCCGTGGAAAAATGTGTTAGAAATTAAGCATTACGAGAAAAATGTTCGAGAACTGTAGATAAGAAGTCAAAATGGCGACTATCGCTGCGAGTTCAGACTCCAAAATTGTCCTAGTTACCATGGCGACCAGCACGGTTTTAACCTGGATCGCTATACAAGGGTGGTTCAAGGTTAAATGAAAAAGGGGGTACATCTCTAGAGAAACTAACAGGGTAATTTAGTACTATCAACTAAGTTGATAACAAATTGGCCGCCGTAAAGAGTTTCGAAGCTGACGTTTCGAGCGATAGCCCTTGTCAGAGCGAATTCAAGGTTAGTTGAGGCATGCCATCTGTTATCTCAAAACTTATAATTGATAATTTCAACATTTAATTCATAATTTAAGTCAAATGAAGCACAAAAGATTCTAGTCCCCTGATGAAGAAGCAGCAAAAGACAAAAACATCAAGAGTCGCCGTTTTGGTAAAGATCATGATGGCGTTCCTGTTCTTGTTGATTAATAACTCTGAACGTTTACTTAAGATGGAGTTTAGGCTTTCGATGGTACTTTTATTTTAAGAAGGGGTTTTTACTGTCACCTCTCATGCATTCAGATTCTATTTTGTCACTTATTGAACGGTTATATTCAAAAACTTCTTCTCTCCACGCATTTCAATTTCAAACTTGGTTTAATGTTTTGAAACACGATTCTACCGAATCTCTTCGTTTGTGTTTATACGATGTTCAATTCTTGTCGTGTTCAGAGTAATCCAGAATTAAAATGACGGTTGTCCATTATCTCAGAAATCAAAAGTTTTGGTACATGATTAATCCGAGTCCAGAGTTGGCTCCATCTCACATGGGGCTCATAAGAAAAGGCCACTAAAAAGGGAAGTATTTTTCAGCCCTGTGGCTAAACACCAGGGACTAGTTGTATAGAGGACGAATAACACTAACCGACGGATAAATCGCTATCCCGTGGATGAGTTATAGCAAAACGTACTGTGCTATGCACCGGATAGAGATTTATCTAGTGGGCGGCGACTTATCTAACCTTCGAACAACTGGGGCCCAGAACAGAAAATGCACTTAATGGAACTTGATACCCCCATGGTTCGTTTTCATATTCACAGGCACCTCTCGAGGCAGGTCCTCAAAGGTGCTCCTAGTCCCGGCACAATTCCATTTAAAGGCCCCTTTGCCGTTTTGGGGAAATAATCACGATACATTTCTGACCTTGCAACTTCGCTGTCGAAGTCATCCTGGCTTGGGGGTAGGTAGATGATAACTTCCTTCGCGTCCCCTACATCAAGCTCCTCTGCTTCTTCAAATTTCAGTTCTCCTGATTCGGACACTTCTACACTGCTCTTCCTAACTCGAGCCTTCGGCATTATATCACTACCACGTGACACAGTGACGCCTGGCGGTGCGGCTTCCTGCTTGCGGGAAAAGTAAAAGTAAGTTCTGCATGGCGGAAAAATTAACAGTGAGCTCTGCATGGTGGGAAAATTAACAGTGAGCTCTGCATGGTTGAAAAAATAACGAAGAACTCTGCATTGCGAGAAAAGAAAAAGTAAGTTCTGCATAACAGGAAAAGTAAACGAGTTCTCTGGATGGCGGAAAAACAATGAACTCGGCATGGCTAAAAAGGAACCGCAAACAAGAAGTAACAGTGAGTCCTGAGCACTTGTTAGACTCCTTTGCAGCCAATTTTGCTCTAGTCGCGCACCATGCTTTCAAAGAAGCAAAGAACATGCATTCGCCTCAAGCAACCGCGGTGTTTACAACTCAAAGTTATGTTGGTTTATTAAGTGTCGAAAGAAAAATTCGAGATTGCTTATGTTTCCAACCTCGGTATGATTCTTCTCTTCTTCGCTCAAATTCTCCAGCGCTGCTCGGCCGTCTGAGGGGAACAAGTCATCATCTTCCTGTTAAAGAAAAGTGAGCTCAGTCCGCGCATTGATGTCTGCTGCTAAGTATTTCAGCGTTCCCTCCAGCCCTCCTACTACACTAAGTTTGAGACTGTCGCTTCATTTTCATCATGTACTGTTTCTGGCTCTGTGAAATTTAATTAATATTTACGCTGATCGAGAACAATAAAAACAAATGGGTAGATGCATGTAACATCGATCAAATTATACCAAAGAAAACTTGGAAACCATTAGGGCAACCATTAGAGTGAACCATCCATCCGACTCAAGGGGAGTAATGCCGTAATTTCATCTGTTTATTCGTATTGATTTGTGACTGCCAATTCATTTTTGTAAAAGACCGTGGTTTATTGTTATACTTAATTGCTGGGCCCTAATTCAAAAGCTATTCCTTTTAATGTAAAAGCCTCAAGCAGAAGATAAATCATCTTACCCCATAGGTAAGTGAGCAACGTCTCTCGAGAGGCTGCAAATGAACAAAACAAGCAATTACAATCTTAAAAAGCTACCTCTACCAAAAGAACGTTCCCAAAACGCCCTTGTGGACTTGGGCTGGAATTGGGAAAAGTTTTCCTTTTCCTATAGATGCTTTGTGTGAAGCGATCTTTAACATCATTATCATCACTATTATCACTATTATTGTTATTATCATTATTAGTAATTTCATTATGATCATTGACCGATGTTACATACGCTGCTTGCTAACGCTCTCATTTGCTCCTGAAGAGAGATCGGTTCTACTGTGTATCTTTTACCGCCATCTGCAAAGTAATAAAATCAGTGAAAATGAAAGTACTTGCATCTCATTTCCTCTTACATAAATGTGATCATTTAGCGCTGAAGAGAACATCGCACAGTATGAAAGGATTGTTTTCTTTTTAATTGAAGAAATTTTTCTCTCACTGACACTGGTATTTTCTAAATCTAATCAATCAAAATACAACAAGGTTTCTTAATTTAAGACTGAAATAATCGGAACGTTATTGCCGGATGTTTATCTCGGTTCAGACGTAAAATGGATGATAATTCATAGGGTTATTAGGAAACTTGCTAGGTATATCGGTACTTTTGACTGTTGTATTATGCTCTAACCTGTGGGATCCAGCAATAAAGGAATCGGTTGTATCTTGCCATTGTCACCAGCAATGTGAATACCACCATTTTGGACTCTCTGTTAGTGAGAAAGCGAGGTTCCAAGAGAAAAACAAAATCAGTTTTGATAGAATCAAGTTTTATCGTTATTATTTGAGTGACATTCAATGTTTTTTTCCCCGAAAGCTAGAAAAATCTTAACGCTGACATAATTGTAAACCAACCAGGATCTAGTACATAAAACTGCTTCAATTAAAATTTAGAATAATCAAGATGAACCAGGCACAAAACGGAGCAATCACATTTAACGAGCGGAATCATGAATATACAACCTGCGAAGCGCGGGAAAATTTGCACCGCGTGTGAAAGCGCGGGAAGATTTGCATTTGGCCAACTCCAAGAGCGGGAAAACACACAGCCACAAACGCATAAGTCGTTATTATCCAGCTAATATCGAACCAGGAAGGGGTGGGTAAGCAACTTACCTGAGCCCATCGCCCTCCGGGTTGAACTACTGTTCCTGCGTTACTCTCTTCCGGAGAAACCGTAGTCTTCTCATTTCCTTCAGCGACGAGCTAAAATAAAGGCAAAAAATTGTCTCAGTTTAGTTCGAAAAAGCACAGTAACTGCAAAGAACATCTGATAAAACTAGGTAGTCTTGGGCTGAATAAAGCAAATTTCTCCGAATAAGTCTGGCAGAAAAGTTGGGGTGTCTGTTAGATGGAAACTGACATCAAAGTAACAAACCTGTTTTTTGGCCCATGTAGGCAGCTGCCCCACGCTGAAACGGTAATCTTTAACAGGAGGACTGGGATCTAGTATGAAGGAAAATTAAGATCACTTCGAATCTATCACTCTTATTTGGATCGATAATTTCAAGCACTGTGACGTAAATTCGGTTTGCTTTCAGATCGACTAGTTGATGAGGGCGAAGCCTTTATCACCTATCACGCATAGAAATCTAATTAGTTGTGTACAACAAAACTCTACTAATCACTCAAAATAGGCTTGTGTTGTTATTAACCGTTTAACTCCCGTGAGTAACTAATACAGAATTTCTCCTTGCAATATCAATACAACATCGAGCAGACAAGTGATGACAAAAAAGAAAAATTTCAATCAGGGGATTATAAGTAGATCCAGTACCAAATTCTCTGAACCAACATCATGAGACTTAGATGGCAAAAAGTACAGGGAATAACTAATGAGATCTTTGTTAAGTAATGATACAACTATGTCATACCACGAGCTACTCTCTTTATTTATCCATCACGGAATAAATGGCATGTAGCTTAGCCAATCAGATTGCAGAAATTTTAAGTATACCTTTCATTGGTCTGCTGAACGCTGAAGGGTCAGCTGGTACAAAGTCGTCCTCTTCAGCCGTTTCGATTATCGACGGATGAGCCATTTGGTAAGTCTCACGTCTGTAGAAAAACATTCAGTGAAAAACACAAATATAGTGTCCTCTTCAAGCAATCAGTTTACTACTGGTTTCTTTGCTTGAGATTCACAAGGATAAATTTTCCCTTCAAAACAAAATGATATTCAATATGGTATACCTGATGGGAGTGCCAAACTCGATTTTATTTTCTGGCTCCTCTCCAAGTACGTGAAGTTTCTCCACCATATTCTGAGGAAAAAAGCAAACGATAGTAACATTTGCAAACCATACGTCAATTCAAGTGGATCAGATCCGTCAAAAGGTTACCCAAATACAAATGGTTCCATCATTTGAAGAGAAAACACCTATTTGTCATCTTTTTTTGACAATGAGTTGATTTGTGAAAGGAAATCAGTTCTGAGTATTTATCTTGGTCAACGATGAGAGGTTTGCAAAGGACTGCACTTCACAGATAAAAGAAAACAGACTAGTTCTTTTTGTAATTTAAACTACGAGGATTTTTTGACTCCCCAAAAGGAAAATTTTGATTCTCCTGCGACAAGTTCAAGAAACGTAATGTTAGTTAAAAACTTTGAGTTATTTGAGAATAAAGTTTACAACACTTTACAGAAAAAATGACTCGAGATACCTGGGTATAAGTTGATGGTATTTTCCACACAAAGATGCACCTATCATATAAAGAAAGAGTTGTAAGAAAAGCAATCAAAATAAATATAATAATTATAGATCATCCTCATTAAATTTAAGAAGACACAACAAAGACTGAAAGCCACTGGGAAAATTGTGAATCTATTTTGTCTGGTGTAACCCTTTCACTTCCAAGATCTCATAGGTAATTCTCTTAACTGTCACCCACGAAAATTTTTACATTAGTTCGGAGAACTTGCTAATAGATCAACTAATAATCCCCTAATTGATATTTTCCTTTACTTTCATGACTTGTCTGCTTGATATTATAAGGAAAAATTCAGTTTTGTTAACTCATTAAAGGATTAATTCAGTATTTGTACCGAGAGACGCACGTCGATAAACACACACCATCAAATCACCGTTCATTACTTACCCATCTCCGCCAACAGAGATGAGATTCTTGCAGTCGACAGAAAATTTCAGACCAGTCACCACCTCTGAGAAGACAATAAAAGAATTACTGTTGCTGGCGAGCTTTAATATTGCTTATGCAACTTGAAAGCTTGAGAGGCATTTTACACCTTAATATTAACGATTTTCTCAGGGTCTGTTACATTTATCAAACAGCAGACGTTCAGGGAACCTTTCAATTTTTTTTTTTAATTTCAAATAACTACGGCAGTACCCAATCATTACAAGGCTTGCACGTTCAACCACTCAGATAACAGTTCAAGCGCACACTCAGCTAGCAGTGTATTCAATTCCCTGCCTTCACCAGCAGTTCAGTTAGTCACAAGCATCCTTGGACTGTGACCTACTGCACGTTTGTCCTTGATCCCAGTTAATGCCCAAAGCTGTGGGTTGTTGAGTCTGCGCTCGTTGACAATGATTTCTGTTGCGAAACAATCTTACTCTTTTAACAAGGCTTTTGTTTCACCTACCTGAATGACCAGACATACTCGCCACACATTCACCAGACTCAAACTCAGTCAAACACACGCTCTTGTCTGAACAACTGGTGGCAGCGTATGTCCCTGAAGAGTCCAAAGTTATCTGTGAAGAGAAGCAAACTACTTAGCTAAATTTACGATTCTGGCAGAGGAAAAATTGTCTATCATTTGCGATCTGTGCTGACAGGCTTTCACGTCCTCCACCCTTTACACCCCAACATCAGTATGCATATTCTCCATACTGTTCTCTATAAATTTCTTAAGGTGCTAACAAGGAGAATTTGTTTAACAATCAAGAGCTTCTTTAGTTGGCGATCTCTTCTTTATTCTCGTAACCTAAATGTTTGAATCAGGGGTAATGTTGTGAGGAGAAATAAGATGCTGGTCAAAACTTTAACCTTTCTTGTTGTTTTTCGGCTTACGGCTACTTGTTTCACACGTTTCTTTCTCTGAATATACTCGTATTTCGCTATCTTCTTCGCTTTGAAGGAATCTTTAACGAACAGAGCAAGGATAACATGTCCCTTATCTACAAACCGCTTGAAAGTTCTCCGACTTTGTACATTTGAGGTTACTGTTCAGTTTTGTAGTTTTTCGTCTATCGCAATTTTCTCTCCAAGGATAATTTTCCCACTAGTTTTCAAATAACTTTCATTCCTCGTAAAAATATCCTTATCAAAACTGTCACATGGAAACATCATGAAAGGCTTTCGCGGAGCACTTACCCTAACCAACGTTCCGTCATCTCTTGGAGTGCCTTTGTAATTTCTCGTCTGCTTGCCGCTATTTACATCATACACTCTTGGAGCAGAACGAAATTGATGTACAAAAATCAGTTCAATGGTAAAAATAATTAATCATTTTGCATGATTTGTCATGATCGAAAACAAAAAAGGTCCACAAATATAGAATACAGCCGTACCTAACACCTCTGTCCTGACAAGCCGTAGCAGCATATTTCCTGAAAGAAAAACCGGAATACTTCTTTTAAATTGTTTCTCGTAAATCTTGTGCACTCGGCAATTTCGTTTAATAATAAACCAGACTCACCCTGATGGATCAATGTCCATGTCGTAAAATGTTGTTTTACCAACATGGTTCGTTGTTCGAACAAACTGAAATTCGGGATTCTGCAAAGAAACAAGAATAGAGATGGTTGCTCAAACAGCTCGAACTAAAAAGTGCTTCACAGCGAAATTTCGACAAACTCCAATTCCTTTCCAGCAAAAATCAATTCAACTCGAGTAAGAGTGTCACAGAAGAGTAAAATTTAAGACAAAGTACGAGTACAACCAAAAATTTTTTATTTACGGAAAAGTGGAGATAATCGGTAAGCAGCAAGAGAAACAAGACGGGATACCATATGCCAGCCCCTTCAATTACAAACCCAGAATTTAGAAGGAAATTTAAAATAAATGGTAAATAGAACCACGACACTTTTGTTTCCTGCTTGACCACACAACGGAGCTGCAGCACTCGGAGAGCGAGAAGACGCAAGCGGAGGCTCCATACCCCAAAAAATATGGTAATCCAGCAAGCCAAGTTTATTAGCTTGTGACGTAATGGGTCGGCCATTCATCAAAGCGGGCAAGCGGTGTAAGTCATGCATTTATGATTCCTGCTGCACGTATCTATGTCTGCAAAAACTTAAGCCTTCTCAGGTGGGGAAGGTGTTTATCTTTATCTCATGTAGCAAAACTGATAACCTCACCTGCTGGGCTGTTCTGAATATGATCGACTTGTCTGCTGCACAACTCAGAAGCTGTAACTCATCGGATTCTGACACTAAAATGTAAATGTTCAACAGAATTACAGTCGAATGATCCACTTACAACAAATATATTGTAGCAAACCCTACAAAGAGCAAGGATTGCTTCTGAAGAAAAGTCAACAGAATTGAGTTTCCGAGACGAAACACTCATTCAAAGGCAACTTTTCGGCTCAAATTTGAGACAAGCAGAAATTAATTTTCACCCACCGTTAAATTTGACTGACGTGATTGATGCTGAGTGATCATCCAATGTTTGAACAAGGACAAAGTTGTTCACGATATCAAAGATATGAATGAGTCGATCTCGGCCAGCGGATGCCAGTAGTTTGTGTCCTGCCAAGAGAAAGAAACAGCATGGTGAAAACTCAAACTACAATTACCACATAAACTCCAGCCGCATATTAAGATAAAATCCCTTGGGTTGACATTCATACCTGATTCATTGGGTGAAAACTCCACACACAAAACTTCAGACTCGTGCGCTTCAATCTTTGCGACTTCATCGAAAAACATCAAATCGTATACCCTGATGTAAAAAACACACGTGAGAAGTGAATTATTTTGTAAACCCTTCCAGGACCGGAAAATCATCCGAAATCCACCATGGCTCATCAGGATTGTTCTGCACTTTTGTTTACTTTTCTGTGGCTTTCCACAGTCGAGAAATATGCCAGAAAATTAAACAAAAAGCCCGGATGAATTTTGTTTACCCTCTCTCTTCGTAAACAAGTCATATGTGTGCCTTGACTTCCTTCCGCAAATGCTTGAGGGTAACTCTATCTCGGGCATTTTATCGACAAAATTTTGATGACGTAAGCGAAAAAAAAGAACCGTATGGTCACAGTTTAACCTAGAACTCGGACATTCAACCCATAAAGTTCAACTTGATAACGTAGCTGTAATGAGATCTGCATCATTCGGATGCACCGGGACTTTTACTTGTGTAGGCAATACTTAAACGCGCAGAAATTCATATTAACCAGACGATTTACTAAGAAGTTTTATTTGTTAAAGCTCTGTAACGCTTCCAAGTTGTATACCTAACATGTTGGTAAACTTTTTCCTTTCTACTTTGGCGCAAGTAACCACTAAGTAAACATAGTGCACGGATGTCTTTTGATCTTAATACACTCTATTCAGTCTTTGGTCCAATCTAAGACTCCTGTCGATTGCTACACAAAGCAGCCTATTTTTTTTTACCTGACATTTCCAGATCTGTCCCCCGTGGCAAGTGTTTGCCCATCAGGACTAATGCGAAGACATCTTACTCCAGCATTTCGCGTATCACCGGTAGAATCTCGCATGTTCTTTATGGCTGTTACAAATGAAAACCACAGATTACCAAAAAGAAAATCATAAAAGCAAGCAGCTTTATCTTTGGAAGTTTGGAAAAAAAATTTTTTCGTTAAGAATATTTATTCACTTACCAGGGCTAATATCTTTGTCTTTAAGGTTTGCCACTGTATCTTCCGTGTATAAGACTTTCATCATCTCCTGCAAATAAATTGAAATCCAGGAAATTTTTAACAACTCATCAAGTTCATGCTGAGGATTCAACTTATCCAAGGACGTTCTTGGTGAGAAGTTATCCATCTTCAATTGCTTCGCGGAAATAGACAGAAGAAACAGGTGTAACGGCCTTCATAAGCGCTCCAAAAAAACTGCAAAAGCTTCCCTTATTGCTTTTCCCCAAAGATATTTGCAACTTCAGGGCTGAATAACGTTTGAGACACGATGACCTGCCTATTGGCGCTCTGAACTCGACATTGAAAGGTTCGAGTGAGGGTCATAAGGGTCACTGTATCGTGATCACGGGCAAGAGACTCATACTGTGGAGCGACAGTGATTATCTCTCTCTCTTCTCCACCCAGGAATATAAACAGGTAGGGAAAATTGAAGAAACTCTTAGTGGTAACCTCCGATGGACTAATTTCCCTAACACAGGGAATAGAAATATTCCAAGTCGCTGCATTCTAACTGCAATCAGTATATATCTTAGCACCTACTTCAGTCAGTCTCGTATGCAGCTTAATCTTGCAACAAAAAATAAAAAATTTGGACCATCTAAATTGCACCAAACTAACCTTACTATAAACGTTTCTCTCAAATAATATACTTGTTCCTGAAAGAGACCATACCACTCTATCAAATTAAATCCTCAAGCAAAATCATGAAATCAAAATTAGGCATAAAAGGAACCAAATCGTGAAGCATGAATACGCAAAACCTTACAGACTACAGAAATTATCATCACCTTCTTCAATGTTCCATACTCTAACAGTGTCATCAGACGAGCATGTGAGAAAGGATCCCGGTGGCAGGGCCGCCTGGCGATTATCAGTCACATTGGGGTAAACCTGCAACATTGAATATACAACAATTTTAAAAAACATGTGGTGAGGTGAGCTGAATTTAAACCGTCCTCATCGTAGGACCCGTAAAGACCTGTGCGCAGTTTTTTGGAAGACAATTTCAAAGAAATAAAGTAAAATCTCTGGTTGAGGGCCGTGCGCGATAGCACGAGCTGAGAAAGAAAAATCATAGCACTCCGTACGGCCTTGAAAATGCTGAAAAAAGAAGGGAGGTCATGTGATAAAATTCTTATTGACTGAAACAGGTCAGGCCAAACAGGAAAAATATTTGGCTCTAGGTCATGACATTTGGACCTCGCACCTTATGACCACGAGCCACACCTTTTCCCATGAGGCCCCACCTGACTCAGTTAACACCTACAAGCAAGTAAACAGTTCACGTCTCTGTTTACAGGACCGTTATTTACACATGAATTTATATTGAGTGGCTGACTTAATCGGTAAGTGGGAAAGATGAAGCTGGTCCCGTGTTCCCATTGGCTACCCGAGGGTAAAAACTGAGACTGCCCAATCTGTTCCGCCAAACTTAAAGTTTACCTCAACTCCCCATACACATGTACTGTGATAAAGTGACGACCAAGCTTTTCCAATCTTTTTCATGTCCTTCACGTCCCATGTGTACAGACTGTGGTCGTTATAAACACACGTCAGCTATAAGAAAATTAGAAAGAAAATTTTCGGCAAGGTGACTCAGAATAAGAAAATGCATTCAAAACAACGTGAAAAGGGTCGAGGCATGTAGTAAAAGCATTATTCTCTTAGATGTTCTCGAAATATACTTTTCATTCCTATTTTATGACTTTCCGTGATCCACGCTCAAATTCCATGGTTTGCCAGGTTTGCCAGATTTTCCTTGGCCCCTACAAACTGTCACGGCTTAACATCGTGCTGTCAAACTGTTTCAAGCAAAAGACTTGCCTGTCAATAATTTTTGTCACCATAAAATGTGATAAAATCAAAGACATGAACGTACCTTATGGTTTACTGTGTCAAACGCTACAGCAACGGCGTCTGGATAAGCTGCCTGCTCAGACTTTGACAGAGGGTTACTAAAAAGACAATTAGAATGAAGTTAACTTAAACACAGCAAGAAATATTAACTAGACTTATACACCATAAAGCGAACCTTTAACTATGGCACGGACAGTACTTTATTTTTAGACTTAAGTCCCAATAATCAACCTCTTGGATTAACTGAAAAATGTATTCTCAATTCAAATCACACTCCCTTTGTATAAAAAAGCATGTTACCTTTACCTGGAATCAATGCCTTCTGCTACATTAACACCCAGAAAATGAGGCTTTGGAATGGTTACTATAAACTGTAACTTCAACGGGTTGAAAACTCTGACAAACAAATACAAAAATATAATAATGAAATAAATCATCACCAAAAAGCAGATTGAATTGTGACTAAGTTTGAATATCTAATAACTACGAACTCTCTATCGTCCTCATATCCTAGCAGTATGCAGGAAGTTTGTCACAATGGACCTACTAAAATGGCCTAGCCTGCTAAGAGTCTCTTATAAATCAGTGGTAGAGCATCCGACGAACTAATCGGAAGCTCGTAGGTAAATAAATAAATAAATAAAAAATTAAATACACTTTAATGGCTATCACGATTACTTGAGGACCCAATAGTTTACATTGTGGGCCAGAATCCTATTTGGAGCACTCAGAATTCTTTTTATGCCAGTATCATTCACTGAATGACATCTTCTTTCACTCAGTTACCTTATTATTCCATCAGCACATCCACATATAATGTAATGTTCACTGACTGCCAATGCATATGCTTTAGATGTCTGGAACAACAAGAATTACATGTAACAAACATGTCTACTGTTATGATAATTGATGGCAAAGCTAACACAATAAACTCGCAAATGAAAATCATACAGAGTAATGTCATACCTCCTGATGGGGTTAATATTACTGATTTTATTTACTAAAGAAGTTCCTTCATAAATTTTCCACCTGATAAGGCTTTGGTGAGATCTTCGCATGGTATAACACCATACAAAATTTCAAGGAACTGCTTGTTGTTTGTGTGATTGAAAATTTCAGACTGAGGGATGCCAGGACACAATAAAAAACACAACCAATAACTTTACCAAGAACAAAAGAGATTCCACAAAAGATGACTTGGCAGCAAACATTTTTGCAGCAAACTTTCATTCTTCCTGATCATTACTACACAACACCTGCTCCATTGAGAGGACAGAGCAGAGACTGAGTGATACTTAAATCTGTCAACTAACCGGTGAGTAGTCTGACCTGTTCTAAAATCCCAGGACTACTTAAACAATACTAATGGTTGAAAATTGGATAGTATTTATTGTGAGGTACCTTGAGCTCAACCCAGGTGTCCAGCACTCTCTTGCTATTGATGGAACACAATAATCCTGAGCTAGTCACACAGTAAGTGATATCAGAGTTAACTCCACGACCACATGCTACATCACAAAAGGTGTTATTCCTCTGCTCTCCTAAAAGTCCAGCTCGCCCATTGATTACCAGTGTCTTGGAAACCTGCCAGATTGGAATCAACACAGAACATTTAAAATAGCCAGTTAAAAGTTTTCCCCAAGTGATCAAAATTATTTTCATAGCAAAAGATTTCTCAATCATCAGACAACAAACAAAAATTATATCTTTAGATCAATTGAACAAAAAATATAAATTTTAACTTTCCTCACCTTAGATTTGTTTGATTCAGTGTCAAAATACCAAAATTTGACATGACGAACACCAACAGTAACAAAGTAGCTACCATTTTCAGAAAATGAAAGTGCTGAAACCTGACAAAAAAGAGAAAAAAACCCCAGCATGAAGAAAATTGAAGTCTGACTAATGAAAATCAATTTCACTTAATTGTTGTGGCATTTTAAACAAAAGTGACCAATGCTGGAAAATCAAAACTTGCCTAGAGATTGACAATAATGCAGGTAAATAATTATCTAAAATATATCACAGGCTGACATCACATAATTCTTTGCTAAACAAGTTATTAGGAACTTTCCTCTCAGAGTGCCTCTCTTGAGAGCACACTTAATTTGGAGCCTCACTCTGTTGTGTGTACTCCACCTTCATGATGAAAGCAATTAAAAAGCCAAAACAAAACCAAAAAAAAAAACAACAACAACAAAAAAACTCCACTCTATTTGCGAATAGCATGAAGACCACTGATGTACAGTATGACAGAAAACCCACCTTTGATGAAACTTTGTTGCAGGCCACCTTTGTACCGCTCTGTTAAGGAAAAAAGAATGATTTGAAATGTATCATGGACATAAAAAATGGACGCCAATGAACAACCTGAACATCTTTTATCTCAAGAAATATCTCACTAAAAATTACTGCCTGTAAGCAGATTTAAAGTATGACCATAGCTACCTTCCAGTTCCATATATTTACAATCATGTCGTGCTGGAATCCAACAGATGCCACGTATTTCAAATTAGGTGAAAAGGCCTGACAAAAGTATCAATAAGATTTCATTAGCTACTATCAAATCATGCATACACAAACTAATACTTAGTTACCAAATAGTTAAAATAGTGTATTCTCACCAACAGACAGTATGTGCCTTGCTAAAGAACATAAATACACGACTAAGCTAGCCTACCAACAAAATCACAACTGGGTGAGCTTTGTTACAAGGAAATAGTTTCAAACAATAGTTATAACTACATGAATTTGTCAACTAGAATGATGAGTCTGCCTTAAACAGGAGATATATTTTCATGTTTTATTGTGAAAATGTTCATAGAAATCTTTTCCTCATTGACATGAAGTGTCACAAAATAAGTTTCAAAATCATCAAATCAACACTATCACTAACATTGGAATCATTGATAATCTGAATGAGATGCCAATGATAATTATTGAAATAAATATTTTTATGAATTATTATTAACCTACCACACATGAAATACCAAATTTATGTCCTTTGACCATCTCTGATATCTGTGGATGTGACTGGTCTTCCATGTCCCACACACGCACACATGGCATATGACCACTCTATTCAAGAGATTGCAAAAGAAAAAAAGGTAAGTAAAAAAGAAAAATTCTCAAAACTTCTCTGTTTTGAATTACACAGCCCAGGTTTCTTCTACTTTCTACAACAATGCTATTTGAGCGGCTAGAAGTACTCCTACCAGTCCAAAGAGCTTAACATTGCATCAGGGCACCTGCAGCTTATAAATGGGAAAACTATCTACTTTTATATAATAAGCTCAGTTATGCACGCATTCTGATTGGTTCTCACTTATGATCTTTTGGAGGACAGACGTATAGATGATGTTAACATTAAAACTCTTTTTCCGTATATTTTAATTCTTTATTATATAAAACAAATAGATTCCAAGTTGCCATGCATCTGTTCAGTAATAGATCACAGAGGACGTCAAAATGTGGTAAGAACATCAGTGACACACTCGGCCACACCTCATGTGCCTTTTTTTTTGTTCTTACCACATTTTGACGTCATCTGTGATCTATTACTGAACAGATGCATGGCAACTTAGAATCTATTTGTTAAATTGACTGAGTGAGATGACTAACCAGAAAATAATTGGCTCAAGGTTATGATGTACAGACTGGTGCAGTGATGCAACCATGAATGTCTTTCCCACCTTAACTCAGTCAAGAAGCATTTCATTACATGACCCTCAATCTCTCTCCTTTTTTCCTTTCTTCTTTCAGCTTGTACCTTCTAGGGCTTAATGGCTTTTTCCAGCCCCATTCACACTGTTCTATACTATCCTAGTACAGGGTTTTTTCTAAAAAGTTGTCCAGGAATAGTGCAAGTATGGTTGTACAAGTCACACGATAGTAATTCAGGAGCAGAAGAACAATATCATTGCATCACAAGGTTACCAGGTCTGTCAAAAAAAACTTGCACCCAGAAATATTGAATGAGATATCAAACTGAAAGCTTACTTCTCCTGTTGCCAAATATTTTCCATCGCCAGAGAAAGCCACAGAAGTGATTGTCTTCCTGCAAGAATAAATAATCTAGGGTTAATTTTCACAAGGCTGTAAAGAAGTTCTGAATCACCTTATAACTTTAACCATGCACCATGTTATATTACAAAACTTTCCAAGTTAATTGTCAAAGGTTTTAATCCATCAGTGACAGATGGGGAACAAAGTTAAGGATATGCCACCTTCTGTTTGCAATCAGCTTTTACTGAAACTTCTGCAACACATCTGTAAAATGGGGCTACAGAATCAACCAATAAAATTTGTAAACTTACAGGAAACTATGAATTATATTCATGGTCAGCTGCTTTCTGATTTCCTCTATATACATCTAGTGTGAACAACTTTTGTTTACCTGGACGTATTTAAGACAAAACTCTGTTGGTTCTTCCTAGGGTTAAACAAGACCACCACACATCTAGTAAAGAAAATAACAGGAATTGTCAACTTTTAACTCTGTGAAAATGTTCAGGAGGAAATAGCAGATACATTGCATAACACAAAAGCTAAAAGAAATTTTCAAACTGGTACAGCAATCATACTATCTGATGAATTTTAAAGAATTCCATGTGATTTTACACGTTATCGTAGGTACTACAGGCAATTTTATGTATTACTGCCTGAGAAGGAGAAATTTGTATTATTGCTTGGGCAACAGTATCATAATATAATATCACGATGTATCCTGATGATGAACTAATGAAAACATGTTTGGCTTTTATTGTTTAAATATATTTTTGCCTTGTAAATACCTCATTCTAAACCTAAGCGAACTTAATGGACATCAAATTTCAATTGTTTTAGTCTGTTCACCACTCTAACAGCAAAATTATGCATCTGATGCTTTCCGTTCCTGTGTGTTGAATTGCAAGTAGCCAGACCACTCAAACACGCATGGAGATTTAAATACATATGACTGTGTGCTAAATATTTGGTACATGTACAGTACACTCAAGAAAGAAGCAAAGAGAATGAAGAAGAGTTAATAAGACTGGTTTATAACGTAAGTCCACATTAAAGAAAGATGGGTATATCGACCAAGTGGCCAAGCTTTTTTCTTTCCTTTTAAAAGGACAACACTGTAAACAGATATTATAACTAGTGCAATATGGTGCTGGGAAGCTTTTTCTTTCTTTGACTGTGAATTCATAATTTTAATGGCATCAGCAAAGATTGACTGTATGCCAACTACACTGCATAAACTTTGTACATGCTTCAGTTTCGAAACAACCTACGCCTATTAAGTATATTAAATGTGTCGGTCAAGCATATCAAATATATGGTGACCTGTGATATTTGATACAAATCAATTAGTTTTGCATAGTCCATGTTCAAACCACATATCTAACCTAGGCCTTTAGACTTCTTCTCTAATTTCAAGAAAACTCTAAAGTTACCATGTTGATTTTTGGAAGCTTATCTTTTAATTTTCAAAAACAAGGTCATGCTGTCAAATACAAAACAAAACATGCTGCCATGAAGCAAATATTGAATAAACGAATTGTCAAATTTACAGGTAATTTCATACCAAACTCCATGGGACATTTCTCACTTTTAAGAATGGTCATTCCCTAAGGGAAATAAATAGATGTACCTAGATCATTCAATCATTTGATCGACTTAATTTTACTTTGTTCCTCTCATAATATATACCTCATTCTTCGTAAGCGAGTAATTATTCTAATTACCCCTTCCTAGAGCAAAACAAAATGCAAATATAGTATGACTTGACAACGAACTGAGTATCGTGATGTCTCAGCAGCTGTGTAGTACGCAATAACAACTGCCCCTCTAGACGCAGCGATCGAAAAGATTAGAATTGACCTTGCGGTTCACGTGTGAAAAAAACTAGCTGAATCGAGACTGTTTCTGAAATCGCTCGAAAATATTACTTAGCTGCCCTCAAGTGCGAGCAAATACAATATCGAAATATAACAAATGAAAACAAAGACAAAGAGCGAATAGCTAGGAAACCATAATAACTCTCTCCAGGAAACTAGCCGCGGCGATTAAATTTGATTCTTTCCTAAAGTGCTTAACAGGGAGTTTTAAAGCTTGAGTTCTCCGTTCCTCTTGCAATATTCGAAGACGCAATTTAGAAGAACATACAATTTACACGCAAGAAATAACTTTTTTTGTACTCTTTCAATTCTAGTCAACCTGTATGCAATTTTCAACAGAACTACCAGCAATTTCAGTCAACACGTCCGATTAGGGCTAAAGTATAGCTTAAATATTTCATTTTGGATGCAATTATTTAGCTCAACGTCAACGCCAGTTTTCTAAAAAAAGACGTGTGAGATCAGAGAAAAAATTATGAATTATATATGCTTCCAGCGGAGCAAAGTTATTTCAGCATTTTTTTTTTCGCATGAAAACAATACGGCGAACATCGGTATCGCCTTTTCTTCACGTTTTATATTTATCCGGAGGAAATTATTCAACAAGATCACTGAACTAGCAACAGCCCAGAACAAAATCCAAATAATTACTCGGAAGAAACAGCCAAGTCGTGATTAAAATTTAACAATAGGTTTTCGCGAGAATATTTTGCTTGTGATAACCTCCTTATTATTATGAGTTGTAATATTTTGATAAGCGTCGTCCATTTGTCTTCGTGAAAAAAATTATGTGGCTGCAAATTAAAAAGGATTCTTAAGTAAATTAGTTACATATCATGTATCTCAAGCAACAAGTCGTCACGTACAATCTTCCTTTCCTTCAGTGCAACCTCCCGTTATTTACACATTTTATCGGAGAAATATTTCTTTATCCGATACCTCAAAGAGGCGAAAATATTATCCAGAAAATAAACTTAACCACATTATATAACCCACGCCATTCCTTGAGGCAAAATTAATTTATATGCTGGCAAAATTCACGACAAGAAATGTCTGGATTTATAAAAAGTTTGGCTCACCCGGCCGGATAAGCGACTACTCCAGACAACGGGTCACAGGCTAAAGCTGCGTTCCTGGAGACTGTCAAACCCAGAACCTTATCGAGAGTCGCCTAGAAGGTAAAAAATCAAATAAAATAAGCTTAGGATAATCCTGGAGAACTCGGACAGTATGCTTTAATTAATCCGTAAACTCGCCAAGAAGCATTCAAATTATATTTGGAAGTAAACTATACGTGCCTACATTTCGTCGAATGAACGGAACAAAAACACAGTGAAATACTCACCCGTTCGGAGATAGGACGTAAATCCCTCTGGCTGTTCGCTTTTCGCACTACAAGTCGCCTTGTTGGCGGTGGAATTCGACCAAGTCTATCTGGATTCATTTCATGTCCTCAAATCGTCAATAGCGTGTGTACACTTGACGAGCGAGGCTTTGTTGTACGTATGACGGCTTGAGAACGTGATCAGGGCTTGTATCATGTCGGAGCACCGACATACAAGCCAGAAATTGATTTAATGTCACGAGTATAAACCCATTAAAATGGTCGCATTCCGTAACTCATAGATAATCCCCTCACAGCTTTTACCTCCCGTTCTAAAACAACTCGTTACGTATTTCCGATGAATGTCCGAATGATCAATCAATTCAAAATTTTCTTGAGCCCGCCACCGCAAAGTCCGCGTGAGTGCGCTAGGCCCAGCTTACCACGGCAGTTTTGACGCGCAGCGTAGGCACGCAAGACGTACAAAAAACCAATTTTTGTGTTGCAGTTGTGGGAACTCAAGTTTACTCAGGTCATTACAAATTGAGAAAAAAGTAAATGAAGTAATAAAAGAAGTAGAAATAGCTAGAAAATGTAGAATTGGAGCTCTGATACTAATTCCGTGCGTCTGTAAACTCTCATGAAGACTTACAATAATACATTAAGAACTACTGCTCCCCCAAACTACCCCCTGCCCGTAGCAAGTCGTTTACTTTCCTAGTACCTAGATCTCAAACGGTCGAAATCATTCAAACGAAGCTTTCTTTACTAAAAACGTGTCACCCAGGCCAAACAAAACAGAAAAATATTTTATTCCATATGCAAATGCAAAACGAGAGCAAAAGGTGTTGCAGAGGCAGAATTTGAAATAACGAGCGATCATTATGCAAATATTTTGCGTCTTTGAATAAAAACTACTTGAATTCCACCAATCTTTTTTACTTTCTTGCGCAGCTCAGCCGATCAGATCATTTTTCCTGAGACACTGAAAAAGTTCGGACTCACCAGAAATCCTTCGTATTACTGTTAAATTTGGTGGCTGTCTGTATCATTGCCCGTGAGGGAAAAGCTAAAATCATCGTGCAGTTCTTAGCAGCCAAGAAAGGCTATGAGATTTTTTTAACCAGACTCTTATGGTAAAACTCTTGCGAACTGATCACACATCAATCCCGCAGGGTTTAGATCTTCTTTTAGAATTGGTGACACGAGAAGAAAGAGATTATGGCGTACAGCAGTTTCGCAAAATACATGGACTTCCGGGTTACAATATGCTAAAAGGAAATATTACCTATTAAAAAGTTGCAGCGTGATAAAATTTCACAGCGAAGGAAGAGCAAACAAGTGTGAGACAGTTGAGCAGAAAGCCGCCATCCTTACTTCACACGATTCAATTTTTATTTGTCATTCTTATTCATTTTCTCAAACAACGTTTCCCAGATTTCAATATCATTACAAAGAGTACGTTACCTAAATCTAGTTTTAAACAAAATTAGATCTAGAAACAGAGTAGATAAAATATCCTATATCTTTTATATCTCCACTTTCATTTCAAGAAAATCCCTGACAACGCTTGGGATGAATAAAAAGGTATTTGTTATTACACAGTTGTTACTTTTTTCCATTTGTTCAAGGTTATCAGAAATGGGATACAGCCGGTTTTTATTGAAAGAGGGCCATCATCGTTGTGCGTTATTACGAAAGCAGACACTCCTCATTTGAAAAGGTAGCGACCACGGCTAACGTTCCCGACCATTCGAGCAAGATCTTCGAGAAGTGGGTTCATTCCAATCTTGCATAGATGTGTTATCTACTTTCATCGTAGACCATTGGAAGTTGTGAAAAGCTAGATAAAAACTGGGACTCAATGTCCTAACGTGGAAGGTGAGGCCGTTTTAATTGAATCCATGATGATAATATTCTGCATAATGCTGGGATAGGGATGTCGATATTTGATGCTTTTGCGCAAAAATGATGGTAAATTTACGCTTGGTGATTCAAATAAAAGATGATGCTGCCTAGTGAACAACATACTTAGGTATACGTACTCGGAGAAAAAGAACTCCGAGTCGAAACTACGACCTCCCGAGTAGTACTTCGGATGATGTACCACTGAGCTATAGGAGACTTGTGGCAAGCTAGGCCATTTAACTAGATCCGTGGTGACAACTTCCTGTATTGTGCTTCTTCGAAAGTCAGTCAGGTGTGTTACTAATAAGTTGTTATTACGTAAAACAAAAATTCATCCGCAAAATAATATGCACTTTAAACTGAGTGGAAGAACTGAACGGGAAAATGGTCGTTTCGAGCTCATGACGTTTTCTTCTTTTAGCTCACTGGGGGCTTTACAGCTTTGAATGGCCCTGGTTGCGTCAACAGGTATGGCCCTCATTCAGGGATTTTTGCCTGATATATTACAACATAAGATACGTGCAGGGCAGTGCAGGTCATGTATAAATATATGTTATTTGCCGGCTGGAAGGTCCGTGTGGTGAAAAATTGTGACCGAGGTCACAGTTTTTCACCAAATACTTCATGTAATATTCATCAAATACTTCATGTTTTAACTTTTTAGGTACTTGTTGTGAACGATTAATTAACAAATAGAGAAGCCTTGGCTGTGCTCTGTTCTGTTATAAAGCACGCAGGAAGCGGCTAGAGCACGAAAGAAGTGTAGGGAGAAACACGAGACGTAGTCGAGTGTTTCTCCCCACTTCTTGAGTGCTCTAGCCGCTTCCTAAGTGCTTTATAACAGAACAGAGCACAGCCAAGGCTTCTCTATTTGTTTTATAATAAAGAATCCATTAAATTCCCCGAGCATTACTTTCAATTTTCAAAACAAATTTTATTTCCAAAGTGAACAACAGTGTCGTCAGCATGCTCTATACTCTCATAAAGCACGCTACAATAAGCCAATCAGAATCCCTGTCAGAATGGTTCAAATAATCTGATTGGCTGTACAAGACTAAAGCTGTCAAAAGTGTCAAACCATCAAAGTTAAAAAACCATCAAAGTTCACCTTCTACGATAGTTTACAAACTAAAATAGTTCGGTGGGTCGAATTTAACACTTTTGCCTGAAGTTTTTAAGTCTCTAATACAGAATCTTGAAGTGAAATGTTTAGTGAACTTCAGCCGAATTATGGCTCATAAAAACACGCGAGTTTTTTCACATGACAAGGTAGAATACAAACTGTTCAAGGCAAGTGTTTTTTAAACTAACGACAGCCGAATTCACCGGAACATGAAGGTCGCTCGGGACGACAGCGCCGCAAAACTCGGCTGCAGTGACTGAAGTGACTTTCCACTCAACACATCGGAAAGGATATCAGAACAAGCTCTTATTTTTTCACTCGAAGGGCGGCCGATGTAGTTTTTGAGGCTTGCTTTACTGTGATGACCGGAGATCGCCATGATAAGCGAACCGCGATGGATTTCAGCATGATCATATTTGCTCAGACACCGTCATGATTAGTATGAATTTTAACAGTTATGCCAGTTAAGTTATATTTTTCATCATTTCTGTTTTATTCTGTTTTGTTTTTGAACTCTGAACTTTATATACTATACGAGTGTTGGCTGTGTTTGATTTTTATTACCGTGCGTAAGCTTGCAATCTAACTGAGCGTGAAAATCTTTAAAACTCGGAATGTCTATTTTGTTTTTCCTTTGAGGATTTTCGTATCTGCTCACGTTTTGATAACGTAAATTACGGCGCCTGGTATGTTTACAAACCTTTCTTTGGTTCTTCTGTTGCTACTTGCCGGCTCGCTTGTTCCGAAATTTCACTTTCAATTATCGGAAAAAAAGCTAAAAAGAAGTCCCGGAAAAGGTCGAACATAGTACAATTTGGCAGATGGCGTGACAGCTTTAGCTCAGTTCTATGCTCTATACTCTCATAGAACACGCTCTTTCAACCAATGACAGCGCGCGTTATATCCGAACTTTATTATAAAATTTATTTTAGACGGTTTTTGGGCCGCTTGTCACGTAATGACACAATTGCTAATACAAATTCATTCTGAGACCAATATTTTTCTGTCAACCAAAGTGATTTGAGAGAGAGAAAAGAGAGGATTAATAAGTTATTTATCGGCTTGAGGTAGTGACCAACGTCTTTGCTTAAAAATACTGCCCAGCTGGAAAAACGAGATATATTTATTGAAAATGGCAACGAAAGTTGGGATGTACACGGCGACTCACGAAAACGTTACCGCGGCCCGTGGGCAGAGATAAGAAAATACTGACCGGGTAAAGAACCAATCAGATTGCAGGATTCGTTACCGTGCCCTCTGAAAAGAAATAGTAAATCTTATTTGTCTGGAATTATCTCGGTTAAAACTGAGGCTAAGTGAAAGCTAGGAAGGGCTTGCTTCCATTCTTATCAGGCAGCCGATATATTGATAGAAAACAACAACAATAACGATAACAACCAACTGCATGTATTCCCATGCGATTTTGTTCCCTGTTACTCCTTTACCTGGTTCCCTAAATCTGATTGTTACTTCTCCCCTCAAGCTGATATGCATTTCCTTGAATATCAGTTACGAGACTTTGGTTTTATATGACAATAACAAATTATATCTGATAGAGCAGAGTATTCTCATAACCTTTTTATTGCACAATGTGTGGATACCAAAGTGAGAAATAACATGTTAATCACTTGTGTGAGTTTAAGGGTGAAGCTCTTTAACTGAATTACATGTATTCATTTTAGTACAGTTTTTTTACCGATCACACAAGATAAGTCATTCTTAATTAAAAAGCTTTCAGAGCAAATTCCTCCCTTGCAGTCATTTTTTTCCATACCTAAGGAGAGAAAATAATCAATTTTTGAATTAATATCTTAATAAAAATTTTGACTGTTAATCTTTTGGGTTGAAGAAAGGAAAAATAATTTAGTACCCATATAAACAAGTGTAGGGTAATTGATAAAAAGGAAAACAAAACAAAACAAAACAAGAAATTATATCAAGAAAAAGTGTTAAAATGTATATCTTAACAATCAATGATATGTAGACAGCATTTACGTAAAAAAAGACTTTTCCCCTGTTTAAATAGTCCCATCCAAGCAGGACAGGGTTGGCAGGATTCTATGCAGTTATGAAAACCCTGGACGCAGTA